TTATTATACTGTGGCGAGAGAGAGAGAGAGATGGCCTCATTACAGTTCAGATATTAGGTTAGTGAGCGTGCCAAGTTTGTAAAAGTAGATAGTAAAGTCGCAGTATAAATAACTAAAATAATTATAATTATAGGTATAGTACATATTGCACGTGTATTTATTTTCTAATATCGTTTTTGCCGATGTTGTAATGTTTGTATTCGGCTCGAAACGGGTCATTGGAGTGTCCTCCTCCCAGTAGTGGTATCTGATTGCCCTGCCAATTTAACAAACAGATAAAATATATTCCTATTATACAGTACTTTTATTTTAACTGTGGACATAGTGCATAACGAGGTGCTTAATATAGTGCAATGCTATTCTGCTATGTTCATTTTTAAAGTGAAAAAGTCAATGCATTGGATTTGAATGAATAATATGCAACCAACAATACTCCATTAGAAAAAAAATGTTTTAAAATAATTTATTTTGTTTAACTATTTCTTGCTCAATTGCTATTTCCAAATATTCTAATGTTGGATGAAGAAATAGCTTAAATTACATTTTTATTCATTTTTAGGTGAAAAAACTGTATTGCCTGTCAATATTTATTCAATGGACGATAAAAGTTTAGTTATGGCACTGACAACAGAGAGTGATTACAAATTACAATGATTAAAGCTTGATTTTCATGCATCCGTTGTCCGACGATACGATGATACGATATTAATTTTATTGGTTGAATTTAAAGACTTCGGTTGGTTAGAAACGGTTAACCAATCGAAGCCTTTAAATTCAACCAATGCAATTAATATCGTATCAACGTATCGTCGGACAACGGATGCATGAAAACCAAGCTTAACGCCTATGTTCACAGTTAAAATAAAAGCATTGTATATATTCTTTGCTGTTGGCAATGTAATAATTTTCTGATTAAAAGAAAAATGTCTTTTTATATTTATACTCAAATATGTTCCAGATCGGTAAAGGCGAATTTCCATTAGGAAAGGGACATATCCAAGGGGGCAAAATTGCAAAAAATTGTGTGTGCACTATGTGTGCATATTTGAAGTTAAACTTCCCTCTGTCTGTCTATCCGTCTACCCCTCTGTCCGACTGAGCACTTCATTCGGGTGCCTCTACCCACGTGCCAAGTTTGGTTCCAGTTGAACCATTATTACGAAAAATCCTGATGACTTCCATTTAGAGGCATCAGTTCGAAATGTCAAGGTCGTCATCCTGTAGCCTGTCTCCAATTATGTCGAAATCGACCCACATATTTCCCCAATATGAAATCGTTAGTCTCACCCTGATGAAGATGCAAACGAAACCTAGTGTCTAACTTTGCAGGGTGGAACCGTGTTCACCGTCGCTTACATAGCCACCCACCAAACTTCGCGATCGGACGACATCAAATTTTGACGTTCCTTACGTCAAAACTAACTGTCACAGTGACACGTGTCGTACACAGTCAAGTTGGCCTTGGTCCAATCTATCGACGTACCAAATCCTCCGTATTAAAATCCGTATTTAAATCGGACGATTTTTTTGATTTGATTCATTGATGGAGTTTCGATTTGGGATTTGATTCATTGACACATGATGGGGTTTCGTGGAGCACAAATCGTGAAAATATCATGAAAAAATGGGATTGCGATAAACCATTTTATTTTGTACAATAAATAATTATTGTTTTATTAACTTTTCGAAATAATAACGGTGTATCATTATATCCTGCATTATGATATCTATAAAATACTGTATTAAATCAAGTCGGCAATACAAAATATTTAATATTTGTAGAGTCATGTACGATTTATCTCAAAGTCTTATCGAATATTATCATATTTGGATGATCTATGTATCAATAATTGCAGATAGATCTAATTTGTTATCAATCGGTAAAATTGCAAGGATTTTTCGAAATTGATTTTTTCATTTAACATAAAAGTTATATAAATATGAGATGTATAAGTATAAAAAGAGGCTTATATTATTTTCATTTAATGAAAAATCTTATATTTTAAGGCTGTTAGCATGAATTTTTAAAAATTATTTTGTAGTCATTCATGGAATTATGTGGTATTGGGAATGTTAGACAGTATTTAGATAATAAAAAAGATACACATTACCGGTATTTTGACATTCGGCCAATAAAAATAGTAAACATTTATATAGTGCGCGAGTAATAAGCGCAAATATCAAGACAACGCAAATACAATATATAAGATACTAATTTAACAATGGGATCCAAAAAATATATGCGTGCAGACGAAGAAGTGTTTATAATTTAATTATGTTTGTAAAAAGGTTTTATTTTGTAAATCAAGTGATTTCCATACTTAAAAGAAACTTTAAACAATACCAAAATAAACCTGAAGTATAAAATTAAACAAATATATATTCTATAAAACAAAAAAAACTAAACCACCATTACAACTCTGAACGTAAAAGTAGAAAATAATATTTATGTAAGAAAACATATTCTCAACCAACTCAGTAATATGTTCCATAAAAGGAGTTCTTTGGCTTCATCATCCAGCTCTAAACATTCACTTTTCTTCCACATATGCCGAAATGCAGCCAAATAAGGGTCAGAGGATATCAGGAGACAATTAAAAACATCTTGATTTGTGGCATACCATGAACATTTTCGACTATTGTCTTTTCTGAAAAAACGTAACTTAAAATTGTGTTGCGGTCTATTGAGAAACACGGACTGCTTCAAATAAATATATCGCATAAATAGGCAGAATTCGGCAAACCATTTTTTGTTTATAAACAAATACATTCCTCAAACAATATTATTTGCGATAAGAGGAAACGTCGATAGGCGTCGATAGTATTTTTTTTGGTATTTTGTAAACTATAAAAATATGGATAAAAACTACGTTTAAAAAAACATGAAAAATTAATACATGATAATAATTTCAGAACTTTCTTAGTAATAGTCCAAAAGTAGAGAAAACCTTTTCTTTAAAATATAAAAAATAGTAATCATCTCGGGTTTTTTAAAGTCTCCAGGAATATTTACCTTCTTGTTTGCTATCACTAAGCGAAAAAGACAATTAAATGTGATGGGTTTAAGAGAAAAAAAAACATGGTTACAAATTTTATTCAAAAAATTTGTTGTTGTTTTTTTTAAACCAATGCTACTACTATTCAAAAAGTTTAAAAGTGTGTCATATAGTTTAATTTTTCCAAAATCACTTATGGCCGCTCTTTAACATATGCAAGAGCCACTGTGCGTCCGCGTGTTTTTATATATCTGTTGTTTTGTATATGGCCGTCGAACGAAATCATCCGGACGGAGCATACGCGACCTATGTGAATTTGTTCATATAAACTCATGGCTCGAAGTCGCGGACGGTCCACGCGTACGCTCCGCTTTATCTGAAAGCGCTGTTATATACCGGGTGCGTCTCAAAAGTGGCTCACATGTCAAAGTTGACATATGATATGTTATTCTATTCAGAATGTCATTTTCTATCGAATAAAGTAAAATATACCGAGGGTGCCATTTAAAAATCAGAAGTTTCAGTCATTTCCGGTGAAACAGGAAGTGACCGAAAACAATTGAATACGTCAATCAATCCTAATTTATGTCATATAACATACAAAATCTCGTTTTTTAACTGAAAAAATTAAAAAGTTATAGGGGTGAGCCACTTTTGAGACGCACTCGGTATATATTTTTTTTTCGTAATAGTGTTACGTTTTTCGTCGGTTCCGTGTGTATAGAAAGTCACAATTAATTTAAACACAATTTATTTACACTAAGTAACAACAATAACGAGATTAAAAAAAACTTAAAGAACTATTTATAACTTATTTACAATTTATCTAACTATTTATCTAAGAGGAATTTATTTCGAATTAGCGCGGCGATTGTAACTGTACGCGTCCACCGGTTGTTTTTCTCTCTCCTCTTCAGGCTTCAGGCGCCGGCTTTTATAGGAGAGAAACAGACAATCCAGATTTGTCTCGAGAATTCTTAGCCGCGTTCTTAGAACGTCGTGGAGCGTATGAGTCACAGCAGAGTAGCCGGCCTAAGGCCGAGTTCACACGGGTCCGCAACAATAGGATTTAATGTTTTTTCAACTCTACTAAATACAATGCTATATTTGAGAAAACCACATATAAAACTTACTATGTAAATACTTATTAAACAGTTAACTATTATTGACATATTTTTTCAAAAACAAATAAATGATATCGGATATTTTTATATTTTCAAAATATGACATTGTATGGTTCGTTCCAACCGGACCGAGAACCGATCCTGGGACGGTAATTTCTAGTCGCCCACTTATTGTTTGAAAAGTTTGATCGTTTGTCAAGATTAACAAATGAATTGACTGATAGGAAATTACCGTTCTAGGACGGTTCTCTTGTCCGGTTGGAACAAACATGTAGTGTTCGGCAAGGCGCAACTTTACTCCGATTTAATTATCTTTGCATCTCTTCTGGTTTACCAAGATCACGGTAATGTCAGTTAATATATGGGACTCACATGGTCACACTCTCATGGAATTTTACAAATAAAATGACAGTGATCTTCATTTGATAGCGATCGCTGATGCCGTTTTTATTCGATCATACGGTATATATCTAAAATATATATCTTAAAAATAAAATTCTTATGTGTTCAATTTTTCATAACTTTCCAAACTATGAGACACACTTTATACACTGTTTAACTAACTAGTTAAACAGTGTATATAAGATTATTTATTTCGTCTTACATGGCAGACAAGACCTCGTCATTGTAGTAGTACCTTTGATACTTAAGTGCGATCCGACAAAGTCGGCCTGATGATGGGGATAAATCCCCGAAACCGATGGCTGGTTCCTTCGGTCTGATGAACTTAATGCAGAAATTAGCACACTTTTAGGGGTTAAGGCATTTCTACGCTTCTGTATATTATTATTGTTTTATATAGAACCCTACTTTGCTTTTAGCTTCATCTACAGTCTACGGTTAGGTAGGTGAAGCAAACTTGAATAATAATATATTTTAGGTTAAAACAGTCAAACTAAACTTGGATACTCGCTTAGTAATTTTTGAAGATACTTATTTAGGCCTATGCAGTCGTAAGATTTTTAGAGTACAAAATGACAGTCCGTATACCCTGCAGTTTATATGGAAAGAGTTCGATGCCAAGAAAGAAAGTGAAGAAATGAATAAAATGCTTAATCTGATCGAAGACATGAGAGCATACGAGGAAAAAAGATACGCTAAGCTTGAATATTTGGACATTTTGAATCAGAGACAGCATTCCGATATTTACCGACGCATATACGAGGATGAAAAGAAAGAATTAGCAGCTAAAGAAGATATGTTTATATTTAGATCCGATTTTGCTGACATTATTCCAAAGGTTATTGCTTTTTAAATATCAGTAATCCCTTAATCATACTGAAGAATTATGTATTCGAAAAAAATATAAGAAACCGCGTTAAAATGGCAAATAATATTTTTTTTCAAACGTTACAAAAGTATTAAATTTTGCGACGTGATTGACCATATAAAAAATAATTTTAACGCCTAGGTATAAAAGTAAAGCACTTTTACGCCTTAAGCTTCATTCGGAACCTCGCAATTAGTGGAATAAATTAGTGGTTTCAATTATACTGTATACTTTTTAGTTTACGATCATTCACAATGTTTAAAAACGCAATTAGCAGAAATTAATAGAATATCTTAGCAGCAGCTTGCGTTAGTCAGTTGTATCCATAGGAAAGCCTAATATTTAGCTTATAAAATAATCAACTTTTGATTTGATTTGAATAGTGGCAAAAAATAATGTCTCAACTTACTACTACATTTTTATACAGGGTTGTTTACCACATACGACACGGAGTATTGTAGCTAAACGATTAGATTTTTACAAATTGTAAGTTTTGGGTTCGTTGAAGTACTATTATAGTTACAATTTAAAAATATTTTTAAAAGATACAGAGTGTCCCAAATAAGTAAAAAAATATTATAGTTGTATTTTTTTAAATAGAACACCGTGTTTATTATTATATTTTTAGATTCTACGATTAAAATAAAGGTAATTTTGATTAAGGTTTATCACACTTAAACCGTACCGTTTTTGAAATATTTTCAATTTTATGAAATTGCAGTAAAATGTTAAGGCTTCATTTCTCCAAGGATATCAAAGTTTTTAATAATAAATAATTACTGAAGTTTATTTATTGATCAGATATTATGTTGCAATAATAAACAAACTACTATCTTATACAGGGTGTCTAAAATTTTATATTAAATAATTACTAGTTTTAAAGGGCAATAACTTGTTTAATTTAAAGGGAACACCCTGTATATTTTACGAGAATTGTATTATCCCTTTTTTTACCTATCTCTTCAAATTTTCGTAGAAGTAGCATTTTCTTATAATTTAGACCTCATTTATCACTATATCTATGGAATATTGACATTTCAGATTATTTTTAAAAATGTAACAAATCTTCAAAGAGTACCAGATACTAATATTATATTGTCGATATAATTTGCTTATTTCGTTAAAAAAATAAGAAAAAGTGTTTAAATATTTGTTAAATAGCACCAATTAATATGATCCTAGTATTTAAACTACATTAATTGACTGTTTACGTTGTTTAATAATAATTGCTCCAAATACTAAAAAACTGAATTTTGTATGTGTATCAGGCAGTGTGGTAAAAAGTAACAACTTATAAATTTTATTTAATTTTTTTGACAAATGCTTATTTATAACTTCGTTCAACTACGTTCATTTTCATAACTTATTATTATTGTATTGATTTCTCAGTCAAATTCACATTTATAATAAGAAAATGCATTTTCTACGAAAACTTGAAGAAATAGGTAGACAATGGTATAATACAATTTGATAGACAATTAAATTGTGCATCTGATTCTCGTAAAATATACAGGGTGTTCCATTTAAATTAAACAAGTTATTGCCGTTGAAAGCTAGTAATTATTTAACATAAATTTTTGAACACTCTGTATAAGGTAATAAAATTGTTATTATTGCAACATAATATCTGATCAATAATTAATCTTCAGTAAATACTTAGTATTAAAACCTTTAATACCCCTGGAGAAATAAAGCCTTAAATTTTTTAATGCAATTTCTCAAAATTGAAAATATTTCAAAAACGGTAAGGTTTAAGTACAATAAAATTTAATTAAATTTACCTTTATTTCAGTCGTAGAATCTAAAAATACAATAATATACAGGGTGTTCTATTAAAAAAAACTATTATATTTTTTACTTATTTGAGCCACTCTGTATCTTGTAAAATTATTTTTAAATTGTAGCTCTAGTAGTCCTCCAACGAACCCAAAACTCACAATTTGTAAAAATCTAATCGTTTAGCTACAATACTCCGTGTCGTATGTGGTGAACAACCCTGTATAAATGATGTTTTGAATTCAGAAAATTGAATTATGTATACAGAGTTTACTTAAATTGGCTGTAAAAAATAAAAAATGGGTTGTATAAAACAATCAGCTTTTGATTTCTAACCACAATTTCTCTTGACGAGAGATAATCAAAGGCCAAAATGACATTTCTCGCAAATTTTGAGTATAATTAGTGGAAAAATTAAAAGTTTGGTAACTTTTTCCACTAAATGAAAATTCCTACCACTAATTTTGACGTTCTGAATGCTTACGAATTTGCAGAACAAACTTCTAGGCTAATTGAAACCACTAATTTATTCCACTAATTTCGAGGTTCTGAATGAAGCGCTACTGTATACAGGGTGGTCCGAACTGTATTCCGGAAACTTCGGCAGCACATTTTTCGCATAAAAATAAGTAAAAAAGTTCGTATAAATATATGTCCTAAAATGCTTAGTTTCAGAGATACAGGGTGTAGAAATTTCATTTTTATTTCGATTTTTTCTAAATAATTTCTGAAGTAACGTCAATATTTGGATGAAAATTGGTGTCTGGATGTTTTTTGACATGAGAAATTTGATTTTGATGTCAATATCACTCCTACTAGTAGAGGGCGCCACCTACATGTGTGTTACCTGTTTTGAAGCGTAATAACTTTTTGTCCGTACCTGTATAAAACTACCTAGCAAAAAAATATACATTTCCAACACTTTTTACGTAAAAAATATCTCTTTGTAAAAATCGCTACGAGCAACCGTTCTTAAGATATTTAGAATGAAAATAGTCAGTACATGTCATTATTGACGAAAAATAAACACGTTGAGTAGATAGTTATTTCACTGAAATAATAAATTTGGGAAATTTTTATTTTTTTAAATTAATCATAAATTTTTCTGCAAAAAATGATGATAAAATAGTTTCTGTTGAACTTTTGACACAAAAACATTTCAAATTTATGATTTCAGTCTAATAATTATTTAGTCAACATGTTTAATTTATGTCAATGATGACAGGTATTGATAATTTTGATTCCATATATCTCGAAAATTATTACTCGTAGCGATTTTTATCAAGAGACCTTTTTCACGTAAAAAACGTCGTAAATGTATATTTTTTTACTCAGTAGTTTTATACAGGTACGGACAAAAAGTTATTACTCTTCAAACCAGTTAAAAAATATGTAGGTGGCGCCCTCTACTGGTAAGAGTCATATTGACATCAAATTCACATTTCTCATGTCAGACAACACCAAGACACCAATTTTCATCAAAATATTAATGTTACTTCAGAAATTATTTGGAAAAAATCGAAATAAAAATGAAACTTCTACACCCTGTATCTCCGAAACTAAGCATTTTAGGACATACATTTATACGAACTTTTTAACTTATTTTTACCTGCAGAATATGCTGCCGAAGTTTCCGGAATACAATTCGGACCACCCTGTATAATTAAATAGTAACAATAGCAAACTGAGAATATCTTAAATATGATTGAATTCTAAAATAATTTTAATTGATATATTTAGGTGGGAAAAGTGTTGCCTCGTTCCGAATTTGAATTTACAGTTATATTTTGTCCCAAAGAAGCGAAATATTACAGTTGCGTTGCCTATTTGGATATAGATGGAGTCGAAGAGAGAATAAGGGTAGACTTGCAAGGAGACGGAATCGGACCACGAATGGCCTTAAATGTTTTAAGTATAGAGGCAAATCAGATTTATCTCACAGATAAGCATCAATATGAAATTGCTGTTTTCAATGAAGGTAATTAAATGTATCGCTACAAATGGCAAATGCATGATTTGTATTGCAACTTTTTTAATTAAAAGTGTAGCTGATGATGAGTGCTAATATTTTTTGACAATATTCTACTAAATTAATATTGTGGTATAAGAAGGCGACCATTTGTGAGGGAATCAAGGCAGGAGGAGGTCAAAGCGAATCTCACTAAATGTGTGAAATTCTCAACTCTGTGAAATTCTTAGGACTTGTTGTAGACAACTCGTTAAAATGGGACTTCGAAGCGAACTTTTCACATCGAAGCTCTATCAAAGAAACTAAGCGCTGCCTGTTTTGCGCTAAGATCAGTTTCTAAGGAACTTAACTTCCTAACCTCTAGAATAGCCTATTATGCCCTTTTTGAGTCACATCTTCGTTATGCCCTTCCATTCTGGGGTACTTGCTGCGCAACAAAATTTGATCGTATTTTCAGACTTCAAAAGAGAGCAGTTCGATATTTATTGGGACTGAACAGTAGAACTCACTGCCAGAATTTCTTTAAAAATTTCAAAATACTGATTCTTCCCTCTTTATTCATTTTTGAATCCGTTTGCTTAATCCGAAAGCACATATCTGCTATTCCCGAAAGGTCATCTCATAACTATCCACTTAGGAATGCGGAGCACGATCTTTATCTGCCAACCCTGAGCTCAGAACTAGTTAAAGGTTCAATACTGTACAATGCCAAAAAAATGTACAATCATCTGCCTTTAAATATCAAGATGATTTCGCAAAGCTCTGAAATCATACTTACTGGAGAGAGCCCTATATGCGGTAAATGACTTTTTTGTTGATGTTTAATCATGAACAATTTTGAATTTTAAAATTTTGATCATCTCACAGACTGGTCAAAGGTCAAGTATTTAATATTTTATAACTCTTAAAATTATATCTATTTACTGCTTACTGATCTGCAATTGTCCATGTATGTTATTTTTGTAATTTTAATGACTTAAATTTTTTTGAATTATATGATTTGTGTTGTGTATTTTTTGTTGTTTGTATATTTTTTTGTGTGCTTTTGTTTGTTTTGTGAGTGCTTTGACGATGAAGCTGTTTTGGCTTTTTGCACAATAAAGCGTTGTTTGTTTGTTTGTTTGTAAATCTCACGTGGGGGATAGAGATGGTTTCGGCAATTATCACGTAATTTTTTTCCGGGAAAAAATAGTGTAAAAATGTAAGAAAATCAAATTAACTTACGCAAGACGCGCACCAAGGTGGTAAGTAAGTGACGTGGCAGCGGCGTGGTAATCGAGTGGCAAATGGATCTGCTAAAGCCTACGTAAAGAAATGCTGTCGCACTAATAACAGTAGGGTGGCGGTGAAGTGGTCTTTTGTAAGTGGCGTGGCATCAGTCGGGTACCACTAGTTCCCGACAAGTTTAATTTTCGACTGGCAAGCGGCTGGTGACCACATAAAGTTTGAATTGCATCTGCCTTTTCAATACGTAATTATATTATTTAAGTATTTTTTTACTGAAGTGTAAATTATATTATCCTTAGTTCATCCTCTGAGGCTGATGACATTTTCGATAATAATAAAATTACAGATGAGATGAAGCAGTAACACCAACGTCGCTTGCTACTGCAGTGCGCATTACTTCACTTTCATGCCACTTCGCCGCTATTCCAGTGCCACGCCAGTTAATCACCATTCCTATGCCTCACGCCATTTCTTTGCTTCACCACCGCCACATCATTTCAGTGCGCGCCTTGGCTTAAGTAAAACATGTTTCTAGACTAGAATATGTCGAAATCTGACATAATTCTTCTGTATATTAAAATCCATAAATAGATGTAAAGATATTTTAGTATTGATATATATCGAAAATGTGGTTCCCGATCTCTTATTGGTCGAAAAATTATAGCGCGCAGTTTATTTAACAAGACGAGCTACTGAATTTCTGTGCACAAGCAATAACAGTTAGAGTCAATCAGAGCGAAGGCGAAGGAGCAGACGATTTTACTGAAAATTGCATGGATTAGATGACCAGGAACAGTCACTCTTGAAACCGTGCACTAGTTTCCACGACCTGAATTAGAGCGCTTGCACACACACCAGCAAAATCGGTGCCGGTGACGGTGCTGAAATCGATTGCAATATAAGTAAATTAGCTCAACTTAAGGAATTTTCTCAAGCCTGGGGTAGTGGTAAATGGAAAACTATACATATATAAATACTATAATAAAAATTAGAAATTTGCTACTATTTATAGTAGAAGATAAATATAGTTCTATGAAGCTAACCGATATACTTTTTTTGTAAAGGGAGTAGAAGCAGTCAATAAGTCGATCGTTAAAGCTATTATTCTCCTTATATTTTCCTTGACTAACTAGATTTGATTCTCCAATATTTCTTGTACGTAAATATATTTTTTCTGTATGAACGAGTAGGGCTAGCGAAAAACATGCTATTGCCAGATTAGGAATTTTATTAAGCATCGATGAGATAGACGATCATTTTTTAAATTTTGAGTTTAATCTTAAAAATAAAATTCTTATGTATTTTTCGGGAAACGGGGTTTCTAGAATTAATAATAATCCAGATTTTCAACTAAATCCCTTCGAACTGACAATAACAAAATGGCGACAACGTGTTCAGGGGTCGGCTGTCGGCTCCTTTGTTTTATTTTTCTGAGCCCACGTGCAAGACGCCGCACACTGACCGGCACATCATGCCGTCTGTACATCATCCGCGACTGGGCTCTCCCTCTCTCTCCGCTTAACCATAGAGCATAAAGACTACTAGAGCCCACCCGGGACCACGTTTGCAATAGACATTTCGATTGCGTCACCGTCCTTCCAAAAATATCAAGAAACTTTATTCTGATAATATAAAAGATGTTGCCACGAACATTTAATCATTAAATTATAAATTATCCGACATATTCAATTTTTCATAACTTTCCAAGCTATGATACACACTTTATACACTGTTTAATTTAATAAATAATAAAATATATAAAAAGATGATACATACTTTATAAAATGTTTAATCAAATAATCAAGGAATTACCTTTGATATTATTATTGATATCTCCAATACTTTCTCAGCATTTATAGTAACTGTTACTAGTAATTGTCTTTAGTTTGAGGTTACAATTTTATTGACATACATAGATCAATACAATACAGCCAAAATTAAAAATGAATTGCGCTCTCATAAAAAAGCACTTTTTTGTTACTAAAATGTCTCAACAGCCTCAGTATTTATTTTTTAATCTCAATCTAAAGTATTTATCGACATTGAACAAGGTCCCATCGCGAAGCTTGTATTCCCTACACTAATTTGAAGGCTCACAAATACGGCTCACTTAAGCGACTGTCACATAAAAACTAGACATTGTTATTTATTCAGCGTATGGCTCTAGTACACATAAAATCACATGTTATTATCACAGCTGTAAATATACTAATAATAAGAATACGAACAAAAATTGGACATGTCAAACACAAAATGTAAAAAGGAAAATTTAAAATATAGTACAAAACAAACTTGTCACAAACACACATCTAGTCTTTTTATATAATCAATCGCACTTGGCATTGCCTTCAGGAAATCTCCAAAATCTCCCTCATCTGCCGTTAAAGCGCATTCTTCTCGAATATGTCGAACAGTCTGTCGTAGAGCTCCACAATTACATACCGGAGTGGTGACCTTTCCCCATTTATAGAGAGAATCCATGCACCTGCCATGTTCGGTTCTCAGCCTGTTTAGCCTGTTTACTAACTAGACATTTAAAATCGCTGTAACCTTAGTAAAGTAAACGCCACGAATGTTTGGGAGTGATTCATCGCCTGATGAAGTTAGAATCGACACGCGCGCTATCATTTTTACCTTTGAATAAGAAGACTAAGGAAGGAGCATATCACAAATCTTAGGTACACCGCGATGGGCCTCAAATATGGCCGACTTAAATTCCGGTTTATCAGTGTCGTTCTAATTTTATTTAAAAAATGTAAAACTATGATGTAGGGTAGACGTGGGGTAGACTCAATAATTTGTTGTTTTATTTTACGGTGTTAATAAATGTTGGTAGTTATTAAAATTGTTATAAAAATATATAATTCTAATAAAAATAGATAAGTTATAATAAGTATTTATTAACACAAACATCCGATACGCTACTGAAGCAGGTAAGTCAAATTAACGTATCTAAATTCTTTGACATCTAATCTTTGACAAGTAATAAATAAAAGCTAAAATGGAAGAAAAATATATAGTTTAGTTAATTTAAGTGAATTTCATAAATGATCGGTTTACTACACGTATGTATATTATATAGTCACTTACTAGCGAAAAGTTGTTCCATTATTTCACTCAATTTTTGCCGAGATCTACCGCACGCTACACAACCAACTATTTTAGAGTCTTTTTCGATAACTCGCGATAGTGTCACTGTTAATTTAAGTTCTGCCACAATTTCCATCTAGATTTACTACCTTTATACAACTATCAGTAGTAGAATAAATAATAAATAACATAAAATAAGCACCGTAAAGACTGACAAATCCACAAAATTTCAAATCAAATTCAAATGTGTCAAATGAATCGTCAAACAGAACTGTCAAGGATCCCCACCCTAGAGTGCTTTTATGGTGTTTTTTCCGCCCACCATGCATGAATACATGGATAGCATTATGCTCCTCCCTTAGTCTTCTTATTCAAAGATTTTTACATTAAAAACGTAAATTTTTACCGCAGACGTGGGTTTTTAAAGGCCCGGTCTAATCATCTACCTGCGTCCTCCTACTTATTCTAAAATGTTAGCGTGATTGACAAAGACGATACTATATCGCGTTTCTTTGATTGATTCGTTTTTGTGCGTCAGTCCATTGGTGTGCTTGCAATGCGACCAATGGGGCATTCCATTTTATATTTATAACCAAATATATGTTTTGACAAGACTTTGACAGTTAAAACAACAAATTAATACAACAGATTATATATTGATTATTATATGACTTGAAACACCACGGCACTGGAATTAAGTTTTATGTGACCTTGAACAGATTAGTTCACATGGTAGCGACCGATGAATCACTCCCAAACATTCGTGGCGTTTACTATAGGTGTCTTTCAGGAGATACGCAAGCAAAATTTCCTGAATTTGATGCGTGATGTTGCCGAATACATCGTTGTAAACTCTTTAGCCTACCCTAGTAATATAATTTATTTTAAACAGTTACTAATTAATTTTAAGGTATTATACCTGGGACTGTGTCTTACATAGAAAAGGAATCGAACTTCGGTGGCACAATCAGATGCATTCCTAAAACCTTCAACGTGAACGCAAATGAAAAAAGGGCATTTATTTTGGTGTTCAGTTCTACAGTTCAAGGCGATTTTCTGGAAACAATAGATTTTATTATACAAGAATCCGGCGAAAAACTTCAGTGTCTCTTATCGTAAGAACATTAGTGTATAGGACTTTTACAGAACATGTAGTATTCTTACAAGATGTTTCATACAACCCGATCATTATCGCCTATAAACTGTTGTTTTGCCTGTCTCTATCCTAGTGATTTTTTTCACCATTCTAGATATTTGTTAGTAGATATACAGGGTGTCCCAGAAATAAGTGCAAGTATTTTAACTGGTAGTACAGTTCAACCAAGGGCGTAGATAAGGGGGGGGGGGTGTACTGGGGGACAGTACCCCCCCCTGACGCTTGACGAGATATGAGAATTGAAATAGTCATTGACTATGAAAGGATTTTTTTTAATTAAAATCCGACATAAGAACACTTTGTATGCTTTTAATTATGTTGATTTATCGTTTATAATATGTTCGACCTAATTAAAAGCACACAAAGTGTTCTTATTAACCAGGACAGATTAGTGGGGTTAACTCTAATCAATATCCATAAAGATATTGAAAATAAATGTTGATGCTGTTATTGATAGGTTTTCGAAACAGCGTACTAGAAAACTTGATTTTGTTTTGTAGTTTTATTTATAGTTTATAGTTTTATAGTTTTTTTGATAGTTTAGAGTTTTTTATAGTTTATAGAAAATTAACTAATAAACGTCGTTGTTTCATTTTTGTTTATGTTATTTACAAATCTATATTTTAATTTTTGTGTTATGTTTTTATATCTTTTTGAAGACAAAAAAATCGCCGTCGTTTTAATTCGACAAAAAAATTCCGACGGTGATTTTTTTTGCGACTTAATCATAGTACCACCCCCATAGCATACACCTATCTACGCCCCTGAGTTCAACCCCAGAAACCCGCCTATGAGGTTTTTTTCGCGAAAAAAATTTTGAAAATTAATTTTTTTGGATTTTTTTTTAGTTTTTACTTAAAAAACATAATTTCTTGATAATATGACAACATAGGCATTAGATTAAATTTACAAGAAAGAAAATCAAGAAAAGAGCAAGTGGTTCTGATTTTAGCAAAAAAACATTTTTTTGGAAATTTTTAAAGTAAAATAACTCCGTTATTTTGGACGTATTTGAAAAACGATAAAGAGAAAATATGTTTCTTTTATCGAGATCTACCAGCCCTTAAAATACTTGTACTTATTTCTGGGAAACCCTGTATAAAAAAATAAAATTTATATCATGTATTTATATTTTTTTATTGAAATTTATTTGAAGATGAAACTGTTTTTGTTACTAAATTGAGAACGGGTTGAGTAAAGATCACTGTATTCAATATTTTTTTAATCAATTTATTGATAAATTAACTCATAACGTATTATTCTAACTTCTGTAAATTATTTTAGAGGAAAAGTAATATGCCCGTTATTGAAATGTCTACCAAATAATCTTGAATTTGGTGAAGTAGCTATAGGTAAGTACCCTGAATCATCAAACACATAATTACATTACCTAATTCAAAACATCCGGTATTATAATTTATTATGCATTGAGGAAATAGACGATGTGTGCCATAATTTGACATAACGTTAACATTTTGTTTTATGTTTGTTCTTTTTTCACAAAAACAATATACGTTAGTATAAAAAGAAAGCAAATATCAGTTGTCAAGAAACCATAGGAAAACTATAAAGAGTGAGTCTTAAATATGTGCAAATTTTTTCAGGGGTGATATATTTCGATCCCAGGAACACGTCTAACGAGTTGTTTTTCTAAAAAAAAGATGTTGAAAATCTTACATTTTAATTTAAATTTTACTGTATATTTTAGAAAACTTTTTAGAACTGCCTGTTCACCGCAAATTTTCCCAAGGTATAATTTGTTATAGTTGTTGTAGCTAATACTGGAATGGCGGCCAAGACAAGATGCTCTTAGAAACAGAGACAGACCTCCGACAAGATGGTCAGATGACTTAAAGAGATTTAGGGGAAACTGGATCCAAGTGGCACAGGACCGAGAACAGTGGAAAGATTTGAGGGAGGCCTACGTCCAGCAATAGACACTTCAGGCTGGTAGATGATGATGATGATAATTTGTTAATCGCTGATATTACCATGGTTGCGGCACCAGGGATGCAAACTTTTTAGAAATAAATATTTTTTTTTAATTTTCAAACTTGAATAAGGCGTTTATTTTGGACTTATTTGAAAAGCGGTAAAGAGAAAATATGTTTCTTTTATCGAGATCTACCAGCCTTGAAAATATTTGCCCTTGTTTAAGACTCGCACTGTATAATATAATCCAACTAAGTATAAAGATTCAAACAAGTATAGCCAAACTTCAGGGAATGATTCGTAGAGCGATTTTATGTTATTTATGTAGTTAGTTTATTGGTCAATATTTAAATGCTTTTTCAGTGTAGAATCAGTTCTATATCTCGTCAAAGTTTAAATATATGCGAATAAGCCTGTAAATAACTGTAAACTAATATAGAATATAAAAAATAAGGACATATTGATTTGATGGTGATATTCGCCTATAAAAGATTTTTTAACCACCTCCTTACCAAAAAAAGGAAACAGACGGGAAAGTTTTAGTTTTGGATTATTAATAAATGGCGAAAACCGGACATAAGTGGTCCAACTTTATTTAGTTGTTATTTTGTTTATTTCTCTCTTTAGGAGTGGTACATGAAAGGACAATTGATTTAATTAATGAATCTAGAGTAGACATTTGCTTTGACATTGAAGTAAGCTATGCTCCTTCAGATCTTATTTACTTATTTGAGATTTCCCCTACAGATGGTTTAGTTAAGCCACAATCAAGTACTCCTGTTAAGGTTGTAACGGTTATTATTTATTTCAACAGCATTATTTTAAATATGGTATAAACGATTTTAGGTTACCTTATTTTGCGAAACAGACTGCACAGCAAGCGGTGTGATATCAGTAATTATGTGGAAATCACATCAGTATACCGCCACAATTCCATTCCATTGTACCTGTTCTTGTCCCAGAGTCACATGTTCCCCTGAAAAGATTATGATTAAGTTTTGTTTTTTGAATTGTAAATATCAAAGATCATTTAAAATAACAAATGAAACAGATATAGCAGGAAATATGGAATATGTACCAGAAGAGGTACGAAAATTTTTACAATAAAAAAATAATATTACATTGTAACTTGATGACGTATGACGTCTTGGAAATGACAAAGAAAATGAAAAAAGGATACCTTATACAGGGTTTTAAATAAATGCACATATTTTTAAGGGGTAGTATGCTTTTACCCCAGAAACACAATTATGAGGTTTTTTCGCGAAAAAAAAATTTCAAAATTTGAAAAAATTGATAATATGGCAACATAGGTAGTAGATTAAATTTACAAAAAAAAGAAAATATTCAGTGGTTTTCAAAATTTAAGCAAAAACATTTTTTTTGGAAATTTTCAAAATAAAATAACTTGGTTATTTTGGACGTACGGTAAAGAGAAAATCAGTCCTGAAAATATTTGCACTTTTTTAAGACTCATCCTGTATATTATTTTTATCTTATTGAATTTGCATTGTTATTCTTAAATATTTAAAAAGTACTAGGCATGATTGTTTTTATTTAAAACTTATATTACCACAATAATTTATAGTTTTGGATATACTTTTTATGATCCAGTTAAATTTACAGGGTGGTCCTCTTACCTACATTAGAGGAATTTATTATAAGTTTAGTATAATTAGAATAGTTCCAACAGGAAGGCAACATAAATTAATATAATAATGAATTGATCTGGCATCTGTTTATTTTCATTTTCTCGCAGAACGTTTTATTGTGCAAAACGATTTGAGTGCCTTTTTTATTACTTTTTTTTAGTTATTAACCAATAAGCGTTTTCAAGTACAAATGTAAACAATATATAGGCATAAGGTATTCTATTTCAAATAACTAAGTTGACATATACAGAGCGATCAATAATGATTGAATTCAACAGTTGGCAATACTGTGTTAGAGGATTTTAGGATTTGTGATTGGTACTGATGCTAAAAAATTATCTATCAAAAAATTTAAGCAAATCATGTCCATTCAATTTGACGTCAATTTTTTTTATATTCTTGAAAATTTTCAAGTTTTGACTTTGCTATTTGTAAAATCGACATATTTTTCAATGTAAAAAATTACTATTTTTCAATCCAGTTATAGTGGACAAGAAATACATACATAATCTTTGAATAAAAATATTAAGAAAGGAGCATATTAAAAATCTTAGATCGACCGCGACGGGGTCTAATTTTATTCAAAACGTGTAAAAATATGATGTAGCGTAGACATGGGGCCTACACTCAATAATTTGTGGTTTTATTTTTACATGATATCTTCTAACATTTTTTTTTGAATAAAACTAGTTTGCCTTAAAGTTTTCATTTTTTTTCCATTTTCTATAATTTTCTTCCAAAAACTTTAAGCGATTCGAATGAAAGTTTGAGGGTAAAAATTGTTCTTAATGTTAAAGTTTGAGGGTAAAAAGTGTTATATATATTCTAGTACTAAAAAAGTGTCGACATCAGACTCCCCAGGCACGTGCATATGGGTTATTACTGGAATATTTTATATATTTTACTACAAAAAATATGGTGCGTCACTGACTCTTTTCTTTCCTTAGCAAATTCTATAGGCCGTTTAATGCCGATTAAAAGTTTTTTGATTTCTATCCCCTTGATGAGCAATTTTACGCATAACAATAAAATTAAAATAAAGATAAAATAAATAAATAATGTTATTTATTTAATCAATTTTAGTATTAAATTTAATTAAAATTTATAATACTGATGTTCAGTGCTACTTATAGCAAATTCAAGAAAAAAAATTATGTTATTTGAAATAATTACAAAGGATCTATTTTTTAAAGTTTTAACATCCTGTAACTTTATAACTATGCATTTCCGGAACCATATTTATAGGAACATTTTTTCATATTTTTTTACAAGGAATCAATGAGCACTTATTTAATATTTTAACCATTTAATGACATGGACATTTTTTAAAGGTTGCTTTTTATTAGTTTTAGGTTAAGGCAAATTAATAAAATTGTGTTTATCTCATCAAGGAGGCTGAAGTCGGCACAATATCAGGAGACAACTTTCAATTGGCCCAAATAAGTCGAACATATAATAGCTTTCACCCTGAAAATTTCATAGGAATCGCTAAAAGCACTTGAAAGAAAATTATAATAGACAAAAATTAAGACTTTAACACTGTATGTAGCTACGAAATCTCCCCACGAGAGACAGTACATGTTTTTGAAATACTCTGTATACCTACTCTTTCGATGAATAAAAGAACAAACGCAAATTTTATCAATTTTGTAGAACGTGGAGCAAGCTATTCTCTGTGAACTGGATGATACTAAATTTTACATTCCCCCTAAAGGATCGATAGATGTCCCAATAACTGTAACTGTTACTGAATTGGGCCCGCAAGAATTACCTTTGGTGTAAGTTTCTCTTATATCTCTATATTTATAGAAATAATTGCATAGTCAAAACACTCATGGAGAAAAAAAGTTGATCAGAAATCATAGAAGTGTCACACAATAACTAACTAACTTTTGATTAAAATTTGACATACTGGTATTAGTACGAGAGCTAGCAACGTCGGGAAAACAAGTATTTTAAGACGTCTGGTTCTTTGATACATCTTTTACTATGCTCTCTAGAACAGCATTCGTTTCGTCTGGCTGCCGGTAAACGTTGCGTTCCCTACTGCGCATTGAAAGAAGACCCTATATTTTTATTAGTCTTTTAAATTCTAGTATTGAATATAAATCGAACATGTCTCCATAGCGCAGTGCGTAGAGTTTCCGATAATGAACCGATGATTCAGAGTTCAAATCCGGGTCAGGTTACAGACTTTTTTATTTCTATTTTCGTTTATATTCTGATAGTAAATTACTAAATATTTGTTTTTTTTTAATTACCAGAATTATTTAATACTTTACTATCAGAATATAAACGAAAATAAAATAAAAAAGTCTTTGACCTGACCCGGATTTGAACTCTGAATCTTCGATTTGTGTTCGGAAACTCTACGCACTGCGCTATGGAGACATGTTCGATTTATATTCAATACTAGAATTTATAGGACTAAATTAATAAAAAATATAGGATTTTCTTCCGATGCGCAGTAGTAAACGCAACAGGTATCGGTAGCCAGACGGGCCGCATGCTGTTCCAGAGGGCATAGTAAAAGATATATCAAAGAGCCAGACATCTTAAAATACTTTCTCGAAAACGTTGCTAGCTCTTAGACTATATGTTATATTTATGAGTTTATTTGTCAATAAGTGTTCATGAAATAAAGTTCAATTTTAAGAATGATTTTAGTATAGTAATAATACTCAAATGGGGCATCGGATTTGGGATTACATCTGTACTGGATATACAGGGTGAGTTTCCTACGATGTTCTCTATGGGTATCTCGGAAACTACTGGAGATAGAGAGTTGGTTAAATGGAGAAAGAATTGCAATTTTTGTGGGGTCATAAATATGCGCCTTTCAGATTTTTGAAAAAGTTCATGGCTTACTATATAGATATTTCGAAAAAAACAAATTTCGGCTATTTTAAAAATTGTCCCTAATTCCATTATAAAACAATTTTAAACAATAAGTTTTCAGATAAAAGTTGTAGATAATCACATCCTTTATGAAATTGTGTCCTCCGCTTTTTTCTAAAGTCTGTCATTTTTGACATATGATACAAACATGTCTTTTTTTAAATGGAAACCATAATTGGCCATGACTTCATAAAAAGCGCAATTTTTTAATCTTTTTAATGATATAAGCTATAATATGTTTTCTTCGGAAAATTACTGAGTTATAGCCAATTCTTATAATTTTTAAAAAATTTCACTTCACCATGGAAACAAGTTCAATCGTCGTTGCTCTCAGAAATGTGAAGCTGTCACATCCAAACTTTGTAAATTAAAATGAACAAAAATTGTAAATCAAAAATAACAGGCTTATGGAATTAGGAACAGTTTTTAAAATAGACGAATTTTTTTCAAAAATCTGCATATTTATGACTCCACAAAATTGCAATTCTTTCCCCATTTAACTGACTCTCTATCTCCAGTAGTTTCCGAGATAGTATCCATAGAGAACATTGTAGGAAGCTCACCCTGTATTGTACATTAGTATTTATTTAACATACTGTATAGTATAATCATTAAAGCAATGAACTGTATTGACATAATACATGCATTTACACATATTAGGAAATGGTGACTTCAACTGCTACTTTTTTCAAATTACATATAAAAATTACAGCATGCTGTAGTTAAAACAGTTAATTTCTGATTTTAGATTTTTGTTTGGAAAAGATATTAAACAAAAACTTTCTTCGATAATATGTAATGGACAAGGACCAGTAATAACGTATTATCCCGATGAAATCAACTTTGGAAAAGTTAATCTTTTAACAAAATATGAACAGTATCTATCTCTTATTAACGATTCGCCTATTCCTGCATTTATCAAAATATATTGTGTAAGTACCTATACATTACTTTGAATGTGGTAGACAATGATTCAGTTTAAAACTAAAAGAGTTTCGGACATCCATTGTCTTTATTTATTTTTGCTTACACAACGTTTCGGTCAGAAGTACCACTGCCGTTATCAAGTGTGAACTGTTAACGGTCAGTGAAATAATAGTGTGAAGTGATAAAAAGAGTTCACACTTGATAACGGTCAATGATACTTCTGACCGAAACGTTGTGTAAGCAAGAATAAATAAAGACAATGGAAGTCCGAAACTCTTTTAGTTTTAGTACGGACACATGTTACGATTATAGTGCCTACACGCCTATAGTCTGTCCAACGACAGGATCCCTGGCAGTGACAGTTATGTATGTCATTTTAATTCACAGGCAAATTGTATTTTCTGGCATTGTTGGATATCGTCTGTCGAAATCTTTCCTGAATTTATGCCATTTAGTGCCACACCGGATATACAGGGTGGCCTCGGTTGATTATACGAAAACGGAAAGATAGGCAGGCAATGTGCATCATTTAAAATTATTTTCAAATGTACAGGGTATGTCAGAACTAAGATCCGTACCAAAGTTATATTTTTTCTTATGGAACACACACCCGGTATTTTATTTCATTTTTGGATTCTTGGGACCAAAAACGGTATAAGGGTTAAATATGTTTAAAATTTTTGGTTTTTGAGATATTTAAAAATATTTAAATATGCATACTACAATAGAATAGATTATTAACACCCTGTACATTACTTTTCGTAAATTAATTTTTGTGCTTAAAGGTAGAGAAATAAACTTTACTGAAAAATGTTATTGCTTCCTTAAATTTATACAGGGGTACCAAAAATTGCTGATCTATTTTAAGGATTTATTGTATATAAAAACTTCGTTATTTCAAATGCAACATCTTGTATCAAGTGCTCTTTCAAACTATATTAGGGTTTCCTATACCTATCTAACTCAGATTTTGAATAAAAAGCGATTTTTCAATAAAATAGCAATCAAGATGGCTGGTATCGCCATAGCAATTTTCTAGTGACAGTTAGTAACTATTTTCAAAATCGATATGGACATTATTATTTAGATTTATAACAGTTTACTTAAATTTGCCCACAATAGTTTAATAAGTAAGTATTCATTATTTTATCAAGAAAAATAAAGCAGTATCTGCTGGTGGAACGAGTGGATATGTTATTAATGATTTTATTTTGTGAGGAAAATTGCTTCTTGGCGTCAAGAGCTTATTCTCAAAGATATACAGAGAGGATTCTTCCTGATAAGCGTTCCATTAAAAAACTACTTGTCCTATTTTGCAGAGTTGGTAGTGTACTTTATAAAAAAAACTATTAGGTAGAAACCTGTCGTTGGAAGTGAAGAAAATGAATATACCGTTATTGGCTCTTTTATAGAAAATTCATATATCTACAAGTCATCGTAATGTTGCGGACCCGTGTGGACTCGACCTAACCTAACTATATGTCCCGCCCTCAGATGACCTTAACATCGCATTAAAGAATAGACACCGTAATGATTCATTCGTTCGAGAAGAATCGAGTCCCACTGGAATGGACTAGTACATACGAGAACATTCGAAAACCTTCTCTACGCACCTAAGGATCTATGGACTATTCTAGAGTTCTTTACCTGTCGGTATATAAGCCGGCGACTGTGGCCTACAGGGGGTAGTTATAAATATACAAGTGCAGTTGACGCGCTAAAATTCAAAATAAATTCTTAGTTATAAATCGTTTGTAAATAGTTCTATAAGTCTTTTATCGTTATTGTTTTTGTTAATTAGTGTTAAATAAATAGTGTTTAAATAAATTGTGACTTTCTATCCACACGGAACCGACGAAAAACGTAACAATTGGTGTCAGGTGTCGGGTGTGTGATAGACTAAAAAATAAATAAATAAGACTGAAAATGGCTTCGAAAAAATTGTTGAAGGACTTGAAAGTGTCGGAATTAAAATGCATACTGGAAGAGAGAGAATGTGAGACAGATGGGAAAAAAGCATTTTACAAGCAAGACTAAGAGATGTTCTGATCGAGGAAGGTGAGGATCCTGACACATTTTGTTTTGAGTTAGAAGGTGATCTTGACTCGTCATTGAAGAATTTGCAAGAAAATTTAAACGACAATTTGAACAGTAAGATAATTAATCTAGAAGAAAGTTTGAATACTAAAATCAATACATTAGAAGATAAGATCATCGAAAATTCTAAAGATATACAGGCCAGCTTTAATAATAAAATACAGGAATTAGAAGAAAAGATAATAGATACACAAGACAAAATAACTGAGATTGAGGAAGATGTAAATAGAAAAGTCGAAATTTTGAAAGAACAAATAGCGAAGTCAAATTCACCAAAATGTCAAGAAACATCGGAGGGACCGAAACTAGTCGAAAATAGGTATACCTCAAAATCAGTTATGAAACCTACGCAGTTTGACGGAAAAACCGCTTGGGCCAACTACTTTTGCCAATTTGAAGCCGCTGCGAGAGGGAACGGCTGGACAATCGCTGAAAAGCTACCGCTTTGACTATCGCACTGCGAGGAGATGCGACTCATATCCTGCAGACACTGTCACCATCGGAACAGGGAGATTATCAGCAATTGGTACGACATTTAGAAATGAGGTACGGCCAAGCTCATTTGGGACGTGTCTATCATTCCCAGCTAAAAAATCGCATTCAAAAGTCAAATGAGTCTCTGCAGGAGTTTGAAGCCGACGTAGCCCGCCTGGTTCGCCTTGCGTATCCTGCTACGCCCGAGAATGTTATGGAGCGGTTGGCAGTACAGACATTCTCCGATGGCTTACGTGACAGGGAGACAAGGCAAGCGCTTCTTCTAGCCCACCCAACGCGCTTGGTGGATGCTTTAGCACGTGCCCTAGAATTTGAGGCCGCGAAACAGTTCTCGGTCTCTAGTGAGAGTACGGGCGGTCAACCAATGTTCCGACAAATCCGTGGAAAGCATTGTACGGAAAGTCATGGAGGAGTACATGGGCAAGAAAGGACCGACTTGTTGCTGGAATTGCGGCCAGGCAGGACACGTAAGAAGTCACTGTCAAGAAAAAGACGTGGACTCGGTTTCGCCAAGTGTCGAATCAAAGGGACACATATGGAGCAGTACCCAACAGGTTCCAACGAAAACTGTTCAAGTCGCATCGCTACAACACAAGTTCAACAGCATTTTTGTGGCTAGTTTCGTGGATGGAGAGTTACGGACCATGCTGTTGGATACGGGTGCGACCAAAACGATCATCAGGCCGGATATCCTTAAAACATCAAAAAGGATTAAAACAACACAATGGCGACTACGTACAGCTACAGGAAGCTGCGCTCTCATCCATGGAGAGGTAGATCTTAATTTTGTTATCGGAAGCACCTGTTTTAATCATCGAGTGTTAGTAGCAGACATCGAAGATGAACTTATTCTCGGAATGGACATCGTGACCACTAGAGGTTTTGAACTAAACCTCAAACAAGAAATTTTGAAAATAAATGAAGAAGAAGTGGTTCTACATCGAAAATGTGAGGAGACGCTTCGCGTGGTAGTAGCAGAAGATGTTTCGATCCCTGAGCGCTGTGAGATATTTTTGGATGGTCGCCTGGAAGGTAAAACGAATAATGGGAGTATTATTCTGTTGGAGCCAAGGAACCATGACAGCGAAATAGGACGAGGGGTCGCTGTTGGAAAACCCCTGCTACGAGCGAAGAAGTCTGTACCGGTAAGAGTAATGAACACGAATTATCATTCTGTATCCTTGAAGAAGGGAACCCTGTTAGGGTACTGTTGTTCGGCCTCCTCAGTCATTCGAAGCGTGGAAGCCTCCAAAGTTTCGATTTCAAAAATTCCGGACAAAATGGTTAAGGAGTTAGTAAACGTTAAGGGATTATTTCCCGAAGATAGTAGAAAATTGAGAAACCTGATAATCAAGTATCAAGATGTGTTTGATAAAGGAGAAGCAGGACATAGAGGTCGTACCAATTTAGTACAACATAAAATTGACACCGGAGATGCACGACCAATCAAACAAAATCCGAGTAGACTGCCGCTCGCCAAACGTGAAGAAGCTGACAAAATCCTTCGAGAAATGAAAGAAGAGGGTGTCATCGAACCATCTAACAGCCCGTGGACATCGCCGGTAGTACTAGTAAAGAAGAAAGACGGTACCACCAGGTTCTGTGTTGATTATCGGCAACTTAATAATGTTACCAAGAAGGATAGCTATCCCCTGCCGAGGAAGACGATACTCTAGACACGCTGGCGGGGTCAACGATATTCTCTACGTTAGATCTGAAGAGTGGATATTGGCAAGTCGACATGGCGCCGAAAGACAGAGAGAAGACAGCGTTCTCGGTGGGCTCCGGACTGTGGCAATTTACCGTCATGCCTTTTGGATTGTGCAACGCGCCAGCTACCTTTGAGAGACTAATGGAGTCTGTGTTAAAGGGACTATCCTGGACTACCTGTTTAGTGTACCTGGATGACATCATAGTGGTTGGGAAATCCTTTGACGATCATCTGAATAATTTGGAAGAAGTTTACAAGCAACTAGGGAGCTCTGGAACTTAGCCCCAAGAAATGTCATCTGTGTCAAGAAAAGGTACACTACTTGGGCCATGTAGTCTCCTCACAAGGAGTTGCGGTAGATCCACAGAAGACCAAGACAGTGGAAGAGTGGCCAATACCTAAAGATAAACATGAACTACGAAGCTTTTTGGGACGATGCACATACTATCGCAGCTATGTACAGGGTTTCGCCACCATCGCAAAACCATTGACCAGCCTTACCGAAGGCGAGTGGCGTTTCTCTTGGGACTCAGATTCTGACGAGGCATTCCGAAAATTGAAGAAGGCCCTGACTAGTGCGCCCATACTTAGCTACCCTCTTGGCAACGGAAACTTTATATTGGATACCGACGCTAGCAATGTTGCGTTAGGCGCTGTTCGTGAAGAACGCTGTTCGTCACAAATAAATTGTGACTTTCTATCCACACGGAACCGACGAAAAACGTAACAGTAAAATAAATCAAAGAACTACTTTTTTCTTGATAAAATAATAAATAGAGAAGAACTAATTGAAAGAGCTTTAAATCTGCTTCGATTTATTTAAAAAAATACGGGGTGTTGTATTTGAAATAACGAAGTTTTTATGTAAAATAAGTCCTTAAAATAGTCAGCAATTTTTGGTACCCCTGTATAAATTTAAGAAAGCAATAACATTTTTCCGTAAAGTTTATTTCTCTACCTTTAAACTCAGCACAAGAATTAATTCTGGAAAGTAATGTACAGGGTGTTAATAATCTATTCTATTGTAGCATGCTCGGTAGCATGCATATGTAAATATCTTTAAATATCTCAAAAACCAAAGATTTTAAACATATTTAACCTTCATAATAAATGCCTTTTTTGGGCTCAAGAATCCAAAATAAAATAAAATACCGGGTGTTCCATAAGAAAAAATATAAATTTGGTACCAAAAAACATAATTGCTTGATAATATGGCAACATAGGTAGTAGATTAAATTTACAAGAAAGAAAATCCAGAAAAGATCCAGTGGTTCTCAAAATTTGAGCAAAAAATCATTTTTTTTTTGGAAATTTTCAAAGTAAAATAACTCCGTTATTTTGGACTTATTTGAAAAACGATAAATAGAAAATATGTTTCTTTTATCGAGATCTATCGCTCCTTAAAATACTTGCACTTATTTCTGGGACACCCTGTATAATAACAAATTGTCTGTCCGGTAGGACAATTTAATTTCGACAGACAACCTTCAAAAATGTCTTTACGTTTTTAGAAAAACAACAGTCCGTTCTCCGTCGAGGAGGGCAATATACGCTTGGAAGGGGAAGACACGAAAAAAATCGCCGTCTCATTATTTATGAAGGACCCGAAAAAAATTAAGGATACCGTTTTTGTCGAGATATACCAAGGCGACGTGCTAACAGTTAAGGTGTCTGGCGAAGGTGTGGGCACCTCCATAGTTTGCGAACCGGAACTGCTGGATCATAATTTGGGAACGGTTCTAACCTACAAATTGTTTTGCGAAGAAATCAAAGTAATGAATAAGGGTTCTGTACATCACAAGTTGTTGTTCTCCAAACGGAGCGATGTGAAATCTTTAACTGAAGAGGGAGAAAGTGACATACCGTAGGATTTATTTGGAATATTATTTAGAAAAAAAAACAACGGCCATTTGCAATCGCCGAATAAAAATAGCTCAGGAAGAAGTGATACACGCTTTGTTTTTCCATTCTTGACATCATATTGGTTTTCACGTATCTGCTGAATTGGTCCATAAGTTGTAAACATTTCATGGACAGCTGGCTTATAAACTTATCTACCTATACAATATTTGTTTTTAAATTTATCAATAATTTATACCCTTTTATTTTTTCAATTAGTTTTAACATTTACTGACTCAACATAAAATAGAAACAGAAAATTTTTGAGTAAAATACTTAACTTTAACTAATAATAACATGTTAAAAACAATGTGAACGCTACTGATTAACTGGAAGTGAAGTAAGCCATATTGAAACACCAGTACGGCCTCGCCAAGTTTATTGATGTACCGTATGATCGAGAAAAAACGGCGTCAGCAATGGCTATGAAATGAAGATCGCTGTCAATTTGTATGTAAATTTATATTGGAAATGTCATCGATCGTCATTTTCTAGCCAACTGGACGCCGTTTTTTAGATCATACGGTACTTTATCCTTATTATTTTTATTCGTTGGTTCTAACATTAATAATTGTACATTAACATCAAACAGCATATTTTGTAAAAATATATTTAGTTATATAGTATCACACAAGGAACCTGATATTTTGCTTAACAGTGCGTAACTATACAGGGTGGCGAGAATTGATTCGAGAAACTTGGGCAGCATATTCTACTGTAAAAATAAATAAAAAGTTCGTATAAATTTATGTCCTAAAATGCTTCGTTTCAGAGATACAGGGTGCAGAAGTTTCACCTCTATTTCGTTTTTTTCCAAATAATTTCTGAACTAATGTAAACAGCTGGATTAAAATTAGCGTCTGGAAGATTTTTGACATACGAAATTTGATTTTGCTTGTTGAGGGCGCCACCTATATATTTTTTAACTGGTTTGAAGAGTAACTTTTTGTCCGTACCTGTATAAAATGAATTAAAAAATATACATTTACAACGTTTTTTACGTAAAAAGATCTTTTAGTTAAAATCTCTTACGAGTAATGGTTGTCGAGATATTTGGAATCGAAATTATCAATACCTGTCATCATTGACATAAATTAAATATGTTGACTAAATAGTTATTAGACTGAAATAATAAATTTGAAACGTCTTTGTACCAAAAGTTCAACAGGAACTGTTTTATATTTATTAATAATTTAAAGAAAATAAAAAGTTCCCAAATTTATCATTTCAGTCGAATAACTATCTACTCAACATGTTTATTTTTTTCAATAATTAGTACACGTATTGACTATTTCCATTCTAAATATCTTGAGAACTGTTGCTCACTGTTGGCATTTTTAACGTAAAGAATGACGAAAATATATATGAATCTCATGTCAAAAAACACCAAGACACCAATTTTTAACTAAATATTTACATCTAGTTCAGAAAATATTGTTAATAATTGAAATAGAAATGAAACTTCAACATCCTGTATCTCCAAAACGAAGCATTTTAGTGTTTCACATATATATTTTCATTCACATATGTTCATTTATTTATAAATTTATACTAACCTTTTTACTTATTTTTATCTGCAGAACATGCTGCCGAAGTTTCCCGAATACAATTCGGACCACCCTGTATATTTCCAAGACGTTTTGAATAATGAAATATACTAAGTGGAACTGAAAATGCGATACCTATGGAGAATGTTTTAATTTTTACTATAGTTTGACAAAATGTTGGCCTACCACTCAATGGTTAGTGATTAGAAATTAAACCCGAAACGTTTATTCAATTATTCAATTGTTTTCGGTCACATCCTGTTTCACCGGAAATGACCACAACTTTTGATTTTTAAATGACACCGTCGGTATTTTTTTACTTTATTCGATAAAAAATGCCACTCCGAATAAAATCACATATTATATGTCAATTTTGTGACATTTTTGCATATATTTTATTTAAAATTGTAACATGGGGTTCAAAACGACAATTTGAAACGAAATACCAAGTTTGTGATACAAAATTATTCGTAAAAAATGCTTTTTCCAAAGATTCTAATGAGCAACCGTCGTTCGATTTGAAAAAATTGGGATATGATTTGGACATCTTTTAACCCACCAGGACAAGACACGAAAAACATTAGACGGTCAAATATATTTTTCCAAGGCTCCAATTAAAAATTAGTGTCTTTAACAGTGTCGTGGCACTCTAGATTGAAATTTAAGAAACGATTTTTTAGCGAAAATGTCAAAAGTTGACATGTGATATGTCATTCTATTCAGAGTGTTATTTTTTATCAAATAAACTAAAAAAATATCGAAGATGCGATTTAAAAATCAAAAGTTGTAGTCATATCCGGTAAAACAGGAAGTGACCGAAAATAACTGAATTCGTCAATCAGTTAAACAAAAAAAAACTAACTACTTAACTAATTATTGGTAGGCCAACATGTCAAACTATAGTGAAAATGAAAGTACTCTATATTATGTTTTCAATGTGACTTAGTATGTGTTAATTTTAGAGGCGTATTTAGCATGGAGCCCTGTTTGTTCGATTTAGATAGCAACCAAGAGCAGATTATGAAGCTTATTGGAAAATGTAGAAACCCTAATAGGGTAGAAGAAAAGTTCTATTGCTATGCCATTATAGGTTCGATCAAGGGCATCAAAACTCTTAATGAAATGATAATTAGTGCTAATTTTGTTGACCCAAGTATACAATTCTCTATGACGGAGATGCATTTCAACATTAACGTTCTAGATGGAAAACAAACGGGAAACACAAAAGGTATTTTTTTGGTTATTTATTTTATAAAATTAATACCGTTGAGATTGGAACCACTGCACTGTTGTTACAACAGCAAATTAAAACACTAATTTATAACAATTCTCTAAGCATATTAGCATCAGCAGCGGATGATTAAATCTACTCAGTTTTAATAGTGTTTTGGTTTATTGTGGTGAATTAGTGATTTACTTTTCTGTTTATTTTATGTTTCATAAATGTTATCAGGCTAACATTAATTTGATTAAATTGCTCATTCTTTTTGTGTTATTTTTGTTACCGTTTTTGCATTTCATTTTATTTAAATTAAGAACTTTACTATTAATGAAACTTAATTTTTTGCAAGGGGTTTGATTTATACTTATATTGGTAAATTATTATATAAGTAATATACCGGGTGCGTCTCAAAAGTGGCTCACCCCGATATATTTTTTACATTTTCAGTTAAAAAATAGAGATTTGGTATATTACTATACAGGGTGGCGCACCTTATTCACCTCGGTTGATTATACGAAAACGGAAAGATTTAGAAACAAAATATTTTACGGGTATATGTGGGGAGGCAATGTGCACAATTTAAAATTATTTTGAAATATACAGGGTGTTTCAGCACTAAGATCCATACCAAAGTTATATTTTTTCTTATGGAACACACACCCAGTATTTTATTTCACTTTTGGATTCTTGAGCCCAAAAAAAGGCGTTTGTTATAAGGGTTAAATATGTTTAAAATCTTTGGTTTTTGAGATATTTAAAGATATTTAAATTTGCATGCTACAATAAAATAGATTATTAACACCCTGTACATTACATTTCAGAATTAATTCTTGTGCTAAGTTTAAAGGTGGAGAAATAAACTTTACTGCAAAATATTATTGCTTCCTTAAATTTATACAGGGGTATCAAAAATTCCTGATCTGTTTTAAAGGTTTATTTTACATAAAGACTTTTAAAAACGTTATTTGAAATACAACACTCTGTATTTTTTAAAACAAATCGAAGCAGATTAAAATGCTCTTTCAAACTATATTAGGGTTTCCTATACCTATCTAGCTCAGATTTTGAATAAAAAGCGATTTTTAAATAAAATTGCAACCAAAGTGGCTGGTGTCGCCATGGCAATTTTCTAGTGACAGTTAGTAACTATTTTCAAAGTCGACAATAGTTTATGGACTTAATTTAAAATTATTTAAATTTATAGCAGTTTATTTTTATTTCATTTACCTACAATAGTTTAATAAGCAATATTTATTAAATATATATTTATTATTCTACCAAGAAAAGCTTTCTTTTTTCGTCTTTGATTTATTTTACAATGACTTGTAGATATTATATGGATTTTCTATTAAGAGCCAACTACGGCAAATTCATTTTCTTCACTTCCAATGACAGGTTTCTGCCTAATAAGTTTTTTATAAACCACACTACCAGCTCTGCGATATAGGACAAGTAGTTTTTCAAAAGAACGCTTATCAGGAAGACTCCTATTTGGATATCTTTGAGCATAAGCCATTGAGGCCAAGAAGCATTTTTCCTCACAAAATAAAATCACTAGTAACATATCCATTCGTTCCGCCAGCAGATACTGCTTTATTTTTCTTGATAAAATAGTGAATACTTACTTATTTTAAACTATTGAGGTAAATTTAAGTAAACTGTTATAAATTATAAATAATAATGTCCATAAACTAATGTCGACTTTAAAAATAGTTACTAACTGTCACTAGAAAATTGCCATGCCGACACCAGCCACCTTGATTGCAATTTTATTTAAAAATCGCTTTTTATTAAAAATCTGGGCTAGATAGGTATAGGAAACCCTAATATAGTTTGAAAGAGCATTGGAATTTGCTTCGATTTATTTAAAAAAATACAGGGTATTGTATTTGAAATAACGAAGTTTTTATGTAAAATATATCCTTAATATAGATCAGCAATTTTTGATACCCCTGTATAAATTTAAGGAAGCAATAACATTTTTCAGTAAGGTTTATTTCTCTACCTTTAAACATAGCACACGAATTAATTCTGAAATGTAATGTACAGGGTGTTAATAATGTTAATACATGAATTATTGTAACATGCAAATTTAAATATCTTTTTAAGATTTTAAACATATTTAACCCCTATAATAAAAACCTTTTTTTGGGCTCAAGAATTCAAAAATGAAATAAAATACTGGGTATTCCATAAGAAAAAATATAACTTTGGTATGGATCTTAGTTCTGAAACACCCTGTATATTCCAAATAATTTTAAATTGTGCCACATTACCTCCCCACATATACCTATAAAATATTTTGTTTCTAAATCTTTCCGTTTTCGTATAATCAACAGAGGCGAATGAGGTGCGCCACCCTGTATAACACATAACATTTAAAAAAAACATAAGTTTAGGTTATATTTCGAGAATGACAGCTCCCAACGAAAAACTAGTCACTGGATTCTACGGGAAAATGTTTACTGGCCTCAGTTTTCACCTTTTCGATATAAGTTATAAAATAACCGAGATATGAAGGGGGTCGAAAAATGCAACATTTTCAATTTCGCCCTGTATTCCAGGAACTAAGAGGATTAGGACAAATCTGTGTGGCATCTTTAGTTTCATAAAAAAGTAGCACAGTGATGGGAAAACCGCATCTTTGTATCTCTACACATAAGCAAGATACCCCGTAAAACACACGAAAATGGGACAGCCTGAACAGGTATAAATAGGCGGGGTTCAAATATTTTTTATGTATACCTGTCCAAAATTACGTGCATGCAGTATTATTGTGTCTACCTTGCGGTGTTGATCTGCGAACATGGCGATATTTATTCCAAGCAAGGTAAAAGGTATTATTGATTTAAGAGCGAAAACTGTACTTTTCAATACTCATGATTTCTTGGCGCATCAAAAAGTGAATACTGGTGAGCCCAAAAAAAAGTGGAACTGTTGGTGAGCCCAAAACATCTATGGGGAGTAAGCCATTGGTTGTTGATGACTTTTCTAAAGGCATAATAAGGAGACATGTGCAAGCCTTTTACTTAAACAAAGATAAAATTCAGAAAGTTGTAGGTAAATGAAGATGAAGACGAAAACTTGCCGGTCCGGAAGAAAGAAACTTTGGACAACTTTAAAGGAAATCAACTTTTCATGGGAAAAGTGCAACAGAAAGTCTGTACTCATTGACAGAAGATAAAATTCTTTGAACAAGGCAATATCTAAGGGACATTCGTAAATATCGCAGGGAAGGAAAACCTATCTTCTATCTAGACGAAATATGGCTGAATGTTATGACATTCTGTTAAGAAAATCTGGGAAGGTAATAGCATTGGAAGTTCTTGTGAAGCGTGTTTAGGAGGATTATTGAAGAAAACCCGTCCTTCCGGAAAAGGACGCAGGCTAATTATATCGCATATTGGAGGAGATAATGGACTACTGCAATTCCAATCTAAATCGACCAAGGATTATCATGAAGAAATGACGGTGGATTTTTTTGAAGATTACTTTTCCGAAATGATAACATTACTTTCAGAAAACTCTGTCATTGTTATGGACAACGCCAGTTATGATACGAGATTAGTAAAAAAATTGCCAACTGCTTCTTGGAGGAAAGGGCCGGGACATTGTAGGTTCGTTGTCTCAAAAGGATATTGTGTGTACTTGTCTGTACTTGTGTGATATTGTATATAGTGTACTCGTATAATTCAATGTTACTGAAAATGCCAATAACGGGTAAATAAATATTTGTATTAACATTATCATATTATTTTACTTTGTGTAACAAAATACAGGGTGAGTCTTAAATAAGTGCAAATATTTTCAGAGCTGGTAGATCTCGATAACAGAAACATATTTTCTCTTTACTATTTTTCAGATAAGTCCAAAATAACCTAGTTATTTAAGTTTGGAAATTTAAAAAAAAAATGATTTTTTTTAAATTTTGAGAGCCACAAGATTTTTTCTGTATTTGGATCCCTTTTATTGCCGTAACCATAGAGTAAAGCCGTAACTATGGTAATATCAGAGATTAAGAAATTATACCGTCGGAAAATTTGCGGTGAACAGGGAGTTCTGAAAAGAAATATTTTAAAGATAAGTATTTTTTTTTGCTTCCGACGACGGAAAGAGATAACTTTTCGAAACGTTAAGCATTTTTTTCTTTGTTAGACAAATTTGTATTACTGTAAACATAACTTCTGACAAGCAGCGCCCGTTTAGGTTTAACGCAGAAGTGTTTACCAAAAATAACTATTTTATTTTGCAGATTTTCTTGCAGTGCAGTGGCGAAATACCAATAAAGGATTTTTTTGGAGAGATGAATCCGCCACATAGATATAGACATTTTTTAGTTCTCAAAAGTTGTCGAAAAATATACAGGGAAATTCAAAAGAAAATGCACGATTTTCAACATCTTTTTTTAGCGAAAAAAACTTGATAGACGTATTCCTGGGGTCGAAATATACCCCTGAAAATATTTGCACTTATTTAAGACTTACCCTGTATATTTAACAAAACTTAAAACAAATCTTAAAACCCTAATACCCGACACTGGTGCGGTCAGTACCTGAGAATATCTTTATTACCTATTGTTATACGGAACGTTGCTATTGTTCTCGGCAGACGTACCGGATGTATCCATCCACAAACGTGTTAAAGCTGTCTGAATTTCATTGGAACATATACCCTTTAAATGAAATTAGTCCCATCCATGTTCCATCTTTTAGCATGCCACACTGTACACAACAAAACGCCTTTTGCATTTATAATGGGGTCTTATCTCAAGCATTATGAAATAGAGACCATACCCTGTATCCCGTGTAGTATACCAGCATTAGCCTGTCGATGCTCCTACGCGAGTAAATGAGCTCTCCCGATATCCTAAGGTCGTGTTTGGGCCAAGTTTTCCTTAGGAGGTGCTTAAATTTTTTCATCTACTGTCTATCTAAGTCTATCAGCGCGTTTGTTCTCCTATATGTTCATGTAGTCTGGAAACCAAAGCAAAGTTATGTCGTATCTACTTGCTACGTAGGTTTACTTCTCGTATTGGGAGGATATGGTAGATAAATCTAGCGCCCACTGAGAATATTGGTACGTAAGGCAATAAATTTGATGAACCCTGCTGTAAAGAAATTACATTACATTACTAATTCTAAATGTAAATTCAAGTGAGTATATAAATTCTAAGTTAATGTTTAATATTTTTACAGATAAACTTCGTTTTCAAAACAAGACCGGAATTGATATTGATGTATCTATTACAATAGGCCATAGTTTTACTATATGCAGTAGCGGGAAGAAAACTAATAAGATTACGAAATGTATTAAAAACTTGACCGAAACAGTGACCGATGTCGAATATTGTCCAAGTATTAAGCAAAAACGTAGATATAAGCAAAAGGGCAAGTTAATTTTTGAATATGACAATCATTATAAATCGGTAAGGATAATTTACATTATTCTAGATACACAAGTATATACAAATCTGAATATATCGTCAATGTAATAAGTTGTATCTATCATCATTAGAATAAATTAGTGATGGGAATACCGGTTCCACATTAGTCACGTTACAATAGCGACCGTTCCAGAAAAATATATATATTAATCGGTTTAAAACGTTCTACGTCTTCCGATGCCATCTCTCCATGCCTGTCTGTCTCCGAAAGATCTTTCCTCCATAAACGTGTCAATCCCTTCCTGCCAACTTCTTCTCGGTCTACCCGGTTTTCTTCTTCCTGCAGGTTTCCAGTTTATAATTTGTTTTGGGATTCTTATTTCTGCCATTCGTTGGAAATGCCCGTACCATATGAGTTGACTGTTCTTTATGTCGTCCACTATCGTATGTTTAACTTCCATAATCTCTCTTATGCGTTCATTAGTTATTCGCTCGAGTCTTGATTTGCCTGCTGATCTTCTCCAAAAATCCATCTCTGTAGCTTCCAGCATTCGTTTTGTTGTTTCCTTAATTGGCCAGACTTCACAGCTGTACGTGGTATGATGGTAGCTGTATACTCTTTATGATGGTATTGTATATTAGAGTTTTGTTCTTGTTGTTTATGCTTCTGTCCTACAGTATCCCATCCAATACCGTGATAGCATTCCTTCCAAGTTGGTTTCGTTCTTTAATTGCTGTATCCAACAGTCCATCATTTGTGATTTGCATACCCAAATATTTGTATTTTGTGCAGCACTTAATTTTCTTCCCTTCTTCTAGTATTAGATCTTGTTGTTCTCCTCCAATACACATATATTCTGTTTTGTTAGTATTGATCTCAAGTCCCCATTTCTGATATTCTTCTATAAGCTTACGTGTCATATAATTTATGTCATCGTAATCTTGTGCTATGATCACCTGATCGTCCGCGAAGCAAAGTGTGTAGAGCATATTATCCCCTATGGGTACTCCCATATTTCTACATTTTTGCTTCCAACCTTTAAGAACTTGTTCGAGATATATCTTGAACAGTGTTGGTGAAATACAGCACCCTTTTTTCAGACCTTTGGTTCCATTAAATCCTGTTGTTAACTTTTTGCCGACTTTTATTCTAATTTTTGTTTGTTTATATAATGATTTCACTGCTTTTATTAGCTTTACATTTATATTGGTTTTTTTCATAGCTTCCCAAAGTCTCACAAGGGGAACGCTGTCGTATGCCTTCTGCAGGTCCACGAATACAAGATGTAGCTCTTGGTTTATATTGCTCTTTTTACTTATTACTTGAGTGACTGTAAATAAGTGGTCCACCGTCGATCTTCCGGCTTTAAATCCTGCTTGTTCTTCGGCTTCTATTTCTTGGTATTCGTTTTCGATCCTATTTCTCCAAATTTTTCCATATATTCTACTCACGGTGGCTGTTACTGATATTCCCCTGTAGTTTTCGCACTTAGTACGATCTCCCTTTTTGTATATAGTTGAGAGGTAAGCCTCATTCCATTCTTGTGGTACATCCGTTCCGTTTATGCAGTCCTGGAATATTTTCCTTAAGTGTTCGTACAGTTTTTTCGGTCCCGATTTAATTAACTCTGCCGGTATATTTCCCGGTCCGGGTGCTTTACGATTTTTTAGTGAGGTACATGCCTTAATTACTTCGTCCATTGATATTCTAATCGGGGATCCCATTGTTCTTATATTTGTCGTCACGTCAGGGTAGTCCATAAATTCGACTCTATTTTCCGTCATAAGATTTTCCATGTATTCTTCCCATTTTTGTGGTGTAATCGGGGAGATGATTTCTTTGCCTTTTCCCTTTCTGCCATTTTTTTCAGAAAAATACCGCGACAAAACACTGCGATTTTGTAACCGACGTTCCGACTTCTAAACTGTCGCGGTCCTCTAAAAATATATCTAACTTATCTATATTTGTAGATTAATGTAACTTTTATCCGCCACTCATTTTCCAAATATCGAGTTTATAATTGTGTATAAGGGTATAGCCAACCTATCTCATTTTTAGAAAAACGATGACATTCCTTGTTATTTTCCATCAATTTTCGTTTAAATAAAATCAACAGCTCATATTTATGTGTATTGCAATATAATATATTTAATGTTAAAATCAGGAACAAAGTCCAAACCACTGTCAAAAAAAATATTTATTGGCCTAACCTAACCTTAAAAATAGATATAAACAATAAAACTTATAATAGCGACGGGAGCACCAACGCCAATAGTAACCGACCAAATCGCGACAGGCAAAACCGGAACCCTAGAAGCGCTCCAGCGACTGCTGGAATGAAGTACGTTGCCGCCGAGGTCGAGCGTCGATAGCTAGTTACAGCAGGGACCAGTTAGTTCTGTTCGCGACAGACGGAACTACGGCTCTAGGAGCGCGACGACTGGAGCGAAGTTACGCCGCCGCCGCCGAGGTCGAGCGTCGATAATCAGTTATAGCAGTTACCATCGCGACAGGCAAAATCGAAACCCTAGAAGCGCTCCAGCGACTGCTGGAACTAATTAGGTCGCCGCCGAGGTCGAGCGTCGATAGCTACTTACAGCAGGGACCAGTTACTTCTGTTCGCGACAGGCGCAGGTGGAACTACGGCTCTAGGAGCGCGACGGCTGGAGCTAAACACGTCGCTATGCGGTTACTACGGTTCCAACTAACTTCAAGAGTGATTATAAATAATTTATTTGCAATTATAAATAATTTATAATTTTGTCGTCATTCTGATCGTCGTTCTTCAGTAACAGGTTCCTGATCCGTTGTGGAGCGCGACCCGACGGGACGTTACAAAAAAATACCGCTCCGAAATCGCGTTACTCAAATACCGACACATCACTAGAATAAATGCGTTGATTTTAGACCTAAATGCGAAAAATATATAAAATGATTTCTGAAAATAAAAAAATTCCGACCACAGCGCTCGATACGGCAGAAATTAGAAGTTTTCGGCTGTGTATTTCAAGCAGTTCCGATGTTGATCGCATTGAAATAATATTAAAATCGTGGATTTGTCATAATATTTAAATATTTTAGTTTTTTACTAGTGCAGTTATTGAAATTATTAAACACTCAGATACGAGGTTTGTGTGATGTAACGATGTTTCGGGTAGTAAAAATTAAGTGAAAAAGAACCCAAACTGGGCGTCGCTTTGTGTTGTGACAATTTCAAATTTTAATAAAATTCTCGAAAAAATTTTAACACGTTAAAGGAGGGCGTAGTTTCGTGGTTGTTGGGTGCAATAACATTCAATAACTCAACTTTCCCGGATATTCAACTCTCCCGAAACAACATTTTATAGCTCTACAAAGCAAGTGTTAAGCTTAATTACGTGACTAAAATTTTATTTGATATGAACTATAGGTATATACAGGGTGGCTTCTCTCATACGCCGCGGAGGCTCCAAGGAGAACGACAGTTTGTATTGATATGGAATTTTGTGAGCTTAATTAAGAGTTCTACAGGGTGTCCCCAAAAAAAGTTTATCAAGGTTGTGTTTTTTGTAACACCCTATATATTAATTGATTTTCGGATTCTGGGAAAAAATAAAGGTGAGTTTTATAAGAGAAGTATATGACTAAAATATCAGGTTTTTAACATATTTAACATTTTCTAGAAATAAAGAACAATTTTTAAATTACAATAAAATCTACCTAAATTGGAATTTACCCGGTATAGTCTAATATGTATATCTAATGTCTCTTTTATTTTAAACGGATCACCCAGTATATTATTCCGATATTCAATGGAGAATTCATGTCTCTTCAAAATATTAGTGAGGTTGCCTACCCCTTAAACAAAGACTTTCCTAGATAATTTTATTTGCATGATTTGATCTGGGTAGATCTTTACTATTTGATAAAATCTAGGGGGTGGCTGTGATATGTCTGACGTTACTCCAACATAGCTGTCTAATTAGTCCAACTTTAATAACTAGTTATCATTTTGTGTCAGTTAAAACAAAACAAATTCTCAGAAATTTACCGAAAATGCAAACTTACATCATCTTATCAGAGAGAATTGATATGATTCTATTAGTTGGTGAATGCAGAGCGCATATACCATTAATAGAATACTTAAATGCTCCTGATTTTATCTAGTCTGTTTTTTTATGGGGATATATTAAAGACAGTGTTTAAAAAACTCGACCAACTATTGTCGACAACATCAGAGAAATGATTGCAGCTGCTTTTCGAGGTAGAACTTTTTAAAATGAAAAGATCCTTTTGAAAAGACACTCATTTTATACAGTTAACAGAGAAGGAAGCATTTTGAGTATTTGAGCTTCATCATCTAGCTAAGTTTTGTCACATAATTATAGGTTTATATCTAGTTTTAATTGTGTAATAATTAAAATACATTTTAAACGTGTATCTTTCTATTACCGTTGAGTATTTTACTCTACAATCTTTAATTTTTGTTAAATTAACAAAAGGTATATGACAGCCACCCTAGATTTCTTCAAATAATAAAGATCTACTGACGCAAAATCATAAAAATTAAAATATCTAGGAAAATCTTTGTCTGAGGGGTAGGCACCTTAATAATATTTTGAAGATATATAAATTCCCCATCGAACACCAGAATAATATACTGGCTGTTCATTTAAAATAAAGGAGTAACTTTTTTTTAAAAGTGATAATGTTCCATATTAATTTTGTCTCACCTTGGTTTAACATACAATGGTTACTGTAATTAAATATCAGGCTATACAAGGTCAACTAAAATTTAGGGAGGCTGTTATCGAAATTTAAAATTTACTCTTAATTTTTACAAAATGTGAAATATGTCAAAATCCTTAGATTTTAGGTATATGCTTCTTTAATAAAACTCACCTTTATTTTTTTCCTAGAATCCGAAAATCAATTTATATATAAGATAGAAAACAAATTTCTTGTATAGGTATATAATAAAATTATATAAGGATTCTTGCCACTTAACTGCTTATATAGAAATTTAATTCTACGCTGTGTCTGTCATGATACGAAAGTACTACCATTGCACGCAGGCCGCTATCTCCCGTTCGGGACTTAATATCTAACCGACACTTTTCGACAAGTCGGAATTAACTATCTCTGCGCTGTGGTTGTCATTTTGTGGATCTGCCCAAGCTCACCTGATGACGGAGTAGGGCTCCGAAACCGGTAGTAAGAGCAAGTTGATCCACATTATGACAGACACAGCGTAGAATTAAATTTCTATATAAGCAGTTAAGTGGCAAGAATCCTTATATAATTTTATTTTATATATAAGGTGTTCCATTAGAAAAAACAAAACTTTGATGTGTAACTTTTTTTGTGGACACCCTGTATAATTCTATATATTTTTATAAAATTCTTTCAGTTAACCTACAGATGCTGCCAAAATTTCATTTCGATATAAACTACCGTTCTCCTTGGAGCTCCCTCGGCCTATTAGGGGCGCCACCCTGTATTATAAAAAACTTTTATTTTACGAACATTTTTTATTCAAGGATGTCATTAATCTACATGGAGAGGTGATGTTTCCCACGGTGAATTTATACCCAGATTCTTTAGATTTCCAATGCATACCACTAGGATCATCAAGCTACAAACTGGTTGTAATAAAAAATATCAGTTGTCTAACGGTGAACTTTAAATGGTACTGGTCGGAAAATATTTTCTCTGCAAAGAATATTAAACCGGATGAGGTAACAAAAACATTTTATTTCGAAAAATTAATGAACTTCTAATAATATATAATTCTAAAGCATGGCGATGAAATGTGCGTTAATTTTAATACTGAAGAGAACCTTCGAACTAAACCTTGGTTTTATACCGAAAATAAAATCTGTGATATTGTTCCAATGGAAGATGTGGAAAGATGCTCTCAAATCACGGAACCATCTTTATTAAATCAAGCTATTTATCGTAGTGAAATGTATAAAGAAGAAATGAAGGAAATTTTATTTCCACTGTTGAGTAGTGTAGAAGTAGAAGAATCCAATCTGTTTGATATGTCCTTTAAAACTTGCAACAGCCACGACATTACCAAATGGTTAAGTATAGAACCTAGTGAAGGTAAAACATAACGCCCAAACAAGGATCCATAAACTAAAAAGGTTGCTTGATAACTATTTATGGCCACCGGATGCTATATATTATAAACTTGCCGACCTAACTAATAGTATAGTAATAACTAACTAGTATAACTAACTAGTATTAGTAATAACTAATAACTTCTCTATAAGGCTCTATAATTAAAAAAAATTAAGCATTAATAAAGTTAAATTCACTCCAGGTTGTAACCACTTTTCCGACATACTGTTTTTAACCAAAATTTCAGTAAATAAAAAAAGCATGGCAACACTGCATAGTTCTTCAAATAAAAATAACGCAATATACAGTACGTCTTTCCGTTCTGTAGCTCCGGGGTATCCGTGAGAGTGGAAACGATATTCTCTCGATGTTTTTCGTAAAAAATTAGACGACGCGTCCCATCAATAAAAATTCGACAAATTTGCAAGTAGCTAATAAAATTAGTGGGCGGAGCGATTTGCGGTGACGTACTCGTCAAGTCGACCTATAAAGCCGGCATCCCACGACGCGGGACTTGGCGAATTTCGGCTTGGCAAGTCAGTTCGCCAAGTGGCGATCCAGCAAGCGTGGTTGTTTCCCACGGCGCGGTGCGTGGCGAGTGCAAATTTGCGCGCCACCGTCGACTGGACTTGTCAAGTTGCATAGTAGTGAAAACAGTGCAGTGTATATTTGTTTGTGGCAGTGTGTAGTCAACATGGTTGCCATCAGTTATGCTTCTTTCTTCTATTTAAGTTCCGCCACCGTGCATTTGACACTTAAATTAGTTTCAATTATTTTCCAACTATCATGAACAATATTTCTATTTTTGTGGCTTGGGTCCTTTGGATTCCAAATTGCTGGTTCACCTGCGTAAAGTTCCAAAAATTCTATAACCAGTTCATTTGACCACCCCATTCTTCAAAAAATAAATAAATGAGAAACTTAATTTGCAAAAAATACACCTATCTCAACGATTATTCTCCGACGATATGAAGAACGCTACTGAGACTGCTAAACATTTTTGTTTAATACAAGCCTACGTGGGAATGGTAGGAAATGATTCAACAAGTTCAGACAACTCAAGCCTGCGATGCTCGTTCATCCTTTGACTTGTACCACATTTACCGACAACTGACCGGAAGACCGCGCCGAGCCGAGCCGCTCGTCGCATCGACGAGTGCTCTCACTTCCACGACGCGTGGCTCGGCAAATGGCGCGCCAAACTCGCCAAGTCCCACGTCGTGGGATACCGGCTTAAAATATATTGCTGTTTATTTAAATGTTTTTTGTCCGCATTCCTTTCATAGACACAGATCCAGCAGATGTACTACACTCAGATGCAAAAAAAACGCAACGGAGAAAATTTTGGTTAAATTTAAAGTGATATATTTTTGTTATTTTTAGCCCTATTTTCATGAGTTTTTTAGGCAAGCTGTATATAATTATATCAACTTTAATTCGTAAAATAAGTGTTTTATAAACTTTAGTATTTGGCACATTATACAGGGTTAATAGAGAGGTTGTTTTTTTTACCTTAACTTTAAAACACCCTGTACAATAATTTCGTGTGTAAATTTTCCTAAAAATAATTTTGCGGTGAGAACCATGACTCTTGAGCATTTTATTTTTTGATTCATGTCAATAAATGCTTTGGTTAATTAAAAGCGAAATAAACTGACCACGACCAATTTGCAATTTTTTCAATTATTATTACTTTTTGATGTAATTTTTTAATATGACGAGATGGTTTACGCTGCATTGGATACTCTATACTAAATTTAAAAAAAACGTGAAAGACTAAAGATACAGTCCTGGTTTTAATAAACATTCATAACGATAACAGAACTAACGATATTAAAGAAAACATCTGTAATACTCAAGCATACAAACAAAAAAAAATTGTAAAAAATACCCTAATACTTGTCTCCCTTAGCTGCTACAACTGCATGTATACGTCCGTTCATACTGTCATTGAGGCAGCATACATCATATTGCGTTATGGTTTTCCATTATTCTTTAAGAACCAAGCGAAGTTCGTTTAATAAAGCTGCTACCGCTTCGCGACCTCTAAACCTCCTTCCAAGCATTTCCCAAACGTCGAACATGATGCGTAGTTCATAGTAGTATATAGTTTACAATAATCACCAAAGCCGCCTTGTCATATTGAAAAATAACTTCAATAAATGGTAATTGAAAAAATTGCAAATTGTTGGTGGCAAGTTTATTTCGCTCTTAAAAATTAACCAAGGCATGTATTGACATGATTCAAAAAACAAAATGCTCAGGACACACTGTTCTGACCGTTACATTATATTTTAGGAAAAGTTACACACGAAGTTATTGTACAGGGTGTTTTAAAGTTAAGGTAAAAATACAACCTCTCGTTTAACCCTGTATAATATGCCAAATACTAAAGTTTATAAAAAACTTAGTTTACTAATTAAAGTTGATGTAATTATATACAGCTTGTTATAAAATTTATGAAAATATAGCTAAAAATAAAAATATAAGCAACACTTTAAATTTGACAAAAAAAAACTCTGTTGCGTTTTTTTGCATCTGAGTGTATATAGAATTTTAAGCTGAATCTAATTCTGAATTATAGTCGAATCTTTCGATATGATTCGACTGCTAGATCTGCTAGTAATAATTGTTAGAATTGAAGACATGAGTAGATAAAGGTGTCATGTCGATTTTTTTTAAAAATAAGTTTTATCCAGTATTTCAACATCACTTTGACAGATCTGTCCTCCAATAGACTCTAAATATCAAATATAAATACCATAAAGAATATCCTAGATGATAAAGGTGTCATGTCACATACACCATCAATAATTTTTAGGCTTTAACTTTAAAAATGCGACATGACGTCTTTTTCCACTCATGTCTTCAATTATAGTCATAAAATGTACATGTTATTTCAACAGTGAGACCACCCTTCGATCTCCTATAACCGAAAAATTCGATAAATTCAATGAAGCACTCCTTTCAATAATATAACCTAGTTATCAGATAACCTTTTTAGAATAGACATTCTCTAATGTATAAATTTCTAAATTATAAGTTTGCTCTAAACGGACCAAAAATCTTTCAATGTAAAAATTCAAATTAAGTAATATTATATAAACTTATCCGCTAGCTAAATCATGTTTGTATGCTAACTAAATAATCTTTGCTTTGCATATTATAGTCCAAGATTCCAGAGCGATCAGACATAACTTATTTTCACAAGGATGAAATCTTAGGTTTCCAGTAATACTCTCATGATACAATTTTTTTAGAATTTAGAATGAGTGGGAGGGGGGTTAATCACTTCGACCTTACAGATCCATTGTGTCCCCCTTTCTTGAATCATAACTCATCATACAGTCCCAGGGCTTTGACAAAAGCCAGTATCTGGGACGGTTTTATAGAGGGTAGTTCTCCATCTCCAATATCAGTCGTACCAAAATTCATGGCACGAATGGTTGTCGTCTCGGCGCACTCAGTGATGAGGTGTACTGGTGTTTCACCATCTTCCCCACAGAATCTGCATTCGCCGTTTCTTCTTAGTTTCAATCTACTGAGGTGTTCATTGAGGAGACAGTGTCCTGTTAAAACCCCGTGACAATCCGAAGATTGTTCTTACTCAGACCTAGGAAGATCTGTGATTTTTATTGATCATAAGCCCTCAGAAACTTCTTCGAGTGTCCTAGACCATTGCAAGATTTCCATTCCAGGTTGCGGATGGAATCTTCCAAGTTCTTGAGTTCCTCCTTGAGTTGGTTACCACTTGGAAAGCAGAACGGTTCTGGTCCAGTTAGTGGAGTGTTCGCTCCTTTTCTACCTAGATTATTTGCTTTTTCATTGCCTTTTATCCCTTGGTGAGCAGGCACCCAGTGTAGGAGGACTTTGTTTTCTTTGCCTAATTTATTCAGCTTCTCTATGTATTCTTTGACCAATTTCGAATTGATTGAGACTGAGTTGATCGCCTTTAACGCTGCTTGACTATCAGATAAGATGGCTATTTCTTGTTTCCGATAGTTCCTATCTAAGATAAGTTGTACGCATCTCTCGATAGCGTAGATTTCTGCCTGTAGGATACTAGGGTAAGTGCCCATTGGTTCGGAGTAATTAGCTCTCGGCCCAAACACTCGATCCCTGTTCCCGTATTGGTTTTGGAAGCATCAGTATACCAAGTTATGGTATGGTCTTTTTAACTGCTGGGCAAGCGTTTCGCTCTTCCAATCCTTCTTATTGCTCAATACTACATTGACATGTTTGTCAAAGTTGTACGTTCTTGGCATATCGTCCACTGGGAGTTGCAGGAGTGGTATTTCCTTTTTGAGGGTGTTCCAAGTCCCTGATCTGACAATTCTCCCAGTACTAATTCCGTTAGTGACCATTCTAATCATTGTCGCATTGGCATATCTACCAATGACAATGTGCAGTGGTGTTAGATCTAGAATGACCTCTATTGCTGCTGTTGGACAGGTTCTCATGGCTCCTGTGATGCACACACATGCTAGTCTCTGGACTTTGCATAGGTTTAGCCTTGCCGTCCGTTGCTCTAGTTTTGTGTACCAGGCAACTGCTCCATAAGTAATCATGGGTGTTACTATCATGGTATACATCCAGCGCAAAATGTTAGGGGAACAGCCCCATCTATTTCCGGCCAGTCTTCTGCATATCATGAGAGCCTTTATGGCTTTGCTGGTAGTGTTCTTAATATGCCTGTTCCACAGGAGTTTACTGTCCAGGGTTATTCCCAGGTATTTAACTTCCTGTGTTGGCAGTATTTCCTTTCCATCTAGTTTTCTTTCAAGTTTTAGATTCTTTTCAAGTTTTTAAGACTTCGCCTTCTGGTGAATGGCACTATCGCGGTTTTGTCTGAGTTGATACTCAGCCCTACAGTCCTACACCATCTCTCAGTGATACGGAGTCCTCTTTGGATAATATCACACAAGGTGCCTTCATGTTTCCCCCGAGCGATCATGACTATGTCATCTGCATACCCAATGCAGTGTATTCCCGCTAGAGTTAATTCATCTAGTAGTTCATCGACCACCAAGCTCCACAGCAAAGGGGAGGTTACTCCACCTTGTGGAGTTCCTTGCGTTGTTTGAGTTCCTTGCGTTGTGTTGCGTTGAACAGCTACAGTTTTGGTGCCCATCTGAGCCTCTGCTGTTCGTGTTGACAGCATTTCCCAAAACCAGCGAATAATAGTTCTGTTCACCCCTCTTGTTTCTAGAGATCGCCTGACCTCCTTATGTGGTATATTGTCAAACGCCCCCGCAATATCCAAGAAGGCACAAATTGCTGTTTCTTTGCTATCCAGACTTGTCTGTATTAGCTCCGTTAATTGGTACAGAGCAGTTTCTGTGGATCTGCCCGTTCTATATGCATGCTGACTATCATGCAGTGGTTTAACCTTTAGATGATTTTCTCCATTATGGTTGTCAACTACTTTCTCCAGCGTTTTTAGTATGAACGATGTGAGACTAATAGGCCTAAATGACTTGGGATTTGTCCAGTCAGTTTTGCCTATTTTGGGTATGAAGATTACTTTTGCTCTTCTCCATGTGGTTGGTATATCGCTAGACTGCTTCTTGTAATGCTTAGTAGATGGTGAGTAGCTATTTGCTGACCCTCCTTTAGAAGGGCAGGAAAGATCCCATCCACTCCTGCTGCTTTATAGGGCTGAAAGGTGTCGATCGCCCATTTCAGCTTTTGTTCTGTTATTACTAGCTTGGCCACTTCCCAATCTTCCCTGCAAGGATTGTGGGGTTCAGTGGGAGCTACATAAGTATCAATAGGTATGCTACCTGGAAAGTGTGTATAAAGTAGGAGATTTGCTCTCTCTTCCTCTCCCTCCGTGTAGCTTCCGTCAGATTCTTAAGTGCCATGTTGGGGATAGATCCACTCTTGGCCATAGCTTTGTGTAATCTAGCTGCATCAGGAGTAGGAGTGATGTTTTCGCAAAAGGATCTAAAGTCAGACCGGTTTGCCTTCTTATCTCCTTTTATACTCAGTTAATTTCTCGCTGTAGAGCTGCCATTCGCCACTGGATTTAGCTCTATTAAAGAGTCGTCGGACCTCCGATCTAAGATTGGCCAACTTCTTGTTCCACCAGGGCTTGTTGTTACTTTTTTGTATGCCTTTACTTGCGGGGCAACTAGATTCGTATGCATCCAATATTGCACCGCTAACTTCCCTTGCATACCATTCTAGATGCAGATGGTTTCTGGCCCTACTTGCATCTATACTGTTTAGGTTGTCTACGAGATTGGTGTTATATATGTCCCAGTCTGTTTTTCTTGGATTCCTTCGAGTTTCTGTTTGGAGTGTGATTCCTCCTAATTTGAACTCGATGATTCTGTGATCTGATAGGGAGGGTTCCGTTGAGACCCTCCAGTATTTCACGTAACTGATTACACTAGCACTCCCGATTGTTAAATCTAATACTTCTGCCCGCTTTTTTGTCACGAACGTGAGGCTGTTCCCTACATTGAGTACTTCAAGATTGTATGCTAAGAGGAATTCAAGTAAACACTCACCTCTAGTGTTAGTGTTAGTGCTTCCCCATACCTCATTGTGTGTATTGGAGTCGCATCCCAATAGCAGAGGTAGTCGCCGTTGGCTGCAGAATCGCACGAGCTCCCGTACCTCCGGAGGCGGTGCCTCCCCGTCACCCGGAAAGTAAGCAGAGGCAATCACGATGTTTTTACTGCAATCCTCGATAATAAGCTGAACCATGATAGGAACAAGATCTCGGGTTGTAAATTCTGAAACACATGTGTAGTTAATGTCCTTTCTTATAAGAATACAGGCTCGGGGAAATTCCTACCTGTTATCATATATTACCTTTGAATTTTTTCCAGACAAACCTCTAATTTGTCCCTGATACACCCAGGGTTCCTGGGCTAGTACCATTGCATAATGATGTTTCTCAAAGAGTCTTGCTATTATAGCGGAAGACTCTTTTGCATGGTGCAGGTTTATTTGGGATATCCCATGCATGGGGGGAAGGAAGAAAGGATAAGTTCGGGGTGGGAAGAGGGGCTGGAGTAGGACTTTGGACCTGGTTTAGGTTACTGGGGTGTGTGAGGATTCTCCCGTTGTAGAGGGGATAGGGTATTCCTCATCTTCCTCTGACAACGGAAGTTCCTCCTCCGAGAAGTGGCCATCAACCTTCTCCGAGGATATACACCCTTCCACGGTTGGGGTTTGGCCCTCCGTGCCCTTCACAGTCGATGAGCTAGTCTTCGGCTGAGGTAACTGTGAGGTAGAGGCTGGAGGATCTGTCTCCATTTTCTCTACCTGTTTAGCTTGGTCTCTTCTTAGGCCTGATACCGGTGTTGTCCCGAATCTATAGTAAAGAGTGTATCCCTCTTTCTCTATTGCCTCCTTGGATTTGAGGTCAATTCCTATTGTGAGGACTTGGCCGTGGCCCTCCTCCCTCGAGTTGATGATTCGCCGACACGATGTCCTTACATCGGAGTTCTGACCCTGGATAAGGTTCAGCAGGTAGGTGGTGTCTTTCCCTTTGCTCCTCGGCAAAAAGACCGTGATGGTCGCCTCCTTAGGGATGTTTTCTCCCTTCAGAGCAACCAGTCCTGGCCCCTGCCAATTCTTAAGTTTAGGTGCCGTTTCTATCAACCAATCCGCCGATTCTGTAGATACACAGTCTATGAGGAGCATGCCCACCCGAAAGTGAATCCCCGCAAATCGCATTTGACCCACATTTTGTCCGTCGTTGTGTTGCTCTCCAATCGCCACTACTTCGTCCAGTATCGCCTCTTCTAGAGCCGTTTGCTGGTCGGTGGTCAGTACAACCTCTGGGTAATCCTGGTAGCACTGCCATTTTCACTTTTCCAGCAATAGAGGCAAAGCTGGTGATATGTCCCTGCTTGCCTCTCGGTGTTGGACGTCTTTCCATCCTGGCTTTTTTCTCTTCTTGCCGGAGCAGAGGTGAAAGGTTTTCGCTCCCTCTTTTGCCCTTTGGTGGAGATGCGCCGGCCTGTTTCTTGGTTCCTTTACCCTCCCCTCTATGGAGGAGTACTTTCCGTTTTGCTTCCTCTGGAGCAAGTCCTGCGTGGAGCAGTTGCCCTTCTTATCTCCTTCTTATACTCAGTTAATTTCTCGCTGTAGAGCTGCCATTCGCCACTGGATTTAGCTCTATTAAAGAGTCGTCGGACCTCCGATCTAAGTTTGGCCAACTTCTTCTTCCACCAGGGCTTGTTGTTACTTTTTTGTATGCCTTTACTTGCGGGGCATCTAGATTCATATGCATCCAATATTGCACCGCTGACTTCCCTTGCGTACCATTCTAGATGCAGATGGTTTCTGGCCCTACTTGTATCTATACGGTTTAGGTTGTCTACGAGGTTGGTGTTATACATGTCCCAGTCTGTTTTTCTTGGATTCCTTCGAGTTTCTGTTTGGGGTGTGATTCCTCCTAATTTGAACTCGATGATTCTGTGATCTGATAGGGAGGGTTTCGTTGGGACCCTCTATTGTTTCAAGTAACTGATTACACCAGCACTCCCGATTGTTAAATCTAACACTTCTGCCCGCGTTTTTGTCACAAACGTGGGGCTGTTCCCTACATTGAGAACTTCAAGATTGCATGCTAAGAGGAATTCAAGTAAACACTCACCTCTAGTGTTAGTGTTAGTGCTTCCCCATACCTCATTGTGTGTATTGGAGTCGCATCCCAATAGCAGAGGTAGTTGCCGTTGGCTGCAGAATCGCACGAGCTCCCGTACCTCCGGAGGCGGTGCCTCCCCGTCACCCGGAAAGTAAGCAGAGGCAATCACGATGTTTTTACTGCAATTCTCGATAATAAGCTGAACCATGATAGGAACAAGATCTCGGGTTGTAAATTCTGAAACACATGTGTAGTTAATGTCCTTTCTTATAAGAATACAGGCTCGGGGAAATTCCTACCTGTTATCATATATTACCTTTGAATTTTTTCCAGACAAACCTCTAATTTGTCCCTGATACACCCAGGGTTCCTGGGCTAGTACCATTGCATAATGATGTTTCTCAAAGAGTCTTGCTATTATAGCGGAAGACTCTTTTGCATGGTGCAGGTTTATTTGGGATATCCCATGCATGGGGGGAAGGAAGAAAGGATAAGTTCGGGGTGGGAAGAGGGGCTGGAGTAGGACTTTGGACCTGGTTTAGGTTACTGGGGTGTGTGAGGATTCTCCCGTTGTAGAGGGGATAGGGTATTCCTCATCTTCCTCTGACAACGGAAGTTCCTCCTCCGAGAAGTGGCCATCAACCTTCTCCGAGGATATACACCCTTCCACGGTTGGGGTTTGGCCCTCCGTGCCCTTCACAGTCGATGAGCTAGTCTTCGGCTGAGGTAACTGTGAGGTAGAGGCTGGAGGATCTGTCTCCATTTTCTCTACCTGTTTAGCTTGGTCTCTTCTTAGGCCTGATACCGGTGTTGTCCCGAATCTATAGTAAAGAGTGTATCCCTCTTTCTCTATTGCCTCCTTGGATTTGAGGTCAATTCCTATTGTGAGGACTTGGCCGTGGCCCTCCCTCCCCTCGAGTTGATGATTCGCCAACACGACGTCCTTACATCGGAGTTCTGACCCTGGATAAAGGTTCAGCAGGTAGGTGGTGTCTTTCCCTTTGCTCCTCGGCAAAAGACCGTGATGGTCGCCTTCTTAGGGATGTTTTTCTCCCTTCAGAGCAACCAGTCCCGGCCCCTGCCAATTCTTAATTTTAGGTGCCGTTTCTATCAACCAATCCGCCGATTCTGGAGATACACAGTCTATGAGGAGCATGCCCACCCGAAAGTGAATCCCCGCAAATCGCATTTGACCCATATTTTGTCCGTCGTTGTGTTGCTCTCCAATCGCCACTACTTCGTCCAGTATCGCCTCTTCTAGAGCCGTTTGCTGGTCGGTGGTCAGTACAACCTCTGGGTAATCCTTTGGTATCACTGCCATTTTCACTTGTCCAGCAATAGAGGCAAAGCTGGTGATATGTCCCTGCTTGCCTCTCGGTGTTGGACGTCTTTCCATCCTGGCTTTTTTCTCTTCTTGCCGGAGCAGAGGTGAAAGGTTTTCGCTCCCTCTTTTGCCCTTTGGTGGAGATGCGCCGGCCTGTTTCTTGGTTCCTTTACCCTCCCCTCTATGGAGGAGTACTTTCTCTTTTGCTTCCTCTGGAGCAAGTCCTGCGTGGAGCAGTCGGAGGTATCTCCGTGCTTCTGCTCCGCTAAGACCCACTCTCAGCGGATCGTCCAACCCGCCTGGTTGACCCAGGCCAGGTAGGCTAAACGGTAGTCTGTGTCGCCTGTTGTTGTCTCGACCCTTGCTAAAGGAGGTGGTAGCTTGAGTACCACTAGCGCAGGACGGTCCCGCGCAAGTGTCAGCCACCTCTCCTGTAGTTTTCTTTGGGGGGTTTGACCCCTTGGAACTTTCATTGTTCCTGTTCCCAGTGTCGCTAGGGGGTTTCCCCACAGCTTCTCCGGTGGTGTTTTTATTGTTATTACTGGATCTCATAGTGTTCCCACGAGTCGCTAGGGATAGTCAGTCCACTTCTACAGAGCCCCGCATGTAGAAGTAAGGGGTAAATACAATGGGGTGCCCCCTGATGCCCCAAGGTTGAGACCAGTAATGGCTAGTCCTCTATCTAGCCACGCATCCCTTTGACCTGGCCCCGCCATCGTAGGATTTAGGTTTTTGGTGAGGTTGTCTCCTCTTGGTCCAGGCGGTTAAGCCAAGACCCCCCACACCCTCTACCCGCGAGACATGACCACAGACAGTAGAAGGTGCCTGGTTTAATTGTCTTGGTGCAATTCCCTGGCCACTACAGCCAGAGACAAGACAATGAGTGAGATGCTTCTTGGACCGAGCCAAAGTGCTAGAGGAGATTCTGCCAGCACCTGACAAGGAGCTTCCCCACCAACGACAAGGTCTTGCATCTCCTAGGGGAAGCTCATGATACAAAGAATACAAGGTATGATATTGTGCAGGTTGGTCACTACGTCACAGGTGATAACAGGCACCATTGGTCGGCAAGCTCCGCGCGCCAATTTTAAATTGTCAAACAGATGACAATAAATGTGAAAATAATTTTTCAAATGTCAAGCTCGATGATTTGCCGTGATGATTTGACATAACTTTTGGGGTTATATCCATTGCCTGGAAACTTATATGGTGAAATTTTGATAAAATAATTTAGTACTCACTAAAAACACGGTATGTCGCTAGTGGTAGGAAAAATAATTTTTAGAGGTTACTAGTTTATTTGGTTGCCTGTGATATGCATATACAGGGTGTTTCCTAATTAATCTAAAAAATAAAAAATCGTTAGAAAACGGCTTAAGGCGGGCTCTTAATAAGTATATTTATTTTTTTCTCGGCAACCGTTTGATGAACAACAAAAACTCAAAAGATCAATTGTGTTGAAAAAGGATGACCAGTCAAGAAAAAAATATATTTTCTTTAAAAAAGCAGTAGTGTACCATTTATTTTAAGCAAAATATCGATTTTTTTTAATTTTAACACCCTGTAGATCAGAAAGGAAGTACTTTAGACCCAATGGTTATATAAAAATTGTTTTAAGAACACATGAGGAATCACACCACAATTTCTTAGACTAATTAGAAAACACCCTGTATATTGTCAACTTGACAATGATTGTTGATAAATCAAAAAATACCTTTTCTGTGAAAAAAGCCCGATTTTCGCAGGAAAAATTTTGGTTTTTATTAAATTTGGGCCTGCGTCTGCAAATACCGGTATGTTTTTTAATATTCTATCTATCTAAATGTTAAATATCAGAGTCAGAAATAGTTTTATTATTTATTAACTGTAAAAATGGTATACTTATAAGTTTTATCAAATATTGTGATTTACTTTCTACCTTGTAGTCAAAATTTATATTTAATAAACTGTAAAATATATATATATTCTTATGTTTTATTAAAGTTATTCTGATATACTAATATATCAGTGTAGCTTTAAAACTAAATCCTTTGAAATCAAATATAAACATAAAAAATATTTACCGCAGAAAAGGCGAAGGCGCTGGGTTAAACGTAGTCTCTACTAAGAACACGGAGGGGCGCTTTGACCCAACATTTTACTATTAAGTTTCATATCTATCTGAATAGAAGATTATTTTCTTTTATCTATGGTTATATCCTAATTCTTCCCTAATTTAGGTCTTTTTTTATTAATGGCAATTGAACAATATGGATATTTTTTTGTATGGCATATGATGTCACAGGTGGTATGCGCAAACTTAACGAAATTGGAGCCGCTATCGATCATACCTTATTTTCTTTGTACCATGTAATACTCTCATGTGCTTTGAATACCCGCGTGTTTGTGGGGTTTGTCCTGTGACACCTTGGCAGATACCAGGTGAGAAAGGTAACTAAAAGAAATAAATGACCTTTACTTATTTTTACATGTCTGATTTTTACGTTTTTAAGTTATATTTAATCAGTCAGACAGATTGTAATGACCAAGTCAGACAGATTGTAATGACCTCTATTATTTAGCCGTGACTAATATGAGCGCGGGAGAACTATGCGCTTCACAGTAATGTAATTAAATATTTAAAAACTTACTGCTTCCGATTTAATATTTTTGCATCTCTATTTAAATAAGATGAGCTTTTTTATTAAAGTAATGATTAATAATTATTTAAGTAAATTAATTTATTGCATATAAACTACTCAAAACAATTGTTTAGAAAATATTTCATAATTATTATCGCATATTTTCTAAAAAATATATTAATTTGAAAAACAAGACACCTTGAATTCTCTGACTTACGTTTTTAAATAGTTTGGATACTGTAAGAGGAAATATTGGAAAAATGCAATACTTAGTCGGCGAACTATTTAGTTGCAGATTTGTAACCCATATAATTCTTATGGAGCCGTGCTCACATGCAATCCAATAGTCGATCGATCGGCTCCATAAGTATGTTTGTATTGTTTTCATTTTTACAACTAATTTTATTTAAATAGAGATGCAAAAATATTAAATCGAAAGCAGTAAGTAATTTCAAAACATTTAAATGCTTTACTTGGAAATGCATAGTTCTTCCGCGCTCATAATCACGGCTGAATAATTTTTGTGTTTAGAGGATGTTTGGTCATTACAATCTGTCTGACTGATTAAATATAACTTTATAATAGCTGTCTTAATAACATATGTAAAAATCAGACATGCAAAAATAACTTAAATTCGTTTATTTCTTTTAGTTACCTTTCTCACCTGGTATCTGCCAAGGTGTCGCAGGGCAAACCCCACAAACACGCCGGTATTCAAAGCACATGAGAGCACTACTGAGAGCCTAATGTTTCATCCTTGTGAAAATAAGTTATGTCTGGTCACTCTGGGATCTTACTATGTTAGTGTTTTATTCATTTACAAGTCTTGTAAAGCCGACGTCTACGCCTTTAAATCCTAGCAGTAATGAAGTCGTTTTATAACCGTGAATAACAAAAATATGTGGGTTAGGACAAACCTTAAAAAATATATTAACGATTCTACGGTTTCCCGAAATGTAGGCATTTTGGAACCATCTGAATACACTATAGTCACTGTTGGTTTTAATCCTCCACCTAATACAGAAGTAAGTGCCGGAGCTATATGCAAAGTTTATGGAGGAGAAGAAGAAATATTAAACATTACAGGAAAATCTTCAAAATTATCTTATATTCTGGATAAAACTGTCATAGATTATGGAAATCAGGTAAACAATAGCATACATTCGTTGACTGAAGAAATAAAAAGATGCGCAACCTTATGGGCGATTTCGTGGCACGAAACCTGTCTGAGATGTAGCTGACGATACCGGTCGCCGCTAGTCAACTTGTCCGAGAATTAGTTTAGCTCTGCGCCACTGCGCGTCTATAGTCGTTTGCAGCGCAGCGAATAAAGAATATTGTACCGTAGTTCTGCTTTCAATCGACAGAGTGGGTGGTTGTCGGAAACATTTAGTATAATAATATATGATTAAACAAAGAACATCGTCAGAATTGGCTTGAAAATGAAGATCGCTGTTGTATCATATGTAAAATATTATGGTAAATATCAATAGTCGTCATTTCCAAGCCAACTAAACCACTTTTTTCGATTATACGAAATATTCAGGACCTATAGAAAAAATTTTGTTTTTGTTGTTTAATCTAAGTTTAACACCGAATAAATTTTCAATATATAAACGCGGATTTTTCATCCAAAGATATTTTTGTCAAACGTATTACAGATATTACACATTTTAATATGGCAACACCGTCGCTTTCAGTTCCACGCCGTTTTCGATATGCCTTCGTTAGCCGAACTAGAGTTGCGTATCTTCCCAATTCTTTTAGGAAACGACACTCATCCTTGCATATGCATTAAAACTTTGGGTTTACATTTTTTGTTGGGAATTGAATGGTTCAGCCTGATAGAAATCTGCCATTAGATTTTGTACAGTTTACTTTATCTATATACATGCATACATACTACATACTGCCATTACTCGCTGACGAGTATTTGACACGCATCAGAAGATGGTCACGGAAGGCGTTTTCTTTCATGAGCTTTTCTGTGACTCAAAAGCTCGATACGTGATATTATCTGTCTACGGCACTCCGGACATTCAAAAATCTCATTGCTTTGTTGCCTCTTTACTTTTTGATTGTCGCTGTTAACTGAGTTTATAATTCTTCTCCATTCCATTCTATTGTGAGCTGCTTCTTCCCACTCTTCATTCTGCTTGTTAATCCCCTTTAAGTTTTCGTGGAAAATATTCTTGTACCTTTTGAGTTGTCCACCCGGCCTCCTCTTACCGTCTTCAAGCTCACAGTAAAGCAGAGATTTTGGTATGCGGTTTTCCTGCATTCTGCATACGTGACCAGCCCATCTTAAGCGGGACTTTGTAATCATGACTTCAATATTCTCGCAGTTAGCTTTTTCAAGGACCGATACGTTTCAGACATGATGGAACCATTTGATTCTTAAGAGTTGTCTAAGATGTCTCTGTTCCAACTTGTTTAATGAGCTCATGTGTCGGCGGTATGTGTCGGCACCCAGGTTTCGCTTCCATATAACATGGTGGGAATTATTATTGCTCGGTAAACTGCGAGTTTGGTTTTTGTGCTCAAGTTATGATTGTAGAAAACCCTGTCTTTTAATTTCCAGAATGCTCTTGAGACGCTGCTAATCTTGTGCTGAATTTCAGAGTCGATATTGGCCTTTTCCGAAATCAAACTGCCATCTATTAAAGCTTATCTTAAGGTTCTACGTTTTATTTTCATTCAGCGATTATCGAATCATTCTCTGAAAAACTTTTTCCTTGCCCATTCGTACAGTCGGTCTTTCACTAGTCCTTTATCAACGCTAAAGTTGTACAAACATATTTTAAACTCGAGTTCATGTGAACTGTGAAAAGCGCTGAACTCGGCAATTTTAGTTAGGTATATTTTTCTTGTAGTATAAGATTATAAGACGATTAAAAACCCAGTTTAAGCTTCGAAAACAGCTAGCGTAATTTTAATCGTCAAATTGAGTGTCGTCGGATCATAGATAAATGAAACAAGTTTAGATTGGAAAGTGCCCATAAGGACAATGTAAATACTACCGTATGATCGAATAAAAACGGCGTCAGCGATGGCTATGAAATGAAGATCGCTGTTATTTTGTATGTAAAATTAAATGGGGAATGTCATTGATGTTCATTTCCAAGCCAACTGGACTCCGTTTTTTTTCGATCATACGGTATTTGGTGCATTTCTTGCAACAGTCGCGATCCAAAGCTTTTGATAATTTCGGATCGGTTCGGCTTTTTCCGGAATTATGTCGCCAAATATTATTTATTCAAATTTATTATTATTTCCTTTTAATTTTATAAATAAAATACAGTGTGTTGCATACAAGAAACTTTATTTTATATAAGGACATGTCATGTGAAATACCTATGAAACATTGGAAACCGACGTTATGCCACGATCCACGATGGTTTTTGCAGTTCACAGTTCACAACACATTTTCTTAGTTTTTAATGCCACTTTTTCATCATTATCACGGGTTTGAGTAAATAAAATTTAAATTAAACTCACAATATAGAAATAATTACTTTGAAAATGGACGCTTTAAACACTTAGTATATTTTTTCAATGAGGGCGGTTTAAATTTTGAAAGACTTTATAATTTTTGAAGATTCTGATTTTGACAAGAGAAAATTATTTCTGTTATTGTTTGGCGGTTGTTCTTAGAAACCGCTATAGCAGCGCCAGATCGCGTACAACGGTCGCGACCCAAAGAAAATATATATTTTGACGAGCTTTCCAATCTAAATTTATTTCCTTTATCTATGCGTCGGATTGAGCAATTTTTGAACCTAACCTAAAGTTCTTTTGTAGATATTCTGTGAAATATGTGTTCAAGAGTTAAATTTAATAAACGACAGCCTGTGTTGTATAGAATTTAAGACAAGTGGAGATGACTTGTGTTCATTTGAATGGGATCTATTTAACGTAGAACCTAAAACCGGAACTATAAGTGCAGGAGAGATTATTACATTTACTGTAAGATATTTTCCTGGAATACCTGGCTACTTTTCGAAAAAATTCGTATTAGAGGTTAAGCCATTCAAAACACAAAGTATAAATATTAAAACAGTCATATAATTTTAGCTAGGTTATCTGGAACAAGTTACTATTGATGTTTATGGTTACGCCGTCATGTGTCAAATATTTTTACATGCTCCCAGAGCATTGAACATAGACGACAGTGATTATTACAAAGCAATATCGTGGATAACACCTGAATACTTAGAAAGACTTCCACAAGATAATAATAATCCAGTTGAAGATGAACTTGTTGATTCAGCAGATTTCTTATATAATAATAACTGGACAGTAGTTTCGTATAACGTACGTGCCTGATAAAAAAAGATAATTTTGATTAAAAGATGCTATAATGTGATTCATAGTCAATTTTATAATCGTATATGTATACGGTTAGCCGTAAATTAGGATTTTTACATAAAGCTTCATTCAGAACCTCGTAATTAGTGGAATAAATTAGTGATTTCAATTACACTTTATACTTTTTAGTTTACGATCATTCACAATATTTAAAAAACAAAATTAAAATTAATAGAATATCCTAGCAACAGCTTGAGTTAGTCAGTTGTATCTATAGAGAAAGCCTAATATTTAGCTTATAAAATAATAAACTTTTGATTTCTAGCTACAATTTCTCTTGACGGAAGATAATCAAAGGCCAAAATGACATTTCTCGCAAATTTTGAAGTATAATTAGTAGAAAAGTAAAAAATTTGATAACTTTTTCTATTAATTGAAAATGTCTACCACTAATTTTGACCTTCTGAATGCTTACATTGAAATTAAAGGAACAAACTTCTACGCTAATTGAAACTACTAATGTATTCGACTAATTGCGATGTTCTGAATGAAGCTAAGGCATTTAAATTATTCCAATCTTTACTTGAATTGAAAAGCCCGGTAAAATCGGAAAAAGATTTGCCTCTTCAATTGAGAAGTAATAGTGTCTTTTTTATTTTAAATGGAACACCCAGTGTATTATTACAATTTTGAAAACTATCTTTTTTTATATTTTTTCTATTCTACATCTATATCTACTCCTACATATATTTAATCTAACTCTAACAGTTTTCCTGAAGTCCTGATTTCAGTATAATGAAAGTTGAAATTTGAATTATGGGTTAAGAAAGTCAGTATACTCGATCTTTCAAAAGTACCGATTGGATATCGTACAAGGAGATAAAAAATATATTCATAAAGGATTTATAAAAATAATGATGTTAAATTTATGATTTGCCTTGCTTATTCAGAATAATATTTTTTGTCAATTATATTTTATCTGTCTAGCCAATCTGTCTCTTTTAAATAAGTCAAAAACCAATAAGCTAAAAGTGTAAGAAGACATATTTGTCGGAACATATAACAACATTATTCTGTAGTGACGCTATAACCAAAATTGATATATTAGAACTCTGGAAGGTTAACTGTAGATGTTTTGCAAATGTTCCTGTAAATTTACTTTTACTCTTTGATATTCATAACTTGTATTTTTATGATTCGCCTTTCTTATTTTTACAAGCTTTAAAATTTTAATGTTTGTATGTTCTTACAATTTCACATTTTTAATATAGTATATTATAATACAGTATATAAACTCAGCGGCAAAAAAAACAGTTTTGCAGTTTTATATATGTATATAAATGTCATGATTAGAAAAACAAAATGCTCACAAAAGATAAGACTACAATGTGATTTGATTTAGCAATAGCTACTACAGCTGCTGCATCCTACAGGGTGTTACAAAGTTTGGGAAAAAACTTCGTCTTATTGTTGTGCCCTGTTGACGTAGCATCCGTTAGAAGGAATTAATTTACAATTTAAAAAAATCATCAAAATCTAATGAGTGGTTCGCGAGAAATCCAACTTTGAAATTGGGACTAGTTTTTAGTGGCCGGTTTTTTTTGCCAGTGAGTGTATTATGAATTTAAATCAAATAAATTAGGCTTTGTTAACTTTGTTTGCACTTAACAATAATTTGCCGGTGGTGTTTTACATTGAGAATTAATGTTAATTATAATTCAGAAAGATTGAAAAATATATTTCTAATTAAAGTAAATGTAATTATATAATTATAAAAAAATAGATATATGCTACCGAAACAACTCAGTAAATCTCATAAAATTAACATATCTTAATTATTTTTGACAGGTAATAATATAACATAACAAATACGTGAAACAAACATAACGTTTTAACTACATATAAACAAATTTCTTAATTGATTGGTTGACTCCTCGTTAACACATATTATGTGACTATTTACCAGTGATTCCATTTGTTTTTAGTTTAGTAAAGTAATTGTAAGATTCACAATAATTTCCCTATAATTCATGTCCTAATACAGACATACAATTTCCAGATTTACACACTGTGCATATAAACAATAAAGTCTACTAAAAATGATATGTATATTAACATTGATATACGTCAAACTCAAATTCAAATTTCATTGATAAATCAAACTAAAAAAAATCCAAATTTAATGTATTTCAAAATGGTTTCAGTATATAACGTAGCTTGTAAATTATAACTTATAGATTATAGATATTTAGGTAAATTATAAAATTATTTGATATTCATAACTTCTAGTTTTACGAGGCACCTTTCTTAGTTTTACAAGCTACTTAAATTATAAGTTGGTAGTCATCATCTTCATCATCATCATTTTCAGCTTATTTATCCATTTCCGATTATGGTTTAGCCTCCCTCACATACTCTCTTTGTAGTTGGGCCCATTGTTGTCTATTGTTGCCTATGCGGGCCCAAGTTATCCCTGTTAATTTCCTAATATCGCGGTCCCATCTAAGGTTCGGTCTTTCTCTAGGTCTTTTAGTTCCTTGTAGGTACCATGCTATAATTTTTGTGGTCCATCTGTTGTTCCTTCTTCTTGCCAGGCGTCCTGTCCATTGCCATTTGAGGGATTTGACTTTGTTGTTGACATCTATTACCTGGGTCCTTTGTCGAATCTATTCTATTTTTTACGGTCTTTCTTGGTTATTCCCAGCCTATTTCGTTCCATTGAGCGTTGTGCGATCTACAGTTTTCTTACGATGCCCGTTTTAAGTGTCCAGGTTTCGCATACATAGGTTGTGACTGGCAGTACACATTGGAAGAATATTTTCTTCTTTAGATAGAGTGACATTCTAGATTTGAATATGATCGAGTTTCTTCCATAAGTACTAAATGTTAACGTAATTCTTCTATTGATTTCTGGTAGTAGAGATCTGGAGCTGTGTATTAGTTGTCCTAAATATACAGGGTGATTCCTGTAAGTCGGTCATGCTTTCGAGGAATGATAGGTGACATCGTAATAATATTAATTTTGATATAGCACACTATAGGTCGGAAATGCCTCTTACGCAAGATACAGGATGTTAAAGTTTTTGAAAAATTAAAGATATTCTTTAATAGTTGACAGTCGAAGGTATCGTTATAAAATTTTATTATAGGAGTCTGCCTAATAGAAGAAAATTGCAAGAGACATTTTTTCTTGGAAATAAACCGAGTAAATAAAAAAACTCCGATATTTTTATTTTTATCAGTGGCGTACTATTTTTTTTGAAAATATTACCCGATGCGTATCACAGCTACGCCACTGGTTGAAACTGCAACCTTTTCTTTTTGCATTTAAAGTGTCTCTGTTAGGCAGACTCCTATAATAAAATTTTATAACGATACCTTCAACTGTTAAAAAACTATTAAAGAATATCTTTAATTTTTCGAAAACTTTAATACCCTGTATCTTGTGTAATAATATTAAAATTAATATTTCGATGTCCCCTATCATTCCTCGAAAGCATGACCGACTTACAGGAATGACCCTGTATATATTCTTCTACTATTTCCAGGGTTGTGTTATTTATTAGAATGTATTTTATTTCCACTAGTTCGTTGTACATTACTTTAGTATTTGCTAAATTCATTTTTTAAGACCCTCTTTATTGCTGGCTGTATTTAGTTCATTAATTTGTGGTTGTAGTTTATGACTATTTGCAATTAGGACTATGTCATCAGCGAATCTTAGATGGTTAAGATATTTTCCATCTATTTTTAATCCTTCGTTGGCCCATTCCAGTTGACGGAAGATCTCTTCTAATATTGCTGTAAACAGCTTTGGGGATATAGCGTATCCCTGTCGTACTCCTTTGCCAGCTGGGAACTCTGGGGTTGTTTGGTTTTATCATTACTCTAGCTTTGGCTTATCTGTATATATTGGTGAGAGTTTTTATATAAGGCCTTAGGATATAGGCTTAAGATATATCGAGTCAAAAGCCTTCTGAAAGCCTATGAAGGCTATGGTTAGTGGAAGTTCGTATTCTTTTGTTCGGCTGATAGTTTCTCTTAGTGTATCAATCGTGCTGAAGCCGCTTCTAAAGTCTGCTTGTTCTCGTGGTTGTGCAGCGTCTAGCGTGTTTTGTATTCTGTTGTTTATTATTTTTGTGAATATATTGTATTGTTATTGTTGTTACTGGTAGTAGGCTTATTGGTCTATAGTTACTTATGTCTTCTTTGGTGCCTTTCTTATGAATTATGTTGGCGCTATTCCAGTCTTGTGGTATATGTTTTCTCCTTAGACAACTTAGACAGTTGGTAGAATATTCTTACAAATTTAAATTAAAAGAATACGTCAATTAATCCTAATTGATGTCCTATACGAACATACTAAATCTCGTTTTTTTATCTGAAAAAATCAAAAAGCTATAGAGGTGAGCCACTTTTCAGACGCACCCGGTATAAACAATAAAATAATATTAGTAAAACATATTTAGTATAAACATGGAGAAAGTACACCAAACTCAAATTTAAAGCAAAAATTCAAATTTATCAAGAGAAACGAAACCAAAATTGCTAAAAAAGGTATTTCAAAATGGTTTCAATGGCGTATAGAAAAATACAATATATAATTTATTTCTTACGGAAGATGTACCCAATAATCAATAATTATACTTAAAAAACAAATCTCTATTTTTTAAAATATTTTTAATTAAATAACATATTTTAGGATACTTATCCCAGCTTAATGGACATAGACCTGGCAGCAGAAAGGATAATCACGTACAACTTTGTCTCTAAAAATAAAAGGATTTTAAGAGCTCACACATTCCTGAAGAAGATACCGTGCATCCCTGACTTGACACCACCCCCATATTTGATTGATTTTGGGCACGTCATCAGGGACCTTCCCGTATGCTATACAGTCACACTCTACAACTACGGTCCAATAAGAACCGATGTTAAGCTGGTAATGGATAATAAGTCTTCGCTTCTCGAAAGCGAGTTTGTAATAGAATATAAAGATACCATGCTTGATCCTGGAGATTCTGTGGCTTTGTACGTTATATTTTCGCCATCCAGAAGGAAAAATCCTGTTGTAGATAAAGAGGTTAACAATGTCTTTCGGTTGAGAGTACGGCACGGTCCTACTATTACGGTGAAATTGAAAGCAAAAGTTACTTTACCGACGATTAGCGTTAAATATGAAGAGATTTATTTTGAGAAAGTGAATTGTGGAACTGCGCTTAGAAAAACTGTTTTGTTAACAAACAAGTAAGAGCTAATAGTTTTGTTTTAATTTTAAATTACATATACAGGGTGTCCCAGAAATAAGTGCAAATATTTTAAGGGGTGGTAAATCTCGATAAAAGAAACATATTTTCTCTTTATCGTTTTTCAAATAAGTCAAAAATAATGGAGCTATTTTACTTTGAAAATTTCCAAAAAAAAATGATTTTTGTTAAAATTTTGAGAACCACTGGATCTTTTTTGGATTTTCTTTCTTGTAAATTTAATCTAATACCTATGTTGCCATATTATCAAGAAATTATGTTTTTTAACTAAAAACTAAAGAAAAATCCAAAAAAATTTTCAAAAAATTTCGAATTTTCAAAAAACGAAAAAAAATTCATATGCGTGTTTCTGGGGTTGAATTATACTACCAGTTAAAATATTTGCACTTATTTCTGGGACACCCTGTATATGTTACGGATAAAGTGGATACGTAGCTACTTTTAAAATTAACCAGTAATTTGTGTTTGGGAGCATTTTAGCCACTCAAAAATGTTTAAACGCCAAAACGTAGTTCGGTTGAATTTTCTTAAGTAGATAAAAGGTAATTAAAACAGGAATATAAAGCTTGTCACGAACTTATGCGAAGCGCGGCGTAAAACCGTGCATTGGATTAATTTTATGTAATATAATGCCGGTCCGTAAACTAACATTGCCTCGGTTTCCTGGCCGATGCACCATATCAACCATTACAGCGTCACTTTCCTTTGGCTTCCAAACCACATTGGAATTCCTGGCAAATGACACAGCTGACTACTTGGTTGTAAAAATGCCCAACCCTCACAAAACCAACCTTGTCTTTTGCCTTCTCCGTGCAAGTTCTAAAGAATTATGGCAAACCTATGATGGATAGTATAATCCGCCTAGAATGGGACTTAGACATGAACGATAATAAGCTTCATAAAATCAAAAGGGACTATTTTGAAAATAATCTAATATCTAGTGATGTCGATCCAAAATAATGTATACTGTGTTTTTTTAATTGGGTTTGGTAGGTTAGTTAGTTTCACTTCTAGGTAAATTAACGACATTATTTTCAAACTGTTTTTTTAATTGGGTTAGGACCGAAAAAAACTCAACAAAAGGCCTTTGTTTTAAATTAGTCTACATTTCGCAAAATTTATTTGCATCTTCAGGACATTACAAGTTAAGAGAGAGCAAAATACAATGAAAAATTAAAAAAAACTCAAAAAACACATCTCAGTGGAATTTCACACATATACAATAATTGGTAAAACTATCCTAATGTTAACGATTACGATGTTTTATTATCTTATGCATCTTAGAAAAACAGTTTGAAAATAATGTCGTTAATTTACCTAGAAGAGATTTCGTTGTACTCACTAGAATTCGTTTAGAACACACGAATCTTACCCAGGAACACCTCCTTAAAGGATGGAATCAGCCCATTTGCGAAACATGTAATCTGCCAATAGTATAATATAATTGAAATATATGATCTGTCATAATTAGATTGTTTAATGAAATATGATCTGTCATTTTTGAAATAAACCAATAAGACTGGTTAAAAACAACAAGAGATGACGCATGACGGTTCTATATTCAAACCCATCCATAGTTTACTTAAAAAATATTAGAATATTTTTGTAGTGAAATAAATGGATTGGCATTGACGTAATCTGCCTTTTTTCTGTCATCGTCGGTCGAAATCTTACCTAAATCGTAAAACAGAATATACTAAAACCGGAAGTTGTACGAAATCGATAGCGACTGCTACTATGTTTTAAGTATAGTCTGTCCAACGACAAGATCCTTGACAGTGATAGATGTGTCTGTCATTTTATTTTCAAATTAGTTTATTTTATTTTACAAAGAATTAAGTTGGTACAACTGGAACGCATAGTAGAAAATTAATATATTTAAAATTTGAGTGACAAGTGATTACTTCAAAATATTGTGAAAAAAACTATTTAAAATTGAGAAAATCTAATCGAGTTATTTTATTAAAAATAATTACAGTATGTGTTAATACAAAACAAACAAGGGTTTATTAAAAAAAAACACCACATACCAAAAATGATATAAAGGCGAAAAGATTTCCGGCTTTCAAGCTCAAGCAGCTTCCTGCATTTATTGTTACATTTATCAATATAATTATTCAATATGATTATTATTTACCTATCGTGTGCTGCTATTTTACAGACACTCCATTTTTTGGTATTGTATACAAGATAGTATACAAACTTTATTTGTGGCTAATACATCTATCAGGCCATAATTTCTGGTAAACTGTCTCTAGCGGTCTCTGGGCACCGAATATTAACTGTAAACTATGGTCTGGGTCAACACTTAATTTTCCCGCGAGTTTTCCTCCGCTTAATTTTAAAAAACACACGTAATAACACAGTCCAAAATGCAAAATATTTATCATTTCTATTTGACATAATTTGACACAAAATTATAACTATAAATTGGCAAGAGTTTGACACCTCTCAAAAATCTTAAGACGAGTTCACACGTATCGGCGTTTGTTTGTCGTTCATCTTTCCGTCAAACCAATAATATTGAAATATGATCTGTCATTTTTGAAATAAACCAATAAAACTGGTTAAAAACAACAAGAGATTGATTGAGATGCATGACGGATTTATATATAAACCCATCCTTAGTAAACTTAAAAAATATTAAAAACTTTTTTTAGTAAAATCTCTGGTAAAATAAATAGATTGGTATGGGACGTCATCTGCTTTTTTTCTGTCATCGTCTGTCGAAATCTTGCATGAGAAAAAAAAAACAGAGTATATATCTATGGAGTGTAGATGTAAGGAGAAATATCTTCGTGCATTAAAAAATGGTCATAAAAAATTCTTAAGATGGTGCTGCTGTAGCAAAAACGTAAAATTTAAAATATGCGCCGAAAAATTTTAGAACAGGAAATTATTCAAAAGAGATAAATATGATAAAGAGATAAATATTTGACTTGAAGGCGCGGGTTTAAAAAAATACAAATTTTATTTTCAATGCACATGAAATAAATTATCGATTTTTATTCAGCAGCAATATACTGGGCCTCTAATATATAAAAATAATTGTTTTATATTCTAAAAAATATAAACAAAGCTTTTTTGGGTAATGTTTGGTTATATTACTTTTATTCTCTTATCTATGGTTACCAATGACTACCAATAACTAACGAATACAAGGACATATAACACCCGAGATCAAATTGTTACCATGGCACCAAACAGTGCCATAGCCATATATTTCTTAATTTAGCTGATTGAAGGGATATTTATATTTTTGATAAATGTTTTGACTACACCTATGGTGTAGGCGGTGGTATCATACTAATTAATTACGAAAAAAAAACGTGTTAAAATGTTAACAAAATGTACAAGACTAGTATCGACGATTAGCACATATCAAGTACATACAGGGTGGTCCGAATTGTATTCCGGAAACTTCGGCAGCATATTCTGCAGATTAAAGTAAGTAAAAAAGTTCGTATAAATGTATGTCCTAAAATGCTTAGTTTCGGAGATATAGGGTGTAGAAATTTCATTTTTATTTCGATTTTTTCTAAATAATTTAAGAAGTAACGTCAATATTGGGATGAAAATTGTTGTCTCTGAGTTTTTGGACATGAGAAATTTGATTTTCATGTCAATATGACTCCTACTTGTAGAGGGCGCCACCTGCATATGCTTTAACTGGTTTGAAAGTAATAACTTTTCATCCATACCTGTATAAAACTACTGAGTAAAAAAATATATATTCACAACTTTTTTTACATAAAAAAGGTCTCTTGAAATTGAAATTATCAATACCTGTCATCATTGACAAATTAAACATGTTGACCAAATAGTTATTAGACTGAAATCTTAAATTTGAAATCTTTTTGTGCCAAAAGTTCAACAGAAACTGTTTAATCATGATTTTTTCGCAGAAAAAATTATGATTAATTTAAAAAAATTAAAATGTATTATTTCAGTCAAATAACTCTACTCAACGTGTGCTTATTTTTTGTCAATAATGACGTGTATTGACTATTTCCATTTTAAATATCTTGAGAACGATTGCTCGTAGCTATTTTTACCAAGAGACATTTTTTACGTAAAAAGTATATTTTGAAATGTATATTTTTTTTAGTCAGTGGTTTTATACAGGTACCGTCGAAAAGTTATTACTCTTCAAAACAGTCAAAATGCATGTAGGTGGCGCCCCCTACAAATAGGAGTCATTTTGACATCAAAATCAAATTTCTCGTATCACAAAACTCCCAGTTACCAATTTTCATCCAGATATTGACGTTATTTCAGAAATTATTTAGAAAAAATCGAAATAAAAATGAAATTTCTACACCCTGTATCTCCGAAACTAAGCATTTTAGGACATACATTTATATGAACTATTTTACTTATTTTTATCTGCAGAATATGCTGCCGAAGTTTCCGGAATACAGTTCGGACCAACCTGGATAGTATCAGAAAAATAATTACCAAATTCAATAAGAAAAAGCTAAAAAGGTGGAGTGGACTGTTTATTTACTTATGAAACGCAACTCCTGGCTCTTTCTTATCATTGCGGCTTTTACACTTTAAAGCTGAACACATCACCATTGTAATAAAGTTTATACAAAGTTCACTAAACACAACAAATTACTAAAAATCGCTAAAATTGTCCCTGTTGACGAGGTGATGACTCCTCCGTAGGCTCCAATTTGATGGCGTCTAACGTAACAAATTCTGCTGCAGTCCGTATACGGGCGTTACATGTCTTTGTATTCTTCAGTCATTGATGGTTACTTTTCATTTTTTAGATTTATGCCACTTGGTGAACCCTTATTCTCCCTATTTTTGTGACCACTTTTTCAAATAAAGTCTCACAAGAGATATTTCTCCTCATCTCTACACTCCATAAGTAGATCCGAAATTCTGAAATATTTGTTATATTTTAGTGGTAATGTGGAAAGCAAATGGTTTCTTTCATTTCCCAAATCGCAAAAAACGAATGCCCTTTCTGGTTTCTACGTCATGCCGAAAAAAGGAACGCTTAGTGTTGGCCAATCGACACTGTTGAACGTGTATTTTATACCCAGCGACGCCGAAACATACAGAAGAGTCCTAAAAATCGAGGTAGAAAAAAGCGACAATTTTCTATCGATAAGTTTATTCGGAGAAGGTGTCAATCCGAAGCTATCTATCTTACCGGAACGTATGGAATTTCCTTCGACACTAAATTACTTTTCTCGAACGTTGAAGTTTTACGTAGAGAACGTCAGCGATCTGCCTATGGAATTTTACTATCCAACATTCACTGAGTAAGTACAAAGAGTTCCTTCGTAATCTATAATTAAAGCCGCCCGATATACAAGGTGATCCGACTTATCTAATATACAGGGTGAGTTTTTTACTATGTTCTCTATGGGTATCTCGGAAACTACTGGAGATAGAGAGTTAAATGGAAGAGCAGAAGCATTATGCTTCTGAATTTCGTTCCACTCCAAAATTGGGTTTGGATTATTTATATGAATATATACAGGGTGCTACAAATTCGAGGTACGAGTATTGGTATCTCGGTAACCGTAATAGATACGAAGATGGTTAAATTGGGATAAAGTTGCGCCTTGGGATGTTCAATAAAAATGCCATCAAAAAAGTTTTACAAATTTCAAGGATTGCTGAGTTTTTTGAAAAAAACAGATTTTTTTGAAAATCAATTTTATTTGTTCCTATCGTTAGTTTTTAGAAAATCAAAAAACTAATTGTACATTCTCATAACCACTTTATTAGGGCTATCTGATAGTATTTTTAGATTTTCAAATTAGCTGATAATTTGTGAGATACAGAGGCCGACTTAATTTTCTTAAATACGGACCTGCATTTTTTATTTCAGATTTTGAAAGAACTCGGTCTCCTGAGTACAATGAAGTGCCACACTTTATACTTTTTTTTTGTTTCGGACATTTAAACACAAAATTTATTTAAACTAATTTCAAGGCCGGCTGTGTTTTTTAAATATTTAAATTATTCATCGTTACAATATTGATAAGCCTTCAAATTTAACTATGACGTGGGGTAAAACATTGAATACGAAAAATCAAATTCAATAAAAAAAAATAATTGCATTACTTGATGTCATTTGTAAAAGTGAAATCAATATTTTTCAACATTTACAATAAAGAGTACAAAATGCATTCAGAAGTATAAGAAGAAGATAAATGTTCAAAGAGCTATAAATAAAATTGAAAGAATAATAAATTTGTGCAATAGGCAAAGTGGTAACCCTTTCGAACATGTAGAGCATTAGAAATTAGTTTGTAGAAGGTGATTTATTTATAATAACTACGATTAATATTATGCATATTATTAGATCGTACACTGAGAATTTCAAATTCACAATAAAAAAAACTTAAAAATAATATCTTTAAATTACTAAGCTGGATATTATTTATTTCAATCTTTCAATTGGCTCGCGATTTTCTTAATTCAATGTTAATTAGCGCTGATCAATATTGTTGCAATGAATATAATCAGATTAAATATTTTAAGAAACCAGGGTCGGACTTGAAAATATTTTAAATAATAATTAAATAGTTTTGTTGTTGTTAAGGTACCCAAAACAAAAAAAAGTATAAAGTGTGGCACATCGTTGTACTCAGGAGACCGAGTTCTTATAAAAAAAGAAAAAGAAAATGCAGGTCCGTATTTAAAAAAATGAAGTCGGCCTCTGTATCTCACAAATTATCAGCTAATTTGAAAATCTAAATATACTGTCAGATAGCCCTAATAAAGTGGCTATGAGAATATGCAATTAGTTTTTTGATTTTCTAAAAAGTAACGACAGGAAAAAGTAAAATTGATTTTCAAAAAAAATCATTTTTTCCAAAAAAACTCAGCAATCCCTGAAATTTTAAAAACTTTTTTGATAGCATCTTGGTGAACATCCCAAGGCGCAACTTTGCTCCAATTTAACCATCTTCGTATCTATGGTTTCCGAGATACCAATGCTCGTACCTCGAATTTGTAGCACCCTCTATATTCTGATGTGTAATTATTTAATTTCTATGATTTCCTACTATTTTAATGTATTAATAATTAACTGTATTTTATTTTACTTTTTTGGAAATAAAGGCATTATTATAATTATAGAGAGTCGGTTAAATGGGGAAAGAATTGTAGTTTTGTGGGGTCCTAAATTTGCGCCTTTCAGATTTTTGAAAAAGTTCAAAATTGTCCATAATTCCATTATAATCTATTTTAGACAAAAAGTTTTCAGATAAAATAATCACATCCCTAATGAGTCTGTGTTCTCCAATTTTTTCTAAATCCTGTCATTTTTGACATATGACACAAACATATGTTTTTTTTAAATGGAAACCATAGTTGGCCATGACTTCATAAAAAGCGCCATTTTTAAGCATTTCAGCGATATAAGCTATAATGTATTTTTTTCGAAAAATTACTGAGTTATAGCCAATTCTATCTTTCTTGACTAATTTCATTTAGTTGGTATGGTATTCTTAGTCTGTTAAGATTTGAAATTTATAAAAAGACAGAATATATTATTAAACAGTTCTTTACAATTTACATTAGACACCAATTAAAACGTAAAAAAATAATATCACTACATTCACTTTAAGTTATTTTAGAAAATGTTCAAAAAATCCGCCATTGTTTTCAGTACATAAATGCATCTTTTTAAAACTGTATTACTAGCCACGAGTATTCTCACAGAACGACCGATTGAGTTTATTAAAGAACTCCAGTACCGCCTCTTCGAGTGCTTCTCTTAATTCATAAGTTCTTTTGTAAACCTTGTTGTTAACCATACCGCATAAAAAATCTAAAATGGATAGGTCAGGTGGTTCGAGGAGGCCCATGCAATTGGCCCACCTCTTCCAATCACTCAGTTTGCATAATTATGATATAAATAATTTTTAACATTTCTTTCATTATGGGGGAAAATGTCATAATGAAAGTCATGTTAGAACCACTCTATTGATGCGCGAGTATCTAAATTTTTATCTGAAGAATATGCTGCCGAAGTTTCCCGAATACAGTTTGCACCACCCAGTATAGGGTGGTGACAAATTAGTCGCTCAACATTGATATTTTGGAAACTACAAGAGATACGATTTCGGTTAAATGAGACAAACGCCTGCGAAGAAAACCCCGGTATCTAGATTACTTCTCCTATGTCAAAAATTTGAAATAAAATACGTTTATTTTTTTTAAATGACAATATATTCGGAACTATAGTAGATATACAGAGAAGACCAGGCTACTAGTAACATAGCAAGTTGCCGGACGAATTTACGTTTACCCGATTTGCGTTCGTACTCGAGATTCACTGCCGGCTAGTCGGCTGGTCAGGCAGTACGCAGTTGCAGTTGTGCTTGGACGGGTCGGTCGTGACAGACTAGGAATACGACGCGAGGAGTGCCGAGTATTTATTATTTTCATTTTAAGTGTTTACCTTCACTTAAGGTAATTTTTAAAATAAAAATATTTAAATATTTATTTGAGTGTGTTTACAAGCCAAAACTAAAAATAAATAAATTCTCTAAACCCAAAACTCATTTCCAAAATTAAAAAATACATCAATAAAATAACAAAAAACTAAAATATTACTCTAGATAACAAAAGTTATAACAAGTGTTCAAAAAGACCACCTTCTTGTGCTAGACAGAAGCCTAGGCGGTCGTAAAATCTCCGTCTGACATTGGCTAACATATTAGGGCTAATAGTTTGGAAAGCCTCTCGTATGTTTACTTGAAACTCATCCAGATTATTAGCCCTATTATGACCATACACTTTGGATTTTACATAACCCCACAAAAATAAATCATTGGGAGAAAGATCTGGTGATCTAGCGGGCCACAAAATAGTTCCATATCCACTAATTAAACGGTTTGACTCAAACGGTAAAGACCTATTTTGGAAATACCATTTTCGAATTTGAATTTTCTCACGATCTTTGTAAACATCCATTATTTTACTTAAAAAATAAATTTTACACGAGAACTATCGCGAGAATCTATGTATTCGTTTTGGCTACTAAAACACGAAAAATACAAATTCTAAAACATTCTAATCACACATCTATTTTTATTTTATCGCATTTGCTTTTTATCTGGCGGACGGGTATATGCTAATTCGTCCGGTTCTGCCTATGTTACTACTACGGTGGTCCGGTCTGTATAACTAGAGCCTAAAATGTACACATTGAAGAAATATAAAATATGTACAGTATTTACCTGCATAATATGGTATTGTGTATAGTCATATTCCACTCGGTATAACCGCTGATTCAAGAAAAAAGAAAATGCGCCACCTTATGCGCGATTTCGTGGCACAAAACTTGTCCGAGATGTAGCTGGCGTTACCTGCAGCCTGTCCGAGAATTCCGAGATTTAGTTTAGCTCTGCACCGCTGCGCGCCGATAGTCGTTTACAATAGTGATGGGCAAAACTGTTATTTTTAGATAACAGTTGAAACTGTTATAGTTATTTATAAAAAACAGCTTAAAATAACAACTTAAAAATAACAGGTTTCTTTATTTTACTGCTAAATATCTGAAAGTATGAGGCGGTCACCGCCAGGCGTATTAACGCAGTTGCAAGTTGCAACAATGACGTGCTCGGTGGTAATATTTCCAGGGTGTCAAAACATTTCTAAATATCGATTGTTATCTAAAATACCTCTCTAAAAACGGTGGTTGTTTACAAATAAGCGCTGTTTACAAATTGCGATATAAAAAAAGCCAAAATTCCGCCACTCGTCTATACCTATACATTCCGATCTACCTACGCCCTGCCCCTCGATCCGCGTAGATCCTGAATTGAGTAGCAGTGTTTTTGTTAGCAGCACCTTACTCGACGGGCGAGAAGCTCTTAGTTATGATTTTACCATTTGCGGTCAAAAAATAACAATATAAGAAAATGTGTAGTATATTCTTCATAAGTAAACCAACTACACACTAGAGTTCGAATTTATTTTACACTTAAACTAGCGTGTACCCGCGACTTCGTTCGTGTCGAATTAATAATTTCTAATGGTGATGATAAAGCAAAACAAGAATTTCAACGAGAATTTCCATTAACATACAGACTGGATAAAATTTTCTCACATGTGCCAAAAATAAGCTTTAAACGTCGAGCAGTTTAAACAGAATCGTGGTTAATCAATTACTCAGCTTTTTGGAACACCCTGTATGATTTTTGAAAAAATGTCAACATATGTAAAAAAACAAAATAAATTATGCGTGTCCAGGCGTTTTCCCGAATGACTAACCGTTTTTTAAATAACAAATATTGTAATATTTGAGGGGCGTTTTCACCCTGTTGGAATTTGAGATTCGAGAAACCCCTCCTTATCGAACCTCAACCCCAGAGTCAATCCGTTTGCCAAAAATCAGCTTTAAACGTCAAGCAGTTTAAGCAGAATAGTGATTACTCAATGGTCATATTTTATGAAACACCCTGTATATATTTTTTAAAAATCTGAATATATGTAAAACAACATAATAAAATATACGTGTTTTAAGAGTTTTTCCGAAAAACTCACCGGTTTTTAAATAAAAAATATTCTAATATTTGAGGGTAGTTTCACCCCCTTAGAATTCGAGTTTCGAAAAATCCCTTCTTATCGAACCTCTACACCCTAAAGTCAATCCGTTTTCCAAAAATCAGTTTTTTACGTCAAGGGCTTTAAGCAGGATCGTGATTAATCAATCACCAGATTTTTCAAAACACCCTGTATACATTTTTAAAAAATCTGAAAATATTATTCTGAAAATTTTTCAGAATAAATAAATACCTAAATATTGAAACTTAATAAGTAAGTACTGAAACATACAGCGCCATAATATCTCGACCTCCGCCCGTTATGCTCGTAACAGGTTGAAACAGAATGTATCTAAAACAACTGATGCGTTATTCTCCAAACTGTTTCGAACCTCCATCGACAATCGACCGATGCAGCAGCGTTCCTTTCCCACTCCGATTATCTCGACCACCGCCCTGTTATGCTCGTAACAGGTTGAAAAACAACGTATCTAAAATGACTGCTTCTCCAACCCGTTGCGAGCCTCCATCGACAATCGACCGATGCAGCAGCTTTCCTTTCCCACTCCTGTTATCTCGAATGCCAGGCGTTATGCCCGCAACTGTTTCAAAAAACCTGCTTCTTTTATATCCTATTATTTTTAAGCGGTATCGACCGAAGCAGCTACGTTCGCCGAAGCGCATTCCCCACTCCGTTGTCCGTTGTCTCACCGCCTGTATCGATGGTTGACGAAATAACATGTTTTCCATCCATACTAGTTGTTTTTTGGAATTGCTTCGAGCAGCATAGAATTTCGTGACGGTGCAGAGCGCCGACTTCGTTTTTCGTTTTACGAGCGGCCGATCTCTACCTGTCGTTATTTTATATCTGTTATTTTTTAGAAGTAGTAACGGTTGCGTTATGTTATTTATAAATAATTGTTATAAAATAACAGATAGTTAAATAACAACCCATCACTAGTTTACAACACAGCGGAGGATAAAGAATACTGTACCGTAGTTCTGCTTTCAGTTGACAGAGTGAGTGGTTGCCGGAAACAGTGTTGCCAGAACTACTGATTAATCCGTAGATTTACGGATTTTGGGTTCAGTAGGTTAATAATACGGATTTTCTATTATTAAACAATTTAATATAATATTATACGATTAAACAAAGAACGGCGTCATAGTTGGCTTGAAAATGAGGATCGCTGTTATTTCATATGTAAAATATTAAGTCCTCGGGTAAGTCAATAATCGTCATTTCCAAGCCAACTAAACGACATTTTTCGATCATACGACATATTCAGTACCTATAAAAGAATTTTTATTTTTGTTGTTTATTCTATGTTTAACACGAATAAATTTTCCCAATATAAACTCGAATTTTTCATCCAAAAATATTTTCGTCAAACGTATTACAGATATTACACATTTCAATATGGCAACACTGTTGCTTTCAGATCCACATCGTTTTCGATAAGCCTTCGCTGGCCGAATTAGAGGAAATAAGTGTTTTATGCGTTTACCGCAGAACGATTGGTGTCTCCACCGTTCAGCACTTGAGACGTAAGGGAAAATCAAATCAGCCTTGTCACGAATTCGCCCATTAGGTTGTGTACCTTCCCATTTCTTTCAATCAACGGTATACAGAAAAGACCAGGCTACTAGTAACATAGTAAGTTGCCGGACGAATTTACGTTTACCCGATTTGCGTTCGTACTCGAGATTCACTGCCGGTTAGTTGGCTGGTCAGGCAGTACGCAGTTGCAGTTGTGCTTGGACGGGTCGGTCGTGACAGACTAGGAATACGACGCGAGTAGTGCCGAGTATTTATTATTTTAATTTTAAGTGTTTGCCTTCACTTAAGGTAACATTTAAAATAAAAATACTTAAATATTTATTATTTGAGTGTGTTTACAAGCCAAAACTAAAAATACATAAATTCTCTAAACTCAAAAAAAACTAAAATATTACTCTAAATAATAAAAAAGTTATAACAAGTGTTCATAAAGACCACCTTCTTGTGCTAGACAGAAGCCTAGGCGGTCGTAAAATACCCGTCTGACATTGGCTAACATATTAGGGCTAATAGTTTGGAAAGTCTCTCGTATTTTTACTTGAAGCTCATCCAGATTATTAGCCCTATTATTACCATACACTTTGGATTTTACATAACCCCACAAAAAGAAATCATTGGGAGAAAGATCCTGTGATCTAGCGGGCCACAAAATAGTTCCATATCCACTAATTAAACGGTTGGGAAAAGTATTGTTCAAATATTCTTGAACAATACGGGCATTGTGGGCAGGGCAACCATCTTGTTGAAACCAGACATTGTGGAATCTTTCTCCCAATAACTCACGAATTCTAGGGACAATCTGCTGCTGTAACAAGTCCAAATACTTTGCAACAGTTAAATTACCCTCTATAAAAAATGGACCAATCATATGCTCCCCTACACAACCACCCCAAACATTTAGCTTTTGAGGATATTGCGTGCGTACCTCAAAATATCTGTGCAAATTTTCCTGAGACCAATATCGTACTTGTGTAGGGTTATGACGACTCAATAAAGGAAAATTTGATTCATCGGTGAAAACTATACGCCGAATAAAGTTTTCATCTAAATTGGCCTTTTCCATTACAGATTCACAAAACATCATACGCGGAAATTGGTCTTCATGGAAAATTTCTTGAGATTTGCGCGCTTTATACGATCGGTATCCATTCTTTTTAAGGATTCTTTTAACCGTGCTAGGTGAAGAATCTGTTACCTCAGCAATTTGATTACTTAAAAACATGGGATTTTGATCCGCGGTATCACAAATGAACACTTGCTTTCACTCCTGTTCTTCATTAATCAACACATAAGGCTTTTTGTGTTTTTGTGGGGACACGCACCCATGTGTTTCAAAATTATTAATAACTCTTGATATAGTAGGTAAAGATGGAATTGGCCTGTTTACAAAAATTTGTGGAAAAATTGTTTGTATATCCCGATAAGACCTATTTTGGAAATACCATTTTACAATTTGAATTTTCTCACGAACTTCGTAAACATCCATTATTTTACTTAAAAAATACATTTTACACGAGAACTGTCGCGAGAATCTATGTATTCGTTTTGGCTATTAAAACACGAATAAAAACAAATTCTGAAACATTCTTATGACATATCTACCTATTTTTATTTTATCGCATTTTTCGCCTGCTTTTTATCCGGCGGACGGGTATACGCTAATTCATCCGGTTCTGCCTATGTTACTATTACGGTGGTCCGGTCTGTATAACATTTAAACGTGTAATTTGGCGCTTTTATACGAATCTGGATTATTGTTGGCGATGACTAGATCTATTTTTTTATATTTTAGTGATATTCAACAGGAACAAATGTTAACAGATACTTTTCTAAGCGCTAAAAGTCTCAACTACGTTTTGATACCGTATCGACATGCTGGTGACACATTGCCTACTCATTTTAAAACCGAATATGACAATTTACTAGCTCGATTACGAAAGAAAATTATTGCCAAGAAGGAAAGTGAAGTTGCTACAACTGATTCTCCATATCCTAAACAAGAAATAAGTAGAGTCACGCTAAGGTAATATTGCTCTATCTACCGTAAGCCACGTATTAAAATATGTGTCCATTTATTAAAATTAGTTAGAAGAAGTTCTACAATTTTTTATATGCAAAAAAAAATAAATGGCAAAATGTGCTTTTATATGGGCTTACCATATTGAAGAAATTATTATCCAATTACTAAGTCTGATATTTAATAAATAATTAAACGATACTCTCAAAATTGTGATCTTGTATTAAATAAAGGTTGGTACTGTATGTAAACTGTATGCACGTCATCAATCATATTGACATTGACACTAAAATCTATAAACCTGACTAATTGAAATTTTGACAAAAATGTTTAAATTTGTTGTATAATTTAAGATACCGAGTAGCTCTTCATTTTACTTTATACAGCAAATGATTGTAACAGATATTTTATTTAGTTTAAACCTGCAAAAATTAGTTTAAACTTTGGTTTAAACCGAATTTTATTATCGCTATGTTGGTCATATTGCGCCGTGTTCAGCAATGTTGTCCTTTATTATTTGACAATTATCCTAGTGTCAGTCATTATTTTGTATAATATCATGTTGTGTATTATTTTGTATAATATCGTGTTGTTGTTGAGTAATTCTCGTTTTTGCATATTTTCATAGTCTTTTTTTAAAAAATACACTTTTATGCACAAACAGTTCTTTTAAGAACTAAATTTTCGAGTTTTTGAATTGCATTTCTTGAAACTGTGTGTTGAAAATATGCCGAAGCATTTAAACAGGCGAAGCAAAGAGCTTGTAGCTTCCCTGTTTTTTTTAAACTATTTTGAACGAAAACGTGACAATAAAGGTCCTTTATTAGCCTTGACTGCAGTAAGAAAAGTAAGTTTGATTGATAAGCACATTAAATTAAAAATAAAACGTAAAACTCTTTAAAAATGATATAATAAATACGTGTTTGTCAATTTTAAATTAAGATTCATCTCATAAATCCATCACAATCTGGCAGCGCTGTCGCCATCACTAAAAGTTGATCATGTGCATCGGAAATTGTTTTGCGATTACCATATGTTAATAATTTTTTACATTGAAAAATATGTCGATTTCACAAAGAAAAAAACAATCGAAAAAATATTAAGATTTTAATACCCTATAGCTACGAAACAAAGCAGAATCGAACCTATGTTGATATGAAAAATAAATCTTATTTTTACATGAGGAATCTCCCCACGGGAGATGGCACATGTTTTTTGAAACACCCTGTATAATACAAAATATTGAATACGGTTACGGTTCCACGAAAGTAAACTTAAAAAACAAAAAGCACAACTCAGCAGCAGTTCCCTTTTTATTCCAATACTCTCCAAAACTGATTTATTTGAAGAAATTATATAGCAACAACAAGTTGATATATAATATAATAATATTGTTGAGTTTAAATAAATATTTTAATGTATTCTGGTAGATTTGTGGTAGCTTTTGCTCTAATACTAGCATTATTTTTCATATTTGTACTTTACTGTCCATAATTACATTTCAGTTTAGTAATCAGAACATATTTTAGTTACGAAGATCCTCTAATAAAATATTCAAAAGAAGAACTGCACAAGATTTTAAAAGGTAACTTTTAACGTTTTTTAAATATAACTTTTTATACTAAGCTTTTTATACTTTCTATACTAAGCTTTTTATACTTTTTATACTAAAATTTTATACAGGGTGGCGCCTCTTATACGCCGCGGAAGCTCCAAGGAGAACGGTAGTTTATATCGAAATGAAATTTTGGTAGCTAGCATATGTAGGTTAACTGAAAGCATTTTATAAAAATATATATATATATATATATATATATATATATATATATATATATATATATATATATATATATATATATATATATATATATATATATATATATATATATATATATATATATATATATATATATATATATATATATATATATATATATATATATGTATATATATAATTATACAGGGTGTCCCCAAAAAAAGTTACACATTAAAGTTTGTTTTTTCTAATGAAACACCCTATATATTAATTGATTTTTGGATTCTAGCAAAAAAATAAAGGTGAGTTTTATTAAAGAATATACATATACCTAAAATCTAAGGATTTTGACATATTTCACATTTTATAAAAATGAAGGGTAAATTTTAAATTTCGCTAACAGCTACCTAAACTTTAGTTGACCTCATATAGCCTGATATTTAATTACAGTAACCATTGTATGTTAAACCAAATTGAAATTTGATCTGAAAAGTTATACAGGGTGAGACAAAATTAATAAACATTAGTCATTCAAACATTACGGTGTTCAATGGGGAATTTATATATCTTCAAAATATTATTAAGGTTGCCTACCCCTCAGACAAAGATTTTCCTAGATATTTTAATTTTTATGATTTTGCGTCAGTAGATCTTTATTATTTGAAAAAATCTAGGGCGGCTGTGATATACCTTTTGTTAATTCTACAAAAATTATCGAATGTAGAGTAAATACTCTACAATCGATAATACTCTACAAACGGTAATAAAAAGATACACGTTTAAAACATATTTTAATTATTACAGAATTAAAACTTGATATAAACCTATAATTATGTGACAAAAATTAGCTAGATGAAATCGAATGCTCAAAATGCTTCCTTTCCTGTTAACTGCATAAAATGATTGTCTTTTCAAAAGGGTCTTTTCAATTTAAAACGCATATGTGGAGTTATTACCTCGAAAAGCAGCTACAATCATTTCTCTCATGTTGTCGAGTTTTGTAAACACTGCCTTCAACATATCCCCATAAAAAAAAGAATAGATAAAATCAGGAGATAAAATCAATTTAAGTATTCTACTCGGTATTCTATTAATAGGTGAATGCACACTGCATTCACCAATTAATAGAATCATATCAATTCTCTCTGATGTAGGATAAGTTTGCATTTTCGGCAAATTTCGAAGATTTTTTTTTGTTTTAACTGTCACAAAATGATGCCAAACCAAACCAAACTAGTTGTTAATGTTGGACTAAGTAACGTCAGACATATCGAAGCCACCTAGATTTTATCAAATAATAAAGATCTACTCAGATCAAATCATGTAAATGAAAATATCTAGGAAAATCTTTGTTTGTTGGGTAGGTAACTTTAATAGTTTCTTGAAGAAACGTGAATTCTTCATTGAATATCGGAATAATATACTGGGTGTTCCATTTAAAATAAAAGAGTAACATGCTCTTAAAGGTGACCAATTACTAATCAATATTAATTTTGTGTCATTCTGTATAACTTTTTGGATCAAGTTTAATTTGATTTAAAGTACAATAGTTAATTTAACTACATATTAGGTTATACCGGATAAATTCCAATTTAGGTAGCTTTTATTTTGATTTAAAAATTGTTCTTTATTTCTAGAAAATGTTAAATATGTCAAAAACCTTACATTTTAGTCATATACTTCCCTTATAAAACTCAACTTTATTTTTCTCCCAGAATCCGAAAATCAATTAATATATAGGGTGTTCCATTATAAAAACACAACTTTGATATGTAACTTTTTTTGGGGACACCCTGTAGAATTCTCTATATTTTTAAAAAGTGCTCTGAATTAACCTACTTGCATATGCTAATAAAATTTCATTTCCATACAAACTGTCGTTCTCCTTGGAGCCTCCGCGGCGTATGAGATGCGCCACCCTGTACTAAGCGATTTTATTATTTATATAGAGTACATCGATATGGGAGAATTTCAAGAGGACGTTGAATCTTCTTCGATATGTCATTTAGATGAATCACCTCAAACTTTCGAAATTATAGAACCAGATGTGAGTCCTGAAACAGATCAATACGAAATAAACGGTGGATTAATAATTATACATGGAGGTCCATATACAGGTAAATACATATTTCTATATGAAATAAAAAAAATATACAGGGTGTTTCAAAAAACATGTAGCATCTCTAGTGAATCTCGTGGGAGATTCTTCATATAAAAATAAAATTTATTTTTTATACCAACATAGATCCGATTCTGCTTTCTTTCGTAGCTAGAGGGTGTTAAATACTTCATTTTATTTTGATTTATTATAATTTTCTTCCAAGTGCTTTTAGTAATGTGTTTTAAAGGTAAAAGTTACTAGGTGCTAAATATTTTAATTCTAAAAAATGTCGACAGGTACATGCATATAGGTTCCTTGAATAAATATGATATGACTGGAATATTTTTCTAAAAAAAACTTGGGCGCAACTGACTTTTTTCATTCATAGTTGGGTAGGCCGTTTAATGCTGATTAAAAGTTGTCTCTTAATATTTTGTCGATTTCAGTCTCCTTGATGAGATAAACGCATTTTTATTAATTTGCCTTTGTCCAAGTCTAATAGCAACCTTTACATTTACTCATTGATTTCTTGAAAAATATGAAAAAAGTTCCTACAAACATAGGTGCGGAGGTGCATATATTTAATGTCAATTAAACTTTTAGTTGCATAATCGAGGGCGCGATTTTTAAATTCATTGTTACCAACCATGGACATTATTAGCCGTCGTCGCGTCGTGCTGACTAACTGGAATTTAAATTTCGCGCTGGCGATTCAGGTGGTATCTCTGGTGGTAAACTGTAAAAATGTCAAGTTGCCGTATTTGTTTATTTATTTATTTCCTGACATTGTCTTATGACATATTCTTTTTAGAACCTCTTTTAGTGCAAAGTGTACAAGATAGCGTAATAAGCGTAAAAAACTCATCGCAATTAGATAATTTATTCATTTTTAAGGAGATCAAAACGTTCAAATTTTTAAGGAGATCAAAAATCACAAAATATTAAGATACAACTTATATTATGATATAATCAACATTAAACGGCCTACACAATTTTGCTAACAAGAAAAAAAAACAGTGGCGCGCATGTTTCTTTTTAGAAAAATGTTCTAGTGATAACCCATATGCACGTCCCTGGTAAATCTGTCGACACTTTTTTAGCATTAAAATATGTACCTAGCACTTATAGTAACTTTTACCCTGAAAATTTTATTCGAATTACTAAAAGCACTTTAATATTATAAGAAAATTATAATACATAAAAAAATTGTGTGTGCACTAGGTGCGCATAATTGAAGTGAAATTTCTTCTTACTTCCGTCTGGTTGTCTGTCCGTCTCTGGACTCCATTTGGGTACCTCTATCCACTTGTCAAGTTTGGTTCCAATCGACCAATAATTCCTGATGATCTAGTCCATTTAGAGGCATCGGTTCGAAACGTCGAGGGCGTCATCCTGTAGACCGTCCCCAATTATGCCAAAATCAACCCATTTTTTCTTCAATATCAAATCCTTATAGACCTTATATCCGTCCCACCCTGATGAAGATGTAAACGAAACGTCGTATCCAACTTTGCAGGGTGGGACCGTGTGCACCGTCGCTCACTTAGCCTACCCACAAAATTTACTCGCGATCGGACGACATTAACTTTTGACGTTTCTTACACCAAAACTAACTGTCACAGTGACACGTGTCGTACACGATTAAGTTGGCCTTGGTCCAATCTATCGACATACCAAATTTCATTTAAATCATTTCATCAGGGTTTCGTTATGCACGAATCGTCGTCAAAATATCTTGAAAAGATAGGGCTATATTCCGAGGTTCAACCTCCTAGCTCACATATGGCCCGAGGTATGATACTCCAAAGACCCATCTTAAGTTCTCATTCGCTTATCACTTTTTCGATCATTACCACGTTTCGTGACGCATGTCGTGACGCTAGCTGATGTGTTACGGACTTGAATTTTTACTCCCAGCGTGTGTAAAGAAGTTTCACTTTAAAAATGAAGTTTTTAACCCCCTGTAGCTGCGAAACAAAGCAGAATCTGACAGTTGATACAAAAAATAAATCTTATTTTTACGTGAAGAATCTCCCCACGAGAGATTGCACATGTTTGTTGAAACACCCTGTATATTGTTAGAGTCGTGACGTATATATTTGAAGATATCTGTACTTTAAATACACTCAGATGCAAAAAAACGCAACGGAGAAATTTTTGGTCAAATTTAAAATGTTATATTTTTGTTATTTTTACACCTATTTCCATGATTTTTTTAGCAGGCTGTAATTATATCAACTTTAACACGTAAACTCAGCTTTTTGTAAACTTTAGTATTTGGTATATTAAACAGGGTTAATCGAGGGGTTGTTTTTTGACCTTAACTTTAAAACACCCTGTGCAATAATGTCGTGTATAAATTTTCTTAAATTATAATTTTACGGTTAAAACCATGACTCCTGAGCATTTTCTTTTTTGATTCATGTCAATATATGCTTTGGTTAATTTTTAACAGCGAAATGAACTGATAACCACCAATTTGCAATTTTTGTAATTATCATTACTTTTTGATGTAGTTTTTTAATGCGACGAGATGGTTTTGGTGACTATTGTCGTAATGTCATATTACGCTGCATTGGATATACTTTATACTAAATAAAAAAAAGTTACAGACTAACGATACAGTCCTAGTTATAATAAACATTAATAACGATAACAGAACTAACGATATTAAAGAAAACATATGTAATACTCAAGTATACAAACAGAAAAAAAAATGTAAAAAATACCCTAATACTTTGTATTGCCGTCTTTAGCTGGTATAACTGCCTGTATACGCCTGGCATAACTGCCTGTTTATACTGTCATTGGGCTGCATATATTATAATATTTCGTTATGTTTCCCCATTCTTGTTTAAGGAGAAAGCGAAGTTCATTTAATGAAGCTGGTACTGCTTTGCGACCTCTAACCCTCCTGCCGAGTATTTCCCAAAAGTCGAACATGATGGGCAGTTCATAGCAGTATATAGTTCACAATAATCACCAAAGCCGCTTTGTCACAATGAAAAATAACTTCAAAAAAGAAATGATACTTGAAAAAATTGCAAATTGTTGGTGGCAAGCTCAATTCGCTCTTAAAAATTAACCAAGGCATGTATTGACATGATCCAAAAAACAAAATGTTCAGGAGACATGGTTCTGACCGAAAAAATATATTTTAGGAAAATTTACACTCGAATTATTGCACAGGTTGTTTTAAAGTTAAACCCTGTATAATATGCCAAATAGTAAAGTTTATAAAAAACTGAGTTTACGAATTAAAGTTGATGTAATTATATACAGCCTGCTAAAAAATTCATGAAAATAGGGCCAAAAATAATAAAAATATAACACTTTAAATTTGACCAAAAATTTCTCCGTTGCGTTTTTTTGCATCTGAGTGTATTATGAATTATTCTTCAAAGAAAAAGAAAGGAGTTTAATGCTATCCAATGCATTAGAGACGGAATGAACATCATGACTCCATTTCTAACAGTTCTGTTATTCTGACTTTTCAATCGACACATTTCAAATTTTGAATAATATTATATTTTTTCAATTTTATAGTAATAGTGGAGTGCTTTAAGCCCTTATGAGATACAAACCTCGGAATTCATTTACTGTGAACGAATTTTTATAAAACTTTTTGCATTGTATTGTTAATAAGATATATTACAAAGTTTACCTATTTAAATTCGTTGCTTTAGCTTTAGTATTTAAATAAACACACACATAAATAAATGCATACATACAAGATGGCTCCGTTTTCCGGAAAAGCTGTGTATCAGGATTCCTATTTGAGATTTTCACTCCAAACTTTTTACAAAATATATGTTTAATGGTAGTTCACATTTCAAAAATATTTTTATAGATATACAGGTTGAGTCAAATATACAGGGTGTTTCAAAACAAATGCGAAAAACTTCAGGGGGTGATTCCTTGTTCAAAATAAAGGGTAGTTTGCTTCATAAACGTTGGGTCAAAAGTCAACCATTAGGGAGATATTGCGGTACAAAGATGGCGGAAAAATAATGTTTTTATTTTTTATCTTGAAAACGAAAAAAGATAGACTAATAAAATTTTATGGAAGCGTTACTGTTATGAAAACACACTTTCTGGTAATTTTTTCACTTTTTTAAAATGAGTGGAAGGGGTTGAAATAAACTACCCCTATCATTCTTGTTAACGAAATTTAAACAAAAATCTTATCAAACACATGCAAAAAAAATGATTTGGATAGTTTAGTTTGTTTAGAAACTTTTTTATCTCTTGTATTTTTTTGATAAAACTCACCGATTTGAAATTAAAAAATAAAATGTAAAGCATTACATGTCAGGACAAAAAACATTTTCTGATAAAGAATCTAGTGGGCTGCTGTAATTTTTTTAGGAAAAAATCTAGTCGGCCGCTGTTACTTTTAGGATGTTCCTAATATTATTTTATTTGACATTACTCTACTGCAATACGTTATTATCTAGATGATTATTATTATCGTTATTATCACTAGATTCTTAATCTAAAATGTTTTTGTCCTGACATATAATGCTTTACATTTTATTTTTAATTTCCAATCGGTGAGTTTTATCAAAAAAACACAAGAGGTAAAAGTTTCTAAACAAACTAAACTATCCAAATTAAAGCATTTGCATGTGTTTGATAAGATTTTTCTTTAAATTTCGTTAACAAGAATGATAGGGTAGTTTATTTCAAGCCCTTTCCACTCATTTTAAAAAGTAAAAAAATTACCTGAAAGTGTGTTTTCATAACAGTAATGCTTCCATAAAATTTCATTAGTCTATCTCTTTTCGTTTTCAAGATAAAAAATAAAAACATTATTTTTCCGCCATCTTTGTACCGCGATATCTCCCTAATGGTTGACTTTTGACCCAACGTTTATAAAGCAAACTACCCTTTATTTTGAACAAGGAATTACCCCCTAAAGTGTTTCGCATTTGTTTTGAAACACCCTGTATATCATTTATTTATTCGAGTTTAGTGAATTTGCTATAAAATTCTGATTCCAAAAATACCTTAATACCATAGAGTATATTAAATGGTCATTGAATTATGACCACGTCTATGAGGACGTCAATATAGACGTCCAGGAACCTTCGTATGAGAACTTCTAATCGAGACGATCAACGATCAACTTATTGTAAGTTTATCGCTAAGAAACCGCCGTTTGTCAGCTTTTCAAATTGATAATGAATTGCCCTTAAGAACCGTACATATTAACTAACGGACTACAAGAAAAAGATTAAATGAAGCAAATCTTATGTCAAGATGGCCTGCTTCGGGACCAGAACTTACTAGATGTGTTGACTAGGCCCAACAGCAAAGGCATGGTCTTAATGTAAAAATTACGAAAAATGTTAGTGCTTTTTTTAAAACCGAATATTTCCAACAAAAATAAAGCTAATGAGATGAACCAAAAAACAAACCATCGAGAAAAGATGTATCTAGATGATAAAATAATTTTTAAATTTCTTGCTGTTTTAACATATTTCACAGGGTGTTTCAAACTTTCATAAAAAATATCAACATTTTGTTTTCCCTCGTATAATTAACAGACGGGCAGTTTCATTTTTAACTTAGAAAAAGATACTAAGAAGTCCACTAATTTGGCAACACACTGCTTAAAAAATCATCAAAATCGGCCCATTAAAATAAAATATATTAACCTTTAAAATACATCAAAGTTTTAAGGTGCCCATTTTTCGTGCCGGTGAATGTATTTCAAGAACTATACATTTTAGTCATATACTTTTCTAATGAAACAAACCTTTATTTTTTTACTAGAATCCAAAAATCAATTAATCTAGAGGGTGTTCCATTACAAAAAACATAACTTTGATGTGTAACTTTTTTTGGGGACACCCTTAGAACTCTACATAATTTTAGAAAATACTTTAAATTGACTTACATAAGCTCAGAAAATTTCACTTCAATACAAACTTTTGTTCTCCTTGCAAAAACCGCGTCGTTTATGACGCGCCACCTTGTATAATTCGATTTCAATCAAAATTTCAATGATTAGAATATAAGCAGAATAGGTATAGCTTATGCATTAGATTTATTTATTTCAATAAATTTACTTAGAAAAAGAATTAAAAAAATCAAAATATTAAGAAGGAAATAATTAAGAGTTTACTAAAATTACTAAAATAAAAAATTAAAAGCAACGAAAAAAAATGGGTAAACATTTTAGTATTTTATCTATAAAACACAATACAGAAAGTATCACATTAATACATTCACAGTAATTGAATTCCGAGGTAAAGTCTCTGGGCCCTCCACTATAAAATTATTGTAAGAAGTATATTTATATATACACTTTTGTCTAAAATTTATAGAATAAGAAGCAATCAATGGTACTTTATACAAGTATAATGGTTTTATTGTCACTAATATAAAATTATAAAATTTTCTGTTTTATAGAATACTATAAAGCTGAATACTATATAGATATACAGGGTGAGTCGAATATATATCATTTATTTATTCGAGTTTAGTGAATTTGCTATAAAATTTTGATTCCAAAAATACCTTAATACCATAGAGCATATTAAATGGTCTTTGAATTATGACCACGTCTATGAGGACGTCAATATAGACGTCCAGGAACCTTCGTATGAGAACTTCTAATCGAGACGATCGACTTATTGTAAGTTTATGGTATGGAGTCTAAAAGGAGGAGGCGAATCGAACGCAAAAATTTTGGGCCCAGATTTCATGATCTAAATGAACTTCGAAAATCGCCGTTAGGGGCGCTTGTGATGATAGGGATACTAAAAATACACAGCTTCTTATGACAAGAATAACTATTTTATTATAAATTATAGAGCCAAGTTAATATTTGGGCATATTTTTACCAGAGTTAGCTTTTAGAAACGTGTTTTTTTCGAATTGAGCAACGTGCGTGGCTAAAATTGTGAATACAATACCTTAAATTTGAGTTTGAAAAGTTAGTTAGGTTATAACAGATGCCGGTTTTAGATATTCTTTTCCTAAGTTGTTATTATAAAAATGTTTTATTATGGGGTTCTATTTAGTGCATACACGGCCGAAGAAAAATATAAGCTGCTAAAGTAAATGTTTCCTTCAACTGGTGTACAAAAAATATAGAAGTTCCAGCAACAAACGTATCACCAGTTCAACCTTTTGATTTGATGTAAACAGTAATTGTTTCTTGATGAGAAATGTGAATTAAATAGTTTATGATGTGAGTGTGTTAGTGATTTATTAATAATTTTGCTGATGCAGTTTAAAGTTTCATAATTTTTCATGAAAACACTTGGAATGGACATGTTTACGTGCAGTTCATTGTGATACTAATAATAAACATTAAAAACTTTTAAACTAGTAGTGGTTTTATGACAAATTACAGCAAATGAATGACGAAAATTAATCAGGAATTATATAATATAAACATTGCACTTATCTTGTTTGATTGGTGTTGTGTATCTCGTAACTTTTTACTTTTTTTTAGCTTTTCAAAATTGTAAGTTTTAATGTCATCAGCAAAGTTTTGCCAATTATGACTGTTTCACAGACATTTAAATTGAAGATATATTATGTTCAATGTCACCTAACAATTGTGTTATAAATACATATAATAAGTCAGGGACTAACGTATGATCGAAAAAAACGGCGTCCAGTTGGCTGGGAAATGAACATCTTTAACATTCCCCATATAATTTTATATATAAAATGATCGCTGACGCCGTTTTTTCGATCATATTGTATGTATTCCTTCATATATTTATTTAGGCAGACAGTAGTATCTATCAGTAGTATCGACTTACTAGGGAGAAAGAAAATATAGGAACTAGTGAGGTTGCAGTCGGAAGGGTTTGGACTAGAATTAATACACTTTGTTAATGGTCAATCTTTCGGAATTTATTTATTCCTTCCTCAGGATACTGAAATGGAAATACATGTTACAGAAAAAAGGCTATAAAAGTGGAAAGAACTTACTCAACGTGGTAAAAAACCTTCTCTAAAAACTACATTAAAAAATAGGCTTACAGGAAACATTGAAAAACATTAAATTTATTTATTTAGGAATATAAATACATAACTTTAATTTTGATTAATTGACTAACTCCAAATAGCTAAATTTAATAAATGTAACATACACCTGAATATACAATAAAGAAATTATCTACTAATAGTAAAATAAATTATCTACCCTTATCTACTGATAGTTCCGTTTTGGTTCCGTCAACTAATTTTGTCTAAATAAGTACATAAAACACATCACTACTGCGAAGTATTTTGTCTGGGGAACTGCCCTTTGCCAATGCTGTAGCAAGTTAGGATGTCTTTCTTCTTTGTCGATGCTAGGATCCTAGTAATCCTAGTAAAAGAGATATACCTAATTATTAAATAAATTTAAAAAAATATTTTTTCACTATTCGAGTTGGCTGTTATTTTGAAACTACATTTTTGAAGTGTAAATAATGTTTAATATTCACTTTCTATAATATTCAAATAATATTTAATAGCAATGGTTGTTAATATATATATTATTAATACCTACTTATTTAATAACAGGTAATTTAAACACCTAGTAGCACATATATAATAACATGTTAGAAGATATTAAAGTATTAAATTATTATTATTTTAGGCTCTCTAGGTTATGTCATGCAGATGTTCGATTTTGGGCTATATTCTCTATTAATATGATATTTAAATAAATCTGTACACTGATTATATATAATTTTAATGTTTTTCTTAACAATTATCATAATTTTTTTTAAATAAATAATATTACTTACATTAGGAGCTTTGAAAAGTTTTGGGTTACTTTTCTTTCTTCGCTTTTTTATCATTGAAATATCCACTTTTACAGGCAGATACCGAGCTATTTCTACTGTATAGTTTTTTTTTCACAATGTTCATTGTTATACTGCTAAAAATTCAACAAATTAACTATAATTTTAGCAAAAATAAACTTAAACCGTATAATAACAATGAAAATATAGTATCCATATCGATCGCAGTGCCTCTACTGTCAAACCGAGGAACCTGCTTAAAAGTGGGGACAGAAATTTCAAATATGCCCATTGCCGATAAACCTCCTTTTTTAAGCCCTCCATAGTTTATGGCTAAGAAACCGCCGTTTGCCAGCTTTTCAAATTGATAATGAATTGCCCTTAAGAATTAAAATTAAATGAACCAAATCTTATGTCAAGATGGCCTGCTTCGGGACCAGAACGTACTAGATGTGTTGACTAGGCCCAAAAACAAAGGCATGGTCTTAATGTAAAAATTACGAAAAATGTTAGTGGTTTCTTTAAAACCGAATATTTCCAACAAAAATAAAGCTAATGAGATGAACCAAAAAACAAACCATCGAGAAAAGATGTATCTAGATGATAAAATAATTTTTAAATTTCTTGCTGTTTTAACATATTTCACAGGGTGTTTCAAACTTTCATCAAAAATATCAACATTTTGTTTTTCCTCGTATAATTAACAGATGGGGAGTTTCATTTTTAATTTAGAAAAAGATACTAAGAAGTCAACTAATTTGGCAACACACTGCTTAAAAAATCATCAAAATCGGCCCATTAAAATAAAATATATTAACCTTTAAAATACATCAAAGTTTTAAGGTGCCCATTTTTCGTGCCGGTGAATGTATTTCAAAAACTATACATTTTAGTCATATACTTTTCTAATGAAACAAACCTTTATTTTTTTTCTAGAATCCAAAAATCAATTAATCTATAGGGTGTTCCATTACAAAAAACATAACATTGATGTGTAACTTTTTTTGGGGACACCCTTAGAACTCTACATAATTTTAGAAAATACTTTAAATTGACTTACATAAGCTCAGAAAATTTCACTTCACTACAAACGTTTGTTCTCCTTGCAAAAACCGCGTCGTTTATGACGCGCCACCTTGTATAATTCGATTTCAATCAAAATTTCAATGATTAGAATAAAAGCAGAATAGGTATAGCTTATGCATTATTTATTTATTTTAATAAATTTTAAAAAGAATTAAAAAAATCAAAATATTAAGAAGGAAATAATTAAGAGTTTACTAAAATTACTAAAATAGAAAATTAAAAGCAACGAAAAAAATGGGTAAACATTTTAGTATTTTATCTATAAAACACAATACAGAAGGTTTCACAATAATACATTCACAGTAATTGAATTCCGAGGTAAAAGTCTCTGGGCCCTCCACTATAAAATTATTGTAAGAAGTATATTTATAACACTTTTGTCTAAAATTTATAGAATAAGAAACAATCAATGGTACTTTATACAATTATAATGGTGTTATTGTCACTAATATAAAATTATAAAATTTTCTGTTTTATAGAATACTATAAAGCTGCCAATGCAATTTCCAAAACTTTGTCATTTCCCACATATAGTATAGACAGATTAATTATTGAAGCCTTAGTGGAACAGACACATCCTTGCTCGAACGATATACTTAGTGTTATTGACGAACAATATTATGAAATCACTTATTCGACATCAAAAACGAATCTAACAAGATCAGCAGATATGGAAGGTAAACTTATTTTTAAATACTTAGGGTGTATTCCTTTGCTTACATTGGTTATGGTTTTATGTTCCGTTTTTATCAAAGTTTTCTTAAAGTTTTCTTAACCAAGGAAACACGGTTCCTGAAAAATATCTATCATAATTGTCACCAAACTAACCAGCGCCAGACGGTTGGTTTTTATGATTTTGTTTGTCAATTAGTGTCATTTATGTGACAGAAATCAAGCAAATACTGGAAGTTCGAGTGTAATTCTCATTTAATTTCTAAAATTTGTAATAATATTTTGTATTTATATCCAAAAACAACGGAGGTAGATAGTAAAGGTAAATAAATTTCAACTAACTAAATAGAATAACTTTTTAGGATCATTTAAACTTATCATGCAGCCATTGTTCCTTAAATCAATAGCATTTAAAGAAAACATGAGAAACAAGACAAAAAGTAATCGTGAATGTTTTGTTAGCTATAAAAATATAAATAAAAAATATAAATATTTATTAGATTTGTTTATTTATTATTGATTTGCTTTAATATTGGACCTGCAAATCTTCACTTGAGCTGCCTAACGAGTTTAACAGTTCATTAATGAAGTACTTTTCAATATTAAAAAAAATCCATTGAAATGAAGAAACAATCGTAAAAGCAGAGAATAGATACATTTAAAATGCATAAAAGATAAATTTTATAATAAAGGAATTGACATTTAGAAAACGTCAACATTTGACATTTCCAGTATTTTACCAAACCGTTCCGTATCAAATTGATGTTTTTCAGGAACCGCTCTTTACCGTAGTTTACCGGTTTGGTTCGCCTGGTTTTGCAACGGAATACAGCCTTAGTCATTGAACAATGTTGGAAAGATATTTTTTTTAGCTTAGATTAGATAGGGATAATAAACTAACTTAGGACACGCATGACAATAGCAATATTAGGGAATGCTGATAATACTTTATGTAAATCAAACACTAAATTTGTAAATCATCATCATTTTCAGCCTATTCAACCATACCAAATTATGGTGTAGCCTCCCTTACATACTTAAGATAATTTCTTTGTAATTGAGCCTATTGTTGGCTATGCGGGTTTAAGTTATTTCTGCTGATTTCTTTATAGCATGGTTCCATCTTAGGTTTGGTCTTCTTTTAGGCCTCGAGGATACCATGCTCTAATTTTTGTGGTTCATTGAGCTAAGCCACATCGTCGCTTTGCAGCAAAATTACTCAAAATTAATATTTTTGTTAATTTTACCTTGTTACGAGTTTTCTTCCTTTATGAATGAATCTTGCCTGTGCCTTCTTGTTGGTTATCTTCTGTTCTGACTTGGTACTGGTTTTCCCACCACCTCTATCTGATCTGACATTTGATCTATCATCTGATCTGATATCTGTCTTGGATCGATGAGGCTCTGGCGTTTGACTTTGATTTAACAACAATCAACCAGTGAATTGTAATTATTTCTTCTTGCAGATGCTGAATGTTGTTACTCGTGTCATCACTAATCCTACCCACTGTGCCAATTAAAGTTTTACTGCGCTAGAGCGAGTTTTATAAACTTTATTGTTCAGGCATTAAACAACGTTTACAGTTGATTCAAGATTCTTCTTATGCTCTCTTAACAAAGCGTCGGCTACCTCTCGCATGTACCTGTAATGTGTGTCATCAGTGTTTCACAAGTACACGGGACCTACAGTTTATCGCCGAATCCGATCGGCACTATTTGAGAAGCTGTACAGGGCAAATATACTCAAGGTGGTTTGTCATTGCCATTGCTTAGATAAATAAATATTTTTATTTAAATAAATAAAGCGACCGTACTGGCTGGGGATCGAACCCAGTACCTCTCGCACCGTAGATCGACATACTACCGCTGGAGCTACGGCCGGTCACAGATTAAACACTTAATAATAATTATATTCACTTACATCGGCAGCAAAACCCCTTGACAATCTGAAGATTGTTCTTATTTAAATCAAGGAAAATATTTTATTTTTCTCGGTCGTAAATCCTGAGAAACTTCTTCGAGTGTCTTAGACCGATGCAGAATTCCCATTCCAGGATACGGATTCCGCTTTGAGTTGGTTTCCAATCGGTTAGGTTAGTGGACTGTTCGTTCCTTTTCTAGCTAAATCATTTTCTTTCTCATTACCTTCTATCTCTTTGTGGGCTAGCACCTCGGCTAGCATCTAGAGGCTATTTCTTGTTTCCGATAGTTCCTATCTAAAATAAGTTGTACGCGTCTTTCGATAACGTAGATCCCTACCTGTAAGATGCTGTATAAGTAGGTGACCAATAATTCGGCGTATTTAGTTCTCGACCCAAATACTCCGATAACTGGTTCTGCTTTGGTTTTGGAAGCATCAGAATACTATAAACGTTATATATATGGTATAGCCTTTTTACAGCTGAGCAACTATGTTGCTCTAGTTTTGTGCGCCAAAGCAACTGCTCCATAAGTAATCATGGGTCTTACTATCATGGTATACACCCAGCGCAAAATATTAGGGTACTTTACTTAATACACTTTAATCTTTACTTTGTTCCTCTATTAATTGTTTTGAATCTGAGTTTTTTTTTCAGATAATATGTATGATAAAATATTACAAAAAATTAATACCATTCTAACAACAAAACCAAAGAAATCTACCAAAAAAGGATCTCTTACAGATAAAGGTAGTAGAGGATCATCTGAAAAGAGTCAAAACAAAGCAAAATCTGGTACTACAGATTGCTTTTTGAATATCCTACCGGAAAACCTTGTAGATTTATTAAAAATGAAATTTTGTAAATTTCCCTTTTTGATTATTGAAAGTTTAGTTAGTATATTCTGCCCAAAAGAGAACTTAGCTTTGTATAGTATTTTGAAAGCAGCTGGACCCTTAAAATACATACAAATAATACTATTTTCATACACTACATCGGATTTTATAAAGAGCGAACAGAATAAAGATGAAGAAATCGATGAGAGTAAGATTGTTAAGGATATTAAAAAACAAGAGGTTAGTGACAAAATTTCTAAGAAAAGTGCCGTTTCGGACAAGAAGTCAAAGGCTAGTGAGATGAAAAAGAAGCTTCCGCCAGTTCCGAAAGCCTTGAAAGATAAACTGGAAAAATACGAAAGCTTGCAAAGAGAAATTGTGCATGTGGCGCAAAACTGGGATAAAATATCTGGTGTATTAAAAAAGGTAACTAACGATTAATAAAAAAATGCGAATATTTTCCTTCAAGTTGAATAAGGCATTTTATACTCCTATGCAGAAGTAGGCCAACCTGTTACTATTATTTATACATAGCAACTTAAATCAACAGATTTGTGTTATTTTTATTAATTTTACTAGTACAAAGTCAAAATATTGAAAAAAATGAGTATATTTTCTCTAGTTAGCATATGAGTATTTAAAAAACGATAATTTATGTTTACAGAGTGTCTTAAAGCTAATTTTCTCAGATCTAAAGAATTATATTTTTAAATGGGCGTTTCACCTCAATTGGTAGAGGTACCTTAAGAAGGTTCAAATTTATGACTAAGAGGCAAAGCATTACGAACTTTACATACTAATAAAACATAGTCGAGACACAATTACAGACCTCCATCAAAACTAGCGCATAGGGATTGCTTCATGCTAGAAGTAAAATGATCGGCATTTAACAGATAATATTTGTAAGAAATAAAATAGCATTATTGTTTACAAAAAAAAACCTGAAACTAATTTTGAACGGAGTCCTCGTCTATTTGTTTGACGAACCTTGACATTATTTGTCCAGTTTACACGGTCATATTACATTCAAACGAAATGAATTCAAGTTACTTGATCAGCTGGCTTGACTCGTGTAAACGCACTTTAATGCTGCGTTTGGCTACATTTATCTTTAAAAGATTTTGATGTGAAATTCATTTACAGGTTTTGAATAATTATTTTATTATACTTTTTTAGCCGTTTATTGACAAGATACCGAAGTCCACAAGAAAGGATATAAATACGAAAGAATCGGTGAAAACATTAAAAAGTTCCGCTAGAAAAGTCTCAGATACCAACATAGATGACTTATCGAAATCTGAAGATATTGGTATTAAACGTCATATTTCATATTATACAGGATTTTTAACACTAATTTATTATTAATAATTTTTAACACTAATTAAAGTGTTTTTTAAATGACACTCTCGGTATTTTTTTGTTTTTTTTTATAGAAAATAACACTGACATATCATATGTCAACTCTTAACATTCTCGTTTAAAAAAATCGTATTTCAAATTTCAATCTGGAGTGTCACGGTTGTGTTAAAAACGCTAACTTTTAATCAAAGATCCTTGGAAAAATAGGTTTGATCGTGTATGTTTTTCTTATTCTGACCGGTTAAAGGTTGATTCTCACTATACCTTCCATATCAGCTCCCTTCCGTTTCTCTACCGTTTACATAAAATATTATATCATGTAAATGAATAGGATGCTAATCAATGCACACTATCCGTTCCGTTTCCCTTCTGTTCCATACATTTTTTTGGCGGACGGACTGAAGCGTATCGGAAACAGCATTGTCAAGTTCTTACATTTGTACCAGCTCTGTTAAAATTTTGCCGATATTTATTTATTCTTTCACCTCTTAATTAAGTCTACTGCTGTTTTCAAAAGATACAAATTTTTAAAATAAAACTTTCATAATGATATAAATTGTACAATAAAAACTATGGAACTGATACGGAACGGAAGCTTACGTATACCGTCAATACAATAAAAATACGGAACGGATATGGAATGGAAACGGAAAACGTAGTGAGAATCAACCTTTAAAGATGCCCGAATTCAAATGGAACGAGGGTGGCTCATTAGCATATTTGAAAAAATATTTTTTTTACAAATAATTTGGTACCACACACTTTGTATTTTAAGTCAAATTGTCGATATACTGGTGAATGACATTCGAGTAAATATGGAAGACAAAAAAATCACCTGTTTTGCTTTGCTTGATTTTAGCAAGGCATTTGATACTATAAATTACGATATATTACTAGCTAAACTCCATTACTTCGGATTATCAGAAAAATCTATAACGTTTCTTAAAAATGATCTATCTAATCGTCTGCATTGCGTTCAAGTAAGACAGGGGAATCATCAATTAAAGTCAAATTACGTTTCTATGACATGTGGAATTCCTCAAGGATCCATATTAGGGCCATTGCTATTTTCATTATATGTTGCCGATATGAATAAAGAAATGAAGTTTTCTACATTACAACAGTATGCAGATGATTCACAAATTTACTGTGCTTTCGCATCTGATAATTTAAAACAAGCTGAAGAAAATTTTAAAACAGATATTAATAACATATACAAGTATTCAATGGAACATAATCTAAAATTAAATGCATCCAAATCCTGTATTATGCTGCTTGGAAATAATCAGACTTTTCTCAATTATCTATCGGATAATCTTGATATATGTGTTAATAATACTAAAATACCAATAGTTAAGGACGCTAGAAATGTCGGCATATATTTTGACTCTGATTTAAAATTTGATATAAATGTAAAAAATAAATTGAAAATTGCATATATGCAACTAAAAGGTTTGGTTTATTTTAAAAAACATCTTCCTCAGAATACAAAATATTATCTGTGCAATTCGCTAATTTTGTCCTTGTTTGATTACGGAGATGTGGTATACGGCTCTTCATTGACTCAAAGGGTTGCCAGATCCATTCAAAAACTTCAAAATTCCTGCATGAGATTTTCGTATAATATCTCATTTCGTACACATATTACGCCATATTTAAATCAATTTAGTATTGTCTATAGTAAATAGGCGAAAACTTCATATGTTAACATTTATCTACCGTATCTTACACACTGGCCAACCGCCTTATTTAAAATCATTGTTTATACCTTTTGACCACACTCATGTAACAAGAAACTTACATCGTTTCAGAATACCTCACATAGGACGGCTGGCTTTCAGAAATCGTTTTCTTTTCTTGCGCCGCAATTATGGAATTCTCTTCCAATCAGTGTTAAATGCTTTAAATCACATTATTTTAATAAATATGTTAAGAATAATTTGCTGGTTTTACAATCGAATATAATATAGAACTTATTTCTAAATTTATCTTTTATCTTTTGTTATTTTGGCAAACTGTGGTGAAGGGGTCTTTAATTTGATATGGTTTTGACTGGCTCACTACTCAGCTTTACAATTTTGGAAAATATTTGTGTATGTGTTGAAATTGTATTTATATACTTTTTAACATTGCTAAATTGTCTTGCAGACGCTTTGTTCTGTGCGCTCGGGGTTTCTTTTTGCTTTGCCGGTCGTCCTCTGTTTTTCTTACGAGTTTGTTTGTTGTTGGTATATTATTGTATTGAAAATGAAATTCTGTTTAGTTATTTTTTACAGGGAGTGTGCCACACTGATGCCTTTAGCAATCTGTCAATCGGTTTTATAATCGCGGTGCACTCCTTATTATGCTATTAGGCTATTAGTCAGCCAAAGTATTTTTTCAGTCAGTTTGTATTTTGTATATTTTTTATATTGGGGCCTAATAAAAAGATTTGATTTGATTTGATATGAACACCATGTTACAATTACAAATAAACCACATGCGAAACTGTCATAAGTTGACGTATTATATGTTATTGTATTTAGAGTATCATTTTCTGTCGAATAAAGTAAAAAAACCAAGGGTGTCATTTAAAAATTAAAAGTTGTAGTCATTTCCGATGAAACAGGAAGTGACCGAAAATAACTGAATGCGTCAATTAATCCTAACTTATTTAGTTATCTTTGGTCACTTCCTGTTTCACCGGAAATGACTACAACTTTTAGTTTTCTTGAGTGAAAATCCCTGTATTAACATTATTACATTTAATTGTTATCAAACGTGTATATTGATTTTAGGATGTTACTTCTGGCTTATTTTAAACAGTCACGAAGATCGACCTGTGGATTTCTGTTCCATGATAAGGAACTCCATTGAAACTTTTGCTGAACTGAATGAAATCTTACAAAGTATCGATGAGTCGACGAGACAGGTTTTGGAAGAGACAGATACCTTATTTTCAGTCATTTCAAAATATAAATCCAAAGACAACGTTCTGTCGGATATTTTTAACATTAAAAATTGTAAATCAAGGGATAGTATTGACAGTACAAAGGTAAAGTTTACAGCAATTATTAATTTCTGCTATTTTTTTATCACCTCGTATACCTCGAGGCTATTCAAATGATGCATGGAATCCATATTTTTCCTCTATTTTTCTCTACATACCTCTTCAGTTTATTCTTATTAGAGTGATATGTGTTTTTTCTCTTTGATCTAACTAATAGAAATTTGAATAACAGTAAAGCAACTATTCTAATAAAGTTATAGATTCAAATATTTCAAATTAAATTAAATTATTACATATGGATTCTATATAGTTCATATCAAATAGCCTTGACCGGCACAGCGTTGCCCACTTTTACATATTTTCTTTTAATCAAAAAAATTTTAGGAAACAAAAATAAATTAATTATAAATATATAAACACTTATTATTTACATCAATAAAACTCACGGTAACATTTGGGCTCTGCGGTGGAACTCTAAATTCACTTATTTTATTAATAAATACATATCTAGCTTTCAATATTAGTGTATATAAATCATTTGTGTCAACGAAAAACAATACTTTGTTACATAAATTATCGATAATACTTAAAAAATATAAGCCTTGATATTATGCAAATCGGTAAATCGGCCATCTATATTTACAATTTTTCGTGCCATGTTGCCGATATGTTTTCATTTTCCTTTAAGATTTTTATTTTATTTAAACTCTAGAAATTATCAAAATACCATTTTTAAATAAACAATTACTAACACAGTAGTTGTTATATTCAATCGTTTCAAGAGGAAAAACATTTTTATTATTGATATTTTGAGAATTTTGCATGAAACCAAAATGCATTCTTCATAAAAAATGTTTGCTTGTTCTAAAATGGTTAATCCCGTTTATACTTTTCCAAATTTCCATACCGTTTTAGAGCAAAGGAAGCAAAGAAAAACATGAAAATATTGTTGAATCTTTTCTAAGTCCTAAAAATCAAAACGCGTTTCTATGGTATATAAAATATAAAAATAAAAAAATTCTAACAAAATAATAATTTAATATTCTAGTCTAATATTTTCATGTTTTTCTTAATTTTCTCTAAAATGCTACGGAAATTTGGAAAAGTATAAAGGGATTCATTTTCGAATAAGCAAAAAAATTATGGAGAATGCGTTTTTCTCAAAATGTCGACAATAAAAAAGTTTTTCCTCTTGTAAAGACAATCTGGGGACATATACTGTATATGTGTAGATGTGGAGCAATAAAGAGTTCAAGTTGTAAGAATTAATTATACATATAATTTATTTAGAGTCTTGATGATTTGGTATCAAAAATTAATACTAATTTATTAAAAATTTTGCTTTTATTATACGAAGTAGGTATATTATTTGTAAAAACCTTTGTAAAAACTAATTTTAAGATTTTTTAATAACTTATAGTGGCAGATGAGTAAACATTTTTTTACGTACTAGTATATGGATATATGAAATGCTGGTACTGACTCTAGGAGGGTCTCTGATACTGCCCTAGAAGTTTCAGACCTGTATCTCATCCGGAAGTGGTCGTACCGCAGAGCCCAAATAGAGTAAACGTCAAATATAAAACTTTAGCTAGACACTTTAAATTTGGTATGGAGACTCCAGGAGGATCTCTGATACTACCCTAGAAGTTTCAGACCTGAATCTCACCCGGAAGTGGTCGTACCGCAGAACCAAAATAGAGTAAACGTCAAATATAAAACTTAAGCTAGAAGCCTCAAATTTGGTATGGAGACTCCAGGATGGTCTCTGATACTACCCTAAGAGTTTCAGATCTCTATCTCACCCGGAAGTGGTCGTACCGCAGAGCCCAAATAGAGTAAACGTCAAATATAAAACTTAAGCTAGAAGCCTCAAATTTGGTATGGAGACTCCAGGATGGTCTCTGATACTACCCTAGAAGTTTCAGACCTGAATCTCATCCGGAAGTGGTCGTACCGCAGAGGCCAAATAGAGAAAACAACAAAATTAAAACTTAAGTTAGAAGCCTCAAATTTGGTATGGAGACTCCAGGATGGTCTCTGATACTACCCTAGAAGTTTCAGACCTGAATCTCACCCGGAAGTGGTCGTACCGCAGAGCCCAAATAGTAAGTAACGACGAAATTAAAACTTTAGCTAGAAGCCTGAAATTTGTAGGGTAGTATTTATGACTCTCCTGGAGTCTCCACACCAAATTTGAGGCTTCTAGCTTAAGTTTTAATTTTGTCGTTTACTCTATTTGGGATCTGCGGTACGACCACTTCCGGATGAGATTCAGGTCTGAAACTTCTAGGGCAGTATCAGGGACCCTCCTGGAGTCTCCATACCAAATTTGAGGCTACTAGCTTAAGTTTTAATTTTGACGTTTACTCTATTTGGGCTCTGCGGTACGACCACTTCCGGGTGAGATAGAGATCTGAAACTCTTAGGGTAGTATCAGAGACCATCCTGAAGTCTCCATACCAAATTTGAGGCTTCTAGCTTAAGTTTTATATTTGACGTTTACTCTATTTGGGCTCTGCGGCACGACCACTTCCGGGTGAGATAGAGGTCTGAAACTTCTAGGGTAGTATCAGAGACCCTCCTGGAGTCTCCATACCAAATTTGAGGCTTCAAGCTAAAGTTTTATATTTGACGTTTACTCTATTTGGGCTCTGCGGTACGACCACTTCCGGGTGAGATAGAGGTCTGAAACTTCTAGGGTAGTATCAGAGACCCTCCTGGAGTCTCCATACCAAATTTAAAGCGTCTTGCTTAAGTTTTATATTTGACGTTTACTCTATTTGGGCTCTGCGGTACGACCACTTCCGGGTGAGATAGAGATCTGAAACTTGTAGGGTAGTATCAGAGGCCATCCTGAAGTCTCCATACCAAATTTGAGGCTTCAAGCTAAAGTTTTATATTTGACGTTTACTCTATTTGGGCTCTGCGGTACGACCACTTCCGGGTGAGATAGAGGTCTGAAACTTCTAGGGTAGTATCAGAGACCCTCCTGGAGTCTCCATACCAAATTTAAAGCGTCTAGCTTAAGTTTTATATTTGACGTTTACTCTATTTGGGCTCTGCGGTACGACCACTTCCGGGTGAGATAGAGGTCTGAAACTTCTAGGGTAGTATCAGAGACCCTCCTGGAGTCTCCATACCAAATTTAAAGCGTCTAGCTTAAGTTTTATATTTGACGTTTACTCTATTTGGGCTCTGCGGTACGACCACTTCCGGGTGAGATAGAGGTCTGAAACTTGTAGGGTAGTATCAGAGGCCATCCTGGAGTCTCCATACCAAATTTGAGGCTTCTAGCTTAAGTTTTATATTTGACGTTTACTCTATTTGGGCTCTGCGGTACGACCACTTCCGGGTGAGATAGAGGTCTGAAACTTCTAGGGTAGTATCAGAGACCCTCCTGGAGTCTCCATACCAAATTTAAAGCGTCTAGCTTAAGTTTTATATTTGACGTTTACTCTATTTTGGTTCTGCGGTACGACCACTTCCGGGTGAGATAGAGGTCTGAAACTTCGAGGGTAGTATCAGAGGCCATCCTGAAGTCTCCATACCAAATTTGAGGCTTCTAGCTTAAGATTTATATTTGACGTTTACTCTATTTGGGTTCTGCGGTACGACCACTTCCGGGTGAGATAGAGGTCTAAAACTTCTAGGGTAGTATCAGAGACCCTCCTGGAGTCTCCACACCAAATTTCAGAATTATAGTTTAAGTTTTAATTTTCTCGATTACTCTAATTGGGCTATGCGGTTCGACGAAAAGAAATCTATAAAATATGCGTAACAAATAATTTTTGTCTTATTATAGAGAATATAATATATAGGGTGGTCCGATCTGTATTCCGGAATCTTTGGCAGCATATTTTGCAGATAAAAATAAGTAAAAAACTTCGTAAAAATGTATCTACTAAAATGCTTAGTTTGGAGATACAGGGTGTAGAAGTTTCATTTTTATTTCGAATTTTTTCCAAATAATTTGTGAAGTAACGTCAAAGTTTAGATGAAAATTGGTGTCTGGCAGTTTGTTGATATGAGGAATTTGATAATTTTGGTAAAAAATCGAAATAAAAATGAAACTTCTACACCCTGAACTCCCGAAAGTAAGCTTCTTAGGACATACTATACATTTATACGAACTTTTTTACTTAGTTTTATCTGCAGAATATGCTGCCGACGTTTCCGGACTATAGTTTGGACCATCCTGTATATATAGAAATTTAATTAACTGCTAATGTCATTATTATTGTTTATTATAATTAAAAATGAATAATATAATTAAGAATAATCTTTTTTTACATTACAAATATTGTTTTCCAATTTATATTATAATACTACCCTATGATCGAAAAAAAACGGCGCCGGCGTCCAGTTGGCTGGGAAATGACGATCGATGACATTTTCCATATAAATTTATATATAAAATGACAGCGATCTTCATTTCATAGCCATCGCTGACACCGTTTTTTTTTTCGAACATACGGTATATATTTCTAGAGATTCAAATGTACCAGCTCTCTAATTAAAAATATCTTCAAATACCCCAACTCTTTAATTTTTAAACAACTCAATACCAATAGATTTTTTACAATGAATTATCTATTATTCTTTATCTAAATATTATAGGCAACCCAACTTTTCCTTCTTCAATAATATTTATTAAATATGTTATTAACATATTATAGTTATAAATAAATTAAATGATAACAAAAAAATAATATTACTAAGGGTTTAATAAAATCGTTAGGAAAAAGGTAGTATAAATTAAAAACAAAACCGGTTAAAAAACAAAGTTATAAATAAATTAAATGATAACAAAAAAATAATATTACTAAGGGTTTAATAAAATCGTTAGGAAAAAGATAGTATAAATTAAAAACAAAACCGGCAACATTGCACCATAATTTCTGTGTCAGAACCGGCGACAGTTGAAATATTTGAATGCCGTTCATGGTTATTATGTGTTTATTTGATAATTATTACCATATTAAATATATTTTTTAAACAAAATATTGTTTATTTGGTACAGAGACAAATTATAATAACTTATATACACTAATATTGAAGCCTAGGTATGTATTTATTAATAAAATAGGTGAATTTAGTGTTCCACCGCAGAGCCCAAATGTTACCAAACTCACCTCCTTAACAGCACTTAACGCCCACTTGCACCGTTTGTATAAACTTTGTTTAAAGGCTAAACAGTGATTAACTATAATAATGCCCACTTGCCCCGTTTGTATAAACTTTGTTTAAAGGCTAAACAGTACAAACTATACATATTTTATTATAGTTAATCACTGTTTAGCCTTTAAACAAAGTTTATACAAACGGTGCAAGTGGGCATAAGGGGCCATTACTACAGCTTCCTTGTTCAAAATATTGTAATAAAGTTGCGATGAGTTTTTTACAGCTATTAAACTATCTAATACACTTCGCACTAAAAGAGGTTCTAAAAAGAACAATGTTCGACTGCAAGGTCTGCTAGTAAGCATTTTTAAGCTTAAAGTATCACAAGACTATTTATTTAAACCAAAAACTCGTAATACAAAACTAAAATGTCAAAACGAATGACAATGTCAGGAAATAAATAAACAAATGTGGCAACTTGACATTTTTTACAGCAGAGCTACCACCTGAATCCCCAGCGCGAAATTCAAATTCCAGTTAGTCAGGCTGGCGCCAAGTATGTCCATGGTTGTCAACAATGAATTTAAATTTTTTTGACGAGTTTCGTCACTAAACAATACTTTCTTCCAAATCTTGAACTGTCCAGTCCAAGTGTCTTCGTGCAAATTCTAGTCACCAATCATTTCTTGGCTGGATGTCTGCTATAAAGTAAAAACTAATCGTCGTCGAACATTCCTCGACAACTAACTTGTAGTTCAGGAATTTCAACAATTATCTCTGCTCTTGACAACCATCCTGAGATTATTTTGAGAAATTTTTTTGATTCTTGTATCCATCTAAAATGTAGTTTTTCTTGGCCTCCCGATTTTGTAATTTTTCAACTCTTCATATAATTATTGTCATTTGTTATACAGGGTGAGTCTTAAATAAGTGCAAATAATTTCAGGGCTGGTTGATCTCGATAAAAGAAACATATTTTATCTTTACCATTTTTCAAATAAATCCAAAATAACCGAGTTATCTTACTTTGAAAATTTCCAAAAAAATGTTTTTTGCTTCAATTTTCAGAACCACTCTGAACACACTCTTAACCTCTCGTTTCTGGGTTTTCTTTCTTGTAAATTTAATCTACTATCTATGTTGCCATATTATCAAGAAATTATGTTTTTAACTAAAAACTAAAAAAAATCCAAATTTTCTTTTTTTTTTTCGTGAAAAAAACTCATAATTATATATATTGGCACTTATTTCAGACTCACCCTGTATAATTAGTTAATTCTATGTGAATTTCATAATTTTTTAGTTTACTACACGTAACACGTATACAGGGTGGGCCACTGAAAACTTACAATGGCTGTAATTCTTAAACCAAAAAAGATATCAAAAAATAAAAAATACCGTTTCTATAATATCGAGGGGGAATACAGATGACGTATTTTTTGAACCACCCCGACCTACCCCTTAGGCGGCACCCCTACTCACTTGAAAATCTTAAAGGACAACACCCCACTTGTGGCGCCTTTTTGGAAAGCCCATGAAAAATGCTAAACGATGGTCATAAAGTTTTTAGGGTGAAATTGAAAAACTACCCCTTACACGAAAAATTAGGTGGACATTTATAAAAAAGTGATTTTTTCAGCATAAGTTATAAATTGGGACCCAGCTTAATGAGGCAAATGATATATTTTTCAAACCACCCCGACCCACCCCTAGGTGCCACCCACTCACTTCTAATCTCAAGATAGCGATACCCCACTTGTGACACTTCTTTAGAAAGCTAAATCAAATTGCTAAACGATGGTCATACAGATTTCAACTTCTGTCTTCTTTCAACAATTACTGGTAAGTAGTGATAAGAAATGTAGGTGTGACAATTTGAAAGAAATTTAAAATGATAATTTATTTTAACAATTGTTCAAAATGACAGCTGTTTTGTTCCATACAAAAATACAAACGATTTTCAAATTCTTCTCTTACTTTTTGGAAAGTCTCTCTCGGAATATTTCTACATGGCTTCAGTTATCCTCTGCCGCAATTCTTGCGACGAACCTGGTTTGGTCTTGTAGACTATGGATTTCGTATAACCCCACAAGAACAAGTCTAAAGGAGTGAGATCAGGTGACATTGGCGGCAACTCGATTGGACCCCTTCTGCCAATCCATTGCCTTGGATAATATCTATCCAACCACCTCCTTGTGACAATAGAATAATGCGGAGGGGCTCCATCTTGCTGAAAGTGTATGAGGTCTTCATTAAGAGTTAAATCTCCTTCCAAATCTCTTTGATTTTCAACCTCATTTACAATGGCTGGCTCTATCAAATTGTTCAGCATTTCCACATCACCAGTCAATTTCCGTCGATGAAAAATGGACCTATAATTTTATCGCCTAGTATTCCGCACCCAACATTGAGCTTTTGGGAATGTTGGGTGTGTCCTTCAACAACAATATGCGGATTCTCATCGCTCCAGTATCTGCAGTTCTGCTTATTCACAACTCCGTTTAAAAAAATTGAGCACTCATCACTAAAATAAATATTTTTAGTGAGTGAAGGTTCCCTTCGAATTTCCTCCGTCATTAGTTCACAGAACTGAATCCTTCTATCTGGATCGTCGTCGCCAAGTTCCTGCAGAATCTTCATTTTGTAGGGATGGAATTTGTGCATTTTCAATACTCTCCTGACAGATGTTCGAGGTATACCTGTGATTGATGCCAACTGGCGTGTTGATGCTTCTAGATTGACCGATACCTGACCAATAACTTCCATCTGCATTTCTTCATTCAGTACCATGGGCCCTGTCCTTTTTTTATTTTTGACCGACCCAGTTTCTTGAAACTTTAAAATCAAATCTCTAACATAAACGTGACTTACGTTTTTGTCCGGATTTCTCTCATTGAAAGCACGGGCCGTTCTCAAATAACACATACCTTCAGCACCATAAAGAAAAACTATTTGAATTCTTTCTTCCACAGTATAAACCATTTTTCTTTCAAATAAGCGAATCAAATAAACGTTTAAAATACCACCAAATTTGCAAACGATTGAAAATCGATACAAGACAGTGCAAAAACGCAAAGATATGCCGTTTTAAGATATCTGTTTGTTGAAAGTAAAAAAATAGATGATAAGGAAGAATTTGCGTTATCGCAAAATTAGGCTGAACGATTAGTAAAACATCTTTGTGTTGCCTTTTTTATTATCTACATTTTTTATTTTTAGCTTTAAAATGGCAATGGTTTAAAAATGGCATTGATGAGATTAGAAGTGAGGGGATGGCACCTAGGGGCACCAATTTGTAACTTATGCTGAAAAAATCACTTTTTTTATTATGCCCACCTAATTTTTCGTGTAATGGGTAGTTTTTCAATTCCACCCTAAAAACGTTATGATCATCGTTTAGCATTTTTCATGGGCTTTCCAAAAAGGCGCCACAAGTGGGGTGTTGCCATTTAAGATTTTCAAGTAAGTAGGGGTGCCGCCTAAGGAGTGGTTCAAAAAATACGTCATATGTATTCCCCCTCGATATTATAGAAACGGTATTTTTATTTTTTTCATATCTTTTTTGGTTTAAGAATTATAGCCATTGTAAGTTTTCAGTGGCCTGTATTAGGTATATATCTACTTTTTTATTCTTATATTTTTCGAAGCTGAATTCACATAAAAATTTTTTTTAATATTTTAGTAATAAAAAATCCTATTTATTGGGAACTATTTAGCGATTGTTAATAATTAATACCTATATTTTCTGACCATTGTAGGGTCGTAGTAAATCTGCTACAGGTTCAGGAGAATTAAAGCAAAAACGTAGAAGAGGTTCTAGAAGAAGTAGTGTTAGTGCAAAGTCAATTGATCTATACAGAGAAGGAGTTACAAAAGGTATATACCAACTTTATTAATTTGACGTTCATATTGTAATTGTTCTTAGAGAATAACATCCCAGAGATGGCTAAAACTGTTATTTCTAAAAATTTTATTTCAATTCAGAAACTTTCACTATCTATTCTATTTATTTATGAACAATAACATATTATGAACATTATGATCAGTTCTACAATCCTCTAGGATATCATTTATAACTCTCCAACAAAAACGGCGGATTGTTGTTTACAGTTTCAAAACCAAAAAGTAATAATGCAATCCCGACTTTGCAAGCAATCAACTGTTACAACTTACTGATAAACTACTCTGTTAATACTATATACTTATAAAACAATAAACTTTTGATATCTAAGCACAATTTCTCTGATGAATGATAATCATGGCTGGGAAACTTAAATTGAAATGACAGTTCATTAAAAATAGTTCTTCCTCCAAGATGCAGAGGCGCAAAATATTCAAACTGTCAGTATAAATTTCAAATTTTTGACAAACGTCAATAATTATTCAAACTGACGCGGACGCGGCGTTTTTGTTGCGATTTTGGCGGATGATTTCGTTTTAAATTTTAAATTATAATATTCTTGATTCCCTAGTTTTTATTTTTTTATGAGTATTGTGTTTTAGCGAGTGTTTTATTAGTTGTGTTTAAGTTAGTTAAGTGTTGCGTTTAATTGTTTAGTTTTGTGATAAAAACTTTTGTTTAATTTTAATAATGGTGTTTAATTGTTGCATTTGTAAAAACTATAAAAAAGACAGCCTGAAACTGCATCGTTTTCCGAAGGATCCAATGGTAAGTAAATTAAATATATGTACCTACATTATTATATAATACTCTTATATTAATACTGGGAATTAAAGATTCAAGTTAGCATATATATATATTTAAGTTTTTGAGGTAGGAAGTTTAAGGCATATAAATGTTGCCATTCAGTAAGATATTTTTTTTCTGGTCATTCAGTAAGATATTATTCTGGCCAATCAGTAAGATATTTTTTATGAAAATATGAAAAATAATTGATCACATTTATGGAAACCCAAGACCAAGACATATCCTGTTTTTTAATTATGCACAGTTTTAGTCTGTTTTTGGTTTGAGTTTTTCTATTTTTCTTTCTTCTAAAACACAGTGTGCCTCAATATAAATTATAACGAGGTTTTTTTTTCTTTTAAACTATCATATGAAACATAGGTATTCTTAAATATTTGCACAATCTACATTATATAAATTGCTAATTTTTATCTTTGTCGTCTCTACTGAAGTAACGACTTGCTCTAGAAAGTTGCTTTTTTACTAAAAGATAGCTAAATGGCTTTTCTAAAAACTGTCGTCGCCGGGTTTTTGATTTAATTAAAAAAATAAATAAATATTTTTTTTTCCTGATGTCGTGGCGGATGCGCCAGGCTTCAACTAGTATAGTTATAAACCTCAATCCAAGTACTTAAACAAACACTTTCAAAATTATAATTTATGTAATTTATTAATAACTAGTTGAAGCCTGGCGCATCCGCCACGACATATCAGAAAAAAAAACTATTTCTTTATTTTTTAATTAAATGAAAAATCCGGCGACAACAGTTTTTAGAAGAGCAAATTAGCTATCTTTTAGTAAAAAAAGCAACTTTCTAGAGCAAGTCGTTACTTCAGTAGAGACGACACAGATAAACATTAACATTTTATATATGTAGATTATATTAATTTTCACCATATTGTCATCAAATTTCCATTGTGATCATACTGATCATGTAGTTTATTTTGCTTATGGGGATTGTGTATACATCTTTAATAGATATATTATGATGTTAATTATTAATTAAAATCTTATGAAATCCATTTCCAAAAACCAAATGAAACAAAAAAAAAAAAAAATATATATATATATATATATATATATATATATATATATATATATATATATATATATATATATATATATATATATATATATATATATATATATATATATATAAATGCCTACTAGAGATAAATATTTTGTGGCTGAGTAAGTTCTTTGGTCGTCTAAATCCTATTAATCTTGGCATACATTTTAGAGAGTTTTAAAATATATATTTTAACATTAAAGGGCCTAACACAATAATATTGCAACTCTAAATTAAAAGTACCATTCTTATATTTGTAGTTGTTTAACCAGTGGGTTGAAAATATTGGCCGAGATGATTTAACGACAAAAACAATGGATAAAGTTAGAGAATCATATCGGGTTTGTGACATCCATTTCGCCCCAGAGAGTCGCTATACTGGAATCATATATCTAAAATTATACAATTATTTAATAAAAATATTTTATCAGTTATCATATATAATATACTAATTTTATAAGAAATAACCCCTAAGTGTTTGATTTATTGTTATAGCATTTCTTTTTCAAGATTCCAGATTTGTTGAAACCAAATTAGTAACAAGGGAACAAGTCAACAGTACACCAGAAGTACCTAGTGAGGTAATACCATCACACCAAGACCAAGATATTCAGAAGCCATCTACATCTCAAGTGACACCACAAACTACACCAAAAAGAAAACGTAGCTTGGTAAAATTAAGTTCTCCGGCCAAATTATCAGGTGAGAATATACAACAGTAACTTTTAATTATATTTTGGAGTAGTTTAACAAAATCACTTTTACAGTGGATAGGTTTCGCTTATTTTTACATAGATAAATAACACTTATATAGGTTTTGAAACTTTTGGCGATATAGCAGCAAAGTACCCAAAACGCTAGTTCACCACAAAATCGATGACAACATTTTAGTTCACTAACTATATTAGCATCTACAGCCAGATTATTGTTTATTAATATTTTTTTTATTCCAGGTCTGAAAAGACGAACTCGGATTCTTGCCTATACAAAAATTGGCCGAGCTTCCCAATTGACTCCAGAGGGGAGAAAATTATATAAAATTGCAGGTGATTTACGTAAAACCGCAAAAAGATTAAATTTTAGCCGCGAAGATTTAAAAAAGCAGATTCAAAAAATGAAGGAAATTATAGATTCTCCAGAATTTTTAAAGGCAAAATTAAATAAACATACCTTTGATTTTGTAATGGCTCAGTTGAGATGCCAGCTACTAAAACCGAAGGGTAGACGCTATACCCTAGACGAAAAAATTCTTTTTTTGGCATTCTTAAAACAAAGCCCCAAAGGATATAAATTGATTAGACAGATATTTGCTGCTCCATCCAGAAAAACACTGACAAATTTGCTAGGAAAAATTCCTTTCTACGCCGGGGTTAATGACGCAATAATGACATCAATATCAGCTAGATGTAAACTTATGGATGAAAAAGAAAAGTGCTGTGCCCTTGTTTTTGACGAAATGGCGATCGATCCAATGCTTCAGTACAATAAGAAGAAGGATATTGTGGAAGGCTTCCAGGACAATGGAACGAATACAGGTAGAAGGCCACTAATCGCAGATAAGGTGATGGTTTTTATGGCGAGGGGAATATTTAAAAATGGAAGCAGCCCCTAGCCTATTATTTCAACGATGGCGGAATGAAATCAGATGTAGTGGTAAACTCAATCAAAGAGGTGGTACTAGCATGCCAGCATGCTGGCCTAAAAGTGTGGGCCCTTATTTGTGACCAAGGGACACCTAATGTGGCTGCTATTAATAAAATGTATAAATACACGGCTGAAGAGTATATAAGAAATGGCGAAGAAAACAGGCTTTTTGGAGTGAAGATTGGGGAGCAGGAAGTGATTCCTCTGTATGATCCACCACATTTGTTAAAATGCATAAGGAATAATTTCTTTATGTATCAGGTTTCTTTTAAATGGAGAAACAGTGGAACAGAAGTCGCCAATTGGGACCACCTAAGGAAGTTATTCGAAATAGAAAACCAAGAAGACGACGAATATAGGTGCTGCAAAAAACTAACTAGGGATCACATAGAAAACACGAAAAAAATGAAAGTATCAATGGCTGCACAAATATTCAGTAATAATGTGGCTTCAGTTATGAAAAGGATGGCTACGAGAGGCAATGTTGTTGCTGATCTAAATTATTTGCCACAAGGAGCAGTTAGTACAGCCGAGTTTCTTCTTTTTATGGACTACGTATTTGACAGTGTAAATGGGTCATACGTATCCATAAAAAAGGGAAAAACCTTAAAATGTGCAATCACAAAATCAACAGGCCACAAAACTTTCTGGGCTGAGGCCATAAAAGTTTTCTCATCAATGGAATTTTCGAGCGGTTCCAAAACTCACATAGTTCCCCCATCAATAAAAAATTGGATGCATACTTTAAAAGCATTTTCCTACTTATGGTATAAGTGTGAAAAGGAAAATATTGCATTTTTATGCCCAAGGAATCTAAATCAAGATCCGCTCGAAAATTTTTTTGGATCCGTAAGGAGTCATGGTGTTCGCAACATCAGTCCCAATGCTACCTCGTTTGTAAATTCCTTGAAATCACTTGTGATTAACAATTTCTTAGCCAGTCATTCAAGATCTGCTAATTGCCAGAATGACAATTTAAAAGGTCTAGATGACCTTAAACATATGTTAACGTCCCTCGAACCAGTTATAGAGGTTGACGTCAGTTTTCCTAATGTCATAGTGCCTGAGTACCAACCAGCCCATAATTCTTTATTGAAAAGAGGGAAGCTAACATATGTAGCAGGTTTTGTGGCTAAGAAAGTGTTAAAGCGCATTGGAATTTGCAAACAATGTAGGCAAGACTTAGTTGGAGATGACAGGAGCCGAGCAGAATGCTTTATTGTGGATGCAAGAGCCTATTCTGCAAAAGCGTTACTGGCCCCTTCAACAAATTTTAACGAATTTTTTCAAAAATGTATATTTATCATGAGTAATATTTTGCCTCAAATATGCCACAGCCAAAATATTACTACGCTAATTAAAAAAATATTAAACGAGTTATGCAAAGAAAAAATATTCTGTTGCAATAAGCATGATGTTAAAAAACTTATATGTGATTATATTTCAGTTTTTCATTTGAACGTATGGATTAAAAATGTAAATGCCATATTAAAAGGAAAGCAAGTAATAAACAAATCATCCATAGATAGACTAAAAATATATGCATCTAAGAAATTCGAAAAACATAGGAATTATTGTAGTAGGGTACGTAGGATGAAAAATATTCAGCATTAATAAAAGTCACACTTTTTGCCTGATTTAGGTATTTTTAAAGTAAAGAAATTAAAGTATTTTAAGTTAACGTCTTCTTTTTATTGCCAGGGTTAATAACAACAGCACAATTTTCTCAGATGTTAGATCCTGTTTTAAATTAATAGGAGAACTAAACTATCGTCAATTTACAATAGAAAAAGTAAAAAAATCGGTCTTGCACTTAGATTGTGGGTTAAAAAGGGGTTTAAAAGAAAAAAATCGCCGTTGTGTGGTTGGCTCATCCAACCCAATTTATAATGAGATAACAAGTATACACACGTCCAGATTTTTCATCCAACCCGACTAAATCTGATTATTATGAATTAAGAAAGCGACGTTTTTTGCTGTTACATTTTTTTAAATAGCTTACCATTACTTGCTATTTGCACTATTTTATACTTAACTCATTATTTTGTATTAGGTTTAAATAAATTATAAGACATCTAGGCATATATGCGACACCTGTGTGTGTCTCATATTTTTAGATTATAAAATTAGATAATATATTTTAATTGTCTTAAATCTAAGTAGCTTAACTAATCTTAATTAATCAAACAATAAATAAAATACAAAAGAGGAAAATAAATTATCGGAAATTATGTAATTTAAATATGATATGCCTATTGATTATATTTCTCTTCAAAAATATGTTGATAAACGGTATTTAAATCTTCATAAATATATTTTTTCCAATGTTACCTGATTGAATTTTTAATATTATCATTAAAGTTTTCAGACATAAATAAATTAAGAAATTCCTACTTATTAATAGTAGTAGTGTTTTATTGATTTTTTATCATCTTATATTTGATAAAATAATTTTCGACATGTAAGAACAGTGTGTGCTTTTAATTAGGTTGATTGGCCGTTTATAATACGTTCGAGCAGATTAAAAACATACATTGTGTTCTTACTTCTTACATGTTGAAAATTATTTTAAATCGATTATAACCAGATTAAAACAACCCCCCTTCCCCGCACCCGTCTGTTCCGATAGTATTTCTTCCTCCAACTACCAGAGGCGCCCTTGTATAATAAAATTGAAATGTATAATAAGTTGCCTATCTATTTAATATTATAAGTCTTTTATCTATGATGATAATCAAAGGTCAAAATGACATTCCCCGCAAAATTTGAAGTATAATTAGTGGAAAAGTCAAAAGGTTGTTAACTTTTTCTACTAATTGAAAATGACTACCACTAATTTAGACGTTCTGAATGCTTACATTGCAATTAAAGGAAGAAACATCTACGCTAATTAAAACCACTAATTTATTCCACTAATTGTAAGTTTTTTAGTTTATGATCATGTCTAAAAAACAAAATTATAATTAGTGGAAAAGTTAAAAGTTTGTTAACTTTTTCCACTTTGAAAGTTCCTACCACTAATTTTGTCGTTGAACAAACTTCTACGCTAATTGAAACCACTAATTGCGAGGTTCTGAATGAAACTTAATTAAAACCACTAATTTTGATGTTCTGAACGAAACTTTATTGTGAATTGTCATTGTCAAATATTTTTAATCAATCACAATATCACAAATGATTTCTATTATCGCATAAGCCTATAGGATAGACGGAGGTATGCAGTGGCGGACTAAAAGATTCGGAATTGTACCTTTAAGGTATGATTCCGAATATGACCGCAACGACCGACTGCAACCACAGACCGCACACTGCAACCGCATTGCCGTTGCCGTCTGAGGTCGGATTAATGCAGGACACAGCGACACAGATAGTCCTGTAGTCGTAGATAAGAACTCCTCGAGGAAACATGTTAGTATCTTCTGCGATTATTGAACTCTTGTTGGAAGAGGAAGATGATGATGATGTGTTACTAATGCATACTAGGAAACAAAGAAGGTTGACAATGCCTTTGTATAAAAATAGAATAGATGAGGGAAGTTACTCAGTGCTAATATAAAAACATTTGTTGAGTAATGAAACCATATTTAGAAGCTAATGCCGTTTAAATAAAAGGCGGTTTCATTTTGTACTAAGCCTCATTAATGACGATATTAAACCAAAGTGTACAGGGTGGTCGAAATTGGTCTGTTTTAATAGAGAAACCCTATTTCCTGACTAGATAGAGCAAAACCGACATAGATGTCATAGGTTCGATTTCTGAGACACGTTTAATGACGTAAACCGCCTGTTGATATTTTCACTGCCAACTGAGATACGGGGTCTTTTTGCATTTTTTACCATTTGAAAAATTGCCAATAAACTTTTGTATTTCGCGGAATAATAAAATTCTCTAAAAACGTTCTTAAGGCACTTTTTTAAGCACAATCCAGGGGCGTAGTCAGTTTTTCTCTAGAGTCGCTCTTATTGTCAGAAATAATAAAAAATATAATTTTTTAAATGGAAATCATAGTTGGCTATGAACTCAAAAAAATGCTGGCTATTAATCCTTTCCAACGATATAAAGTTATGTGTATTTATTTTTAAGAATGAGAGAAATATTAGGTTTTTTATATTTATATCGAAGCGGGCCTTGATTTTGTGCTGACCTAGTTGTCTAATTATTTTTTATCACAATTTAATATTCTATTGTATTATTTATCTGCATAATTTAAAACTTTTGAAAAGTTCATTCATTCAACATTCTATATTAGTATTACCAATTAGAATTAAAACGCCATGGTTACATCTGAACTATTAAATGGAGAATTTAGAGAGAATTGGATTGGAACAAGGGGCCCCATATCTTAGCCTGCTAGGTCCTATGATTTAACTTCTTTCGACTTTTTTATGGAGAAAATTAAAAGACCTAATATATTAAAACCACTGGGACGAGAGAAGAATTACAGAAGGCAACTAGGCAAGCTTTTGGACTTATTACACCAGTTCGCCTAATAAATCGCTGTAACTCTGTGCGTAAAAGATGTTTATTGTGTATTTAACAAGCAGGTGTTTAGTTTGAACATCTTTAATGATTTTTTTTAGGAAACTATATTCGTCACTCAAAAATACGTTTTTTTAGTTTTGTTCTTTGTTTATTGTATCGATTTCAATTGTAATTACTAATACTAATGTAGAATGTTAATTTACCTTTTCAAAAGTCTTTAATTATGCAGATAATAATAATAATATACAATATAAAATTGTAAAAAAATAATTAGGCAAATAGGTCAACACAAAATCAAAGCCCGCTTCGATATAAAGATAAAATAACCTAATATTTCTCTCTTGCAAAAAAACTGACCACGCCACAGGATTGTTCTTAAAAAAGTGCCTTAAGAACGTTTTTACAGAATTTTATTATTCTGCGAAATAAAAAAGTACAGGTTTCTATAGTCTTCAATGGGATGTATTCTAAAGTAGGCGTCATTGCCGTCGAACGGCAGTCCTCGCTTTAACTGCAAACCGCTTACGAACCAGTATTGCAGTCGACTTCACGGCCTTCATGCTGAAAATATCATACCTACACGTGAATGAAACTGTCTTTTTTTAAACGGCAATAGCTTCTAAATATGGTTTCATTACTCAACAAATGTTTTTGTATTAGCACTGAGTAACTTCCCTCGTCTATTCTATTTTTACAAAGGCATTGTCAATCTTCTTTGTTTCCTAGTATGCATTAGTAACGCATCATCATCATCTTCCTCCTCCAACAAGAGTTCAATAATCGCGGAAGAAACTGACATGTTTCCTCCAGGAGTTCTTATCTACGACTGCAGGACTATCTGTGTCGCTGTGTTCTGCATTAATCCGACCTCAGACGGCAATGGCAATGCGGTTGCAGTGTGCGGTCTGTGGTTGCAGTCGGTCGTTGCGGTTTGGTTGCGATATTCCGAATCATACATTTAAGGTACAATTCCGAACACGACCGCAGACCGCAGCAGCAGACTGCAGGTTACACTACATATTTCTATAGTTTTCAATGGGATGCATTCTAAAGTAGGCGTCATTGCCGTTGAACGGCAGGCCTCGCTTTAACTGCAAACCGCACTACCGCTTACGAACCAGTATTGCAGTCACGCAGTCGACTTCACGGCCTTCACATGGCCCAAAATGAGTTTTTCGGAAACCGCCTATTTATGGCGAGCCTTATACTCTTTGGTTTAATATCATGTTTCCTCGAGGAGTTCTTATATACGACTGCAGGACTATCTATGTCGCTGTGTTCTGCGTTAATGCGGTTGCAGTGTGCGGTCTGTGGTTGCAGTCGGTCGTTGCGGTCATATTTGGAATCATACCTTTAAGGTACAATTCCGAACACGACCGCAGACTGCAAACCGCAGGCGGCACTACAGGTTTCTATAGTTTTCAATGAGATGCATTCTAAAGTAGGCGTCATTGCCGTCGAACGGCAGCCCTCGCTTTAACTGCAAACCGCAGTATCGCTTACGAACCAGTATTGCAGTCGACTTCACGGCCTTCACGCTGAAAATATCGTACCTACAAGTGGTCCAATATGATTTTTTCGGAAGCCGACGAAGAAAGATTAATTAATATAGTGGCAAATCATACAGTCATTTATGACGTAAGTCATGAAGAATATCGTAACGTGCTGAAAGGCAATGTGTGGAAAATGGGTTTTCTTTGGTTTAATATCGTCATTAATGAGGGTTAGTACAAAATGAAACTGTCTTTTATTTAAACGGCAATAGCTTCTAAATATGGTTTTATTACTCAACAAATGTTTTTGTATTAGCACTGAGTAACTTCCCTCATCTATTGTATTTTTATACAAAGGCATTTTCAACCTTCTTTGTTTCCTAGTATGCATTAGTAACATCATCATCTTCCTCTTCCATCATCATCATCTCTCCATCATCATCTTCCTCTTCCAACAAGAGTTCAATAATCGCGAAAGAAACTGACATGTTCTCTCGAGGAGTTCTTATCTACGACTGCAGGACTATCTGTGTCGCTGTGTTCTGCATTAATCCGACCTCAGACGGCAACGGCAATGCGGTTGCAGTGTGCGGTCTGTGGTTGCAGTCGGTCGTTGCGGTCATGTTCGGAATCATGCCTTGAAGCCTGTCAGGGGCCCGGAGCGGCAAACCTAAATGTGGCCCCCGGTCTGTTCAGGTAATGATACCGTATGATCGAGAAAAAACGGCATCAGCGTTGGCTATGAAATGAAGATTGCAGTCATTTAATATGATCGTCATTTTAATAATTTAATGCACATTTTGTAAAGATTAAATGACCTAAAATTCAAGTATTTATATACTGTAGTAATAAAAATTGATATACAGTATCTCCCCGGATTGTCTTTACAAGAGGAAAAAAACTTTTTTATTATTCACATTTTGAGAAACAATCATTATTTATAAAAAAAATTCTTGTTCTAAAATGGGTAATCCCGTTTTTACATTTCAAAATTTCCGTACCGTTTGAGAGAAAGTTAAGAAAAACGTGAAAATATGGTTGAATTAAGTCCTAGAAATCTATGGTAATATCAATTCGATTTCATTTTTTGATAGATGGTTATTATATGGTTATTATTAATTTTGATAATGTCATATTCTTTGTTCTTGTTAAAGTATGATATTTTTCGGTAACTACTATCACCCTTTTCGTATCATCAAACTAAATAAATTTTGTGCTTCTTTAACATTTTAAAATAACAAAAAAATACGTTAATTAAAATTTTATGAATTACAACCTATCAAATACCTTATTTTAACGAAGTTATATTACCATAGATAGAACTTCATTTAATTTTTAGGACTATTCAACCATATTTTCATGTTTTTCTTAATTTTCTCTAAAACGGTATGGAAAATTGGAAAAGTATAAACAGGATTAACCATTTCAGAACAAGCAAAAATTTTTATGAAGAATGCATTTTTCTCAAAATGTCAATAATAAAAAAGTGTTTCTTCTTGTAAAGATAGATAATCCGGGAACATACTGTAGATAATAGGGAACCGACGAGCCCTGACCCGTGGCCTCGGTAGATTAAGGACTCCAGCTCCGAAAAGGCCCCAAAAACGATAACATCAATTTTTTAAAAATTATAATAATATTTTTAAATGGAATAACGAATGCAATTTGATTTAATAAAACGAGTAATAAATAATCATATATTATATCACAAGACCTATAAATTTAATCGATTAAACTATTCAAATACATTTTGCGCGTGATTTTGCTTGGAAAATAGTTGAATGGCACAATAATTTAATAAAAACCGGAGATCGAGAAAATTATTGTGCATGAAACTATTTTCTAAAAAGCAAAATCATACAAAAAATTATTTGGGTAGTTTAATCCATTAAATTTATAGGCTGAGTGATATACGGCTAGATTATTTCCTGAATGACTTAGAACGAAGCGAATGACTTAGGATGAAGCAAATAACTATAAGAATTTTATTAACTATATAAAATTTAACATTTTCGGATAACATTTTTTCAAAATGACGTCTCGTAAGTAATGTCTGGTAATGTTTGTGCTTCTGTTACCTTGGTTACGCATCCCAACAATGCATCGAGGACCGTTTCGCACGTCAACATATCAAATTCTGACGTATCTTTCTCCACTTATTTGTTCAAAATAATATCGAATAAGGGGTTTTCACCGATTAAACTCGTTATTAGGTCATACATATGAGTTGTAAATCAATGTTTTTAAATGAACTGTTGCCAAAATCTCTCAGAATTAGTGATAAACAACAAAAAGAAAACCCAAAAGGAAGCCGAAAAAATAATCGCGGTTAAACAGGTCTTGGAATTTAATCACTTATCTAAACAAAATTTATTCGAAAAATTAGATTAGCTGATTGGTCCATTTCACGATGAGGGAAATAATCAGCTAAATTAGAGGTGGCAAAATAAAACAGTAATTCACCACAATCCACAATACATAAAACTCTTAGTTTTAATCATCTGCTGATAATGCTAACATAGTTAGCGAAATGCGCGTCCAGTGCAAAAGTAAAGTATTTTGGTGTATTGTGGTGAATTAATGTTTTATTTTGCTGTTGTAACACCAAATGTTCCAACCCCCAACTGTAATAAATTAGATGTATTATATTATAATAATATACTACATCTAATAGTATAATATAATACATCTAATAGTATAATATAATACATCTAATATAACCATAATTTTGCTAATGAGCCATATACTACCATTCACGGGCCCTGCAGATCGGGAAATCTCCGAGCGAATATTCGCATGTATTTAATAGAAACTTATGATGACAAAGTTATAGGAATACCGGTTCCACATATGAGCCGCGTTACTTTCGCGATCATTTCAGGGAAATACTGGTACAAAATATCGCGATTTTTTCGAAGTGCCCCTACGCTGTCTCAGGCTCGTGGCCCCCGTTATACTAAAGATGGCACTGCTAATCGGTTAGAAAGCAGGAATACAAATTATGTTGTGCATTGATTGAAATTTATTTATTCAGTAAAAATAAATAATGAAACCATTGAAATATAACTTAATAGCTAAAATAAATAAATTCAGTCTTCAAGTTTATATTCATAATTTTAATCTTTAAAATTATAAAAAAATAGTTATTCGATATTCTAAACAAAAAAAAAATACCTCTTAATTTAATTTCCCAATTTAATTAATGGGGCCTGATAATTAATAATTAAGTAAATATCTGCTTCCATTTATACTATTTATAGTTTGCGTATACGTAATGGTGCGTTTAGACTTGAGCACGCACGAGCTGAGCGTACGCGCACGGCATTCGTTCGCGCTCTCAGCTCCGTTTAAATTAAAAAAAATATTTTTCGACGAATGAAGTGATCCATTTACGCGCGAACGGCAGAGTTGTGTTGGTGAAGGCACGCACGAACGCAGACAAAACAAATTTCCGGTGCAAACTGACCGTTCGCGCACACATAAAATCCCTTTGAGCACGGACCAAAAACCGACACCAGACGGCTCACGTTCGCGGCTGCTCGCGCACAGACAGATTCAGAGTGAGCGTGGATCAGTGCGTGCGTGCTCAAGTCTAAAAGCACCATAAAGTTTGCATACTCCGACTACAAATTGGGCTTCATAACTACTGAACAGATATTAGCCTTGTTTGCCAGTTGAATAAAAAATTATTTTTTAAGATTTGGAGGCCCCCTAAAAGACGAGGCCAGGGGCGGGCCGCCCCTTCCACCCTTTCTTAGTCCGCCACTGGAGCTATGAGAATTCAATAATTTTAAAATCTTTCTAATTTTAAAATTTTCTAACCAATTAATGTTTTTAAATTCAATCCATAAAATTAATATCGTATCGTCGAATATCGGACATATAAAAATTCGCCTTTAAGCGAAAATATAACAAAAATTAATTGACATTAGTAGTTAAGATGCTCCTTTAATGACTAAATAGACGTGTCTTTTGTGTAGAATAAAAAAAGTTAACGCACTGTATTTATTTTGCATTTTAGCAGAGAAAAAAGATAAAGAGGATAGAGAAGAATTCACGACTAGAATGATTTTGCAACCTGGAGAAAGTGCTAAATATGAAGTAACCTTCAACCCCTCTAAAGTTGGAAATTTCAAACACAATTACATTTTAAGAACGCTCAACAACAACAACTTATATCAGATAAGCTGTATGGGCCTTTGTGAAGTTCCTAATATTGATTTTAGGCCACAAGTTATGTTCCCAAAAGTTTTAGATGACATTAAAGAAAAAACGGCTTGTGACCATTTCGTTTTTATAAAAAAACAAAACGTTTTAGACTTCGGAAATGCCATAGGTAAGTTTTGTACAATCGTTCAACGTCACGGTCAATATAGACACAGCCTAAAACGCATATTTGACAAATAATGATGACGTAACGTTGAACGATGGCTGAATCTTCTTTAAATGAGCTTCTAAAGATCGCATAATATATACAAACATTAATATAGAGAAATCAATAAAAGTTGGCGTCATCAAAGACGTCGAGGTTATATATTATCAAGTTAGTTTGTTGCTGTTTGATCCCTCACTCGAAGGCCTTGGGCCCATTGCGATACCCCTGTATTATTGTATACTAAACCTTCATCTCATTCTTTGCGTTAAAGCACTTCCAGCTCTTTACAAAGTTCCCGATGTCGCTGATGTTGGCTTATTCTGCTGCTTCCTCTAGTCCCTCCAAAAAAATTACAAATGCATAGACAAAGAAATAAAAAGAGACTGACAAATCTCATGGTAAAGAGTGGGACCGCGTTCCCGTAGCGCAACTCAGAATAACAATTTTGAAACCAATTAGCAGGACCATGGAAGGACGTACGTCTGTATTGCTATCTTTCTTTATTATGTGTGCTTTATATGAAAAAGAAAGAGATAGGTATAAAACGTATCGTAAGACATTATCGCACATTCCGGCTGGCGGGAAATTTAAATTAGCCAATATTAGTAGTATTCTTTCGTTCTGAACGAACTGAAAATTTGCACTTAAACTGATTTATATATACCCTATATCACATAAAGGGAACGTGGTGTAGGGAATAAATCAGTTTAAGTGAAAATTTTCAGTTTCTTTTATAACGAAAGAATACTACTATTATAAGGGAATATATATTCCCTTATTTATTTATACATAAAAATAAATAAAATTTTTATAATATAATAACAAAAAATAGCAGTGTTTATTCCACCCACATACCATTTTTAAATGCAGAAGAACTGACTGAAATTTCTTTAAGGGGCATTAAAAATCTCATTTTCGAAAAAAAGTGGAGCTGCCTGGTTATTGCAGCCACCTCTTCAATTATTATCAGTAATTTTAGAAAAAATAAGCATTTTTACATATATATATCTAAATTTTCCCAGACATTGAGGCACTTTTTTAAATTAGTTTATTTTAAGATTATTAAATCACATTGTTAAATAAGTTAAAATAAGTACCTACATTTTTTAACCATCAGTTTTTGTCAACTGCCCAATTGCAAAAACAAAGTGAATATCCAAGCAAAGAAGACTTTACGAGAATCATGACCCTGAACCATTTTCAAGTCTAGTTTTAATCCTAAAACAAAAGTAAAATAGGTATATTAATTAAGTTTCTATCTGGTTACTATAAACCAACTGATAAATATAACATACTTACTTTTATTTTACCGGGTGTCTTTAACATATCTATCAGAGAAAGAGGGTACCAATACATATAAAAAATAGATGATACTGGCTCCCGCAGCAAATAAAATAACAAATAGTATAACCTAAAATTATAAGTAACAAAATATAAATACCTACCTGAAACATTTGAATTTGTTCCCTATCCATATCCATAAATCAATAAAATGGAGAGGTTAGAAAAAAAGGTAAATCACCAAAAGAAAAATTAACAAACATGACGAATAATTCTATCAATATAACTAGAATATTTTGATTGTTTTCTAACATTAAGATTCTTTCAACCACTGTAAGTATTTTTGAAAGAAACTTTGTCATTTTCATTTGATATATTTATTCTGGATAATATAATATTTTATTATCATAAACTATATAATACGTACTAAACTCAAACTTATAGTAGGTACTACAGTTTGTTGAACATTTCTTTGATAGTCCGACGTTGTACTTTCCCCGATGGCGTCATAGGAATATTGCTCACAACTAAAATACCACTCCTGAGTCTGTGACTATTTGATACACGTTCATTTATATAATCCAACAACTCTTTGACGTCAACCTTAGAGTTAGGCTTCAAAACAGCCAAAGCTCCTGGATGGTTATCTACCAGATGCTTCACACCAAATACCACAGCTTGTGCCACTGCGGAATGTGAAAGCATGACGTTTTCAATGACACTGGAAATCATCTGACTGGTTTGGTATTTAAAGGTTTCGTTAATTCATCCAGTCACGTAGATGTAGTGGTCCCGGTCATAAAAACCAAAGTCTCCAAGTTTCAGAAAACCATCTGCATCGAAAGCGTTACTTGTTTCGAGGTTATGGTAGCCAGACATTAAGAAAGAGTTACCTAATAAAATTAACATTCTTTCAACCATTGTCAGTATATTTGAAACAAATTTTGTTATTTTCATTTGATATGTTTATTCATCATGACAACCAAGATGACAACATCATGACAATTATTGTCATGATGTTGTCATCTTGGTTGTCATGATGGCGAAAGGTGATTGTTATGGCGATTGTTCTAATTTCTATTTAGAAATTACGTTTTATATGGCTGCTTCTTTCTCCCTTGTTATATTAGAATGAGATAGTGGGCCCAATAGACGCAATGCGCAGATCAACATAAATAGAACCAAATTTTGCGTTCTGAGTTGCGCTACGGGAACGTTGTCCCTCTTTTTGCCATTTAATTTACCAGTCTCTTTTTTATTTATTTATCTATGTACAAATGGTATTTCACACATGTCATCATGTCAAAAGTCAAAGTAAAAAAGTAGCCCTGGCAACATTGCGACGTGCATTCGTCAAATACTAAACAACGCCAACAGACAACAACTACAAGTGCACGCCAACTTTTATTCATTTTCCTTATACATGATAAAAAATATAATTTTATATAAAGATCATACCAAATAAACTTTTAGTCCCGTAATTATATACGTAACATATTTTCTTTTAAACAAAATATTTTAGGAAACAAAAGGCAATTAATTATAAATATATAAAGAGTTATTGTTTACATCAAGAAAACTCACCTCCTTAACAGGATTTAAGGGATATGAAGGGCTATTACTACCGCTTTCCCGTTCTAAATATTCTAATAAGGTTGCGATGAGTTTTTGGCAACAGATATTAAGCTATCTTTTACATTTCGCACTAAAAGAGGTTCTAAAAATAACAATGTTCGACTGCAAGGTCTGCTAGTAAAAATGTTTAAGCTTAAAGTATCACAACACAATTCATTTAAACCAAAAACTCGTAATAAAAAACTAAGGTCTCAAAACGAATGACAATGTCAGGAAATAAATAAAAAAATGTGGCAACTTGACATTTTTACAGCAGAGCTACCACCTGAATCTCCAGAGGGAAATTTGAATTCCAGTTAGTCAGTCCGGTGCCGAATAGCTCCATAGCTGGCAATAATGAATTTAAAAATCGCGCCCTCGACTACGTAACTAAAAGTTTAATTGGTATCGCTAATATAATTCTTATTTCCAGTTGGAGCAAACCCCGAGAAATGTCAGACTTACAGTTGTAAAATGCTGCTCCGAAATCCACTATCTACAGAAGCCGACGTAACTGTTTCATTCAATAACGATTTCTTTTTTGCTGACCTGACCAGCGTAACAATACCACCAAAAGATAAACGAAATATGAAAATTTCTATTAAGCCGAACAAAATAGGCTCGGTAACATCGAATCTTTATATCTCTATAGGAAACAACCCCGTTGTGCGAGAGTTTGCGCTAGTCTGTACGGCATGTAAACTGGAGTTTAATATAGCGCCGAAAACGATTGCTTTTGACAAAGTACCGTTAACTTACTATGCTAAAAGAGTGATAAAACTGACAAACTCTTCGCCGATAAATTTAAGATGGCAAATGGACGAGTACAAATGGGCAGCGGATATTCTATGTATTCCCGAAGTGTCGGGTTTTATCGGTATATTTTCAGTCAATGACGTTGTTTTCCGATTTCATCCTAAAGAAGAAATCTCATTTCCCAAGAAGCAAGTATTAATTAAGGTAATATACGTTTTATATGCATTTCTTAGAGTAGTCGAAAAATTTCCGAAAAAAAGTCCGAAACTTTCCACAACAGTTTTGCCGGAAATCTTCCACCGAATTTCTTGTGAAAACCTTTCGTATTCCTTCAGCTTTGAAATTTCCCAGGTCTTGTAAGAATTCATCAATTTCTTTCTTCTAAATTGAATCTACTACATATCATGCTATATTATGTTTATTAATTAAAAATTAAAAAAAAAATCAAATTTTCAAAATCGCAAAACATTTTCCGATGCACGGCATCAATCATATCGACATTGACATTAAAGTCTATAAACCTGATAGTACGAGAGCTAGCAACGTTGGAAAAACAAGTATTTTAAGACGTCTGGCTCTTTGATATATCTTTTACTATGCTCTCTAGAACAGCATGCGGCCCGTCTGGCTGTCGGTAAACGTAGCGTCGGTGTAGCATTGAAAGAGGATCCTATGTTTTTATTAGTCCTATAAATTCTAGTACTGAATATTAATCGAACATGTCTCCATAGCGCAGTGCGTAGAGTTTCCGACCACGAGCCGATGATTCAGAGTTCGAATCCCGGGTCAGGGCAAAAGACTTTTTTATTTTATTTTCGTTTATATTCTGATAGTAAAGTATTAAATATTTTTTTTTAATTACCAGAATTATTTAATACTTTACTATCAGAATATAAACGAAAATAAAATAAAAAAGTCTTTGATCTGACCCGGATTCGAACTCTGAATCATCGGTTCGTGGTCGGAAACCCTACGCACTGCGCTATGGAGACATGTTCGATTTATATTCAATACTAGAATTTATAGGACTAAATTAATAAAAAATATAGGACCTTCTTTCGATGCGCAGTAGTGAACGGAACGGGTATCGGCAGCCAGACGGGCCGCATGCTGTTCCAGAGAGCATAGTAAAAGATATATCAAAGAGCCAGACGTCTTAAAATACTTTCTCGAAAACGTTGCTAGCTCTTAGACTATGACTAAATGAAATTTTGGCAAAAATGTTTAAATTTCTTGTATAATTTAAAATACCGAGCAGCTCTTCATTTTACTTTATAGAGCAAATGATTGTAACAGATATTTTATTTAGATTAAAGCTGCAAAAATTAGTTTAAACCGAATTTTATTATCGCTATGTTGGTCACATTACGCCGTGTTCGGCAATGTTGTCCTTGTATTATTTGACAATGATCCTAATGTCAGTCATTATTTTGTATAATATCGTGATGTTGTTGAATCAATTCTCGTTTTTTTGCCTATTTTCGTAGTCCTTTCTTAAAACTTGCACTTTTAAGCACAAACAGTTCTTTTATGAACTAAATTTTTGAGTTTTTGTATTGCATTTCTTGAAATTGTGTGTTGAAAATATACCGAAGCATTTAAACAGTCGAAGCAAAGAGCTTGTAGCTTCCCTGAAAAACAATTTGAACGAGAACGTGACAATAAAGGTCCTTTATTACCCTTGCTGCAGTCAGAGAAGTAAGTGTGATTGATAAGCACATTATACCACTTTCAAAGTTAGTTTTTATTAAGTTCTGTGATTATTAGTTTGTGAATTAATAGCACCCTCTTACTTGTTATTACCACTTATGGCGTTGTAAGATGTACATCAATAGATAAATATATAAATAACCCATAGTAACGCTTATAATAATCTTCATAATGGACTAGTTTGTGCCAATATATATAAATAAGCCAATATATATATAAGTAAAATAAGCTATAGAACGCATAAATCAATTAATTACTAAAATATTAGTTACTAAATTAAAAATAAAATGTAAAACTCTTTAAAAAATTATATAATAAATATACTATTTGTCAATTTTAAATTAAGGGTGTATTCCGTTGCTTACCTTGGTTATGGTTTTATGTTCCATTTCTATCGGTTTTTCTGAAAGTTTTCGTATTACGGAATATGGTTCCTGAAAAATTCGGTTATAACTATAACCAAAACTAGCCCGAGAAGGTTGGTCTTTCTGGTTTTGTTTGCCAATCAATGTCATTTATGTGACAGAAATCAAGCAAATATTGGAAGTTCGAGTGAAATTCTCATTTCATTTCTAAATTTTGTAATAATATTTTGTATTTACATCCAAAAGCAATGGAAGTAGGCAGTAAAGGTAAATAAATTTCATTAACTAAATAGAATGACTTTTTAGGACCATTTAAACTTCTCATGCAGCCATTCGTCAACATTTGACGTTTCCAGTATTTTATCAAACCGTTCCGTATCAAACCGATGTTTTCAGGAACCGCTCTTCACCGTAGTTTACCGGTCTGGTTCGCCTGGTTTTGCAACGGAATACAGCCTAAGATTCATCCCATAAATCCATTACAATCCGGCTGCACTGTCACCATCATTGTCACTCAAAGTTGATCACGTGCATCGGAAATTGTTTTGCGATTACCGTAGACGCGTTTCTGGGGTCGAAATATACTACTTCTAAAAATATTTGCACTTATTTAAAACTCACCCTGTATATTTCATCATCATCATTATTGTCCAGCCTTTTATGTTGACCACTGCTGCACATAGGTCTCCCGTAACAGTGCCCAAGTATTTCGATTTTGAGCTGCTTGTATTCAATTTGTCTCCTCTCACTTAGGTCGTCTGTCCACGTGATTGGTGGCCGCCCTCGATTTCAGTACGCCTCGTCTCGTGATCTCCATTTCTTTGTCCATCGTCCATCGGAAATTCATGCCACGTGACCGACATAGTTCCTAATTTATCCTGGTCACAGCATCGGTTACATCACCACGTTTTCTTATTATGTTGTTGGCAATCTGGTCTCTCAGAGACACTCCCAACATTGCTCTCTCCATCTTACGCTTAAAGGTCTTTCTCTTTAGACATATCGAGATGTTTGATGCAAAAAAAGTTTTCCATAAGCAACCCAATTCTCCTATTCAAAGTTCATGTGTTTGTAATATTAAGTTTTATTCATGACCCAGGTAATGATAAGAGAGAGAACCTGTTGTTCTATTGGAGTGTTGTTTACCGTCAATTGCTCATTACAGGGTTTGTCATTTTCCGATTATATTTTTTTTTACCTGAGGTTAAATATTATCATTAATTTTTTATGCAATATAATAAACAATATACATATGAACAAAATTAATAATTCAATACCAAGAATAACAATACATTTCTTTTCAGATATTTGACGTAAACAGTGAAAACATAGAACCATTCCACGTGGAAACGATATCGATACACGGCGATTCAGTAGAATACGCTTTAGAATTTGATAAATTAATAGACTATGGAGAAATAAAAGGAGGAATTGAACATAAGTTGAACTTCCATATTACAAATAAAAGCAAATGCGAGATAGCAATTAAGTATAACTATATTGCGTATAGAGTGCAACCTTTAATATCGGAACAGTTAATTGTAACGATCTATTCCGATTAGCGAATCGTTTGTATTATGCAAAAAAAAATTGTGTGGTTATTTAGTTATAATAATACATATTATTATAATGATAATTATATGATACATAATTAAAAAATAACTTTAATCTGTTTTCTACAAATATAAAATTTTACCTTGTAAAAATAATAAAAATCAAATGAAATCATCTAACACAGAAAAAATTGCACATCACCCCATAACCATCTATCCCACATTGTTTTTGGAGTGATCTTTTGTTGACGAACTACAGCAAAATAAAACACTAATTCACCGCAATACACCAAAACACTTTTAGTTTTGCACTGGATGCGCGTTTCACTAACCATATTAGCATCATCATCAGATGATTAAAACTAAACTAATATCTAGCCGAGTAGACGACCGAGTAGACGTGGCAAAACTAGTAAAGCGAGTCAAAACCAACCGTAACAATTAATTACCAAGAGCAATAGGAACGAAGAACTGGAGGAAATTAGACCATTGTCTCTGTTCATACTATCTTTACAGCTATTAATTTTGACGCTCTCATATGCAATTGCTTGTAATTTGAGACTTGTTTAATTAATTTTAAATTATTAATATCTACATAATGTTCTTTATCAACAATATGTTGAGCAACACAAAATTTATCCGGACTAACATATTTTGTCAGAGTCATATGTTCTTTAAATCTTGTTAATATCGATCTTCTAGTTTACCCAACATATTTCTGATTACAGTCTTTACATGATATTTCATAAATACCCCACCTTTCCAGTGGAGGTGTTTTATCTTTAAGATTGTTATACAATAATTGTAGTAATTTATTATTAGCACTATACACAAGTTTATAACTGACATTCTTAAAAATTCTTTTTAAACTACGGGATTGTTCTCTATCAAACGGTATTGAAAAATATTCTGACGTATATTTCTCCACTTGAAAAGTCGAATTTGGAGAAATCAGAAACTTATACCTACGTTTTCTAATTATTTTATCAACTAGTGAAGGAGAATATCCATTACACTCAGCTACATTCCTAATGTAATCTCTTTCTATTTCATATTTTTCGTTAGTAAGTGGAAAGCTAAGTAACTATGAACTAAGAAATTTAAACTAGACATCTTAAGGTGGGTATTCACTTGCAACAAAACACTCCGAACGAACCAAACGCGCCGCGCACGCTGTAACAAGTTTGTGTAGTTAGTACGTTGCGCCGAACCGAACCGAACGCGCCAAACATTTTCCGAAGCTTGGCGGTAAACGGGATTTGCTCAAAAGAATTTGTTCGTTGGCCGGTGTTCAGTTGATACGGCAGTTTTGAACGTTCGTTGTGTTTGGGGTGTTTTTAAACTGTACCTAGCTATGGAGTGGAACAGAGAAAAGTGTTTAGAGTTAATTGATGATTTTGAAAGGCGACCTATTTTATTAAATTAATTATTAAATTAATTAAATTCTTCTTATGCATATAATCTAGGTCACTAAGTAAGGCCATATTATATTGACAGCGCCAAAAGAGGCGTCTTGCCCACATTTTTCGTTCTTTCCTTTTTTTCCCTTTTTTGATACCCGCTAATGCCTCTATAATTAAAAAAGCACCAGCGGCTATGGTAATATCAGATGCATCCTTATCGACAAACACACTAACACTGATTACTGGTGGGAACGCAGCGAACACCGCAAACAGGCGGAACGCTCCGCGCAAAATGTTTTGTTGCAGGTCGTTCAGAGCGCTCCCGGAAAATGTTTTGTTGCAGATTGTTTGGAGTGCGCGGCGCGTTTGGTTTGTTCGGAGTGTTTTGATGCAAGTGAATACGCACCTTTATGTTCAACACTGTGATTTGCATAGGAATATACATTAGGAATATATTATCTGCGTGTAGGGGTATTTTTTTATAGATGGTCAAATTCCAGGCAATTATAAGTATTTCTAATACTAAGCACATGCGTAGTTGACAAGTCTTTAGAGGAACGTTCCGATTATGGAGGTAGCGTTCCAACCCAAACCCAAACCCTTAACCCAAAAGCCTAATATTTAACCCAACTTATAGATTTTAAGGGGGGTTTGGGCTCCATGGGCCCCCTCTGTATCCGCCATTGGATGTTCTGATTAACATGAGTTCCGATTAAAGAGATTGCACTATATTAATACCGTATATTTTGCCAAAATCTATTTTTCTAAATAGATTTGAAGTTCCAAATAATCCATTAGAGGAAAACAATTTTGTTAGAGAGTATTTTAAAGTGTCCCCGGCGAGTTTAACTTTAGGAGCCCAGAAAACTGAAGCTCTGGTCACGGTGTTTCATCCAAAAAGTAACTTTACTGTTGAAAATTTATTTATACTAATGATAAACCTTGGCGAAAATATGGAGTCTAGTGATATTATTAAATCGTACAAAGTTTACATAAACGCTTCTGTATTTATGCCAGTGTAAGCATGTAAATATTAATAAATATTTGAAAATGTAGAGGACTTTGCACACAATCTGTTCAATATAAATCTCAATGTGTTTCGATATTTTGAGATGTACTTTTTGTGAAAACATTTTCCACTTCCTGGCACTTCGGTTTAACCGGAAGTGGTTACCAATTTGCATATTATGCATTGAACCTTAGATTAAGAATAAAAACCGTAAAATACAACAGCCTATAAGGTATAAAATGTATATTTTATATTTTTTTATTCTACAGTTAATTTTTAGTTTATAGCAACTGTTAAAATTGCCTTATCGGTATCTATCAAAAATAGTAGATAAAATAGTACTTTAACCCCAAGGGTAGATTAAATGATACTTTAACAGCGAGAATAGGTTAAAAACTTTATTTCTTTTTGCACGTTTTTTAATTGCTTTCATAAGTTATTCGGGATTTAAATGGATGTAGTCGGGATATGGCGTTTGTCGCCTGAGCCTGAATATCTGTTGGTAATTTACTTATTTCGTTTTGGGCCATTTCTGGCTCCAATTCAATCAGCAATCGACACGAAAGAGAATTAAGAAATTTAACTCAAAACTGACAACTAAAGACACAGCTTTATTTATTTGTCAAATTACATAGAAACCAACACCAACCCAGCACAATATTTTTTCTACTTGTAATAAATTCCTTGAAATAATAATTTCTGAATATTTTTTAAAACGTAACTCGCTATGGAAAAAAATATTGTTTTATACACGACGATAAAATTGCATTATCGTCCCCCGAAAAATAAAATACCATTTTATCGTCTTGTATAAATAAATAACAGTTAAATATTATAGTACAGTTATAGTAGGTAGTATGTCCTCTTGATCACTAAAAATAACATTCTTGTTTTATTCACAACGAAGTTACAAGGCGATCAAAAGAACCGTGAATTGCTTCGAGAAAAAGATTGCAGTGTCCCTAGATATACAAAATATGTTTGGCATTTAATGTAGAGTTTAAAAATCAAGAAATATATAAGGTATTTTATTTAAAGTAAATAAGTTTATAGCCACTTGTGGTTAAACCGGATAACAGAAAGTGGAAACTACAGTTCATACCAAGTAAACTTTTAGTCACGTTAAGCTTGATTTTCATGCATCCGTTGTCCGACGATACGTTGATACGATATTAATTTTATTGGTAGAATTTAAAGACTTTGATTGGTTAGAAAATAATGCAGTTTTTAAATTTATTGCGTTTTCATGTCTCCGTTTATCGGATGTGCGTTGGTGTTATTTTACATTTTCGTTTCCATACGATTTTGCTATTTTACTTATATTTTTATTATGGTTAGATTAAAATTGTTAAAAAAGTGTCAAAACGTCCGTTATCGTATGAACGGGTCCGTTGACGGGCTGAAGTAAAATATTTACGGATGAAAAGTGGCGCGAAAACGCTATGACCAATCAGAGCACCGGACCATCGTATCAACGTATAACCGATGCATGAAAATCAAGCTTCATAGGCCAGTCAATCTGGAGGTTGAGGTAGGAAAAAATTAGTAACCAACCGATATCAACGGGAATGTGTAGATAATGATCTCCTATTTAACCACTCAAAAGTCCCATTAGGTCTCAGTGGGGGAAGTTTGAAAAAAAACGCCGCCATCTTGGATTTTTTTGTTTTTTTTTCAAATATCTCCGTTTGCATAACTTTTTTCGAAAAAACTAAAGATATGTTTTTTTAGAGAATTAAATTTGGAATATTTTACTTTCAATCATTTTTTTCTAAAATCAATATTAATAGAGATAGAGCAATTTTTTTCTATACGTTTTATAAATTTTCCAGTTTTTTTAAACCAATCAGCTATAATTTTTGCGTTAACAGTATAATGTTAATATGGATAAACCAAGTATAAATTTAAGCATTAAAACAATTAAAATTAACGTTTAAATATTATTTATTAAATAAAGTTATTGTTAAAAAAATTATTATTAAATTAAAACTATTAAATTATATTGATCTGATTGATTAATTTTTTGATCTTTCTTTTATCCATATTGTAGAGGATCTAACTTATTTTTTTACAATAACTTTATTTAATAAATAATATTTAAACGTTATTTTTAATTGTTTTAATGCTTAAATTACACTAACCTAACACTATACTGTTAACGTAAAAATTATACCTGATTGGTTTAAAAAAATTGGAAAGTTTATAAAACGTATAGTAAAAAATTGCTCTATCTCTATTACTATTTATTTTACAAAAAAAAATTATTGAAGGTAAAATATTCTAAATTTAATTCTCTACAAAAAATATATCTTTAGTTTTTTCGAAAAAGTTATGAAAACGGAGATATTTGAAAAAAACAAAAAAATCCAGGATGGCGGCGGTTTTTTTCAAACTTCCCCCACTGGGACCGAATGGGATTTTTGAGGGGTTAAATAAGAGATCATTATCTACTTAATCCCGTTGAGATCGGTTGGTTACTAATTTTTTCCACCTTTACATACAGGGTGGTCCGAATTGTATTCCGGAAACTTCGGCAGCATATTATGCAGATAAAAATAAGTAAATAAGTTCGTATAAATGTATGTCCTAAAATACTTGGTTCCGGAGATATATATCCGGGTGTAGAAGATTCTTTTTTATTATGATTTTTTCCAAATAATTTCTAAAGTAACGTCAATATTTGAATGAAAATTGGTGTCTGGAGTTTTTTGACATGAAAAATTTGATTTTGATGTCAATATGACTCCTACTTGTAAGGGGCGCCACCTACATGTGTTTTAACTGTTTTGAAGAGCAATAACTTTTCGTCTGTACCTGTATAAAACTGCTGAGGGAGACGTTTCATTTACCCGCTAGTAGTTATAAAAAGCATTTTTGGTAAACTCTGTCTCTAATAGTTTCTGAAAAATAAAATCAATTTTTTTAAAAAGGTCCGATTAAATTTATTTCTCCGAAACTAAAGTTCCAAAAAAATTCGTAATATATCTAGAAATTCACTTGCCCACTAATAGTTATAAAACGTATTTTTGGTAAACTCTGTCTCTAATAGTTTCTGAAAAATAAAATTAATTTTTTTAAAAATGTCCTATTAAATGTATATCTCCGAAACAAAAGTTCCAAGAAAATTCGAAATATATCTACAAATTCATTTACCCGCTAGTAGTTGTTATAAAAAGCATTTTTGGTAAACTCTGTCTCTAATAGTTTCTGAAAAATAAAATTAATTTTTTTAAAAAGGTCCGATTAAATTTATATCTCCGAAACTAAAGTTCCAAAAAAATTCGTAATATATCTAGAAATTCATTTACCCACTAGTAGTTATAAAAAGCATTTTTGGTAAACTCTGTTTTTGGAACTTTAGTTTTCTATCTAGAAATTCATTTACCCACTAGTAGTTAAAACGACGTTTTTTACGCAAAATAGGTCTCTTGGAAAAAATCGCTACGAGTAATGGTTCTGGAGATATTTGGAATCGAATTTATCAATACTTGTCATCATTGACATAAATTAACATGTTGACTAAATAGTTATTAGACTGAAATCATAAATTTGAAATGTTTTTGTGCCAAAAGTTCAACAGAAACTGTTTTATCATCATTTTTTCGCAGAAAAATTTATGTTTAATTTAAAAAAATAAATATTTCCCCAAATTTCTTATTTCAGTCAAATAACTAACTACTCGATGTGTTTATTTTTTGTCAATAATGACATGCAGTGACTATTTCTATTCTAAATATCTTGAGAACGGTTGCTCGTAGCGATTTTTACCAAGAGATATTTTTTACGTAAAAATTCACGGAAATGCATAATTTTTTACCCAGTAGTTTTATACAGGTAAGGACAAAAAGTTATTACTCTTCAAAACAGTTAAAACACATGTAGATGCCGTCCCCTACAAATAGGGCTCATATCGACATCAAAATCAAATTTCTCATGTCAAAAAACTTCTAGACATCAATTTTCATCCAAATATTGACGTTAATTCAGAAATTATTTAGAAAAAATCGAAATAAAAATGAAACTTCTACACCCTGTATTTCCGAAACTAAGCATTTTAGGACATACATTTATACAAACTTTTTTACTTATTTTTATCTGCAGAATATGCTGCCGAAGTTTCCGGAATACATTACCAACAATACAGTTCGGACCACCCTGTATAATACTCAGCTACGTTTACTGGCCTATTATTAAGCTTGACCGGCACAGCGTTGCCCACTTTTATATTTTTTCTTTTAATCAAAAGATTTGAGGAAACAAATTAACTATAAATATGTAAACAGTTAATATTTACATCAATAAAATTCACCTTCTTAACAGCACTTAAGGGACATAAAGGGCCATTACTACCACTTTCCCGTTCAACATATTCTAATAAAGTTGTGATTAGTTTTTTACGGCTATTAAGCTATCTTATAACCACTTCTCACTAAAAGAAGTTCTAAAAAGAACAATGTTCGACTGCATGGTCTGCTAGTAAACATTTTTAAACTTAATGTATCACTATTACACTCTTTATTTAAATCAAAAACTCGTACTACAAAACTAAAGTGTCAAAACGAATGACAATGTCAGGAAATAAATAAATAAATGCGGCAATTTGACATTTTTTACAGCAGAGCTTCCACCTGAATCGCTAGCGCGAAATTTAAATTCCAGTTAGTCAGCACGGCGCGCGGCGCTGCATGCGGTGGGCAACAATGAATTTAAAAATCGCGCCCTCGATTACGTAACTAAAAGTTTAATTGATATGAAATATATTAATAATAAAGTTGACTTGGAAATAACCTTAACTTTAAACATTCAGTTTTGTACGCAAAATTAGATCCTTAAAAACTTTTAATGAAGTGGTTGAGTGAACAACCCTGTTCCATATGAAGAGTCCTTTAACGAACAAAATTGTGTGAAAAACTCTGTATATAACAACTTATATTAATACTAAAATAACAAAGTATATTGTAGTTTTAAAGTTTGCCCTGCGTCTTATCTAAATTTTGGAAATGTCCAGCTGCTGAATAATAAAAGGATGAATATCACGCTAACCAACAAAGGAAAATTTCCATTCAGTTTTAATATGGTAAATTACGCGAAATTATTAACAGCAAAAATTAAAGGTAAGTATCATATCGCAACTTTGTTGTACCTTCCTAATTTGTTATACCGGGTGCGTCTCAAAACTATTTTATTTTTTCAGATAAAAAAACGAGATTTGGTACGTTAGTATATGACATAAACTAGAATTGATTGACGTATTCAATTGTTTTCGGTCACTTTCTGTTTTACCGGAAATGACTACAACTTTTGATTTTTAAATGGCACCCTCGGTATTTTTTTTACTTTATTCGATATAAAATGATACTCTGAATCGAACGACATATCATATGTCAACTTTTGACATGATCGCACACTTGGTATTTCGAGTCAAATTGTCGTTATGAACCGCAGGTGACAACTTCAAATAAACCATATGCGAAAATGCCAAATGTTGACATATATGATATGTTGACATATTATGACATATTATGTTGATATGTCATTCTATTCAGAATGTATTTTTCTATCAAAAAAAGTAAAAAAATACGGAGGGTGTCATTTAAAAATCAAAAGTTGTAGTCATTTCCGGTGAAACAGGAAGTGACCGAAAACAATTGATTATGTCAATCACTTCTAATTTGTGTCATATATTCTAACATACCAAATCTCGTTGTTTTAACTGAAAAAATAAAAAAGTTATAGGGGTGAGCCACTTTTTAGACGCACACGGTAAGTAATTACTTTTTTGTAAACATTGCTGCGTTAATCCAACGGAGACTCGCTTGTCAGCGGTGATTTACTAATAAACAAATTTGCCTGTCAGACAAAAAATGCTTAAAGTTTCGGGAAGTATATCTCTTCCTGTCGTCGGAAGCAAAAAAACACAAAGAACAAACAAAATAACATTTAAAAGAGAGAACACTTTTTTTTAAACAGATACGTCTATAAAAACCGTATACATTTTGTTTAAATCATGATACAAAGAAAACAAGGTATGATAATAATAATCGATAGCGGCTCCAATTTTGTTCAGTTTGCGCATATCACATGTGTCATCACTACGCCATACAAAAATATCCATATTGTTTAGTTGCCACTAATAAAAAAAAGCCTATAATAGGGAATAATTAGGACATGAAACCTCAAAAGTTATGTCAAATCATTGAGTTTGGCATTTGAAAAGTCATTTTCACATTAATTATGTGTTATCAGTTTGACGATTTGAAATTGCCGACCAACGGTGCTGATATCACCAGTGCCAATATCATACCTTCTTTTCTTTGTATCATATGTTAAAATGACATTATATCAAGTTAAACTTCAAAATTAACCTGATACTGATAATTACTACCTGATAACAATAATTATATTTAATGAGGTAAAACCAAAAAGCCTCAAACTTTCTGTATGATTATATTTTAATTTTGTTTTTAATTTTTATTTATGTTCTTTAAATTCAAAGACTCGATTTCCATACATTACTAACCTCTACAGATGCATGAGCAATACATTTATTTTTATGAGAGTGTACTAAAAAAAACCTCTTTTATTTTTCTTTAGACGCTATCGCTTCTTTCATAATAATTTTTGCGACGTTAAAATCTACTGTGTCCCATGAATGCTGACAAATCTTGGATTTGTGAAAATTGCCTTTTCTTAAATAATCTTTATGTTCTTTAATTCGAAAATTTAAGGGTCTACAGTACATCTGTCCGTTCTGTAGCTACGAAGTATTCTCTCGATGTTTTTCGTAAAAAATAGACGACGCGTCCCATCAATAAAAATTCAACAAATTTGCAAGTATCCAATAAAATGAGTGAGCGGAGCGATTTGCGGTGACGCACTCGTCAAATCGACGTATAAAATATATTGCTGTTTATTTAAATGTTTTTTGTCCGCATTCCTTTCATAGACACAGATCCAGCAGATGTACTGTAGATGTTTCGCCAATATAAAACTTATCACATTCACTTGATATTTTGTATATTACATTTTTTATTTGTTGTTCAGTGTTCATTGGTTTAGTGTGGGTTAAAATAGATATAGTAAACGCCACGAATGTTTGGGAGTGATTCATCGCTTGATGAAGTTAGAATCGACACGCGCGTTATCATTTTTACATTAAAAACGTAAATTTTTACCGCAGACAGAGAGATCTAGCAATTCTCTCTTGTTTTGTTTTTTGAAATGCCCCTTACCTACGAAGCTTTGAATAAATAACTCGGTTATTTTCAATTTATTTTAAAATGGTAAAGAGAAAATATGTTTCTTTTGACCAGATTTACCACCCCTTAAAATACTTCCGCTTATTTCGGGGACACCCTGTCCTAACCTAACCAAACCTATTATTTTAAATAAAAATAATTGTGTTTTCAGGAGATAAAGAGCAAAATAAGAAATCTAAAGGTAGTAAAACGAATGCTGGTGATAAAAGTACAAAGAATACAAAATCTGGTAAGTTTTCCATAGATAGAGAAGTATGATAGAATATTTATGTGGCGGATATAACTAACTTTTTTCTAACATATTTTACTTGTTTTTGTTATTAGCAAACTACTGGTTTTGGGTATATAATATATAAAAAAATGTTATAGGATTTTACGCAGAATCTAATACTAAAATTAAAAACAGGATGTTAGCAGTAAAGGCTCAAAAATAATAAATTGTTTATTTAACACTGCCTAGTACTATTCTGTTTGACATTTATTCCTAATTCTCAAAACATGACATAATCAACATGAAGAAATACAGAAGAAGCAAAATACTATTAGAAGCCGGATTATGAATCTTTTACTGTATAATATAACACTATTGGATTGTAGTTCGATTTAAAATAAATGAAAATGTAAAAATAATAAATAATTTTTTTTTCTAGATAAAAGCGATAAAAAGAAAACCAAAGAGAAAAGTACGAAGACAACAACAAATACTGGCAAAGTAGTGACGAATAAGAAAAACAAAGCGGAAAAAATTAAGTCAAAAACGAGCAAATCGACGAATAAATCGAAGAGTAGTTCACAGTAATATAATTTTAATAGAATAATTTTAGATTTGCTTTTAAATTTAAACAACGACTTGGCTAAATATACCGTATGATCGAGAAAAACGCCCAGTTGTCTTGAAAATGACTATCGATAACATTCCTCACATAATTTTACATACAAAATGATAGCGATCTTCATTTCCACTGTTTTATTTTCGATCGTATAGTATTTTGACCTATAAACATAATTTTATATAACTATAAAGTCTGTAGGTGTCTTCTTCATTTTCAGCTTGTATTTCACTACTCCTAGACATAGGCCTTCTCCAAATATTCCTATTTCTGTCTTGTAATTTTTGTTCATTCTTTTCCCGCATATTCTTCACATCATCGATCCGCCTCTTTTGTAGTCATGCTATACTTCTTTTAAAGTACTTTTAGACGGTCAGTTCAGTTTTTCGTTCAGTTTTAGTTCAGGTGTCCGTTATCGTATATCTAAACACAAAAAAAATATTGATTTGCCAAAAGTTTTTGTATCAGTTATATGTTAAACTGATGTCTAAACAAACCTGCTAGTTTTTAAATACGGATCTGAATTTTTCATTTCCGGTTTTGACAGAATTCAGTCTCCTGAGTACAACGATATGCCACACTTGCCATTTTTTTTGAGGGTACTTTGACAACAACAAAACTATTTAATTATTATTTAAAGTAATTTCAAGTCCGACTCTGGATTTTTAAATTATTTAACCTGATTTTATTCATCGCAACAATATTGATGAGCGCTAATTAACATTGAATAAGGAAAATCGAGCCAATTGAAAGATTCAAATATATAATATCCAGGTCAGCAATTTTAAGATATTATTTTTAACTTTTGTTATTGTAAATTTGAAATTCTCAGTGTACAATTTAATAATATGCATTATATTAATAGTAAACGATAGAAGTTATTATAAATATATCACTCAAGATGTTCGAAAGGGTATCCACCATCCCTATTGCACGCATTTATTTTTTGTTCAATTTTATGTATAGCCCTTTCAACAGATCTTTTTATACTTCCGAATGCATTTTGTACTCGTTGTAGTAAATGTTGAGATGTATTAATTTCACTTTTACAAATGACGCCAAGGCATGCCGCCGAACTTTGGCGATAAGTCCAGGAATCTCGCTGGCCATTTTACTGCTCCGCCATTTCCAATCCATCTTCCAATGAAATGATTTGATTTTTATATTATATTATATTAATAATTTTTATTTTTTATTATTTTATTGTCTTTGATTTTCCGTATTCAATATTTTACCCCACGTCATTATTAAGTTTTAAAGCTCATCAATATTGTAAGGATGAATAGATTAAATATTTAAAAAAAACAGAGCCGGACTTGAAATTAGTTTAATTAGAAAAAATAGAAGTTTAATTAAAAAAAATATTAAGTGTGGCATATCCTTAGGGCATATCATTGTACTCAGGAGACCGAACTGTTTCAACACCTGAAATAAAAAATACAGGTCCGTATTTTAAAAATTTAAGTTGGTATCTCACAAACTATCAGCTAATTTCAATATCTAAAAAACTCATCAGATAGCCCTGATAAAGTGGCTATGAGATTGTGTAAACCCAGCAATCTTTCAATTTTTTGAAACTTTTATGATAGCATGTTGGCGAACATCCTAAAGCGCAACTTTACCCCAATTTAACCATGTTCGTATCTGTTACGGTTATACGGAATTTGTAGCACCCTGTAAAGTCATTAATATTTTAGAGAGAAAATGGTGAAACTAACTAAACTCGAAGTAAATAACTTCTCGATCATTCCATCCAGCGGTATCGTTCCGCCCAACAAAACGTTTGAAATGTCGGTGGATTTCAATCCTACCGAACTTGCGTTCTACAAGGAGGAGGTGCTACTCAATATAACTGAACTGGACGATGCAGAAAAGAAGAAAATTATCAAATTAGAAGGAACTGGGTGCGAACCGAAAATAAACCTGTCAGACTTTGAAAATATATTTGCCGAACAATACAACATTCGTCATATAGACGACTTTGTAGAACCAAAAAATGTAAGATAACAAGGTTTTTTTTACTTAAATTATTTAAAAATATACATACTGCTGAAATTGGGTTTATAGGTTAAGGAAAGTCGACATATTCGATCTGTCTAAATCAACTGATTGGATATCAAATAGGGAGTTCAGAAATAATTATTTCCGTTTGTTATACAATCGTTCAAATTATTGTTTATTTTAAATTCAAACCTATGTATATTATTTAAGATGTCGAAACAAAAATAATTTTGATTGAATTTTAGCTTTCAATATGAAGAATTTATGATTTAACCAATGTTTATTCAAGATCATATTTTTGTCAATTTTACACATGTTTTATTTTTATCTCGAAAACTATTAGAGATTGGTATAGGTTAGTAAAATTGAGACATGGAAGTAGTTTCGAAAAATATAATAATATACCGGGTGTTCCATTTAAAATAACAAAGATGTTACCACTTTTATTATGAAGCGGCAACACTGTAGTGCTGAAAATAATTTAGACAGATGAAGCAGGTGCCTTTATGCAAAAATCCAAAGTTTCAAAAAAATCCTGTCACCGGTTCCCCATATAAACGTCTAACGTGCCATGGCCGTGAATCACCCTGTATAGTAAATACCTAGTCACTTAGCAAAACATTGATCTTTATAATAATCTTGCTTTGATTAGACAAATGACTAATTTTGCCTAAATTTGCTTTATGCCTACGCTATACAGGGTGTTTCAAAAAACATGTGCCATCTCTCGTTGGGAGATTTCTCACGTAAAAATAAGATTTATTTTTCATATCAACATAGGTCCGATTCTGGTTTGTTTCGTAGCTACAGGGTGTTAAAATCTTAATATTTTTTCAATTTTTTATAATTTTCTTCCAAGTACTTTTAGCGTTTCGAATGAAATTTTGGATGTAAAAGTTACTATAAATACGACATATTTTAGAGCTAAAAAAGTGTCGATATATTCACCAGGGACGTGGATATGGGTAATCACTGTAATATTTTTCTAAAAAAAGCATGTACGCCACTGACTTTTTTTTTCTCTTGTCAGCGAAATAATGAAAGCAGTTTAATATCGATTAAAATTTGTCTCTTGATATTTTGTCGATTTCGGCCTCCTTGATGAGATAAAAGCAATTTTATAATAGCAACCTGTTAAAAAATTTAATATCGTTAACTTGCGAAAGTTTTAAACAAGAACTCATTGATTCCTTATCAAAAAATATAAAAAAAAGTTCTTATAAACATGGGTATGGAAATGCATAGTTTAGAGTTACAGGATGTTAAAACTATTTAAAATTAGGTTTTTTGTAATTTGTAATTATCTTAAATATCATTATTTTTTATTTGAAATTGCTGTAGGGACTAATAGTAATAAAAACTAATAGAAATAATATTTAATAATAAATCTGATAAGTAAAAATTGCTGTATCTAATCTAATTTTTGTTACATTCCAGGTAGAAAATTACTGCGTATTTTCATCTTCAGAAGTAGCACTATATTTCAAGCTCGTGTGCGTAAATACGACAAAAACCATTCGTATTTACTTTAAAAACATAGGATTTGTCAGAGCTAATTTGATGGCGAAATTAGACGATGACGAAAACATTTTTTCAATTTCTCCCGCAAGTAAAAAAGTCGAACCTTACAATTCTTGTTCGTTCGAGATCAAGTTCCACCCACTTACGCTAAAAGTAAAATTTTTGCCTACAACCAATATTTCAAGAATTATAATTTATTTTTAATTTTAGAAAATAACGCGCCATTTAGAGCTTTCTTGTAATTCCTCTTCAGATAATAAACTTACGGTGCTCTTAATCGGTGAACCAGCTCTGCCTCAGATAGTTATGTTAAGTCCTGTAACAGAGAAAAATTGTGCAGAACTAAATTATGATCCCACATGTGTGGGGTATACGCAAACTAGAGAGATTAAACTTAAAAATGTTAGCAAAATCCAATGTAAAGTTATTGTTGAAATTGGAAACGATGAAAACTGTTTTGTTATAGCACCTGAGGAAGATACTGTGCAGAAGTTAAATCTAAAAGAGGAGGAAGGTGAGTTTGAAGTTGTACCATTGAACACAAAGACTAAGGAAAGAGTATATTGATATAAAAGTGGGAATTCTAGTTCCTTGGAAGGGAACACAAATGCACAATTGCACAATTTTTGACTTGCTCCTTAGTATTATTATTATTCAATGAATATTTCATACCGTTACAATAATTTGTTTTCGAGATTCCTGTAGTACGCATTTTTTATAGGACACGGTGTATACAGGGTTGTTCGCCACATACGACACGGAGTATTGTCACAAATTACCTATAACAGATGCGAAAGAACACCGAATTACGCGTTCAGGTTTCTGTGACCTTCAGAAAGACTTCATAGACAATCCGCATCAATGTATAGTTTGGGTTATTATTTGTTTGGGTGAAAATAATCTGCACCAATATGTTATCGAGACATACAAAAAGATCCACAGACTTCGAGACATACGAAAAATCAAGTCCATTTAGCGTGTGTCGCAATTTTCACAACTTAAAAAATTAGTTTTTTATAGCTATAGCAACTGCAGCGACTATGAAAAAAGCTGTGTGATTTTCATAGAAAATAAGGGCACCTGTAATTCATTTGAGAATGTAAATCGCTAAAAGAGGTATCAAATCTCTTGGATTTCTATTAATATTAAATAAATTTTATTAAAAATTGAACTAAAATTGTTAGTATCATTAAAAACAATTCAAATTCAATAATTGTATCAGTCAAATTCCCTCATTTAAGGTAAATATTAAAGTAAATATAAATACAGCTCATTCTAAGCTCTACTTATCTTTAAGAAAAATGTAAATCATTGTTGCAATTGGGCCTTAATGCCATTTCAAATGAACAATAGTATTAATAATGTACATTATAATAATAATAAATTTTATATCATAGTGTGTATTAAAACTACTAAAACACTTTTAAATTGGTATCATATTAACAACTTTTGTTTTTTAATCCAAAAAAAAGTTACCAATTTTCTCAATCAAAATATTTGTGGTCCTGAAAAGGACCTTCGTTTTCCCATGTTCGTCAAGGTAGGTAATCGGTAAAAAAACAGGATAATGAAATTTAAAAAATTACAAAAATTGTTCAAAAGTGCCTCCCTCTTGCATTAAACCAAACGATCATAAAATCCCCTCCTCACATTGGATAACATATCAGGGGTGACAGTGTCAAAGGCATTAAATATTTTCTGCCTTAACTGCTCCAAGTTTTGAATTTCTTCATGGCCGTAAATTTTAGATTTTATGTACCCCCATAAAAAGAAATCATTCACCGAGAAGTCAGGTGAAATTAAACGTCAGTCTAAACAAAACTGTCATTTTTGAAAACTTGTCAAAATTTGGACACACTCTAAATGGACTTGATTTTCCTATATCTCGAAGTCTGTGGACTTTTCTGTATAATCTCACAGTAATTTAATAGATTGATCGTCATATTATATCAGCTCGTAGGAGATTAGGAAAAAAAAAGATATTTATAGTATAAAAAATTAATTTATTTAACAAAATTTAATTAAAGATGTGACAAAATAGTTACATTTCTATTGGTTCTATCGGACTTTTTTCGACTATATAAATCTTTATTTTTGTAAACTTTAATGCATAAAATATTTTCAATCTAATAAATAATTTAATGATGTAAATAAGAGGAAATTTCTCACATGGGTGGTCAAATTCTATAGTTTTCATTATATCAAACAACCTCTGAATGTTTTCTTCAGTGCAAAACTCATCAAAATTTAATATAAATAATTTTTCCAGCCTGTAAATAAAATGAACAAATTTTTCCACTTTCATGATCAAAGGCTTTTAAATGGGTAAATAATTTCGAGTTATCCAAAGATTCGGATTCTTTTGCAAATTTTAGACAAATATCACATTGATGTATTTGAAGACCCTTTTTAATGATGTAGTCAAACATAATTAAAGGCATTTTGAGTTGAAAACATTTCTCAGAGGCTGTTTGATATAATGAAAACTATAAAATTTGACCACCCATGTGAGAAATTTCCTCTTATTTACATCATTAAATGATTCATTAGATTGAAAATATTTGATGTATTAAAGTTTACAAATAAAGATTCATATAGTCGAAAAAAGTCCGATAGAACCAATAGAAAGGTAACTATTTTGTCACATTTTTAATTAAATTTTGTTAAATAAATTAATTTTTTATACTATAAATATCTTTTTTTTCCTTATAAATAAACACATTTGCATCCCATTTTAAATAAGATATACAAATTACCAAAACTTAGAAATAACAGTTCAAAAGTTCAACAAAAATCCTACACGCCTTTTTACAAAGAAACATATAACCACGCACTATGTCATTCCAGCAAGCGAATACGACACAGCATAGGTTTCCGGACCAAACGACTGGTGTATTTACACCACCACAAATTACCTATAACAGATGCGAAAGAAAGCGACTGCATCGGAAACCGCTCGGCAAACCCGACACGCCTATTGAGTGGTGTAAATACATCAAGAGATACAAGAGATATGTAAAAATGGTATAATACAATTTGATAGACAATTAAATTGTGCATCTGATTCTCATAAAATATACAGAGTGTTCCATTTAAATTAAACAAGTTATTGCCGTTTAAAGCTAGTAATTATTTAAAATAAATTTTTAGACACTCTGTATGAGGTTAGTATATTTTTTTTTATTATTGCAACACAATAACTGATGAATAAATAAACTTCAGTAAATATTTAGTATTAAAAACTTTGATACCCTTGAAGAAATGAGGCCTTAAAATTTTTACTGCAATTTCACAAAATTGAAAATATTTCAAAAACGGTTAGGTTTAAGTGTACTAAACCTTAGTCAAATTTACCTTTATTTTAATCGTAGAAACTAAAAATGTAATAATATACAGGGTGTTCCATTTAAAATAATACAACTTTGATATTTTTTATTTATTTGGGACACGCTGTATCTTGTAAAAATATTTTTAAATTGTAGCCCTAATACACCTTCAACGAACCCAAAACTTACAATTTGTAAAAATCTAATCGTTTAGCTACAATACTCCGTGTCGTATGTGGTGAACAACCCTGTATATTTACAATATTTAATAATTTATAATTTCAGGTGAAAATATTTTAATACCAAATTTAACAGTAAATTTGATGCCGGATGAAATCGCAGAATTTCAGATTATTTTTACACCTTTAACAGTTATGCAGACTGTACAAAAAATTTTACAAGTTCAGATAGTTAACAATCCATATGAACTTAATCAGGTAAATATTATTATTACAGTATTACAATACAGGATGATCCAGGGTTCCGAAAAAGCTTCATACAGGTTTACGGAACACTGCTTCACCCTGTATAAGCCAAAAATCTGTCAAGCTAAAGAATAAACGATTTCGAAAGATGACATCCAAATATTACCCAAAAAGAAATAATTTTATTCTAGAACTAGCTCTGGAACTAAAACGATAGATAACTGTCATTGTCATAACCGGATGCGTCTTAAAAGTGGCTCACCCCCCTATAACTTTTTTATTTTTTCAGATAAAAAAACGAGATTTGGTATGTTAGTATATGACATAAATTAGGATTGATTGTCGTATTCAATTGTTTTTGGTCACTTCCTATTTCACCGGAAATGACTACAACTTTTGATTTTTAAATAGCACCCTCGGTATTTTTTTACTTTATTCGATAGAAAATGACATTCTGAAAAATAGATTTGATTGTCTAATGTTTTTAGTGTCTTAGTGTAGGTTTACATGCATCCGTAATGCGTCGCTCGTCGTTGATTTTGTGCAATTTTATTGGTTTATTTAAAAAATGACAGCTCATACTTAAATATGACTGGAGGGACGGAACGACGGAGGACGCATTACGGATACATATAAACTCACCTTTATCCTGGCCGGCGCGGCACGGCGGTAAAAGATGCCTAAAGATGCCTTTTCCTGGCCAGTTAGAAAATACTCAAAAAAGACTTAAATTCGCTAAAAATATCGTCATACATAAAACAAATATTTAATACTTTACTATCAGAATATAAACGAAAATAAAATAAGAAAGTCTTAGTCCTGACCCGGATTCGAACTCTGAATCATCGGTTCGTGGTCGGAAACTCTACGCAATGTGCTATGGAGACATGTTCGATTTATATTCAATACTAGAATTTAAAGGACTAATAAAAATATAGGATCTTCTTTAATGCGCAGTAGAGAACGCAACGTTTACCCAAAGGTTTACCGGCAACCAGACGGGCATGCTCTTCTAGAGAGCATAGTAAAAGATATATCAAAGAGCCAGACGTCTTAAAATACTTGTTTTCCCGACGTTGCTAGCTCTCGTACTATTAGGTTTGTACTTAAACGAAATTCCTAAGGTTTTTATTCTAGCAGCTACAGATGCCCGACGCATATTTGATGACACTAAAGTCAAATGTCATCAAACTATATTGTTTTTTGAACGAGTTACCTCTAATTAAGCTAATCTGAGCTTCATCCGCTGTAACATTTTGTTTTAGATACTTCTCACAGCATCCAGTTATGATTCCGACGTTGTTATCGATAATCTGAAAGCGCTACAGTTAAAATCTGAAGCCATTGCGTCCAATTCGTCTTTGCTGACCAGAAATCCAATCGGATACGATTTAAACTTGGGCTACCGGGAAATCAATAGACCCAGTAAAACGTCCTTTGTTATCAGGAATAAATCCCAAACCAAGATTTACAAATTTAGATTCTATAATTCTACCCTGACCTTTATTCCTGAGGTGGGACACTTGAAACCGCTGGCATGGAAAGAAGTGTTGGTTGTTTTTAAAACGACGCGTCCGTTGATCAAATTGAAGGTACTCAATTATTCTCCTTTTTGCTTTTCAGATAATTACTAATATCTTTTATTCTAAATGTATATCCTAATAAATATAATAATAGCTCCCGTATATAGCGTTTAACGTCTTGGGAGTAGCAAGGTACAGCTTGCCATACTAGAGCCGTTCGGTATACAAGGGAAGTAGTGTGGCTAGCATTACGCTTCAACCGCCTATTATTACCTCAGGATAGTGAATCCCAAGTACTCATTTAAGGCTGAGTCGACCTAGGTACCCAAACTATTTTTATTTTATTAAAGTAGTCGGCTGATGAAATGCCGGCTGATGGGATTCGAACCACAACCTTTGAATTGGCAGACGAGAGCTGTACCTCTATGCCACCGTAGCGTAATGCACCACGTATAGCGTAATGCATAACGAAAATCAATCGTATGTTTTACAGAGTATGTCGTTCAGGAGTAGAGGTGCAAAGATGCGGCTTTCATGTTACTATGTTACTTTTTTAAAAGACTAAAGGATTCCGTGCTACACATATATATTTGATATAATTTAAACTTTTAGTTACGTAATCGAGGGCGCGATTTTTAAATTCATTGTTGCCAACCCTGGACATATTCGGAGCCGGGCTGACTAACTGGAATTTAAATTTCGCGCTGGAACAAATTGCCACATTTATTTATTTATTTCCTGACATTGTCATTCGTTTTGACACTTTAGTTTTGTATTATGAGTTTTTGGTTTAAATAAACAGTGTTGTGAGACGTTGAGTTTAAAAATGTTTACTAGCAGACCTTGCAGTCGAACATTGTTTATAGAACCTCTTTTAGTGTGAATGGCCGTAAATGGCGGTAGTAATGACTCTATGTCCCTTAAGTGCTGTTGAGAAGGTGAGTTTTGTTGATGTAAATAATAACTATATATTTATAATTAATTTATTTTTATTTCCCAAAATATTTTGATTAAAAGAAAATATGTAAAAGTGGACAACGCTGTGCCGGTCAAGCTTAATTACGTGACTAAAAAAATTACATGATAAAAAATTACCTGACAAAAATATTAAAAAGTTAAATAATGCAGTTTCTTACCTTATATATGAAAATAAGTATAGAGTATGTAATATTTTTGAAAAGCTAATAATAAGACAAATGAAATAAATAAATAATATAGAGGATATAGGATATCAAACACATACATGATGACAGCTCCCAGTGAAAAACTATTATAGTTACGCCAACACTGTATTCTACGAAAAAAAAAACTCTATGGGATACAAGGGGATACGATACGAAGGGGATCGAAAAATACAACAATTTAAAATTCGCCTTGTATTTCAAGAACTAAAAAGGTCAGAACAAGACTGTGTAGCATCTTTAGTTTCACAAAAAAAGTAGCAAAGTGATGCGAAAAATCGCATCTTTGTATCTCTACTCATAAACGAGAAACACCACAAAACACAGCAAAATGGGACACCTTACACCAAGAAAAAAAACTAACTATGTAACTAGATTATTTTTGATAAGTTATCAGCCTTTTTATACGTTACATTGCCTTTTTGATAAGTTATCAGACAAGTAAGCTACGAGAGGTGTTAGTAATGTGAAAACCGTATCTTTGTTCCTCTACACATAAATGAGAAACCCCGTAAAACACACGAAAATGGGACACCCTGTACACAGTATTATATGGAAATCTGATATATGTTAAATCCGCCGTATCGGGTAACAGTTTTGCTTGCGCCTTTCTTAAGGCGAGCCTAAAGGTGTTCTTCTTAAGGTTGATTCTCACTATACCTTCCGTATCAGCTACCTTTTGTTTCCCTTCCGTTCACATAAAATATTATATCATGTAAATGAATAGGACAATGCATATTATCCGTTCCGTTTCCCTTCCGTTTCATATCCTTTCCTTCCATACATTTTTTTTGGCAGACGGACTGAAGCGTATCGGAAACAGCATTGCCAAGTTCTTACATTTGTACCAGCTCTGTTAACAATTTGCTGATATTCATTTATTCTTTCACCTCTTAATTAAATCTATTACCTTTTTCAAAAGATACACATTTTTAAAATAAAACTTTCGTAATGATATAAGTTGTACAATAAAAAGTATGGAACTGATACGAAACGGACGCTTACATATCGTCAATACGATAAAAAATACGGAACGGATATGGAATGGATATGGAATGAAAACGGATAGTATAGTGAGAATCAACCTTTAAGGTTGATTCTCACTATACCTTTCATATCAGCTCCCTTCCGTTTCCCTTCCGTTTACATAAAATATTATATCATGTAAATGAGTAGGACAATGCACACTATCCGTTCCGTTTCCCTTCCGTTCCATATCCTATACTTCCATACATTTTTTTTTGACGGACGGACTGAAGCGTATCGGAGACAGCGTTGTCAATTTCTTACATTTGTACCAGCTCTGTTAAAATTTTACTGATATATATATATATATATATATATATATATATATATATATATATATATATATATATATATATATATATATATATATATATATATATATATATATATATATATATATATATATATATATATATATATATATATATATATATATATATATATTTATTATTTCGTCTCTTAATCAAATCGATTACCTTTTTCAAAAGATATTAATTCTTAAAATTCGTCAATACAATAAAAATACGGAACGGATATGGAATGGATATCGAATGGAAACGGAAGTAGGTACAGTGAGAATCAAACTTTAAGAAGAACGAAGTTATTTTAGGCCAGTAAGCGAGGGTTTTATAGGGTCCGAATACTGAACACCTGCACCGATTAGCGTGAAATTTTAACAGTGATTCTAGATATATGTAAGAAATAAAAGTTACATAGTAGCGATATGTGCTTTCACCCTGGGGGTGTGTACCACCCCTTCTCGGGGGTGAAAAATAAATCACCCATTTTAATTACAAAAATCCATAAAGCAATGAATTCTAAGCAAAAAATGTTCTATAACATTTCTTCAGAAAATTAATATATTCCTAGTTATTTAGGATTGAAAATGTTGATTTTTCATCTAAAATTCATATATGCAATGCAGTTTTTAGATGAAAAATCAACATTTTCAATCCTAAATAACTCGGAAAATATTAATTTTTTGAAAAAATCTTATAGAACATTTTTTGCTTAGAATTCATCGCATTATTGATTTTTGCAATTAAAATGTGTGATTTATTTTTCACCCCCGAGAAGGGCTGGCACTCAACCCTAGGGTGCAAGCACACATCGCTACTATGTAACTTTTCAGGGGCGGATACAGGAATTTATTTTAGGGGGGGCTCAAAATAAAAAGTAATGTAGAATATGCTTTTTAGGGTGCCATTTTTAACCAAAAAGCCTAATATTTAACACAATTCACAGATTTTAGGGGAGGGGGGCCCATGGGCCCCCTCTCTGTATCCGCCACTATAACTTTTGCTTCTCACATATATCTCTATTCACTGTTAAAATATTTCACGTCAATCAGTACGGGTGTCAAGAGTTCGGAGGTAATGCCCTATTTTTATTCTCGCTTACTGGCCTATTTAGGAAATTATCTAAAGAAAAAAGAAAATTCATCTACCACCTATAATTAAGATTTACCTATTTGTTAATATTTTAGGAAGAAATAACATGTAATATCACTGAAATTGAGTATATTTCACCGGATACGCAACCTCTCTCTTGGGACGATAGACAAAAATTCGTACATTGGGTTCCAGAAAACGATTATTCCAATACAAGTCAAGAAGGGTCAATTTTTAATGGTATTCCAGGCGCAAAGTAATCCATAATACATATTTTCATATTTTATAAATATGGCCATAAATCTCATTATTCTGGGTTGGTGAGTTTAAAAACGTATCGGGCAAAAGAAAATTCTTACGGTAAATAATTTTCGACAAATTTTAAAGCCCTGATATATTTTTAAGTGAAAAAAGTATTTTAAGCTTCTAATAAAAAGATTAAGGAAATACTATAATGTTATCCATGTATTCATGCATAGTCGACGGAAAGGGGACTCTAGGGTGGGGATCCTTGACAGTTCTGTTTGACGATTCACTTGACACATTTGAATTTGATTTGGAATTTTGTGGATTGGTCAGCCTTTACTGAGCTTATTTCATGTTATTTATTATTTATTCTACTACTGATAGTTGTTTAAAGGTAGTAAATCTAGAAGGAAATTATGGCAAGATTTAAATTAACAATGACACTATTGTCATTATTGTGATTTGTCGAAAAAGACTGTAAAATAGTTGGTTGTTTAGCGTGCGGTAGATCTCGGTCAAAAATCGAGGGAAATAATGGAATAATTTTTCGCTAGTAAGTGACTATACCGGGTGCGTCTCAAAAGTGGCTCACCCCTATAACTTTTTTATTTTCTTAGATAAAAAAACGAGATTTGTTACGTTAGTATACGACATAAATTAGGATTGATTGACGTATTCAATTGTTTTTGGTCACTTCCTTTTTCCCCGGAAATTACTACAACTTTTGATTTTTAAATGGCACCATCGGTATTTTTTTACTTTATTCAATAGAAAATGACATTCTGAATAGAATGACATATCATATGTTAACCTTTGACATTCTCTCTCGCTTAATAAAAAATTGTATTTTAGAATTCAATCTAGAGTGCCATGGCTATGTTAAAAACAGTAGTTCTTAATCAGGGAGCCTTGGAAAAATAGATTTGATCGTCTAATGTTTTTAGTGTCTTATCCTGGCCAGTTAGAAAATGCTTAAATCGTATTTTTAATAATATCTCATTTTTTTTCAAATGGAACGAGGGTGGCTCATTAGCATATTTGAAAAGCATTTTTTACGAATAATTTGATACCACACACTCGGTATTTCGAGTCAAATTTACGTTACGAACCGCAAGTTATAATAAACCATACGCGAAAATGTCAAAAGTTGACATATGATATGTCATTCTATTCAGAGTGTTATTTTCTATCGAATAAAGTAAAAAAATACCGAGGGTACCCTTTAAAAATCAAAAGTTGCAGTCATTTCCGGTGAAACAGGAAATGACCGAAAACAATTGAATACGTCAATCAATCCTAATTTATGTCAAATACTAAAATACCAAATATCGTTTTTTTAACTGAAAAAATAAAAAGTTATAGTGTTATACACCCGGTATAATATTCATACGTGGAGTAAACCGGTCATTTATGAAATTCACTTAAAATTAACTAATTTATATATTATTTCTTGCATTTTTGCTTCTATTTACTGCTTGTCAAGGATTAGATGTCAAAGAATCTTATCTTTTAATCTACGTCAATTTGACTTACCTGCTTCAATAGCGTATCGGATGTTTGTGTTAATAAATAATTATTATAAGTTAGCTATTTTTATCAGAATTACATATTTTTTATAACAATTTTAATAACTACCAACGTTTATTCACAACGTAACATAAAACAACTAATTATTGAGTCGATCCCACGTTTACCCCCTTGTGTCTGCCCTACGCTATATTTTTACACGTTTTGAATAAAATTAGAGCGGCACTAATAAACCGGAATTTAAGTCGACCATTTTAGAGTCCCGTCGTGGTCGATCTAAAATAATTATTGATATACTCCTTCCTTAATCTTTTTATTCAAAGATTTTAAGTTAACGTCTCCTTTTTGAATCTGAACGGGGCCTACGTTGTTTAGGCGGAATCTGAACCGCACTCCTCGACCATATCATTGTTAATGGCCTACCGACTTGGCGAGGAAACGAAAACAAATTAATAATAATTATTTTTTTTGTAATCATATTTTGCTAACATAGTTGGGCTAAACAATTTTAATGGAAAAAAATAATCTTCATAAAAATTGAAAAAAAGCAATCGAAAAAATATATTTTTTTTATCTTTGGAGTTAAATTCGTGGAGATATAGGATATACAAAAAAATGTATTCTTGCTGTTAAAATAAAAATATTAAATTCTTTATACAAAAAAAAGTATAAAGTATCTGGAATACAATAAAAGTATTTTAGGTACCTATCTACGCTTGTATTTTTTCAAATATGTATAATAAAATTAATATAATAAATAATTTTTACACATTTTAAGGCCCCACGTTGGGCGCCAATCTATAACGATGTTATTATCATATTTATGGATGTTTTAAGCTTTATTCAGAACCTCGCAATTACTGGATACAACTTACTACTAGAAGCTGCTGTTGCTAGGATATTTTATTAATTTTAATTGTGTTGGTTAGACATTACGAATGATTGTAAACTCAAAAGTATAAAGTGTTATTGAAACCATTAATTTATTCCACTAATTGCGAGGGTCTGAATGAATTTTTACGCATCATAATAAATATTAGAAATAATGAATTTTGTATACTTTATACTTATTCATATAAAATATAAGGTACTTTTAGTAAAATTATTAAAGATAAAGTAGAATACTTCATTATGATCTAACTATGACTCCATTTTTATGATTTAGTAGCAGTAGACCCTTATGACTTGTTAAAATTTAAGTGGCTGTAGAATGTAGAGTAATCTAAGTATGATTAGCAATAGTAAAATTTTTTTAATAACCCTCTACGCATTTTTGACAAATAACTTGTGATTTATTGTTGAAAAGAGAATTTTAAGCTATATGAATGTTCAAAACACAAAGCACATGATGCTGTTTAAAATTCTTTGCTTAGGATCACTTAGGACAATATTAAATTTTATTTTAATAATAAATGTGAGTATTAATGAACTAATTGTACCCAAGTTTATCGGTTTTCAAAAATTTTCAAATTTTGATATGAGGGCTATAAAGATTTATTTTAATATTCATGGATGAACGAAGAATAATCAGGTTTAAAGCCATTTTAAACCATTTTAATATGAACGATTGAAAAAAATATTTTTAAGGAAAAGCTCGAACGAGAATATATTAGACGTAAAGGGTAAAGTTATAATGGAAGGAACGGAACCGGCCATAAATGCCTTGCCAGAATCTATTCAGATCATTCCAATTTATCTGACCGTATTATCTGATTATAGCAGATACGTATGTGACACGCGTAATCTCAACTTCTACACTACTTACGTAAAAGAGGTAAAAATTTCATTTTTTATGTATCTGGGAAAATCTAAAATGTTTGTAAAAATTTTCAGAAAAAAACTCAATCGTTTGAAGTGAGCAATATTGGAAAAACCTCTTTGAATATTGAATGGACGGTTACAGAAAAGCCTTACCCAATTACTATTAAAAAGTCAACTTCATCAACTGGTTTTTCAGGAAAGAGCTCTACTGAAGGTTAGACCTCTTCTAATAGAAACATTGACCAAGTTTGAAAGTTTGAAAAGTTTGCGGCCTCGCAATGATACAAAACATATTTTTATGAAAATGCATATTTTTATTTCTCCAAAAAAAGTCCTGTGGGTTATCGCCACTGTAAGAAACTTTGTAAGAAACGTTTCGGGAAGTATATCTCTTCCAGGCGTCTGAAGCAAAAAAACACAAAGAACAAAGAAAAAAACTACTTAAAAAATCTAAATGCAACTATTCGAGAACACTTTAGTTTTTTTACAGATACGTTTATAAAACCGTTGACGTTCTGCTAAAATGACATTATATCCAAGTTAAACTTCGAAAAATAAACAATTACTCCCTGATAACAATTACTTAATAAGGTTGGTTAATGGCGAGGTCGGAAACTTTTCAGACCACCGTCATATTTTTTTCCAAATCTATATAATTTGATGTTACAGTACCAATATCTAAGAGCGTTAGTACTTCAACTCTAAGCTCCTTTAGTGAAGCTACTGATGACATTAAAACAGCAGTAACCATTGAACCTAATATAACTACTATCGACCCGGAATCTTCTAAATCGTTTGAGGTTTCATTTGTGCCCGAAATACCAGGCAAATACGAATTTATTATGACTTCTTTGATAAAATCGCTGCAACCAGATTTTGGCGATATACAAATTAATGTCTGCGGTGAGGCTTTAGCCGTTCCATTCTATATCGAATTCGAAGATGGAAAGGCTTCAAATAAAGATTTAAAATTAGAGTTCGAAAGCATTGGAACTGGACACGAATCTATAAGGTAAAAAAATTTAGTTAATAATTAATACAGGGTGACTCACTTTTTAGAAATATCTTCATCTCTCATTTCCGTTTCTTTTTTTTAACCATTTTTTTGTAAGAAATGCCAGAAAAATATTATTTTTCTGTTTATTATTACGTTGATTTCATGCAATTTTATTGGTTTGTTTCAAAAATGACAGTTTTTACTTAAATATGATTGGAGTGACGCCCACACTTAAAGTGCGTTTATATTAAATATTCTTGCTCACCCTTGCATATTTTTTATAAATTTATATCACTTGGGTTTTAGACATTATTTTGCTCTTGCTTATTTATTTTTTACAATAATTGTAGTAATAGTAATTGTAGTAAGAGGAAAAAACCAACTATGTCCACTTTATAGGAATTTCTAAGTAATCAACTTAATCTGTTGAAAATACCAAGTCCCAAACACATGTTAAATTGTAATTGAATATAACAAGCAATGTCCAAATCTCAGGTCCAAATAATAACGCATACAGTAATAATTTTTGTAACTTTAAAAATACCGTATGACCGAAAAAAACGCATCTAGATGGCTTGGAAATCACGATCGATGACATTCCCCAATTTTACATATAAAATGAGAGCAGGAATCTTCATTTCATAGCCAATCGCTGATGCCGTTTTTTTGATAATATTGTATTTGGCAGCACTCAATCAGTTTTCTCTGTAAAAGTCAGTTCTGTGACATCGTTTGTTTTTCCCTTACCCTTCAATTAATTGAAATGTTATACAGGGTGCTTATAAAAATGTCACAAATATTAACTTAATAATACAATAGAAAGCGTCAATTTTATTAAACAGAATACCTCGTTATTCTTTTTTTGTTTATTTGCCTTCAAAAATAAAGGTAACTATTTTAAGAAAGTAATAAGTATAATGATAAATATAATTTATTCTATTTATGTAGCTAGCATATCGACAAACTTATATTTTTGAAGTGAAACAAAAAGTGAAAAAGTAAAAAAATTTCAAGGCCATGACACGACACGTCCTTGACACACAAGCTAGCGAGAAAAAAAGTGGTAAGCCAATGAGGAAGTTCAGATGGGTCTTTTTTTTTAGCCAGAGGCTTGAAACTCGGAATGTAGATGGGGCTCAAAGATCTTTTCATGATATTTTGCCGTTTAGTGCACTACGAAACCCCATCATCAATGAATCAAATAAAAAAATCATCCAATTTAAATAAAATTTGGTATGTCGATAGACTAGACCAAGACTAACTTGACCGTGTACGACACGTGTCACTGTGAGAAACGTGTAAGAAACGTCAACAATAACGTCCGATCGCGACCAAATTTGGTGGGTAGGCTATGCGAGCGACGGTGCACACGGTCCCACTCTGCAAAGTTGGGTACGACGTTTCGTTTACATATTCATCAGGATAGTCCTACCCTGATTCGATCGATATCGATTCGATATTGAAGAAAAATGTAGGTTGATTTCGTAATAATTGGGGACGGGCTACAGGATAACGCCCTCGACGTTTCGAACCGATGCCGATGTCTCTAAATATAAGAAATCATCCGCATTTTTCTTAATTATGGGTCGATTGGAACCAAACTCGGCACGTATATAGAGGTACCCGAATGGAGTCCTCAGGCGGCCAGATGGGTATATAGACAGACAGACAGACCGACGGAGGTAAGAAGAAGTTTCACTTCAAATATGCGCACATAGTGCACACACAATTTTTTTTAATTATTTTAAAGAGTAATAATTTGTCCGTACCTGTATTAGACTACTGAGAGAAAAACTATACATTGCGGCCGTTTTTACGCAAAGAGAACTTTTTTTGCGTAAAAAACGGCGAAGATATTTTTCTCTCAACAGTGTAATACAGGTACAGACGAAAAAATTACCCTTAAAAACTGTTAAAAGACATGTAGGTGACGCCCCCTACAAGTAGGGGTCATACTAAAATCGAAATCGAATTTCCTATGTAAAAAAATCACTCAGCAACCAAGATGTCGACGTCAGTTCAGAAATCACTATGTATCATTTGGAGAAAACCTAAGTAAGAATGAAACTTCTACTCTGTAAAACCAAAAAGAGTTTAGGACATACATTTACAATATTTTAATTATTTTTATCTGCTGAATATGTTTTCCGATTACAATTTGGACCACCCCGTATAAAAATAATTTTAGGATGTGCTTCTTAGATATTAAGAAAATTAAAATTAAAATCTTAACCCGCTTTATATTTTAACTAGATGGGAAATTATATTTTACAATTATTATAGAAATAATTGCTTTTTTAATTTCTAGGAGAGCTTTGTTGGTTAATGCCAGTGAAGAAGAATTTTCTTTCGAACTGATACCTACTGAAAAAAAGCAATTTTCATATTTTTACTGTCAAACTTTAAAAGGAACAGTAGCGAGTAAACGGAAAGCGCCACTGGAATTTTCATTCAATCCCCAAATTATTGGACATTTTATGGAATCATTTAAATTAAGAATTATCGGAAAAGACATAGTGGAGTTTATATTACTATCCGGTTTATGTAGAGAACCAAAGGTTTATTTTACAGAAACTAATGTAGATTTAAAACCAACAGTGCCTAACGTAAAATCAACGAAGTCTGTCGATCTAGTAAACGATGAGACGTTTTCGATAGCTTTTAAGTTTAATAAACGATCTTTAGTTGGACAAAACCAATTGGAGAAGTTGGACGTATTTCCACTTTTTGGAAGGATAAATCCTAAAACTAAAACTGAAATAAAGTAAGTTTGTACAGAGTGTCCCATTTTGGTTGCAATCGAGGGTTTTCTACTCAGAGAAATATTATAAATAGACAAACCTTACTCTACAGGGTGTCCCATTTTCGTGTGTTTTACAGGGTATCTCATTTATGAGTAGAGGAATAATGTTCTACGTTTTTATGAAACTAAGGATGCTACACACAAATTTGTTTCTGAAATAGCGAATTTGAAATTATTGCATTTTTTGACCCCCCTCGTATCTTGGTTATCTTATAAATTATCTAAAAAGTGAAAACTGAGTTCCATAGAGTTTTTCACATATAATTCAGTGGCGTAACTAGTTTTTCGCTTCTTGAACGTTCTTGAAATATGACTCAAACTTATGTTTTTTTAAATAGGATATCCGATACGTTATTCTTTTATTATAATTACCTTGTTACGAGCTTTCTAAAAATATAATATACTCTATACTTATTTTCATAATCAAGGTAAAAAATGCAGTATTTTACTTTTTAATATAGGCGGCCGGTTTGAATTAGATAATTAAAACAATCGAATAATTTATTCGACGTCAAATTTTGGCGGTTGGCTATTCCACGCTAGTTTCTGTGTGTAAAATTATTGCAGAAGTGCTTAAAAAATATCAGTAATTCTGATTGGCAGCGTGTTAGCTAAAAGCTGCACAAATTCATTTTCAGTGCAGTTTATTAAGACAACAGGATGGAAAGCAATATTATCTAGTTAAATTTAAATTAAATATAATAATAATACTGTAACGTTTTTAGTTCGTTACATGTCTTTTATACATGATATGTGATATCTGGCGTATTGTCACCGGATCATTCAGGCCTGATAATTTTTTTGACACGCTTGGCGTGGTTCTAAAGTTCTCTAGTTGACAACCCTGTTATCGTTTCACTGCTTCAGTTTAATGTATCTATTCTCTGGCTTCAGTGGAGGCGCTGTCAACATCGCTTCAAGGTTTCGCTCTCGGCGATATAACCTCACTTTTGGTTTAGTATAATACTCTTTTAAATTAGGTTGATTTATATTAAATTAATTAACGTTTGGGTTACTCTCTAACGGACAAACAATGCCCAATGTAAACTGTGTTCAAATAACTTATTTTGATTCTAAAAATACTCGGTAGTTCTATGTACAGGGTGGTCGGAATTGGTCTGTTTTAACAGAGAAAACCTATTTCCTGACTAGATAGAGCAAAACCGACATAGATATCATGGGCTCGATTTCTGAGACACGTTTAATGGCATAAACCGCCTGTTGATATTTTCACTGCCAACTGAGATACGGGGTCTTTTTGATTTTTTACCATTTTGAAAATAGCCCATAACTTTTTTATTTCGCCGAATAATAAAATTCTGTAAAGACGTTCTTTAAGCACTTTTTTAAGCTCAATCCAGTGGCGTAGTGAGTTTTTTTTTCTATGCTTGCCCTTTTTATCAGAAATAATGAAAAATATAATTTTTTAAATGGAAATTATAGTTGGCTATGAACTTAAAAAAAATGCTGGCATTTAATCCTTTACAACGATATAAAGTTATGGGTATTTATTTCTAAGAATGAGAGAAATATTAGGTTTTTTATCTTTAACTCTACTAGGCCTCTACTAGGCAAGCTTCTGAAATTCTTCTCTCGTCCTAATGGTTCTTCCCTTATATATAAGGCCTTTTAATTCCCCCCATCAAAAAGTCGAAAGGAGTTTCATCACAGGACCTAGCAGGCCAAGATGATGGGATCCCTTGTTTCAATCCAATTCTCTCTAAATTCTCCAGTTAATAGTGCAGTTGTAGCCCTGACTTTTTAATTGTAAATGGTACTACTAATATAGAATGTTGATTTACCTTTTCAAAAGTCTTTAATTATGCAGATAAATTATGATATAGAATATTAAATTGTGATAAAAAATAATTAGGAAACTAGGTCAACACAAAATCAAGGCCCGCTTCGATACAAAGATAAAAAACCTAATATTTCTCTCATTCTTAGAAATAAATACACATATCTTTATATAGTTGGAAAGGGTTAAACGCCAGCATTTTTTTAAGTTCACAGCCAACTATGATTTCCATTTAAAAAATTATATTTTTTATTATTTCTGACAAAAAGAGCAAGTATAGAAAAAAAATGACTACGCCACTGGATTCTGCTTAAAAAAGTGCCTAAAGCACGTTTTTACAGAATTTTATTATTCCGCGAAATAAAAAGTTATGGGCAATTTTCAAAATGGTAAAAAATTCAAAAAGACCCCGTATCTCAGTTGGCAGTGAAAATATCAACAGGCGGTTTACGCCATTAAACGTTTCTCAGAAATCGAGTCCATGACATCTCTGTCGGTTTTGCTCCATCTAGTCAGGAAATAGGTTTTCTCTGTTAAAACAGACCAATTTCGACCACCCTGTACACGAAATAACAACTAGAAAAAAAAACAAGGAATAGTGCATAATAAATATATAAATTGTGTAATCAAAATATTAATTTACAGATATTAAGTATACCGAGTGGTGCATCGTCGTTGGAAACGTAGGAAATCCCATGCATATTTTAAACTGTTCAGATATTGGCTCCCCTATTAATTGTACAGCGAAGTTGTAAATAGGTATTTTAAAGGTTGCGTATGCTGAATACACAGGTTAAATTTGAACAATTTTAAACAAGCCGATTTCAAGTAATTTAAGAAAAACTGCATCTATTTTTAAAACTAAATAGGTAACAATGCAAAACCAGGCAAATTTTAACGTGCCTTTAGTTGTCATCCTATAATTTTATCAATTTCAATTTTTTTAACATTTGCTTTTTTAACCGTTAAGCGTAGGTACTATAACGTAGTAGTAGTAGACACCACAACAAATTACATTTAACAATGATAAAATCGTGGGTAGATAATCTAAGGTATATTGACATTTGAGTGGCTTTGTATTGTTACCTGTTCAGTTTTAATTCAAAAATAGATGCAGTTTTTGTTAAATTACTTAAAATCGGCTTATTGAAAATTGTTCAAATTTGGCATGTGTATTCAGCACATTTAAAAAACCTATTTACGATTTAGCTGTAAAATTAATAAGGGAGCCAATATTTGGACAGTTCAAATATCGCATGAAATTTCCTATGTTTCCAACGACGATGCACCACCCGGTATACTTAATATCTGTAAATTAATATTTTGATTTTCACAATTTATATATTTATGATACGCTATTTCTTGTTTTTTTTCTAGTTGTTATTCCGTGAACATAGAACTACTACGTATTTTTAGAATCAAAATAAATTATTTGAACACAGCTTACATAATAGCATTATTTGTCCCTTAGAGAGCAACCCAAACGTTCATTAATTTAATATAAATCAACCTAATTTAAAAGAGAATTATTATTTAGTTTAATTTAATTTAGCCATCGCATAACCGGAAAAATGCATATACATGTATATTTGAAATCGGAAGAAAAATATCTTTCAAAACAACTTAAAATATGCGGGGTATTCCATTCAAAAAAAGTGAGCTTATAAATTTTTCTCAACTTTCTGATCATCTTGTTTATTAGTTATTTTTACTTCACGTTGTGGTGGTTCAGGTTGGATGGTTTACCCGAACCACAACTTCAACTTCAACATTTCAACATTTTGTTTCTGGTGAGTAAGCCTGCAGGTATCGCACCAAATTTTTCTGAAAACGCAGGGTACAGGGTCTTGGTGTACAGGGCGTGTGGTTTAAAACAATTTAATCATTGGGCAATATTTCAAAAATGGAAATATTAAGAAATAAACAAACTACGCAAAAAGTTTCAAAAAGAGTTGTTTTTTAAATTTTAGATATGGTGTCAGACAATATAGCGTGTGAAATTAAAATATTTTTAAAATCACCCTGTATCATAAAAACTAAGAGAACCTAGGAAGAGACTATTTGGTTTGCGACATCTTTTCGTTTAGTTAGGTTAGGACTTTTACTCAGCTCAATTTTTTTTTCTCAAAACCATATTTTCATGTTTCTTTTTAAGTTTCTTTAAATCGGTATGGAAATTTGGAAAAGTACAAACGGTATTAACCGTTTTAGAACAAGCAAACATTTTTATGAATAATGCATTTTTCTCATAATATTAATAATATTTTTTTCTCTTGTAAAGACAATCCGGGGACAAACTGTTTATTAATAAGCGGCAAAAAAACAATTTCAACCAAAGCGGGACACATTGTACGCCAGCCATGTTTAGATTTTATTATTCATGCAAGTTTCTTTCAGAATAAGTTTTATCACTCCTCACATTCTAGTCAATCAGTTTCTGGTAAAATGTTGCGTGGAAAAATTAAAGGCACCATTAGGTTTGCATGTGAACACAAGTTGTTTAAAGATCAAAACGTCAGTATGTTATAGAGATATAATTGGAGAAATTATATATCTGGAAGATAAAGCAGTAAATAATATAGATTTAGGCCATGTAAGTATAGTCTACGTATAGGGAAATTAAAATAACTTTGGTTACACATTATAATACGACCACCAGCAAACAGTATAAGACGACAATATGGTGTCATTGATGACGTGCAACCAAAGTTGTTTTAATTTCCCTTTAAAACTACTGAAATTAAGTAGAGAGTCGGTTAAATGGGGAAAGAATTGCAGTTTTATGAGGACAAACAAATGCCTCTTTCAGATTTTTGAAAAAGTTTAGTTCTAATCCCTAATTCCATTATAATTTATTTTAGACAAACCGTTTTCCAGATGAAAGTTAGTAGATAATCACAAAGAGATGATGTTCTCCGTTTTTTTCTAAAGCCTGTCATTTTTGACATATGACACTAACATATATTTTTTAATGGAAACCATAGTTGTCCATGACTTCATAAAAAGCGCTATTTTTAAGCTTTCCAGCGATATAAGTAGTATGTTTTTTTTTCGAAAAATTACTGAGTTATAGCCATTGCCTGGAAACTCGGAGTGATATATGTTCAAGTCAATAACTCGGAAACGGTTGATTTGAGGTACATTGTGTGTATTTCGATTTTTGCTTAGAATTGAAGGAAGAATTGACATAAGCAATAATATACAGGGAGTTCTACTTAAAAAAATGAAACTTTGATGTGTCACGACTTTATGACCGACACTGTGTACATAAATTTATTACTCGCCAATAGACATTTAAAAACCTTATAATTTTTATATACCTTTTTGTGGCACCTTTTGTATTTTACCTAATAATCGACCGTTTCCATAAATCAAAGCGACCCTGTATATGATATGAAAGAGATCAAACTATCACTCAGTCTAAAAAATGGTAGTTTTTTAACTTTTTTGTCCAAAACGGTACGATTGATGCAGATTAGTACACTCTAACGGACAGACGAAGCACTTTTGTATAGACGTAAATTATATTCAATTAACTTCATTTGATACCAAAAATATGTAGTTGTTCTATGTTCACTGAATATTGGGGTCTGTATAACTAGGAAAAACAAGGTCAATCATAAATATATAAATTGTGAAAATATAAATCTTAATACAGATAACAGATATTAAGTATAAATAAATATGTGTATAGTCAAGTATTGTTTATGTAATATACGATATGGCCGAAAACAGGCGCCACAATGCCTTGACGTTGCTTGATGACAATCTGTTATATTTTATATGTAAAATTAGTTTTTATTAAAATTAAAATTAAATTAAAAAACAACTTTTCATCTTATTTTTCGATCATAGGATATTATACGGTATGTCCCCGGATTTTCTTTACAAGAGGATAGATCAAAGGGATAGATAGACATAGATAGTCTTTACAGATAGAATAGAGATATTGTCTTTACTTTGATTTCATTCTTTGATAGATCGTTATAATTAATTTTCATTAACGTCATATTTTTTGATGTTAAAGTATCACATTTTCCGATAAATATTACCACCCTTTCTGTAACATTGAACTAAAATACATTTTGTGCTTTTTTAGCATTTAAAAAAGAAAAAAATATGACGTTAAATAAAATTCCGTCAAAATAATCTATCAGAGAATGAAAACAAAATTATATTATCCTATTTTAGAATTATATTATCCTTATAAAGGATACATTTTTCTCAAAAGTTCAATAATAAAAAAGCTTTTCCTCTTGTAAATACCGTAAAAAAGCTTTTCCTCTTGTAAATACCGTATGATCGAGAAAAAACGGCGTCAGCGTTGGCTATGAAATGAAGATCGCTGTCATTTTATATGTAAACTTATATGGGAAATGTCATCGATCGTCGTTTCCCAGCCAACTGGACGCCGTTTTTTTTTCGATCATACGGTACAATCCGGGGTGGTAAATACAATCAATGTACAGGGTGGCTCGAATTCGACGCTCATCATTGGTATTTCGGAAACCGTAAGAGATACAGAATCAGTTAATTGGAGGTAAAGTTGCGAAATTTGATGCTCAATAAAATGCCGTATTGCATTTTGAAAAATTCCGAATACTTCCGAATATATTCGAAAAAAAAACGGAATTTTCAATTTTGTTTTCTATTGTTTCCTGGCTTTATTTGTTAAGATAACTTAAAATAAAAAACACATTTTCATGGCCACTTTTTCTACTCTATAACTCTGTGTGATTAAATATTGGCTCTGACGTTTCGGCTTCTGGCGACCATCATCAACTTAATTTTTTTAAATACGGACCTGATTTTTTTTTCAAATTAATTAAATCCTTTCATTACTCTTAAAACACTATATATAGTCACTTTGATATTTGTTGACGTTTCGTACAGAAAATTCCATCACCAGAATATTTTATGCAAAAAAAAATAAAAAGTAAAAATACAATACGGCATTTTATTGAGCATCAAATTGCGCAACTTTGCCTCCATTTTACCGATCCTGTATCTCTTACGGTTAGGTTGTAAGTACATAATCTCAATAATTTAGCTATTAAACCAACCACGGTTTATTCTTTGCGTGCATACGAACAACATACCACGAATATACACTCAGATGCAAAAAAAACGCAACGGAAAAATTTTTGCCCAAATTTAAAGTGTTATATTTTTGTTGTTTTTAGCATTATTTTCATGATTTTTTAGCAAACTGTGTATAATTATATCAACTTTAATTCGTAAACTCAGATTTTTATAAATATTAGTATTGAGCATATTATACAGGGTTAATTGAGGGGTTCTTTTTTACCCTAACTTTAAAACACCCTGTGCAATAATTTTGTGTGTAAATTTTCCTGAAATATAATGTTACGGTCCGAACCATGTCTCCTAAGAATTTTGTTTTTTGGATCATGTCAAAATATGCTTTGGTTAATTTTTAAGAGCAAAATGAACTTGAAACTTGACACCAAAAATTTGCAATTTTTTCAATTATTATTTCTTTTTGAAGTTATTTTTCAATATGACAAGCCGGCTTTGGTGATTATTTTGAACTATATACTACTATGAACTGTCTATCATGTTCGACGTTTGGGACATGCTTGGCAGGAGGGTTGGAGGTCGCGAAGCGGTACCAGCTTCATTAAATGAACTTCGCTTGGTTCTTAAAGAAGAATGGGAAAGCATAACGTAATATGATATATGCAACCTCAATGACAGTATGAACGGACTTATACAGGCAGTTATAGCAGCCAAGGGAAGCAATGCAAAGTATTAGGGTACTTTATACAATTTTTTTTTCTGTTTGTACACTTAAGTATTACAGATGCTTTCTTTAATATCATTAGTTCTGTTATCATTATTAATGTTTATTAAAACCAGGACTGTATCGTTAGTCTTTAACGTTTTTTTTTTATTTAGTATAAAGCATCCAATGCAGCGTAATATGACATTACGACAATAGTCACCAAAACCATCTCGTCATATTAAAAAATTACATCAAAAAGTACAACCCCTCGATTAACCCTGTATAATATGCCAAATACAAAATTTTATAAAAAAACTTAGTTTACGAATTAAAAGTTGATATAATTATACACAGTTTGCTAAAAAATTCATGAAAATAGTGCTAAAAATAACAAAAATATAAATCTTTAAATTTGACCAAAAATTTCTCCGTTGCGTTTTTTTGCATCTGAGTGTATAAATAGTATTGAACTGCCACCAAATTCATTCTTCAATTTACTTGAAATAGACTTATTTTCCGTAGATGAATAAAGGCAAGAAAGAAATGATACCTTTTAAAATTTCTAACACTGGACAAACTGGAGTGTTTTATAACTGGGAATATGACTCGAAATGTATTGCACACTTATATGCATTGTCGATTGAAAATGAGAAAGGGTTTTTAAAATGTGGCAATCACACAAAAACTAATATGAGCATTCAGGCCTTGCGACTTGGAGCTATAAAACAATTTAAAGTTGTTCTTAAGGTATGCATAAAAAAAGTAAATATTTAATTTAAATACGATTATATGAGTTGTAGAATTATATTCTAAAAATTTACTTTTATTTTTATGACAATTATTCGCAACATTAAAAAAATTCACAGATTTTGCTTGTGACATCATTTGGAAGAGCTAAATAGAAATATAAAAGAACTAAACCTTGTTTGGAAAGCAATTTCACATTCGTGACGTCAGTTGCCTCACAGTAGTATAGGCATATTTTGAACCCCTACAGTGCATAGTTACTGTAGATAAAAATAAATTAAATATAGTTGGCTTCAACGATAATTTAGTTTGCAGCTTCTTTTCATCATACCTAATAACAAACCGTCACAACCACTAGTCATAATATGCATCATGTACATATGTATTTTGAAACATCATTATGAGATTTAAGTAATATGAGTCTCTTTATTGACGGTTTTTTTATGACGAAAATAAGCAGCAAAATATATTATCGATTGCAGCAACTATACCGAGTTTACATTCGGTATGTCTAATTAATATAGAACATTATACCTATGACTATGCATGCTTTTAAAAATTTGCTACCATTATATTTTGATAGTTGAGATTATTTGTTAGCTTCTTAAACAAAGCCCCCGACCCATAATAATTCAAATCTTTATCACCCAAGACTTCCAAGAATTATGAAGTAATCTCACGTCAAATTTTTTTTAAATTATTGCATGCCTTAAGGCCGTAAGTATTTGCAAAGTTAACAAAAATATTTCTTTGCATACCTTGCAATTAATATGTTTTGTCCAATTTATCAGTTCTGCATCATATCCGAAATTCAGATTGTGTGTGACACAACGAAGAGACAACGTGCAACGTGAACGACAAGAAAAATGGCAAGTAAAAAAAATTGTAAGGTCTTAATTACTAATTACACAGTCCTTCCCTTGAGTTCTCCTGCCTAAAATATGTATTGTCTTTCTTGAGATTTTAAATACAAATGATTGAAGCTCATACAAGTTTACCACAATTTAAACTTAAGATAATTATTTAATTATTAAATCCATAATTATATTAAAATATAACACTTACGAAGTTAATAAATATTAACAATTTCTACTTAATCATTTAATAACTCTGATAAAAACACGCTTGACTTTTTATTTTAGAAATCATACGGGCTATAATCATTAATATGACTATTATATATTAACAATACTTAAATCAAAATTTATTTGAAGGAATGCTATTATACTGTATTACAATAACTGTAAAACAAGTATGTAATAATAACTCGGAATAATTATTAAAAACTGCTCATCGCGTTATCGATGTCGGCGTCTTGTCACTGTTATTTCATCTTTTATTTAGTATTGTCACTATATTATTTTATTAGCCGTTTAGGTATAGTTTGATTTCAGATAATGCAGATTTTAATATGCCATTTGTGTTTTTTTTTATTGGAATTATCATTTTTAGCATAGTTGGTATACTCTATGAAGTGATTTTAAGTGCTCCTGTCCATTTTTCAATTATTAAAGTGCCTATTTAGATACATTTAAAATTATAGTATTTGTATTATGGGTTTGTTTATTTTTTTATGAAATGTATTTTTTTCTTATTAAAATAAACATACCTTACTAGATCACTAGCTAGCCAGTTTTAAATACAGGGTGTTAATTAAGTATCCAGCCAAACTTGAGGAGGTGATTCTTTGAGTGTTTTTAAGGCAAAAAGTTCATATAAACATTTGTCCGGAAATGTATAATTTTACATACAGGGTGTCAAGGTGTTTTCTAATAGACCTTTTTTATTAATATCTCAAAGATCCGTTGGCCAATTTTGTTTGAAATTTCGCCGTGTTGTGAACTTTGATAAGTTAGCACTAATTAAATGATAATTATTATTTACAACAATATTCAAACAATAAAAACTTATCCCAATAAATATTTGGCAACGCCTTGGATTCATTTGTTTTTACGCCTGTTTTCATTATTAATATAAAAAAAACCATGCAAGCTTTTTCTTTGTCCTAAGTTGTTAATTAAAAAAATAATAATCATATAAAAAATATAGGGCCTAAATTTTAGCAAGATGTATCAGCAGATCCGATGAGACCCGAGTTATATGTTTTGGTATTGATTTAATTAATTATTCCCTTTAATGCATTTACCTATCCTACGCGCCAAGAAAAAATATTGCATTAGTCTAAATTTATTATTTATAATAAAATTATATAAGGATTCTTGCCACTTAACTACTGATATAGAAATTTAATTCTACGCTATGTTTGTCATAATGTAGATCAACCTGCTCTCACTACCTGTTTCGGAGCCCTACTCCGAATATCCATCATCAGGTGAGCTGGAGCTCACCTGATGATGGCTGCTCAGTGGTTTCGGAGCCCTACTCCATCATCAGGTGAGCTTGGGCAGATCCACAAAATGACAACCACAACGCAGAGATAGTTAATTCCGACTTGTCGGAAAGTGTCGGTTAGATATTAAGTCCCGAACGGGAGATAGCGGCCTGCGTGGTAGTACTTTCGTACCACCGAGGCGTAACTATCGGTAGTAAAAGGATGATAAAAAACTTTTTTTTCAGGCAAGCCAAATTATAAATAGAGAACAAATTTCTTGCAGTATAGGTATATAATAAAATTATATAAGGATTCTTGCCACTTAACTACTGATATAGTAATTTAATTCTACGCTGTGTTTGTCATAATGTGGATCAACCTGCTCTCGCTACCGGTTGTGGTTGTCATTTTGTGGATCTGCCCAAGCTCACCTGATGATGGAGTAGGGCTCCGAAACTTACTTTTTTTAGTACTTTAGCGTTTCGAATGAAATTTTGAGGGTAAAAGTTACTATAAATGCGACATATCTTAAGGCTAAAAAAGTATCGCCAAATTCACCAGGGACGTGCAAATGGGTTATCACTGGAATATTTTTCTAAAACAAGCATGTACGCTACTGACTTTTTTTTCTCTTGTTACCGAAATAGTGTAAGCAGTTTAATGCCGATTATAAGTTGTTTCTTGATGTTTTGTCGATTTCGGCCTCCTTGATGAGATAAACGCAATTTTATTAATTTTTTTACAGCGAAAGTTTTAAATAAGTACTCATTAATTTCTCCTCAAAAAATATGAAAAAAAAAGTTCCTATGAACATGGGTATGGAAATGCATAGTTTTAGAGTTACAAATGTTAAAATTTTTAAAATTAGGTTTTTTGTAATTATCTTAAATATAATTCTTTTATTACTCGCTGTATATATATATTATATATATACTATAGTATATATATATATATATAGTATATATATATATATATATATATATATATATATATATATATATATATATTAAATCGCTGTATGTTGGACTAATAGTAATAATAACTAACAGTAATAATATTTAATAATAAATTAGGTAAATTATATAATTTATTAATTTTATTTTAATTTTAATTTTATTAATTGTGATTGTGCGTTAATCTCATCAAGGAGGCTGAATTCGACAAAATATCAAGAGGTAACTTTTAATTGGCATTAAACGGCCTACACAATTTTGATACCAAAAGAAAAAAAGTCAGCGGCGGCGGCGCACATGTTTTTTTTTTGGAAAATATTCCAGTGATAACCCATATGCACGTCCCTGATGAATTTATCAACACTTTTTTAGCATTAAAATATGTAGCACTTATATAATAGTAATTTTTATCCTCAAAATTTCATTCAGACCACAAGTACTTGGAAGAAAATTATAATAAATCGCAAAATTATTAACACCCTGTAGCTACGAAACAAAGCAGAATCGGTTCTATGTTGATATGAAAAATAAATCTTATTTTTACGTGAGGAATCTCCCTACGACAGATGGCACATGTTTTTTGAAACACCCCGTAGATTATGACAATAGTTTTTTTACCATATATAAATTCGCATATTATGATTATAAAATTATTAAATCATGTGATGACGAGAGTTTAGGTTAATTTTAGAGTAATTACTTCTTGTTAATCATTTTAGATTATGTATGGGCCTACTTATAACATTCACCTTAACGCTGTTTGTGATAAACCTGTCTATACATTTTCATTTAATGAATATGATTTTGGATATTGTTTTCCACAAAAAGGCGACACTCGCCTTTATAAAACTAGCTTAACATTCAGAAACATGGATTCGAAACCCATATTGTAAGTATACAAAATTAAATCAATCATAATCATACTATAATTTAATATTCACTATTAATTACTATGTTTACCCTGGCATTGCGAACAGAATCCTTTAAATCAATCCTTTGTATTCATTTTTATTAACAAATATAGCTTTTATAACTAAAGACAAATTAATTAAAAAAAAACTATTTTTTAATTAATTAAACAATCTGTAATTAAACTGTCTTTCAAAAAAACTTAATGGGACAGCAGAAAAATCAAACAAAGTTTAAAGCAATTTATATAATTATGATTATTGTTTTTTAGCTTCATTCGGAACCTCGCAATTAGTGGAATAAATTAGTGGTTTCAATTACACTTTATACTTTTTAGTTTACAATCATTCACAATGTCGAAAAAACATAATTAAAATTTTAATAGAATATCCTAGAAACAGTTTGGGTTAGTCAGTTGAATCCATAGAGAAAGCCTAATATTTAGCTTATAAAACAATCAACTTTTGATTTCTAACCACAATTTCTCTTGACGAGAGATAAATCAAAGGCCAAAATGACATTTCTTGCAAATTTTGAAGTATAATTAGTGGAAAAGTTAAAAGTTTGATAACTTTTTCTACTAATTTTTCTTAAAGCTTCGTTCAAAACCTCGCAATTAGTGGATTAAATTAGTGGTTTCAATTAGCGTAGAAGTTTCTTCCTTTCCTAGTAAACAATTGTATTTTGTGCGACGTTTCGTAACTTTATTGTCCCTTTTTCGGGACTAAAACATTTTTCCTGAGTGTAATTAAAGAACCGATAATAAAGCCGAGTTTCGGGAGGTATATCTCCCTCCGTTATCAGAAGCAAAATAAAAACACAAAAAGAAAAAAAACTATTTGAAATGTTTAAATGTTATTTTTTATAGAAAACTTTAGATTTCACGATCACTGTCGTGCCTATCTAGTTCGCCACCCTGTAGCTATACATGGGTATAAATTAAACATGTGAATTATAAAAATAAAAAAAAAAACATTCTTAAAATCAAAATGTGTACAGGGTGTCCCACTAAGAATAGCTCTCGGCTGTATCTCGGAAAGTATTAGCCGCAGGGCCTACGGAAAAAAAATATTTATAATTAAAGGAGCTATGAGAAATTGCTGGAAATTATTTTCAAGTTTGTAAAACGGCCGCTAGAGGGCGCAACAGCTACGGAAAATAAGAAAATTTATACAGAAAAATAAGAATTTTTACAGAATTTTGCCTAGATAGTGGATACTATAAATAATAGCTTTATAATCTTCAGTAAATTTTGGATTTTTATTTGTTAGAACCATTTTCCTCTATTTGCTGAAATAAAGTGGTGGGGGAAGATTTTATCTGTCTTTATTTAAATATTAATAACTCCGGACTGGATGATGGGAATTCAACAAACGAGGGCTCGTTTAAAAGAGCGTTCCTTACTCTATATTATACCATAAAAACAATAATAACAATAAGCTTTTGAACGTAGACGCTAAGGGGCACTGTCTTACAATTTAAAAACAATTGTGCTGTAATTGTAATTTTAGCTGATAGTAAAGAGTTATAAAAGCTTAAAAAGTCAGCGAAAACCGCATTTTGATATCTTCTTTCAAACCGAAGATATTAGCAAAATTATAATAAATACCCAAAAAATAAGCCCTTAATTACCTTATTTTTACAACACGGTATAAGTAGCCCTCTTGATTATGCCTATTCTAATAAAAAATAAGATAGAAACAGTTAGTTTATTTTAAAATCGACGATATACCAGAATACCATAATACCAGATGTATTAATATCTAATAATTAAGATATTAATAACAGTGAACAAGAAACGATGCCTCAGTGAAGTCATGGTAGGCTTTGGAAAAAAGTTGCTTTTGACGTAATAGTATAAACGTCAAATTGTTATTAGATCGAGATTTTGATAGTCTTAGCAGCGTTTTTTTTTTGATTGCTTTTTCAAAATGCCTCTATTATTTGATGTAGTTGAAGTTGTTAGCATACTGAAAAAGCAATAAAAAAATAAAAAAACGCTGCTAAGACTGATTTCCCTCATAGTTTATAAATTATCGGTTGTCAAATTTCTTTAATTTCAACATTGACTCACTGACAGATCATAAAAATTCTAAGGTACTTCTAGAAGAGTTGATTAGGTGTGAATCATGTTCACAAAAATTGTGATAAAAGAGTTGTATTCTGTTTATTATATTTATATTTATTTCATATTTTTCACAAATAATATAAATATATAACTGTTATATATAAATTTGTTAATATTAACATACCGGCTGTTTCTCAGTTATAGTGCCTCACCCCTACAATTTTTTAATTTTTTCGAATAAAAAACGAAATATGGTATGTTAGTATATAACATAAATTAATTTTTCAATTGTTTTCGATTACTTCCTGTTGGAAATGACGACAACTTTTGATTTTTAAATGACACCCTAGATGTTTCTGCTCCATTTAAAAGAAAATGAAATTTTGAATAGAATGACATATCATAATATCAACTTTTGACAGTTTGAATTAAAAAAATAATTTAAAATTTTTATTTAGTGTGCCGTGGCCATATATGTAACGACAATTTGACTCGAAATACCAATTGAATGGTAACAAATAATTCGTAAAAATGCTTTTCTCAAATATGTTAATAAGCCACCCTCTTTCCATTAGAAAAAATTGAGTTTGAGATTTAGGCATCTTTTACCGCCGGCCAGGATAAGACACGAAAAACATTAGACCATCAAATCAATTTTTCCAAGGCTCCTTGATTAAAAATTGAGTTTTTAACATAACACTCTAAATTGAAATTTAAGATACGATTTTTGTTTAAGCGAAAATGTAAAAAGTTGACATAAATCTAGTTAACTGATGGTTAATACTTTTAGACCAATACTGAATTAAAGTAAACGCCACGAATGTTTGGGAGTGATTCATCGCTTGATGAAGTTAGAATCGACACGCGCGCTATCATTTTTACATTAAAAACGTAAATTTTTACCGCAGACGTAGGTTTTTAAAGGCCCGATCTAATCATCTGCCTGCGCTCCTCCTACTTATTCTCAAATGTTAGCGTGATTGACAAAGACGATACTATATCGCGTTTCTTTGATTGATTCGTTTTTGTGCGTCAGTCCATTGGTGTGCTTGCAGTGCGACCAATGGGGCATTCCAGTTTATATTTATAACGAAATATATGTTTTGACAAGACTTTGACAGTTAAAACAACAAATTACAACAGACTATATATTGATTATTATATGACTTGAAACACCACGGCACTGGAATTAAGCTTTATGTGACCATGAACAGATTGGTTCACAGGGTAGCGACCGATAAATCACTCCCAAACATTCGTGGCATTTACTATATCTATATTTATATCTCTATGCTTTTACAGATAATTTACTATTACTTAACCAATAATATCTAAAAAAATTTTAGACTGGAAAATGACTTTGAAAAAAAGGATTTCTTATCAGTTGATTTTGCCTCTAATAACGTACTACCTGGTGAAATTAGAAACATGAACATTTACTTCCATCCCCAAAAAGTTGGTTACTATAAAACAATTTTACCGTTTTTACTGAACGATGTTAAGCATTCTATCCCAATCACTGGAGACTGTGTTCCTATTAAATTGCAGCTAAATAATTTCAAAGATAAATTTGTTAATTTTGGAGAAGTTTTAGTAGGGTCGACTAAAAAATTTAAAGTCAATTTTTACAATGATACCTCAAATAAAATGGAGATTCATTTCAATTTCTACGACAATTTGATCTTCCATAAGAGAATAGTTAAAAATTTATCAAAAACTGACATAAAGATGCCAGTTGTTCCAGAACATGTTGTTAAAGAGTAAGTAAAAAAATGCTTCTAATATAACCAACTGTTCCTTGTCCGCCAAATAAATAGACGTAAGTGTATTTAATATTTATGTAGGTTAAAGGCGAAAAAAGAAGATAAGAAAAAAGGAGAAAATCACAAGGAAAAACAGAAGACAGAAAAGAAAAATAAAAAAGATAAGAATAAGAACGTCGAAAAACATCTTGATGAGTAAGTTTGAGAACTAAATAAAAATTAAAATTAATTGAAATTATAGGGTATTAATATCATGTAAGTATCTACCTACTACAGTACTCATATAAGGCTAGTATACAGGGTGGTCCGAACTGTATTCTGGAAACTTCGGTACCATATTCTGCAGATAAAAATAAGTAAAAAAGTTCGTATAAAAGCTTAGTTTCGGGGATACAGGGTGTAGAAATTTCATTTTTATTTCGATTTTTTCCAAATAATTTCTGAAGTAACGGCAATATTTCGATGAAAATTGGTTTTGTCTTTGATGTCAATATGACTCTTATTTGTAGGGGGCGCTACCTACATGTGTTTTAACTGTTTTGAAGAGTAATAACTTTTCGTCCGTGCCTGTATAAGACTACTGAGTAAAACAATATATTTTCGTTATTTTTTACGTAAAAAAGGTCTCTTTGTAAAAATCGCTACAAGTAATGGTTCTCTAGATATTTGGAATCGAAATTATTAATTCCTCATCACTGACATAAAACTGAAGACTGGATTCATAAGTTTGAAATGTTTTTGTGCCAAAAGTTCAATAGAAACTGTTTTATCATCGTTTTTTCGAAGAAAAAAATAACCAACTACAACATGTTTATTTTTAGTCAATAATGACATGTATTGACTATTTCCATTCTAAATATATTGAGAACGGTTGCTCGTAGCGATTTTACGTAAAAAATCACGGAAATATATATTTTTTACTCAGTAGTCTTATACAGGTACGGACGAAAAGTTATTACTCTTTAAAACAGTTAAAACACATGTACAAATCCTACAAATAAAAGTCCTATTGACATCAAAATCAAATTTCGTCAAAAAAAACAGGCACCATTTTCATCTAAATGTTGATGTTACTTCAGAAATTATTTGGAAAAAATCGAAATAAAAATGAAATTCTTACACCCTGTATCTCCGAAACTAAGCATTTTAGGACATACATTTACGAACTTTTTTACATATTTTTATCTGCAGAATATCAGCTGCCGAAGTTTCCGGGATACAGTTCTGACCACCCCGTATAGTAATAAATAACACAATTTTCCCGCCAAAAAAGCACAAAATGTCATCTATTCCATAGCATTGAACTAAATAAATTTTGTGCTTCTTTAACACATTCAAACAGCAAAAAATATGACGTTAATCAAAATTATCAATCAAAAAATAAAAAGATAAATATTATATTAGGTACCTGAGAAACGTGTTTAAGTTTTTGGAAAAAAAATAACTATATTTTCATATTTTTTTAAATTTTTCTCTAGAACTGTATTGAAATTTAGAAAAGTATAAACATGATTAACCGTTTTAGAACGAGCAAATTTTTTTATAATGAATGCATTTTCTCTCAAAATATTAATAATACAAAAGTTTTTCCTCTTGTATAGAAGATCCGGTGATATACAGGGTCCGGCAATAGTGCGTTGGGCATCTGTAGCTCCTAGAATAAAAAACTTAGGAATTTTGTTTAAGTGCAGACCTAAAGTATGTACCAGGATGTATTTCAGGAAAATATTTTAACTTCTATAGAGTGGCTCAAAAAAGTGTGAGTGGACCTAGATGATTTTTTTAAATGGAACACCCTGTATATTATTGCATTTTGGCTTCCTTTCAGATCACTTTACATAACCCTAAGATATGAATAAATATATTTCGATAGTTTCAGAGATAATAATCAAAAAAATAAAATAAATCAAAAATATATATTTTTCAGCCCTTCTTAAAAAAATTATTAATAATACAAGAACTGTTCTGAAATCAAAACTATATTAGGTATATACATTAGCTGGTCTGTTCTTACTTTGCTATAAATATGAAAATCGTAAATTATACAGGATGTTCAAAATTCTACGCCAAACTTACTAAAATATAAAATAATTTTTCTTCGTTTTTTTAAATGGAGCACCCTGTATATTATTTTTTTATTAGATGGAGAGTAAATAAATGAACATTTTTTGTATTTAGAGTATTCCAAAAATTTTAACCGTTTCGCAGATACACGCAGTATTATTTCATATGGCACTTTCAATGGTAAAATATGAGAGGAAAATCATTGGGTGTGGCTTTGATAAAAATTTACTGTGGAAAATGCCATATGAAATATAAATCCGCAAATATCTGCGAAACCGTTAAAAATTTTGAAATACTCTAAATACAAAAAATGTTCATTTTTTAATTCTCCGTCTATCGAAAAAATAATATACAGGGTGTTCCATTTAAAAAAACGAAGAAAAATTATTTTATATTTTAGTAAGTTTGGCGTAGAATTATGAACATCCTGTATAATTTACGATTTTCATATTTATAGCAAAGTAAGAACAGACCATCTAATGTATATACCTAATATAGTTTTGATTTCAGAACAGTTCTTGTATTATTAATAATTTTTTTAAGAAGGGCTGAAAAATATATATTTTTGATTTATTTTTTAATATCTCTGAAACTATCGAAATATATTTATTCATATCTTAGGGTTATGTAAAGTGATCTGAAAGGAACTCAAAAATGCAATAATATACAGGGTGTTCCATTTAAAAAAAATCATCCAGGTCCACTCACACTTTTTTGAGCCACCCTATAGAAGTTAAAATATTTTCCTGAAATATATCCTGGTACATACTTTAGGTCTACACTTAAACAAAATTCTCAAGTTTTTTATTCTGGGAGCTACAGATGCCCGACGCACTATTGCCGGACCCTGTATAATGTAAATCGTGATTAACCCTGTATATGTAATAGTATTTTCTTATGTCCATTAAATTCGAATTTATTATTTCCACGAACATCTATTTTCCTATAGCAAACCACAAGACGATTCGGAAGCTTTGTTAAAGCTAAAGGCCGAAGAAGATAGAAAAGAATTTTTAAGTTATTTCTCCATTACGCCTAGTAGAGTAACTTTACCACCGCATGGTAATGGAAGTATAGAAATTTCTTTTGCATCTAAGAAAAAAATAAACTTTGAGGAACAGGTGAATATTTTCTCATTTATAAAGTATATTATACATATTTCTATATTTGTGATATAAAAGTAAAGTAAGTAAAGTAAAGTAAAGATTTCAGTTAACGTCTTCTTTTTGCTGCCAGGGCTAATCTGGACGGGGCCTACTTTGTTTACGCGGAATCCGAACCGCGGTCTTCAGCCATATCATGGTCAATGGCCTACCGACTTGGCAAGTGTCTAAATCGACTCTTACTCACGAGATATCCGATCTCATCCGGCCACGAACCGGCGCGGCGTGAACGAGCAGTGTGTGTCAATAGATTGTACACTTTTGCCTTTTTTTGGACAACAGCACGATACAGAGTTTCGAACCGGTCACCCGTCCATCCACTAGTATCGCCTTACGTCGCTTAACTTCGGTGTTCTAATGGGAACCGGTGCTTCGACGTAGCTGGGCCGTTGCCTCATCGTTGCCTTATTTATTTGTGATATACAAAATGGTTAAAAAGTTTTATGATCAAGTGCGATAACAAACAATTCTTAAGGGAATTTTTATTAGGATTTTTTAACTCTATAAAACTTTTTGATTGTATTATATACAGGATGAAAATTATTATCTATGCTAGAAAAAATCTGGGCGACGATTGATTTTTAGAAATAGAGGGTGTTTTAAAAAACATGTGCCATCTCTCGTGGGGAGATTCCTCAGGTAAAAAAAAATATTTTTGATATCAACATAGGTCCGATTCTGCTTTGTTTCGTAGCTACAGGATGTTAAAATCTTAATAACCTTTCGATTTATTATAATTTTCTTCCAAATACTTTTAGTGTATCGAATGAAATTTTGAGGGTAAAAGTTACTATATGTGCTACATATTTTAAAGCTAAAAAGGTGTCGATAAACTCATCAGGGACGTGCATATGGGTTATCTCTGGAATATTTTTCAAAAAAAAAAACATGTGCGCCACTGACTTTTTTCTTTAGATATCAACATTGCGTAGGCCGTTTAATCTCAGTTATAAGTTATCTCTGGTGCCCGGTGGCGTAGAGGTACAGGCTCTCGTCTACCAATCTCAAGGTGTGGGTTCGATTCCCACACCCGGCATTTCATCAGCCGACTATTTTTATTAAAATAAAAATAGTTTGGGTACCTAGGTCGACTCAGCCTTAAATGAGTACTTGGGATTCACAATCCTGAGGTAATAATAGGCGGTTGAAGCGTAGTGCTATATACACATTACCTTCCTTGTATACCGAACGGCTCTAGTATAGCAAGCTGTACCTTGCTACTCCCAAGGCGTTAAACGCTATATACGGGGGCTATTATTATTATAAGTTATCTCTTGATATTTTGCCGAATTCGGCCTCCTTGATGAGATAAACGCAATTTTATTAATCACAATTAATAAAATTAAAATAAAATTAATAAGTTATATATGTTACCTAATTTATTATTAAATATTATTACTATTAGTTATAATTACTATTAGTCCAACTTACAGCAATTTCAAATAAAAAAATAATCGTATTTAAGATAATGACAGAAAACTTAGTTTTAAAAAGCTTTAATATCCTGTAACTCTAAAACTATGCATTTCCATACCCATGTTTATAGGAACTTTTTTTCATATTTTTTGATGAGGAATCAATGAGTTCTTATTTAAAACTTTCGCAAATTAATCATATTAATTTTTTTTAAAGGTTGCTATTAGACTTGGATCAATGCAAATTAATAAAACTGCGTTTATTTCATCAATGAGGCCAAAATTGACAAAATATCAAGAGACAGCTTTTAATTGGCATTAAACTGCGTACACTATTTCGCTAACAAGAGAAAAAAAAGTCAGTGGCGTACATGCCTTTTTTAGAAAAATATTTCAGTGATAAGTTATTAAAATATGTCGCATTTATAGTAACTTTTACCCTCAAAATTTCATTCGAAATCCTAAAAGTATTTGGAAGAAACTTATAATAAATCGAAAAAATATTAAAATGTTAACACCCTGTAGCTACCAAACAAAGCAGAATCGGACCTGTGTTGAAAATAAGATTAATATGAAAAATTAATCTTATTTTTACGTGAGGAATCTCCATGGGGAGATCCACTCTCATGGGAGAGAGAACACATGTTTTTTGAAACACCCTGTATATATTGAATTTTTTATATAAAATATTTTGGGTAAGCGTTTTTCTACAAAGTTGTTTGCTTATACAGGGTGAACCAATATCACGATATTCATCCCAATCTCAATTTGCACAAAAGCGTTCACTAAGCAAAGAGTGTAGAATGTAGAATGTATGGGAGAGGGTTAATCACCACGACCTTACAGATCTATTGTGTCCCCCTTTCTTGAGTCATAACTCATCATAGTCTCAGGACTATAACAAAAGCGAGTATCTGAGACGGTTCTACAGAGGTTAGTTTTCCATCTCCGAAATCAGTCGTACCAAAGTTCATGGTATGAATATGGTTGTTGTCTCCGCGCCCTCAGTGATGAGGTGTTATGGCGTTTCCCCATTCTCCCCACAAAATCAGCTTTCGCTGTTGTTTCTTAGCTTCGATCTACTGAAGTGTTCGGTGTTCGTTGAGGAGACAGTGTCCTGTTAAAAAAACTGACAATCCGAAGCTTGTTCTTACTTAAATCAAGGAAAATCTTTATTTTTCTCGATTGTAAGTTCTCAGAAGTTGATTGATGTAAACAGAAGAATCTAATTTTTTTGACAAGTTGTAAATAAAAACCAAAATCAAGAAAAGATATACTATAATCAATTAAAATTCTTAGTGAATTTCAAAATTGATTGATTTACTACACGTAACGTGAATTTATATTGATGTTCTTAACTCCTTCTAGATTTACTACTTCTAAACAAAACTGAACAAATTAGGTAAAGAAAATAAAGTCCTCCTACTCTTAGTCCTCCTATCAGCTCACTAAGGAATAGAAGGCAATGAAAAAGCAAAATATCTAGCTAGAAAAGGAGCGAACACTCCACTAACTGGCCCAGAATCGTTCTGCTTCCCTAATGGAAACCAACTTAAAGCGGAACTTAAGAACCTGGAAGACTCCATCCGTAACCTGGAATGAGAATCCTCCAACAGTGTAAGACACTCGAAGAAATTTCTCAAAACTTACGACTGAGCGAAATAAAAGCTTTTCTTTGATTTAAGTAAGAACAATCTTCGGATTGTCAAGGGTTTTTTAACAGGACACTGTACTCAACGAACACCTTAGTAGATTGAAGCTAAGAAATAACGGCAAATGCAGATTCTACGAAGAAAATGGGAAAACACCAGAATGCTTTATCACTGAGTGCGCCGAGACGACAACTATTTGTGCCATAAATTTAGGTACGACTAATATCGGAGATGTAGAACTAACCTCTATGAAGCCGTCTAAGATACTGCCTTTTGTCAAAGTCCTGAGACTTTATGATGAGTTATAACTCGAGAAAGGGGGACACACAATAGATCTGAAGGTCGCAGTGATAACCCACATAACTTATTCAAAGGTCGGAGGATAAATGAGTAGTAGCTGTCTGGACACCCTCAATCATCTCGAAAAACTTTTTTAATATGGACTATTTTTGAAAAAACTCAATAATATAATAATAATGATATCCAGCTTTACTAAAAGAGAAATAAATACATATTCCTTTTTTAAAAGGCGAAGTCTTAACCTCATACTTATCCTATTGACCAACACAAATTGATAATACGATAGTACAGAAATAAAGAAGTTATTAACAATAAAATTATAATAGAGTTTCTTGCCTTGAACTACCTATATAGAAATTAATTCCACACTGTGTTTGTCACAATGTGGATCAACCTGCTCTCACTACCAAAAAGTTGCAAAAGTTTTATTCTATATTTTTTACAAATGAAATGGTGATTGTAAACCAATACTTTAATCATAAAAAAACTATCAAAACTTTTACAAAAAATAAAATTACAGAAAACGTTATTTTAACAATCTAACGGGATCAAAGATCTTCTTCTGAAATATGGCCACTTGCCTTTACATCATTTAGCCAGCATTTGATGAATCAAAAACATTTTTTGACCATTGTTAAGTGCGAGTCGGACTCGCGCACGAAGGGTTCCGTACCATTCATTATCTATACAACATTAGACACTATATTATTATAAACTTTTTTTTCGATTTAGCTGAAATTTTGAATGCGCGGATAAGTAATTAAAAAAAATGAAGAAACTACTAAAAATTGTATTAATCAATAATAAATATGTAAAAATATGTAAAAATTAAAAAAAAACGATTAAAAAAAGTCGCCTTGACTAGGATTCGAACCTGCCTTATTACGGCTCCAACGTCATAGTAGCGTAAAGTCCTAACGCTTTAACCACGCGGCCACCGAGGACAACGATTATATGTAAAATTCTTACCTAAAAGATAATGTTTAGTGAAAGTACTTTTTTATTTATAAACATTTATTTAATTCTGTTTTTAGTATTTGTTCTTATAGCGGCAACATAGATACATTATCTGTAAAAATTTCAACTGTCTAGCTATAACGGTTCATAAGATAGACCTTTGTGACAGACGGACGAACGGACAGCGAAGTCTTAGTAATAGGGTTCCCGTTTTTACGCTTTGGGTACAGAACCCTAAAAATGGTCTTGAGAGTTTTTTTAAACAATTTTATTGACACTGATTTTATATTTATATAATTAATTTTAAATCGCTATTTAAAGCGTTGAATATATGCAGTGAATTATATGTAAAGGATCGCTTTTTATTTTTTAATATGTCCTGTTGATTCACCCTGTAGAAGTTAATAACTTTGAAAGGAAACGGCATCGGCAAATCGAAAAATGTAATAAAAGGAAACGCTATCTGATTTTTTTGGCGGTTACTAATCTGTTATGTTTTTATGTTGTATTATTTTAGATGCGTTATTCTTTTCAGATTTATTTTGAAATTGAAGACCATTATGAACCTTTTCTGTTGATAAAGGGGTCAAGCATAATGCCTGAATTTTCGTTAGATTTAATCGAGTTAGCATTCTCTGGTATTATTGTTGGATGCAGCAGTTCTAAAGAAATAAAATTGAGCAATATTGGAGATGTAACAGGAAGGTATAAATACAAACAACACTAAATACCGATTATGTACAGGGCGGTCAACAATGATTGAACTAGTTGGAAATTTTGATTTTGCCTGTTTGGTTGACAATAAATTTAAGAAATTTTATTATTTTTTCAGATAAAAAAAAATAATTTTGTACATGACATAAATTAGGATTGATTGACGTATTCAATTGTTTTTGGTCACTTCCCGTTTCACCGGAAATAACTAGAACTTTTGATTTTTAAATGACACCCTTGGTATTTTTTTACTTCATTCGATAAAAAATGACTGTGTGCATAGAATGACATATCATATATCAAATTTTGACATTTTCATATATGGTATATTGTAAGACACGGTTCGTAACGACAATTAGACTCGAAATACCAAGAGTGTGATACCAAATTGTTCGCAAAAAAATAGTTTTTCAAAATATGCTAATGACCCACCCTTGTTCCATTCGAAAAAATTGAGATATGATTAAAAATACGATTTGGGCACCTTTTAACCGGCTAGGAGAAGATACGAAAAACATTAGACGATCAAATTTATTTTTCCAAGGCTTCTAACCCTTGATTAAAAATTAGTGTTTTGTTTTTTACACAGATCTAGATTGAAATCTAAAATACGATTTTTTTTTGAGCGAAAATGTCAAAAGTTGACATATAATATGTCATTCTATTCAGACTGTCATTTTCAATCGAATAAAGTGATAATATACCAAAGGTGTCATTTAAAAATCAAAAGTTGTAGTCATTTTCGGTGTAATAGGAAGCGACCAAAAACAATTGAATACGTCAATCAATTCTAATTTATGTCATATACCGAATCTTGCTTTTTTATCTAAAAAAATAAAAAAGTTATAGGGGCGAGCCACTTTTGAGACGCACCCTGTACCTTTATGGGCTTTATATTATTCCATATTCGCTTGTTACTTCATTAAATTCAGTATCATCCAACCATACATTTTATACAGGGTGTTTTAAAAAACATGTGCCATCTCTCGTGCAGAGATTCCTCACGTAAACATAAGATTTATTTTTCATATCAACATAGATCCGATTTCTGTTTCCTAGTTACAGGTTGTAAAGTCTTAATAATTTTTCGATTTAGTATAATTTTCTTCTTTTTTACTATAAGTGCGACATATTTTAAGGCTAAAAAAGTGTCGCCATACTCACCAGGAACGTGCATATGGGTTATCACGGGAATATTTTTCTAAAAAAAAAGCATGTACGCCACTGATTTTTTTTTTGTTAGCGAAATAGTGTAAGCAGTTTAATGCCGATTAAAAGTTGTCTCTTGATATTGTGTCGATATCGGCCTCCTTGATGAGATAAACGCAATTTTATTAATTTGCCTTGATCCAAGTCTAATAGCAACCTTTAAATAATCTAATATTATTAATTCCTCATCAAAAAATAAGAAGAAAGGTTCCTATAAACATGTGTATGGAAATGCATAGTTTTAGATTTACAGGATGTTAAAAATTTTTAATATTAGGTTTTTTGCAATTATCTTAAATACCATAATTTTTTTATTTGAAATTGCTGTAGGTTGGACTAATAGGAATAATATTTAATAATAAATTAGGTAAAATATATAATTATTTATTAATTTCATTTTTATTTTAATTTTATTAATAATTGTAATTAATAAAATTTAGTTTTTCTCATCAAGGAGACCGAATTCGACAAAATATCTAGAGAAACTTTTAATTGGCATTAAACGGCCTACACAATTTTGATATCAAAAGAAAAAAATTCAGTTGCGCATATGTTTTTTTTTAAAAAATATTCCAATGATTATGCACGTCCCTGATAAATGTATCGACAATTTTTTAGCATTAAAATATGTAGCACTTGTAGTAAATTTTACTCTCAAAATTTCATTCGAATCACTAAAAATACTTGGAAGAAAATTATAATAAATATACAGGGTGGTCCGAATTGTATTCCGGAAACTTCGACAGCATATTCTGCAGATAAAAATAAGTAAAAAAGTTCGTATAAATGTATGTCCTAAAATGCTTAGTTTCGGAGATACAGGGTGTAGAAGTTTCATTTTTATTTCGATTTTTTCCAAATAATTTCTGAAGTAACGTCAATATTTGGATGAAAATTGGTGTCTGTTAGTTTTTTGACATGAGGAATTTGATTTTGATGTCACTGTGACTCCTATTTGTAGAGGGCGCCACCTACATGTGTTTTAACTGTTTTGAAGAGTAATAACTTTTCGACCGTACCTGTATAAAACCACTGACTAAAAAAATATACATTTTCATGACTTTTTATGTAAAAAATGTCTCTTGGCAAAAATCGCTAGGAGCAACCGTTCTCAAGATATTTAGAATGGAAATAGTCAATACATGTCATTATTGACAAAAAATAAGCACACGTTGAGTATAGTTATTTGACTGAAATAATAAATTTTTATTTTTTTAAATTAATCATAAGTTTTTCTGCGAAAAAATGATGATTAAACAATTTCTTTTGAACTTTTGACACAAAAAGATTTCAGTCTAATTACTATTTAGTCAACATGTTTAATTTATGTCAATGATGACAGGTATTGATAATTTCGATTCCAAATATCTCGAGAACCATTACTCGTAGCGATTTTTACCAAGAGACCTTTTTTATGTAGAAAAAGTCGCAAATGTATATTTTTTTACTCAGTAGTTTTATACAGGTACCGACGAAAAGTTATTACCCTTCAAAACAGTTAAAACACATGTAGGTGGCGCCACCTACAAATGGGAGTCATATTGACATCAAAATCAAATTTCTCATGTCAAAAAACACCCATCCACCAATTTTCATCCAAATATTGACGTTACTTTAGAGATTATTTGGAAAAAATCGAAATAAAAATGAAACTTCTACACCCTGTAGTGGTGGTCCGGATACAATTCGGAGCACTCTGTATACAGTGGTCCGAATTGTATTCCGGAAACTTCGGGAGCATATTCTGCAGATAAAAAGAAATAAAAAAATTCTTATAAATGTATGTCCTAAAATGCTTAGTTTCGGAGATACGGGGTGTAGAAGTTTCATTTTTATTTCGATTTTTTCCAAATAATTTCTGAAGTAACGTCAATATTTGGATGAAAATTGGTGTCTGTTAGTTTTTTGACATGAGGAATTTGATTTTGATGTCACTGTGACTCCTATTTGTAGAGGGCGCCACCTACATGTGTTTTAACTGTTTTGAAGAGTAATAACTTTTTGTTCGTACCTGTATAGAACTGCTGAGTGAAAAAATATACATTTTCGTATTTTTTTACGTAAAAAATGTCTCTTGGTAAAAATCGTTACGAGTAACCATTCTGGAGATATTTAGAATGGGAATAGTCAATACATGTCATTACTGACAAAAAATAAACATGTTGAGAAGATAGTTATTTGACTAAAAAGGTAAATTTGGAAAATTTTTATTTTTTTAAATTAATAATAAAATTTTCTTCGAAAAAATGATGATTGATGATGGTTTGGCACAAAAACAATTCAAATTTATGATTTCCGTCTATTAACTATTTAGTCAACATATGTTTAATTTATGTCAATGATGACAGGTATTGATAATTTCAATTTCAAATATCTCGAGAACTATTACTCGTAGCGATTTTTATTAAGAGGTCTTTTTTGAGTTAAAAACGTCGTAAATGTATATTTTTTTACTTAGTAGTTTTCAGGTACGGACGAAAAGTTATTACTCTTCAAACCAGTTAAAAATATGTAGGTGGTGCCCTCTACAAGTATGAGTCATTTTGACATCAAAATCGAATTTTTCATATCAAAAAACTCCCAGACACCAAATTTCATCCAAATATTGATGTTACTTCAGAAATTACTTGGAAAAAATCGAAATAAAAATGAAACTTCTACACCCTGTATCTCCAAAACTAAGCATTTTAGAACATACATCTATAAGAACTTTTTTACTTATTTTTATCTGCAAAATATGCTGCTGAAGTTTCCGGAATACAGTTCGGACCACCCTGTATATAATAAACAAACCAAAATCGGACCTATGTTGATATGAAAAATAAATATTATTTTTACGTGGGGAATCTCCTCACGAGAGATGGCACATGTTTTGTGAAACACTCTGTATTTAAGAAATCATTAAACGGTGCTCAAAATTGGGATTCTGTATTGATTAAAAGTTACTGCGTCGATTACGTTCAATTCCTAACCTTGTTATGAACGCCGAGATAATAATAAGCCGTGATTATGTAAGTTTTCCTTTTCTATTTTAAACACTATTGTTGTATTGAAAAACAGTAATTATTTAATAATAACAAATTCAAACCAAAAAATTGGCATCAATGAATTAACATAATTTGCTAAAATTTTTCGGTTAATTATTTGTTTTGGCATCAATATCACTCGCTAATCTTAAAATCCTCAACACAATATTGTCAACTATTTCAATCATTTTTGATTGCTCCGTATATTAATACGCAATAAATATACTTTTATTTACAGTTACTCTTGGACATTTGACGAAAAAAGAACTTCTGTCTTTAATATAGAACCAAAACAGGGTTTTGTAACTCCAAGAAATTATGCAGTTTTTAAAGTTACTTTTAATCCAACTAAAGAAAAATGTGAATATAGAACAAAGGTTTGTAACGACATATACCGGGTGCGTTTCAAAACAAATTTTGATTTTTAAATGGCACCCTCGGTATTTTTTTACTTTATTCGATAGAAAATATCACTTTGAATAGAATGACATGTCACATGTCAACTTTGACATTTTCGCATATAGTTTATTTGAAATTATAACTTGCGGTTCGTAACGAAAATTTGACTCGAAATACCAAGTGTGTAGTATCAATATATTCGTAAAAAAATGCTTTTTCCAAATATGCTAATGAGCCACTCTCGTTCCATTTGGAAAAAAATGAGATATGATTAAAAATACAATTTGAGCATTTTCTAAATGGCCAGGACAAGACACTGAAAACATTAGACGATCCAATCTATTTTTTCAATGCTCCTCGATTAAGAATTAGTGTTTTTAACATAGCCATGGCAACCTAGAAATTTAAAATACAATTTTTTATTAAGCGAGAATGTCAAACGTTGACATATGATATGTCATTCTATTCAGAATGTCATTTTCTATCGAATAAAGTAAAAAAATAGCGAGGGTACCATTTAAAAATCAAAAGTTGTAGTCATTTCCGGTGTAACAGGAAGCGACCAAAAACAATCGAATACGTCAATCAATCCTGATTTATGCCATATACTAACGCACCAAGTATCTTTATTTTATCTGAAAAAAAAAAAAATATATAGAGGTGAGCCACTTTCGAGACGCACCCGGTATATCGATTATAATTATTTTTCAGTTTACATTATTTTTTATTTTATTCGCGTAATTTTTACTGTCAAAGGCCGTTTGATCATAAAACTCTTTGATCATGTTTTATCTATTGTAAATGTTTTATAGGCGAATTGTTCTATTAAGGATTACAAACTGCCTCTTAAATTGCTGCTAAAAGGAAATTCAGTAAAGATGCCAGATCCAACTGACACTTTGTCTTTTACCTGCAACGTAAGAAGTCGAACCGAACAACCAATCAATATAACTAATAAGTAAGTAATGTATATGTTACGGTTAAGGTCCGATATCCGGTTAATGTCGACATTACCCGGTTAATCTCGAGAATAACACAAAATATATGAATCGGACCTATAAACATAGGTCCGATTCTGCTTGGTTTCGTAGCTACAGGGGTTAAAATCTTCACTTTTTTCGATTTATTATAATTTTATCACAGGAATATTTTTCAAAAAAAAACATGTGCGCCACTAACTTTAATGTCGATTAAAAGTTGTATCTTGATATTTTGTCGAATTCGGCCTCCTTGATGAGATAAATGCAATTTTATTAATCACAATTAATAAAATTAAAATAAAAATAAAATTAATAAATTATATTATATTTTACCTAATTTACTATTAAATATTATTACTATTAGTTATTACTATTAGTCAATAACAGTATTTAAGATAATTACAAAAAAACTAATTTTAAAAAGCTTTAACATCCTGTAACTCTAAAACTACGCATTTCCATACCCATGTTTATAGGAACTTTTTTTATATTTTTTGATGAGAATCAATGAGTACGTATTTAAAACTTTTGCAAGTTAATAATATTATATAAATTATAATAGTTAATATATAATATAAATTTAAGGTTGCTATTAGCGCAGATTGGGTATACTATATGTATACAGATAAAAATCTTGTCCCTAATTCGTGGTACGAAAATTGTTTTTATGACAATGAGCAAACCAGTAATATTTCCTGTGCGCAAAAATAAACTCGCGTTTAAACAGCGTAATAACTGGGCCGGTCACAAGGGCCGGTCAGGCGCTGTGCACAATTTTAGAGACCATAAGTGGGCGTGCCAGGGGAAAAACTGTGCAGGGCAATAAGTTATTAAATATTATGATATATGACTAATAAAAAACTAGAATACACGGAAAACCCCTGATAACCACCAGCCGTCCAGTGCTTTGCTGTAAAATTAGTAAAATGGCGCTAATCATGTTTTTCCCTTGAACCCTTCATATTGTGAATCACATCTCAATAATTAATAGTTTTATGACGTTTGAAAAAATGTTATTTTTCTATTACAGCACTTTTGAACAATGGCTATTAAAACCAGAAATCTCCAACGATCAGTTTTCTACAGCCAAGGAAATTATTGTTCCACCTCAAGTAGAAACGCCAATTAACATCACATTTGCTCCAAGAGCTATGACAATACCAACCGATACTTTTAAGGTAATTTAGTGAACCATCAGTAACTGGACATTCTCTCCCAATGAGCATTTTACATTTAATTCCCCTTGAGAAGTTTATAGTAAGTCCAATGGGTGTTTCGCCACTTGTACTGTAAAAAATTACAAAATAAAATGGTTGTTTTTTGGAAATACTGCTGCGTTAATTCAACGGAGACCAGCTTGTCAGCAGTGACTTACTAATAAACAAATTTGCCTAATGGACAAAAAAATGTCTAACGTTTCGGGAAGTAGATCTCTAGAAGGAAAAAATATCCATAATGCAAGTAACTTTATTTCTACTTTAACTTGGCATAGGTCTCGTGATGATCAAAAAAACATCAAAATGTCATCAAACAATCAAAACCATCCACTACGAAAATTAGGGATAACCACAATAACCACATCTTACAAAACATATACTGATTGTGATAATCTTTATTTCTTTGGTCCCACAATGCTTGTATTTCAAAAAGACCCAAAAACAGTTTTTCTATATGTCATTATTAACGTTTGTTATCGTAAAATCAAAATAATCTTATTACAGCAGTTTTTGGTCAAGGATACTATAGAGATAAGGATAGTTCGATTGCTATCTTTCTGCACTGTCAGTTTTTTTACATCATCTAGGGACCGAGTTGAAGTTGGAGCTAAAGATTTTAGACAGTGACAGTTATTTTTGCGTTTAACGGACGAGCGCACAGTGCGGTGAAAGATAAATTTAGCGGGATAAAACCGTTTAGTTAGAAATAAGCCAAAAAATGTGTACTGATAAGAATAAATAGTAGACATTCCAATTGATATAAAAATGCATGAATATTCTTTGTATTTCGATACATTTTATCAACAAAATATTTACAAGTGCTTATACATTTTATTCCAAAGCCAAATTATGTTGAAGATTGCCAAAGATGTGTACTTTTCTACTGTACGTATATTATTTGTTAAAGTCCTTCGTGCCTTTGTTCTGCAGATATCAAACTTTTACTTTTTTTCAAAAATATGGATATATTGAATGATGTAGATCTTTTGAGTTACCAATAGTTACCAACGCAGGTAGTCACAGTCACAGGAAGTTCAAGCTTACCAGGTGAATGCCCAAAAGTTTCATTTCAATTGAATAGTATAAAATAAATAAAAACAAAACAAAGACTCGTTAAAGGGTTAATTGAAGAGCATTTAAAAGAAGAATTGGGTTTTGCAAGTACTATATGAGCTTTAGAGCTAGTGGAAGTAAGGATGCTGCTGTAATTGTGGAAACCTTAATTCCATCGAAAGGCACTGAGTTTAAAAAATTAATAGCTGCCCATACACGGAAAGGCCCGGCCTTCGGATTTGATCTTGAGCCCGGAGCTTTAACCCAAATTACCATAGCGGAAATATATCCGCGGACTTTGTCTTTCACGCAAACCTATGGTATTTTGGGTTAAAGGCCCGGACCCAAGGCTAAGGCCGAAGGCAGGGCTTTTCCGTGTATGGGCAGCTAATAAATGACAGCAATAGTCAGTTCGGCAATTTTTCTCAAGACAAAAACATCCAAATGATATTCTAGTTAAATAAAGCATGACGATATGCTAAAGTTTTTTTTTACTTTCTGATAATTTATAATAAAACTAAATGATTATTACTAGTTTTAATAAAATTTTAAAAAATTGTCTTAGATACTACATATGAATTTACAATTACCGAGTGTTAAAATTAAAGTATCTATCTTATTATTTATTATTTTCAAAATAAAATATAATACCATAGTTTTATTATCTTGTATTTATTTATTTATTAATAAATAAATAAATTTAACCATATGGTTGCTATATATTAGACCATTTGCTACGTTCTTAGATTTTAAGTCCCTAACATGGCTCCTGAGATTTTTTCCCGCTAGAATAACCATCCACCGCACTGTGGAGCGCTGGTCCCTGCGCGACGTAAGCATCCACGGCCACTACGACAGCGGCGATTTGACGCGATCAAACAGTCCTTTAGAATATATACAGTCCTTGGTTTTTGGTCGCTTATGCGTAAGTTATTATTAACACCCTCAAAAGGCGATCTTATAAGTCAGAGAGAGAAAAATGCGAAGTGTTTATTAGATAACCACTTAATATTCTTTCGTTATTCAGTACATCTTATTGTACTGAGCGTGTTGGCTGTACTCTTCGTACAAATGAAAACTGACACCCAAAACCAAAATTGTCGGCCCGGTATATAAAACTGTAACTATTCGCCACAATCCATTTTTATCGGAGGTTTTTATTTTTGGGAAAAGTATCTGCACCATATCAAAGAAACTGTAGTCTGTCCAGTGAAAGAAGGCAGACTATAATTAGCTACATATACAGATTGTTAACTGGACGGTTACTTATTGGGGAACAGAATGGCAACACTGCCATACCTCCACTGCCTGACTCGTTACTTCGCGTCGCGTCGTCTCTCGACGAGCGGGCCGAGGTTGCCATATTTCTACCATAAAGCTCTTGCCGCGAGTAATAAACAAATTAACACAACCTGTATATTTATTTTAAATTTCCATCATTTTTAGGGCAACGTTTTCATCCGCTTACCTGACGGTAGTGGACTGAGGTATAACTTAGAAGGAAATGCTACCGAGCCCTTAGTAGAAAAAAAAATTGAAAGAGAATTAAGTTGCAAAAAAATCCATTACGAATTTTTGGACGTTACAAACTGGTTGACCTCCAAGCAAAGTTTCGATGTCAAAACTAAGTTAATTTCCCATGTAACGAGCCACACGTTATATAGGGTGTCCGGCTTTAAAACAATCCAAGTTGAAGGAAAGGAGACCAAGAAATACAAATGGGGAATATATCTCGTTAACGAAGGCTTTATCGAATTGAAAGTAACGTTCAAAAATCCCGAAACTGGCGAGTTCCTTTTTTACGAAATCGGCCTAAAAGGTCTGCCATGCGAGCCAATCCAAACAATGTCCTTCCACACTACTGTAAGAAAAGCAGTAACGCGGCAATTAGTTTTGGAAAATCTAGTTAATATACCAGTGACGTATTATTTAGAATGTCCAGGAAAAGGTTTAACCTTTGAAAATATTGTAAAGATGGATCCGTATACCACGGTAAGCTAATAATTAGTAATTATATACATCCATTATAGTATACTAGGAGTGAATTGCTCTGGAGATCTGGTACGAAGGAGAAAGAAAAACGCGAAGTGTTTATTATAAAGTGTGTCCCAATATTCCGTAGTACATGGAGCTACTATAGTACGTATTTTTGGATTCAAAATAAGTTCATTGGACACAATTTACCACTATACAAAAGTGCTTCGTTTGTCCGCTAGAAGGCATCAAACTTTAAAAAAATAAACACATTTTTCAGATATTTTAAGAACCGTTATTCCGATTTGAATGAGATTTTGAAGGTCTATGTTTTGCTAATTGCTTTAACATTTGACTTACACAAAAATCAAGAAAAAGTACGGGAAGGGTGAAAACTAACCCCCCCCCCCACTATATAAATTTTAGTATAAATATCCACCCAGATTTCCAACTCCACCAGATTTTCTTTTCGTAAAATTGTCCCTCTAGTATTTACTACCTTCTTTGCCTCTTGTAAGCCACATCGCATAGTTTTTCAGGACATTTTTTTGGAGAATTTATTTTTCCAAAACAGACCTACAAAATATACAGGGAGTTTCAATATTCTGTGGACATAGAACAACTATGATTTTTTTGAAGTAAAATAAGTTAATTGCACATAATTTATCTTTCCACAAAAGTACTTCGTTTGTCCGTTAAAGGGCATCAATTAAAAATAAATCCGAACGTTAATTAATTTAAAATTTATTAATTTTTTTCGCTTTTTATGAAGTCAAATATAATTTGTGATACTAACACATTCTTCTATATTTTCCCACCAACTAGATTATTAAAGGAGAATAGATTTTATGCGTCTCCATAACTTAATGTGAAAAAAAAACATTTTTTGGAAGTCAGCTTTAGGAAAAAAAGTAAAGCTTAAAAAGTGTGCGTGGTGGCGATTTTTTACAAGAGGCAAAAAAAATATAGTAAATACTAGAAGGATAATTTTACAAAAAAAAATCCGTCGTCGGTTGAGTTGAAAAATATTTATACTAAAATTTATATAGGGGTTAGGTTAGGTTAGGCCCTTCCCGGACTTTTTCTTCATTTTTGTGACAATCCAATGTTAAAGCACTTAGCAAAACATAAGACACCCAAAATTTTATTCAATTAGGAATAATGGTCCTTAAAATATCTAAAAAAAATACCTTGATCTTTTTAAAGTTTGATGCCCTCAAAGGTAAATTGTGTCCAATGTACTTATTTTGATTCCAAAAATAAGTAGTAGTTCCATGTCCACAGAATATTGGGACACCCTGTATAATCACTTAATCCGGTACTATATTTCATGCGCTTGGGAAAATGGGAAAATACTTGCTCTTCTTTGTTTGTTCAGTATATCTTATTGTACTGACTCGTATTGACTCTGGTGGTTCTATTCGAAATTAGCAGGTTATAATAGTTTGTCAAACAACTTTCATTTTGATTCTCATTCTTCTGTCATTTTCTGCTGTCATCTGATGAAATATTCCCTGACTCGTTGGGCAGACTTTAGTAACCACCAGGATGTGAAAAATATATAAAAAATACACCTCTAAACTTAGTTAGGTTAGATACATTATTTCGAAATGTAATTTTACTCAAAAAATAATAAGAAACGGAAATGTTATTAATTACAACCTATTTTTAGTCTAAAATTGATGTCACTTATAAACCAATAATAGTCGAAAATACATCCACTACTTTAACAGCAAAATGTGAAGAATTGGGCACGTTTTTGTTCACAATTAAAATGAAAAGCAACCCGCCTGAACCTAACGAGGATCTATTTTTTGAAGCCGAGCTTGGCGAAAAGGCCACCAAAACAATTCTGTTTAAGAATAATTTCGAACAATCTTTAGAATTTTCGTATAAGGTAAAAGTAAACATTTAGCACTAACCTATTATGCAAAAAAAAGAAATAAATGGATAAATATAAAACTGCCTCTACACTATTCGCGAAATAAACCGAAGTAAGTCAATGACGAATGGTAAAGAGAGATATTTCGTATTTCTTCGCCTAACTTTGCCTCGTTTCGGCTTATTTTCGACGAGAAAATACAAAATCACTATTCGACCCTCTGCACTATTCGACTTTGACCTACTTCGGCCTATTTCGCGAGTAGTGTAGTGGACATTTAACATTAGAACTGTTAGCAACAAAGCAAACAGCTTATTTGAAAACCTTTTTGATTAGATTTATTTCTGATCACGGCTTATGTATGTAAGTTGCATTTTTTTTAGTTTGACGATCCTGAATTTTATATGGAACGATGTCAATCAATGTCGCCAGGAGAAACAGGAAAAATTATTATAATTTTTGATCCTTCCAATCTAGGAACGCTCGAAAGTAATTTATGTCTATTTTCTGCGATATCCGGAGAATATGTGTAAGTAAATAAACTGTCAAAAAACAGATTGCAGTTATCTTTGAATAAAAAGATTAGGGAATGAGCAAATGAGCATATGAATTATATTTTTAATATGAAAAATAAGACAAATTTGAATTTGATTTGAAATTTTACGGATTTGTTGGGCTTTTTGAACTTATTCTATAATATTTATTATTCACAATTATTGGTTTCGTTCAGAGGTAGTAAATCAAGAAGTATCTTGGTCGGATATGAAATTCTCAGTAACGCAGAAAAAAAATCGTGGGTGTTTGGGAAGGCTTGAAAGGAAACAATGTTTTTGCGACGTTTCGCGACTTTACTGTCGCTTCTTCAGGCACCAAAACATATATTAATCCATATTATGCCTACAAACATTCATGGAGATTCCAACCGCCAACACATACAGACGAATCGAACACTGCACCGCATCTTTGTATTTCAACTCATAAACCAGAAACCCTATAAAACACACGAAAATGGGACCTCTACAAGAAAAAATCAAGACATCAATTTTGTTAAAAAAATATTGACAATCAAGAAGATGAGCAGTGGCGTACCATTTATTTTCGGCAAGACATTCTTTTTTTTATGTTTAACGCCTTATAGGTAGATCACAAAAGTACTTTAAACCCTATGCTGATATATTTTTTTTAAACACATAACAAGTCTAATTTTTTTAGACTATATAGAAATCACACTGCATATGAATAATTATTTGTGCTATACGTGGTAACTGCGGCGCCGCCGTTTACTTACATCGTCGCATTGCGGCGGTAGCCGAAGAAACTTGTGTCTAGCTCCAGCAGGCAGCTGTTAAGCCCGACCAATCACGTTAGAGTTTTTGACAAAAACCAATGAATCACACACAAATAACAAAAACACACTCCAAATAAGCACGCTAACCAACCTGATTGGTCAAGCTTAATAGTTGCCTGCTAGGGCTAGACATTTCTGCCGAAGAAGAGCGAGGCCCTCAGGCGCAGTCGAGTAAAAGACGTTAGATCAAACACATCGTCTATTTTTTTTTATTTGACTCTCGATGTTTTATTATTTAGTTAGTTGTCTCAAATATTCAATTTGTAATTACAATATAATAATCATACGGTATCATATACAGGGTGCTACAAATTCGAGGTACGAGCATTGGTATCTCGGAAACCGTAATATATACGAAGACGGTTAAATTGGGGCAAAGTTGCGCCTTGAGATGTTTACCAAGATGCCACCAAAAAAGTTTTAAAAATTTCAAGGATTGCTGAATTTTTTGGAAAAACGGATTTTTTGGAAAATCAATTTCATTTTTTCCTGTTGTTACATTTAAGAAAATCAAAAAACTAATTGCACATTCCCATAGCCACTTTATTAGGGCTATCTGATAATATTCTTAGATTTTCAAACTAGCTAATAATTTGTGTGATACAGAGGCCAACTTAATTTTTTTAAATACGGACCTGCATTTTTTATTTCCGGTTTTGAAAGAACTCAGTCCCCTTAGTTTAATGATATGCCACACTTTACATTTTTTTTTGTTTTGGGTACCTTAACAACAAAAAATATATTTAATTATTATTTAAAATAATTTCAAGTCCGACTCTGTTATTTTTTATTTATTTAATCTGATTATATTCATAACAACAATATTGATCAGCGCTAATTAACATTGAATAAAGAAAGTCGAGCCAATTGGAAGATTCAAATAAATTATATCCAGGTCAGCAATTTAAAGATGTTATTTTTACCTTTTTTTACTGTGAATTTGAAATATCGGTGTGCGATCTAATAATATGCGTAATATTCATCGTAGTTATTATAAATAAATTAACTTCTACAAACTAAAGCCGGAGTCTCATGCATCCGAAATCCGATGACACGACGATCCGACGGTGCTCCTATTGGTCGAAATATTTTGACACCAATTTTTATCCGATATTTTTAACTAATCGTCCGACGTCGTATAAAGTTAAATATTGTTTAACTTTTGTACGATATCGTGTGTTTTTTAACCCCACTTTTTTTTAAAACATTGGTTTTTAAAAACAAGTTTAATGGGAAGTGGGCAATTTCGGGATATTTGTTTAAGTGTTTCTCCAATAAAACATGATATGAATCTCTATTCAATGCAGCAGAAAAATGTCAAAACTGTCAAATTTCGGAACGAACTTTCGGATATATGTGACAGGCTTTTTTTATTTCACACGATAACTTCAAATTTCGGATGTCGTACCATCGGATTTCGGATGCATGAGACTCCGGCTTAACGATGAATAGATTAAATATTAAAAAAAACAGAGCCGGACTTGAAATTAGTTTAAATAAATTGTATTCAAATGTCCGAAATAAAAAAAAAATATTAAGTGTGGCATATCATTGTACTCAGGACACCGAGTTCTTTGAAAATCTGAAATAAAAAATGCAGGTCCGTATTAAAAAAAATTAAGTTGGCCTCTGTATCTCACAAATTATCAGCTAATTTAAAAATCTAAAAATACTATCAGATAGCGGTAAAGGTGTGGATCCGGTGGCTGACCTTGAAGGCCATATTTGCTGCATTTGATCATCGATACTACGCAAGCGCACATCGTCGATGTTGCCAAATTGCAGTTTATTTTCGAATTATTTGCAGTTGAATTTTTTTTGAGTGTTAATCAATAATAATACAAATTCTATAATTAATTTTATAATTTCAGATTTATCTTGATATCCAAAATTAAGGTAAGAAGGATAATGAAGATTGTGAAATGAAAGTATTATGAATATATAAAATTGTACGTAATAATAACAAAGATATGGAAGTGGTTGAATAATAATAACATTTATTTATATATTTACATTAGAATTAAAAATTATCATTTACAGATTTTTTCTTAATGGTTTTAAACTTATTAGAATTATTTTATTTCTTTCAAGTTATTTAATTTCTAGTTATTTACAGGCAACAATAGTTTTCATTATATGTATATTGATGTTTTGAAATATTACCATGACGAGTCTTATAGAACAATACACGTCAATGGGAGATAGAGGTAACATATTTTACCTATAATGTTACTAATATAATATACTTTGATTGTAATGTTTGTATCATATAATTTCTTAAAAATATCAAGTTAGTGGATTAATAGCAATTTTAGACATATATTTTATCGAAGAGTGTTGATAAGACTAAAATAAGCTTTATGTTTTATCTTTTTGTTTTATTTTTTCTCTTTAGAAGGGAGATGGTTCGTGTCGTAGAATACATTATCGTATTTAATATCGTGTACTTTGATATTCTTTTCTTAATTTACTGCAATTTCTTGTTTCCTATAATGCCAAATCTTGACAATATGGTGAAGGTTGAGTTTTGATCTTATTAGTTTTATACCTGTGTTTATACAAGACCAAATTAAGACTTAGTTTGTGATTTATATTAAGATCTTTCTTATAATATTTATTATGTCTTAATCTTAATACTATATTATGCTTTGTCTGGAAAATAAATGTTAAAATATCTTAATTTTGCATATCCTATTACATCCTTCCATTATGAAAAATATGGTTTATAAATCATATTATAGCTAAGAAAATCACATAAATTAGGTGTAAGAATAGAGAAATCTTAAATTAGCAGAAAACCTATTATGAACATGACATGGAGCTACAGCATTTAAAATTAAAAAAGGAAAAAACTTGGACATATAATTTCCCGAATTTTTAATAAAGCCCTTTTTAAACGTAGCTAAATAATCTAGAGCAATTAGATTAATTATAGGAATCTAGAGTTTTATTTCTATTTAATTTTATTGACTATGAAAATACATAATAAGCGTTCACGTGTTGTGCGAAATATTAAAATAATAATATAAATCCTTGATATAAATAATATACCGCGTACTATGATTGAAAAAAAAATAGCGTCAGCGATGACTATGAAATGAAGATCGCTGTCATTTTATATGGGAAATGTCCTCAATCGTCATTTCCCAGCTAACTGGACGCCGTTTTTTCGATCATACGGTATATATTGACAAAAAACACTGAAAAGCACATATTTGTTTTCTACTGAAAATAATTCCAAAATAACTTACAATCTGGCAACATCGAAGATGTGCGCATGCGTAATGGCTGTGACTATATGCAGCAGAAACCCGTTTCAAGGTCAGCCACCGGATCCACACCATTACCCAGATAGCCCTTATAAAGTGGCTATGAGGATGTGTAATTAGTTTTTCGATTTTCTTAAAAGTAACGACAAGAAAAAATAAAATTGATTTTCCAAAAAATCCGTTTTTTTCCAAAAAACTCAGCAATCCTTGAAATTTTTAAAACTTTTTTGAGGGCATCTTGGTGAACATCTCAAGGCGCAACTTTGCCCCAATTTAACCATCTTCGTATATATTAAGGAGGGTCCACATTTAGTAACATGTTATATAACATTGCTATTTAACAAGCTACATGTAACATGTTAAAAAACCGGGGGCCGTCCACATTATAGTTTTCGTAGTCATGAACCGTTTTGGCGAGAAAGAGGTTCAGCTCGCAGCAGCGGCGTGCGTAATTATTTTTGAACTAAGGGAAAGAAAGTCGAGAAAAAAAGCGGTTTTGAGTCCGCCATAGCCTACCAGCAAGATCTAGATACAGTTGAACTCAATTAGCTTATCTTTTCAATACTTGCCTCGGCTGTTTCTCGTGGTGTCGTCTGTCTTTTAAAAACATTAATAATTTACAGTACTAGATGAAAATCGCTGTCATTTTATATGGAAAATTATATGGGGAATGTCATCGATCGTCATGTCCAAGCCAACTGGACGGGAGGCCGACGGGACGCAGTTTTTTTTTCGATCATACGGTATTATTGACCAGTAAATAAACAAACCCAAGAACAGTTAACCTAAACAAACCAATATCAGCTCACCACACTAAGATTCTGTCGCGCACGTCCCTGAAAATATGAGCGGCTAAACTAGAAATTTAGCAAGTGTGGACGCGTTGTTTCATGTTACAATAGCAATGTTGCACAACATCTTTTGATCTTTACCGACTACAAATGGATAACATCTAGCAAGTTATATAGCATCGAAATTTGCTAAATGTGACTAAAAAATATGTAACATGTTATATAACTTTGCTATATAGCAGTGTTATATAGCAAGTGTGGACCGTCCTTTACGGTTTCCGAGATACCAATGCTCGTACCTCGAATTTGTAGCACCCTGTATAAGATAAAGTGGCTCTATAACTTTTTAATTTTTTCAAATGTTTTCGGTCACTTCCTGTTTCACCGGAAATTACTACAACTTTTGATTTTTAAATGGTACCATCGGTATTTTTTTTCTTTAATCTATAGAAAATTACTCTGAATAGAATGACATATCATATGTCAACTTTTGATATTTTCGCTTAAAAAAATCGCACATTTTTGAGACGCACCTGGTATACTAATATATTCTATAAACTTTGTTTTAACCCTCTGTAGCTACGAAACAAAGCAGAATCAGCCCTGTGTTGATATAAAAAATAAATTTTACGAGAGATGGCACATGTTTTTTGAAACACCCTGTATTGTCTCCATATTAATTTATCATACCAATCAACTTATACCATATTTTTAGTTACAAATTAATCGGAGAAGGCTTAACACCGACACCTAAAGGACCATTCATCGTTAGAAGTAACTATCCTGCTTACATAGATTTCAGAAATTCATTTAACGACGACAAAGTGTTCGTTTACGATATACATCCGGAAATATTTGTTGCTGATCTAACGGAAGAACTAATCAAAGCCAGGAAGACAAGCAGAATTATAATAAAAGCTAATTCTAACGAAGAAACTGAAGAACCAGTGGCGGGAAAATTAGTTATATATTTGTCAGACGATCCTAAAATAAAATGGTCATATTATTTACATTTTAAACGGTGAAAATAAAGATATATGCCATTTAGTTCTTGTTTTTTTAAGTAAATAAGCTTTCCTATTTCTTTATCGGTTAAATTTTAAATCTATTTATTTAATCAAAAATATAAAATTAACATGCCTCTCCCCAGAATTATTCAAAGTCATCATCATCATCATTCTCAGCTTATTCAACCATTTCAACTTACCTCTATACAAAAGTGCTTCGCTTGTCCAGTAAAGGGCATCAAAATTTAAAAAATAAATACATTTTAAGAACCGATAGCCCGATTTGAATGAGATTTGGGGTGCCTAGGTTTTGCTAGGCACTTTAACATGTTATTTACGCAATAATTAGAAAAATGTATGGGAACTGTAATAAGACTAATTTTTTCTTCGAACTGTAATAATAAGACTGATTTTCATAATACTGATTTTTTCTTTGTAAAATGGTACTTCTAGTATTTACTACATATTCTATCTCTTGCATACAACCTAACCAAGTTAAAGTGGTAGAGAAAATGGAGACAAATCCTCCAGCCTCCAACTCACGGGTTCCTCCCTCAGCCGGAGGCAAGTTTCTCGACTGTGAAGGGCGGCACGGAGGGCCAAATTCTAACCGTGGAAGGGTGTGTACCCTCGGAGAAAGAACTGTTGTCAGAGGAGGATGGGAAATACCCTGTCCCCTCTCAACAGGGGTATGATCACAGGTATGATGGGTTATAGACTGTGTGATGAGTCACGGAAGGGGGGCACAATAGATCTTTTAGGTCGCAGTGATTAACCCCCCTCTTACTCATTCTACACTCTACATTCATCTCTTGTAAAAAACGCGACCGCGCATACTTTTTGAGAAAAAAAAGTTTTTTCGAAACTGGCAAAAAATATTTCTTGGTAGGTACATAAAGCTCTGTAAGCACTTGAAATCTAGAATGAGCTAATATTCTAGGTAGCAAAAATATGGAATGTTGTGTTAGTATAGCCAGGTATAGCAAATGATATGTGTATATGACAAATAAGCTTCATAAATTTTAAACTATTAAACTAATCAAAGTTCTTGTTAAGTTCTTGTATTGATTGATGCCCTCTAACGGACAAACGAAGCACTTACAAAGCAAAAACAATAACTTAGTAAAAGAAGCCTCTGGTAAAAGCTTTTTCCGTTATAATTGAATTCATTTCTCAGTTACTTTCTTGAATATTTTAGTCTCTACGATGCTACGCTCGCGATGCTACAGTGCCACTTTTTCGCTTTTTGTGCACTCCTGGAAAGTGATTTTTTTTCTTGATTGCGGGGCTATTATTTGCGTCCCATAAAAGTTCATAAATAAATTTATAGTTTCTTTTGTGCGACGTTCGGATTTGTGATCCGGATTTCAAGTTTCATCATTTGTCCGGATTTTGTCCATATATTTCGAATTTTTGATTAGAGTATAACGAGTCATGATTAAAATACTATACGAATAGAGTAAAATTGATTAAACTTTACTTACCTATATTAATTATTAAATTATTCTTAAAATACTAAAAACAGTTCAGAATACAAAAGCCGTTTATATCAGTGAGTAAATTCAAAAATACACATGCCTAATCTCTACAAAATTATTAATACGGAATAATAGTTAAAATATTAACAATTAAAACAAAACAAATTTGAAATTATCAGCTATTACTTTTAATCTCCCCTGTAGATTCAAGCGCGAAAATGGCGACTACCATGGCATTTGGCAACCTTGATTTGGCACTTTGATTTGGCATAAGAAATTTTTTTGATGCGCACTCGTCGCAACTCGCAACTCGTTCTCTCTACCTCTATATTAAATAACAACAAAAACCAAACAACGCTTTATTGTGCAAAAAGCCAAAACAGCTTCATCGACAAAGCACTCACAAACAACAAAATCACAAAAAAATACAAACAACAAAAAATACACAATACAAATAATACAATTCAAAAAAATTTAAGTCTTTAAAATTACAAAAAGAATATACATGGACAATTTTAGAACAGTACGCAGTAAATAGATATAATTTTAAAGTTATAGAATATTAAATATGACCTTTGACCAGTGTGTGAGATGATCAAAATTTTAAAATACAAAATTGTTCATAATTAAACATCAACAAAAAGTCGTTTACCGCATATAGGGCTCTCTCAGTAGGTATGATTTTAAAAGCTTTGCGAAATGCGGGAAAGAATGAAAGCGATTTGATATTCAAAGGCAGATGATTGTACATTTTTTTGGCATTGTACAGTATTGAACGCTTAACTAGTTCTGAGCTCGGGGTTGGCAGATAAAAATCGTGCTCTGCATTCCTAAGCGGATAGTTATGAGATGGCCTTTCGGGAATAGCAGATATGTGCTTGCGGATTAAGCAAACGGATTCAAAAATGAATAAAGAAAGAAGAGTCAGTATTTTCAAATTTTTAAAGAAATTCTGGCAGTGAGTTCTACTGTTTAGTCCCAATAAATATCGAACTGCTTGCTCTCTTCTGAAGTATGAAAACACGATCAAATTTTGTTGCGCAGCAAGTACCCCAGAATGGAAGAGCATAACGAAGATGTGACTCAAAAAGGGCATAATAGGCTATTCTAGAGGTTGAGAAGTTAAGTTCCTTAGAAACTGATCTTAGCGCAAAACAGGCAGCGCTTAGTTTCTTTGATAGAGCTTCAATGTGAAAGTCCCATTTTAACGAGTTGTCTACAAGAAGTCCTAAGAATTTCACAGAGTCCACGACGTCAATAGTAGTGTTATTAAGTACAAAAGGTTGTATAGTACTTTTATATGACAAAACTTTAGTTTTTGATAGGTTGAGGCATAGGAGATTAGAATCGCACCAAGACTTAATGGTGCGTAAGTCACTGGATATAGTATCATATAGCGCCGCAACATCTGGGCCGCTCCAAGTGAAACTAGTATCGTCCGCAAAGAGGCAGATTTTACCGCTAATGTCTAGATTTGCAATGTCGTTGATAAACACCAGAAACAAAATAGGGCCAAGTACTGAACCCTGAGGGACACCACATTCTATAGGCTTACAAGAAGACATAGACGTATCAATCCTCACAAGCTGCCTTCTGTTGCCAAGATATGACTTAAGCCATTCGAGCGGCACTCCCCTGAAACCATAGTATTGCAATTTGTTAATTAAGATATTATGATTTACACAATCGAAAGCCTTAGAGAAATCACAGAAAATTGTAGCTGTAGAGTGATGGTTATTCAGGCTAGAGTATACATTATTAAAAAGGTCGAACATAGCATCATTTGTGCAACTGTTACTTAGAAATCCAAATTGATGGGTAGTAAGTATTTTATATTTAAGGAGAAAAGATAGAAACCTTTTTTTAACCAATCTTTCAATGATCTTAGATAATGTGGGCAGGAGTGCAATTGGGCGATAGTTCGAAGCTTCATCTTTATCACCTCCTTTATACAGAGGAATAATTATTGCTGTCTTAAGGCAGTTTGGAAAAACTCCGTTTTGGAATGTCTCGTTAATTAAAGTAGTAAGATGGTTTAATGTGCATTCAGGAAGTTCAGAGAACATTTTGAGAGTAAGCCCATCAGTCCCTGATGAGGATTTGTTTTTAATATTATTAATTGTACTACGGAGCTCATCTAATGCTACGGGCGTGAGGAAGAAACTGTGTAAATTCTCATTTGCTTTAGGGAGATATGAAAGTGAATCATGGGAAGGAGTTATGGTGTTTTGGTTTGACTAAATTTTTGGCCACATTAACAAAGTAAGTGTTTAAATCTTCAGGTGAATTAAAGACTGTGCCAGACGAAGAAGTCTTATTCGTTAAGTCATTTACAATAGCCCAAGTCTCCTTAGCGACATTACCGGCTTTGGCTAGCCTCGCATTATAATAAATGTCCTTGGCAGCTTTCATAGTCTTACGATAAACCTTTCTATAAAGTTTCACGTAATTATGAAAGAAGACGCTGTCCGTGAATTTCTTAAGGTGAGATAATGAGCGCATGCTCTTTGCAGATATACGCAAGCCTGTAGTAGACCAGGGTATACCTTGTTTACTTTTGATAGGCCTAAGAGGAAACGCCTTGTACGCCAGATTAGACAAGGTATCCATAAATCTAGAAAATTCGGAATCGACGTCAGCCGAGAGAACAACCCACTCTGTTGTTAGACATAGGTGGTGAAAATTTAGAAAATTTTCATCCGAAAAAATACGGCCCAATTTGCGCGAGGTATTTTTGCATTTGGATTTTAGCAAAAACTTTGTCAATACTGCCTCATGATCAGAGAAACCTCAGTGAAGGACTCTACAGTCAACGAATTCCGGGTCAAAAAACGACACGACATAGTCTATAGTACTAGAGCCAGTTTTAGTTATTCTAGTTGGTGAGTCAACATGCATGAGTATACCAAAAGAATGAAAAATGGACTGGAGAGACTCCTTAGCTGCACACACACTGGAAAAGTCAATATTCAGGTCGCCACACAAAATTAATTTACTTTTTATAGGTAGGGATTCAAGCAAGCTTAGCAATTTTTGACTGAAAATATGTACGTCAGCGTCAGGTGTTCTGTAAATACAAATAATATAGAGGTCAAAAGCATTATGATAAACGACGGAAAATTCAAGAAATTTTTCGGATATTAGAGTATCGAACTTAGTTACTGCCGAAAAGTCATTGTTAGTAGACATTATCATAGTACCTCCATGAGAAGAGTTACTTCTACTGAATCTAGTTAATGTAGTGTATTTTTTGACAAATACAGGCTCATCCATATTTAACCAATGTTCAGTTATGGCAACAATTTCTGGAAAATTGAGCTCTTCTAATAAAAGATATAATTCATCCGTTTTATGTCTTAAGGACTGAATATTAATTAAAAAAACACTAAGCTTGCTATCATGGTACAAAGAATACAAGGTATGATATTGCGCAGGTTGGTCGCTACGTCACAGGTGATAACAGGCGCTATTGGTCAGCACGCTCCGCGCGCCAATTCAAATCGTCAAGATATTGTTATAAACCTGTTTTTTTTGTTTATATACCGTCATTGAATTATCGCTAAGCAAGTTACTGTGGAGCAGTGCATAAGGAGTCGGGCTAGGAAGCGAGAGACCGGAGTTCGAATCTCGGCGGAACATCACTTTTATTTATTTTTTAAATACTGTTGTATTCTATAGTTTATTTTGTAGTATAAAAAGAACTATTTATTCTGTTATTTTTAATCTCCGTTATTAATATAAATTGATTGTTAGTACAATACCTCATTTAATATAAAATAATATTCTACTTTTGAAATGTATCGGGCCCTAATTGTACCTAAAAGTAATATATTTTTAGTGATATACCATATTGTAAACTATTTAATATTTCAGTCACTTAAAAAGTTAATTTGCATTGAATAATTGCCTACCATTAAAGGAAATTTGAGCTATATAACCCTTGATGGGCATATTCTGGGTATGCAACTACTTCCTTTAAATTTTGGGTGTCGTTCAACCGATTTATTCTCAAAACCAGAAACATCTACATATAAAAAGAAGCACAGGTCACTAATTATAATAAACTTCACCCTTGGTATTACTTCCTCTAATTATAATAAACTTCACCCTTGGAATTACTTCTATCACAATTACAATACGTTCATCTACATTGGCATTTTCTACTTTTCGATGGGAAACAATAAACTTCCCAACATTTTTTAAATGATGTAACAATTCCTCTTGTGGTTACTTTTCCATAGATATCCTCATGTGAATTCAGAGGCAATAAAAATGAAAATTATTTACCATAAACATCGCAAACTAAAAACCTAATAAACAATTTTATACCGAATATAGAAATAAATTTAGTATTTTTACCTATTATCGTCCAAATCCATGTTAATAGATAATTATTATTTTTAAATATATTTTTGGAACTGCTGGTTTTAGTAATTATTAAATTAAACGAACTAAAAAGTCTTAAAAATTAACAATTCTTAACCATAACCCCAAAAATGCAGATCTCCTGTCAACTTTCTTTATTTTTTATTTATTCATTATTTTCCTAGTGACGTCACAGGTGGTATGCGCGAACTGAACGAAATTGGAGCCGCTATCGATCATACCTTTTATTCTATTTTTATTCTTTGTACCATGGCTTGCTATCGTCTAGTTTTTCAGAGGGTGCTTGATCCTCTGTTCGCGTCATTTCACCTAAAAATTTGTAGTTTTACTTGGATAGAAATACTTGGTATGACTTTCCCTAATTCTCTGAAGCTGCTGAAGTTTTTCCGTTGAAAAGAAGGACCTGAAGGCAGAAAGATCCGCATCCACTTCAGCTGAGGGTGCAGCCACACTATCCTAAAAACGGCGTATCGGCGTAACGGCGTAATGACCTTGAATAGATTTCCAGTAATTCTATTGGCTGAAATTTTTGACAGATGAATTTGACAGATAAAATTTCTGACAGATGAATGTTTCAGCCAATAGAATTACTGGAAATGTATTCAAGGTCATTACGCCGTTACGCCGATACGCCGTTTTTAGGATAGTGTGGCTGCACCCTGAGTCAATACCATAAACGTTGTGGAAGCGATAATACAGCCTGCGCAGGGAATCCGCGTCACTAGGAAGTCCCTCTGATGCCATAAATAACTTGATGCTGGTGTTGGTGTGCCCTTCAAAACACACACTTGAGGGTTGATCATGGAGATAGACGAGGAATAGCCGAATAGGCTTTAATATGGAAGGGTCCCTCGGGTCCCTCAGCCTAGCAAGCAAATAACGCCCATTTGCCTCATCCGAATTCTGCGTCATCCAAACCACAGGCGGAGTCAACGGTATCTCTGGGTTATTATATGACTGAGAACCACAGTTCGAAATCTGCGGAAACAAAGTAGACCCTCAACTGCCAGAGCCAATCCAGAGTAGCTACGGCTTTATTAACTTAAAATACTAATAGGAAAAAGAGGAAAAAACCACAGAACAAACCTTTGAGTACACATTTTGACGTTTTGAGAGAAACTGGCGCGCAGGCGCATCTGACCGTTATGATTTTTCGTTAGTATATTCTGTGGTTATGATTTCCCATCTGATCTAGACACAATCTAGACAGGTTAAAATTTAAAAAATTAAATTTTTATTAAACACATAGAAACAAAAAATGTCCTTAGCGGCTAGAAACGGTAATTTTAGTATTAAATTTAATAGTGGATATATGACAATATAATTTAGTACGCTAGTGTTATTCAACATGTATCAAATATTTTAGCAATTTGTAAAGCATTTACTCCATCAATTCAGATTAAAAGATTCCGAGGAAAAATAAATATTCAAAAACCGAAACCTCCACATTTTGAAAGGGCAAAGTATTTAGCACTAGCAAAACCATGGTTCCTACCACAAGATACAGACAAAAAACGATGTGGTAATTTAAAAAAATTAGACTTTCATAAGCAAAAAGAGGAAAATCCATTTCAAAGAATTTTGTCTCAAGAATTATATAGATGGTTCAAGACATCCAAACTTGTAGCGTTTTGTCATTATAATCCTATGACAAAAGATGATGAGTATAAAGCATATATGTTACTCCATAAAGAAAAAATGCATTTTAAAAAGTATGGAAAGGAAACATTGGAAATGGCTGTTAAAGGAACACCATATGAAGCAGTGCTGGATTTTTATGTGTCACATAATATAACAATATTTAGTCCTGAACCAGAAATTAAAAAATTGTTAAAAATATTACGTAGATTCCCTCAATTAATATTGTTAGGTAAAGTATAAACTTTATTTTTTGCTTTGTATTTGAAATAAAACTTTTATTTATCTTGCTATTGTATATATGAAAGTAAAAATCAATTACTTCTTGACATCTAATTTGCAAAAGTAAAAGATTTTTTTTTATATTTTAATTTCAATGTTAATTTATGATAGGTGTTTTAATTTATGCTTTATTTTAGCTGGTATTTATGAAAACAAACTAATATCTAAGGAAGAATTAGTGTATTATAGTAACATACCTAATATACAAGCAGCACAAGCAACTTTAGTTCAAACATTGAACAGTGCAGGAACACAGTTGGTCAGCAATTTAAATAGCCACCAGTCAACACTTGTGTCACACATAGACCAAAGGGCCAATCAGTTACAAAAAGGAGAATAAATTTATTGTAGATAGTGTTATTTAATTACAGGTTTTAAATTGAATCTAGATTACTTCTTTTTATTATTTTTCTTTTCTTTTTTGTTTTTCTTTTCTTTCTTATTCTTTGTTTCTTTATGCTCTACCTTTTCTTTCTTGCTCTTCTTGCTACTGCTGCTTAAAATTGTAATGGGTACTTCATAATTTAAATATAAAGCATAGTTTGGATGAGAAACATATCTCAGGATTGGTAAATTCCTTAAGTAAATCTTACAAAAGAAATCTAATATTTCGTGTGACTCTTTAATGGTAAATATCTTTTTACTTGTTGGAGGAAACTATAAAAGATAAAGGTAAGTATCAAATATCACAATATTTTAAAATATTTACAGGTAGACTATGGCACATCATAAGGTCTTTAAAATACATATAAACCTTCTCAGGAGTAATGTCAATACTACTGATAAAGTATAAATGGGATAAATAGAACTGTGATAATAAACAACCACTTTTTTCCAAATTAAAATGGTTATCTTTGCAAAATTTAATAACATCACATATCAATTCAATTATAATATTACTGGCACTCGGTGCGGGAATTTTATATAAAGTTCTTTCTAAAAATATAATTAAAACTAAAAAAGTTAAATGTACACATCTACGTACCAATATATTCTGTAAGGTCCAATTTATTTTCGATTTTTAAAATTTCTTCGACACTTTTTTCATCTAAATATTCCCATTGCGCCAATCGAGGTTCTTTGGTAGGAAAGAGAAACTTATTAAACGCGTGAATTCTATGAACTTCTCCATCACCTTCACTTAAATCACATGTTAAATAATTATCTGGTTTTGGTATTTGAACAGACTGAAAAGTAGTAATATGATTTTTCAATATATTTTTTGGAATTGCTGAATGCTTATCGTTCATTTTTTTACTATAACACCATAATAACACTTTTGTCAAATCTTTGAAGGATCTTTCAAAATTTATAAAATTATTCTCAGTACTCTCTGTTTATTTCCGTTATACGAAATTGTAGATATACAAGCATTGTTATAAGTTGTATTAATAATTTTGGTAATTTTTTTTAAGATTTAAAAAAATTTAAATTGAATTAATTTACCCGCCCATATTATTTATAATTATCTGTGGAAAAAATATATCATATAGTTCCATAATATATGATATAAGGAAGATGCCAATGAAAGATGCACTACTATCAAGCACTACTATACCAAAGAGTAGATAAGACAAGAGACGACAGTGAACAAAGAAGTCGAATTTCGCGAGAGAGACGCAGATATATTAAAATTTAAAGGTCCCATTATGGAGTCTAAAAGGAGGAGGCGAATCGAACGCAAAAATTATGGGCCCAGTTTTTGAGATCTAAATGAAGTTCGAAAATCGCCGTTAGGGGCGCTTGTGATGATTGGGATACTAGAAATACACAGCTTCTTATGGCAAGAATAACTATTTTGTTATAAATTATAGAGCCAAGTTAATATAAGTAAGTTAAAGTGTTTTCAACTTAATATCAAAGAATATTTGATCGATTTCAAGGCGTTCGCGTTTGCGCAGAATGGTGTTGTGATCCAGTTATCGATTATTTTGACGACGCTGCCGCAAAGTAATCAAATATCAATTTGTTGTTTTCAACTGCCGGGGGGGCATTTAAATTTAAAGAAATTCTCCATTTATTATGGTTAGTTAACATAATATGTTTTTGATTTAAATCGACAGTTTCAAAACTGCGTACAATATTGTTATCATAACTCCTGTACAGATAATCTGTGAAAAGACGCTAAATTTTTCTGACCTTTTGTCCTCATTAAACAATTAAATTGATATTAAATACCTTATTTACAATACAAAATGTTTGAATGTACTGAATTACGTGTTTCAATTTAAAATTTTTGACAAAATTTGGTAAAAATTGTTCTAAATAACTTTTTGTTCAAGTTGTACAAGGTCATAAAAACATAGCGGTTCATAATTATTTTTGATGATTACCTACCTTGTAGGAAAATAATGAATAAACCTAGAAAAAGAAAGTTGTTTTTGTTTTATTTTTTTATTCGTCCCTCAAATTGTGTTTTTAAGACTGTTACATAATTTGTCCTCTAACAAATATTTTCAAAATAATACATAAACATAATAATGATCTATTATTATGGATTTGGACGATAGGTATTAGTATTTATCCTGGTTTTTATCGACAATAAAAACTCAATCTTGTAATAGAACATCAGTGATTAACTGTAGTGAAATATTATATAGTTTAATACACTGTCAATTTGTTTAAATTCAAGTCATTAATATATTGATAAACAACCCAAATTATTCCTAAATATTTTATTATAAAAAACTTTATTAGGTTTTTAGTTTGCGATGTTTATGGTAAATAATTTTCATTTTCATTGCCTCTGAATTCCACATGAGGACAGAGTTGAGGATATCTATGGAAAAGTAACCACAAGAGGAATTGTTACATCATTTAAAAAAATGTTGGGAAGTTTTTTGTAAAACACACATTATGATTTGTCGTAATACTAGAAAAAAGTCATTTATTTTTGCACAAAAAGAAAATTATCGATCCTTATTTGTCCATAACAAATTTTATATGTAGATGTTTCTGGTTTTGAGAATAATTATTAAGAAAATGAATTATATGATCCAAAATTTAAAGGAAGTTTTTAAGATAAAATAGAATATATCTTCATCAACTGTTATATAGCTCAACTTTCCCTTTAATGGTAGGCAATTATTCAATGCAAATTAACTTTTAAGTGACTGAAATACATAATAGTTTACAATATGGTATCATTGCAAAAATATACTTTTAGGTACAATTAGGGGCCACACATTTAAGGCCATAGAAAATTATTTTGAACTTCATCATAGTATTCTACTAAGAATAAAAGTGTATATTAATAACGGAGATTAAAAGCTAACGGAATAAATAGTCTCTTTTTTAACACTTTTAAAATAAACTATAGAATACAACAATATATGAAAAATAAATAAAAAGTTTTGTCTCAGTGATTTGTGGCACAGATACAAATTAATATATGCCCCATAACAGTTTTTAAATAAGAAACTTCTGCTACAGATTTAATTTTCTTATTGGCATAATACCCTTTCTTCCTATATGTAAATCTTGCCATTTTTTCAGTCCAATGTTCAATGACGGTATATACACAAGAAAACAGGTTTATAACAATATCTTGACGATTTGAACTGCGCGCGGAGCGTGCTGACCAATAGCGCCTGTTATCACCTGTGACGTAGCGACCAACCTGCGCAATATCATACCTTGAGTACGTTCCACTAAGCACTACTATAACGTTCACGCTCAAGATCGCGATGTTTCCGGTTCCTTCATACCTGTAACTGTGCATAATCATAAATTAAGTGGAATGGGTCCTCCTCTTGACACTCTGAACACTGCTGCTGAGGTAATGTTAGAAATATTTAGCACAAAACTACAACTTCAACAACACGTTCTTTACAATAAAATTAACTACTTGAAAAAATACGTTAAAATAAACTATCTATTGATATTATTTTTCCTCCAAATTTCCTTTGTATGAGTAAGTAATAGATCTTATTTGACGTATTTCTTATATTTGAAGCCATATTTCATGGACACTTAAAGACATTATGTGTTTTATGCAGAAGCTTCAACATTGATTAAGTATCTTCTTCCTCCACACCTTCAGTCCTCACTGTGCCATAGCCATCCCGTGCTACAGTTGCAGCCAAAACCGTGCGGCAGCGTAACCGCCACAGTTAAACCTTTTCACGCAGCTTACACACAGCAATGATGGAACATTCGAGTGGGACAAAATTATCGTCCGGTAGTAAAAATACCCCCCTCAATCGGATCTCCCGGAGGGGTGCCTACCGAGCGTATCATCGGAGAAACAAAAACATCAATGTTTCACGTTTGCGGCGTGGACGTCCGCACTCTACTGGACAAGATAAATTCAAATCGACCACAGAGAGAAGAACAACAGCACTGGTCTCATTATGAACTCCACCGATTAAATATAGATGTTGCCGCTCTAAGCGAAACACGCTTTGCAGATGAAGGTAGTCTCACTGAGGGTGCATTACAATATGTATTGAAACTTCATCCCGCAGTTCACACGAGATTCATGGTGTAATGCATTTTACAAAATCGCGACGAAAAAGCGAACAAGTTAACCACGTACCTATTGGTGTCTCCTGAACGTCTTATGACCCTAAGGTTATCCCATAATCTTTTGTCTAAATTTTAAAAATTGCGCCAAAATTCCTCAACGTCCACTTCGATCCTAATATTCAGATGGGTCGTTGTGAGCTCGGCGTGAACGAAAAAATAATGACGTCATTAGTGAGCAGAGTATAATCTTTGCATCACCAATACGTGGTTCATGCTGAAGGACAAGTTTAAAGGTACCTGGAAACATCCTAGATCAGGCCACTGGCATCAAATTTGACCACATAATCGTTCGGAAGGACGCATCTAAAAGATGTTAGGGCTCACAAAAGCTAGAGTAGATGCCGAATGCGGCACTGACCACCGACTTTTAATTTCAAAAATGAAAATCCAGTTAAAACCCAAACATCCACGCTGTAAAAGCAAAACAACATGACCAGATTGAACATGCCGGGTCTAGAAAACAACAATACTGCCGGACGTTCTCCGGGAAGCCATCAAAGGATCACTTCCACCGATAACTTCAATCTCAGTATTGGAAGCTGAACAAGGCTGGACACAATAAGGGATGTGATTCATAAACCAGCGAAAAACTGGAAAAATCAGGCAACAGTCAAATTTAAACAGACTGGTTTGACGAAAAAAGCAACATCTGCCAGGCTTTGGCTTTCTTTTTGTCACTCACATAGAAATCATGATACCGCCGTCACTTTGCAACAAAGAACACCGGGCCAAGACTGGTAGACAATTTTAAAACAGCCAACAACTTTTTCGATAGAGAACTGCCATTTGAAGGATAACTGCGATTATTCAAAAACTGGTAAGTCAGAAATTACACATACGCCACATTTTATTCGTAAATTCTTCTAGGCTGTAAACGTATATACGCCCTGGGTCTAAGAAGGTAAGCTGCCCAATCATGGCTCAAAATGGCGAACTTCTAAAAGAGGAAGAACAAATTAGAAATCGCTGGAAAGAACATTACAGCCATATCCTTAACCAAGAAAACAACGTATTAAACACAATACCTCAGTATAACAGCCTCGTTGTATTAGACATCCCAATAACAGAACAAGAAATAAAGACCTCCATAAAACAGCTTAAAAACAACAAATCAGCGGGCTGTAACACGATATTCCGGCGGAAATCTATAAGTGTGCAAGTAAAGAACTTATTGGTCATCTTAAGGCTCTCTTTGATGTCGTGGGAAAGCGGAGAGGTACCTCAGGATTTTCGCAATGCGAATATAGTGAATATATTTAAGAACAAAGGAAGTGCATCAGACTGCGGAAATTACCGGGGAATTTCGCTATTGGCTATCGGCGGAAAAATTCTGCAAAAATAATGTCAAACCGCCTGCACCCACATATAGAAAAAAATTCTTCCAGAATCGCAAACGGGTTTTCGTACCAACCGCGGCACCGTCGATTCCATTATTTTCCATCCGTCAATACAGGAAAAAGTAGCATATTGTCTTAACTTTATGTTGCATTCATCCTGACAATCTAACAAAATTCTCTATTTGTGAACAGAGATGCGCTTTGGGCAATTATGTGCGAAGTATAAAATACATAACAAATTTCAAGGGTACATCTGTGTAAAAAGCCTCCATAACAACAACAAGTCAAGAGTGTCACATCATGGATCACTGAGCGACCCATTCCTAACAAATACAGGAGTTAGGCAGGATGTGTCTTAGCGCCTCCTATTCGCAACATATTCCATGGCAGCGCTCTCCATTATAGTGGACAGCAAACGCAGGAGAGAGGGATTGGGCATTAGATACAGATATGACGGCGGTCTGTTCAACATAAAAAGACTCAGGGCAAAAGGAACGTAAATTTAGCACAGAACTTCAATACGCTGACGACTGCGTGTTATCATGCAAACACGGTAGTTGTAATTACAAGAAATGT